TCTTATTCTCCGCCCTGCGCGGGCTCTCGGTTGGTGGTGGGTTGTGGAGAGGGGGGGGGAGGGGGGGGGAGAGGGGGGGGGGGGGGGGGGGGGGGGGGGGGGGGGGGGGGGGGGGGGGGGGGGGGGGGGGGGGGGGGGGCGAGCAAAGCTTGGGTGTAAGGACATACCAAGGACAAACAGAGCCACCGTGAGTGAGGTGACCTCCATGTCAACCCCTGCATATTCGGCGATTTCCGCATTTGTAGAAGACAGAATCGACGAGCCTAGAGCGCCAGCCAAAGCCAAAAGGCTCATTTGGGCGGTGATCCAAATTTTGTACGCAGGATGAAAGTTCTGTGGGTTCGACTTTTCCCCTGCCTCAAAGGTGACAAGTATTCTGGTTCCATCTTGAGGGACGGTATGAGAGTCGGACGAAATCTTCGAATGTATAGAATGAGAGAGACTAGAAGCAGATGGCCGTTCCATCATGGAGGGTACAACTTTCGTAAGACAAATTCAGGTGGCAAGCCCCGGGACTAGTTTGATTATATCCAGTGTAGGAACCTGCATCCGTTAGTTGACGCAGGATAGATTCAATGGGTTGACGAGTTCCACTTAGCCTGTCTAGCTTCTGCGCAGGAGTTGTACATAAAAGTGTTTTAGTGAGAGTAAGGCTGTATACTTTCAAGGTCCCCAGAAATTTAAAAAAAAGGAAAAAGAAAAAGAAATGAAAACGACAATAAAAATAGAAATACAAAAGAAACAATTTAGTGTGGGGGTAGTAATTTTCTACTGATATTCGTCAACTCTCGATTACATTATGAGACGCCCTGTCCCATGTGTTGCAAATGTAGAATAGCGATGTATTCAACCAAGCATGTTATTACCGGATATGCGATAGGATGCCACTGGACGAGCCTGTCACCGCGGTATCATAATATTGAACACAAATACCATTCATCGATTCTTTCTGGGTGTATCATTAACTGGACCACCATGGACTCGCAAGCAAAGAATTCAGCTAGACCTCGAGGCTAGACCCAGAGCGCTGTGTCCCGCCTCGGAAAGCCACCCCGTTCAGGAATGAGGTACCTGGCTCCTGGAGTTCGGGAAAGTAGACCAAGCCCATGCTTGTTTAGCGTAGTTTCTGGGCACCATGCTTGAATCCAACAGGGGTACAATCCTTAGGAGCCCGCTCACTCCGCTGATGAGCTTACCGTCATGATCGCAGAAGAGCGCTCCTAGGTATATAGTCCTGGCAAGATATCCAACTGCGTCACTAATGCTAAGTGGTTGATTGTATGTTCATATGTAAAAATAATCGCGGAAAGTATTGCGGACTACTCCGTACAGCACGGTGCATCATTTGAAGCGCCCCATGCGCCTTAGCCCTGCGGGTGGAGTCCCTGTTGATTACCACAGTACAAGCCGGGATGATAGAGACCTTGGAAGCCAGGACCCACGCTGACATATGAGTAACTGAACCCTGGGAACCTTAGATTACAGCCAGGATACATGGTGAATACCTTGGAGGCCAATATTTCATGATTCATTTTAGCCTATGATTAAATGACAGGGCTTTGGGTACCTAAAGACTCCACACACCACTATGTATGTCGCAGCTTTGCTCCACCTGGTGCACAGGGACTCCTTCCAGACTTGATACTGACAGACGAGAAAGATTGCTTCTCCGTGTATTTCTAAACAGCTTTTCTATCTTCGGCAAGTCCGAGCAACGACCAGATATTGCCACCCAGAGAGTCGAAATATCGCCCAATGACAGCTTAGTGCATGCCCCTCGTCCCCGTGGTTCTCAGGGCTAAGACTAGTTCACCATCTACAAGTACATAACAAGCAAGGGGCGCAGGTGTTCATTCGCAACCTTGAAAATTTTCACCAGCAGAATGATGCCAGACAAAAACCGACTCTCTTCCACCGTGGGTGTGGTTGCTGAGCCCAGCTCCTTGCTCAGCAAACCCATCGCATCCGAACGACGCTGGTGGCACTGGCATGAGCCAGGTACTACAAAAGAGGAGAAATGGCTTATATTCAAACTCGACTTTTACATTTTGCTATACTCATGTCTTGTATTTCCCCCTCTTCCTCCCTCATTGCATTATATTCCAAATGCTAACCTCGCGCTTGCTTTTCTAGACTTTCTTCATCAAGTACCTCGTACGTACAAAGATTTATATGTGCAGCCCTGGGTTGGACCGCAATGCGGAAACAGCAAATTGAAACCAAATGACATTCGTTAACCTATTATCAGGACCAAACGAATGTTACCAATGCCTATGTCTCGGGAATGAAGGAAGACCTGAACCTTCGTAAGTTAGTCAAGTTTCCTAGATTCACGAGCCGGTGCTAAAGAAGTTCATCTGTCTGCAGGTGGAAATGAACTCAATTGGTTTACTACCTATTTCAACATCGGGATTATGATAGGAGGGCCGTTCATCACAATGGCACTCACGGTCATCAAACCACGATACCTCCTGCCAATTAGCACGCTGATTTGGTCTTTCTTCGTCTTGTTCATGTACAAGGTGCAAGATGCAAAGACTCTCTATGTTTTGAGGTGAGCTCCACTGCACACCATGTCGCCCACCTCCCCGTCACTGACATATACCTCGCCAGATTCTTCGCCGGTCTTTTTGAATCCGGAGCCATGCCAGGTGCATTCTACATGGTGCGCCCCCGCAAAACTCCTGCCCTTTTCTTCTCATGGGTAAACTAAATATGTGAACAGATTGGAAGCTGGTACCGCACCTCAGAGATTAGTCGACGATCAGCACTCTACTGGTTTTCTTCCATTGGCGGTGGAATGTTTTCAGGTTACATCCAGGCTGGCCTGTAAGTGCCATGGGTTCTCACATTTACGAGTAATGCTAATTTGGCTGCAGGCACCAAAACATGAACGGAAGACTTGGTCTTGCTTCTTGGCGCTGGGTTTTCATCTTTGACTTCATCATCGGAATTCCGATCGCAATCTTTGGATTCTTCTGCTGTCCCGGTGAGAGGCTGACTTGTTCCTGCAATTTTGCTTTAACATATTCTAACTTGAGGATTGATTCTAGATGAGCCGAACGGAGAGCGCCCTTGGTGGATGACAGAGAGAGAGAGACAGATGTGCGTCGAACGTATGGCGGAGGAGGACCGAGATACATCCAAAATGGAATGGAACTTGTCCACCGTGAAGCGAATCCTTACTTCGTGGCAGTTCTACAGCTTTTGCCTTGCGTGGGGGTAAGTCACCGCGGCTCCGGCCTCTGCATTCGGGTTGAAGTGAATCTAACTGGATACCAGCCTCATGGAGTGCACATGTGGAGTAAACCTCCAGCGATGGATGACCTTGTATCTCAAGTCACTGAGGGTGGACGGTCATCCTCGATACACTATTGAGAAGATCAACAGCCTTCCCACGGTCGTTGGTTGTGTGGTAGGTTCCGGTCATGTCTCTGTCGAAGGTGAATACTGACACAAGATTCAAGGAGCTAGCGTGGCTTCTACTGAGCTCTACACTAGCAGACTTCTTACAAGTGCGAGCACCAATAATTGCGGTTTTGGGTACCATTCAGCTCATTGCATACATCATTTTCTACGTTTGGTCGAGCAATATTGCCCTCATGACTGGGTTCTATTACATCTGCAGTGCTTACGGTGCCATTTCCCCGTTGATCAGTGCCTGGCTGAACTCCAGCTGCGGTGGAGACAGGCAGCTCCGTGCTCTGACAACCTCACTCATGATCTCAATTGGCTAGTAAGTCGTCCGCCCATTTCCCCCAATCAGTATGGATGTGATTGACGCTGATATTCTTTCTCAGTGCCGTGGAAACCGTCTCTCAGCAATTCATGTTCCCCACCTCCGAAGCGCCGCGGTTCGAACGGACCAAGGGGTACGCATTTGGCATTGGCTGGGTAGTTGCCATGATTTTGTGGTGCGGACTTCTGTTGCCGTTGGTTGAAAGACGCTTTGGGAGAAAAGTGATTCAATCAAATCCCAATTGCTGAGAAAGAAATCGCTGAATTGGCCCTCATTGGATGAGCAGTGGCGGGTCAAAATTGGGTCCGCAGTGGTGATAGAATCTACGAGAAGAAGAGTTTAGCGGAAAAGCCCATGTCATTCTGAGAAGGAGAGAGTGGAAGAACTAGATCTAGAGAGCTAGGTAAACATGGAATGTCAGGTGTCCAAGTGGAACATGAAACCTTTGGACAGTGCTGCAATTCTTTTGATGTGAAGCAACAAATGCAAATAGGCGAGCATAATAAAGGGGCATAGGCCAGACAAGCCCAAAACGGCACATCACAAACCGCGAGAGTCCCCCAACCCGATATCACTCGCACTGTACAGTGGCTGCGTATTTTTGTTGGCCCGGGAGAAATGGCCCCAGGGTCCAATCCACATCATGGCTTTACTCCTTTCCGACTGGCCCCGGCTTCAATGGAACATCTGGTTGGTTACTCGCTTGACATCGATCGTGGCCGCCCTATAGGGATAAAATACCAGGCTGATTTGAGGACCTTGTGACTCCGTTACATTTGGGGTGGAGCTGGTGTCTCAGCCCACGGCGTACCTTTTTATCAAGAGAACTTGGCACCTTATTGGGATCCACTAGACCTCCAGGGCTGGCCTTGAAGGCCTTTCTTCGGCTGTCCATGCAGATTAATATAGTACTACTGTGATCTACCATGGAGCCATCGCTCCCAATTCACATACGGTAATACCCCAATAGTTCATAGGTCCAAACTCATTATATGATAGATATGTTGCATGAATGACTGAGGGAATGAATTCCAGAGTCTTCTCATAATATCACAAGAAACAAAAAGAGGTAAACAAAACAAGAAAGCAGAATAAGACAAGACAAGCAGGCAGAAAAAAATATCAGAAACCCACTCTCCCTTCAGATTCCCGAGAAAGTATCTTAGTATTTGTCCTTTCAATTCGATTTCTCCTGAAACTGTCGTCAACGGTCAGGTGACCCTGTTTGCTTCCTCATGACTCTCTTTCTCTTCTTCGTCTCTCCCCTACGAGAATCAATATTTTCTTCCTCTCGAATCTCCGTCAGTGGCTTCATCAGAAACCCCCACTGGTGTCGGCTGCGCAGTCGATGCTCCCCAACAATGGAATGATCGGGGATATGGGACAAAGAGAATATCAACCACAAGAAGTTACCAGCCGCCGGACAAATCATCTCGCTTCAGTTCGGGCCAGTTACCGGAAGGTGTGTTGAACCGAGCTTTTTGGCCTGCGGCGGATGGATCGCGCCACTTGAAGAGGTTCGTGTAGTCTGTCTCTATTTTTTCAACGACATCCACGACATGCTCACCCAGCACCGGCAGGAACTTGAACGCATGTCCGCTTCCTCCGCTGGCAACCATGAGGCCTTCGGTGCCAGGAACACGATCAACCAAAAAGTTGCTGTCCACAGAATCGGTATACCAGCACAACCGTGTCGAGAGGGGGAGACCTACAAGGTCTGGCATATTTTTCTTGCAGAATTCGCGAATGTTATCCAGGGCCTTACTTGGCAGACCATGTGCATTGGTGGGATACGAAATCAAGCGTCCTTCTGCGTTGCTGTACGCCATGTTGGTCCACTTTGTCCCACGGAAGCCGATCTTGATCAACCCATCCTGGGTGCGTGGGAATCCATAAATACCGCCAACCTCGGTACCCTGCATCGTACTTCCCGTGAGGCGCCAAGACCAGCATGGGAACTCGGACGAGCTGTACTTCTTCCACAAATCGGGTCGCTCATTTTGAGGTGGCAGCTGGATCTTTGCAACACTACCCGCTGTGGTTTGAAGGAGATCGGCAACCTCGGGAACGATGGACGGCGTCCAGCCACCGGCAGCAACGATCACCAAGTCGGCTGGGAATGAAGTGCCATCGAGCTCTGTCTGAACACCGATAATCTTATCACCGTCACGGATGAACTCCTTGAAAGCGTACTGATCACCAAGCCTGATTTGGACTCCCAGCTTCTGGCAGAGGTGAAGGACCCACGAGCACGATTTGTCTGCGGCAACGTATCCACCAGTGCCATCGAGGATACCATCCCAACCAAGCCCTCGTTGCAAGCGGTTGAATGGATCGAGCTTGGTAGGATTAATACCGTTCATTTGAGCATCCCTCTTCCGAGACTCGTCCGTAAGACGGTACTGGGTGTCCTTGAGGGCCTCAGGGAAACCGTCCTGGGTGGCGGTCTCTTGTGGATCGAGGCCACTGAGTTCGCCCGCGCGGACAAATCCGCAATTATCCCAGAGGCGATCACTGAAGTGGAGCGAATCAGGCAAGTCACTCGCATTGCGCACGTCTGAGTTCCACTTTTCCCAGCTGTCGAGGGACTTGAACGCGAGGCTCTCATACAACTTTTGCTTTCCATATGAGGCCCGGATGATTTTGTTCCGATCGGCACTCGCTGCGGAACTGGTGTAGCCGGTCTGTTCATATGCCTCACGGTCAAGAATGGTGACATTCTTGTAGCCCCGTTGCGCAAGATGGAGCGCCGTCGTCAAGCCGAATACACCAGCGCCCACTATAACGATGGGTCTGTGAAGTCCCGGAGTGCTTTTTGGGGCGGTGTTTGTGTCTAACAAGCTCCACCTCTGGGACAAGCTGGATGTGGCAACCTGATCAATCAAGTCCACAGCTTTTGCGCCAAGGCAAATAGCCTGCGGCTCAAGGGTTGTCGGCAGAGTGGCAATAAACAGTCCATCCATCTGCGAGTTGCGGGCAATAAAGCCACTGCGGCTCTCTGTGGTCATAGCCCATTCCAACCTCGACCGCGAAAAGGGCTGATCCGCAACCTCCGGTAGAATCTCCGCCAGATTGCGGCGAATCTCCCGCTCAGTACTGGGAGTGAGCGACCACGGACATGAGTCAATGCCAGGAGCATTGCCATCACCGTAATCGTTCAGCTTCAATGTGCATTTGAACTCTCCATTGACAGGAGGGAAGACGGTAAAGCAAGTAGAGAGGTTGGTCAAGACAGGGATGTCTTTGTATTTCCTCAGAACCGACTCGGATGGTTTCAGCCAGGTGGTATCATGGCCGGTTATCTTCACCCATGGAGAGAGGCCCATTAACTTTTGACAGATTTGAGCATCGGCCAGGACGGTGGTCTGTGCCGTAATTTGAGAGCCTTCCTTTAGAACCACTCCCTTGAACACATTATCGCTGATGATCGGATGCTCAATATCAACACCGAACTTCAATGCGATGTTAGATCGAGCCTGGCACCTGCGGAACAGGATCAGCAGCAGTTGATTTAAATCAACAATTGCAGCGTTTTTGTCGAAGATCGCCTCCTGCCAGCGCGATGTTGTATGACCTGGGCGTTCAAGATCCTCAGCATTCGAGATAGACAGAATGCTCCTGATGCTTTCAGGAGAGGGGAGTATCTTGGAAGCACTACTCTGATCATCAAGGCCTATGGTTGCCTTCTTTTCTTCCAGAATTTTGGTGCTTTTCGCGTCTCCTTTCACCAAGGCAAAGACTTCCCCGCGCGTGAAGAGACAGTGTCGCAGTTCTCGGTCATCACATATGATGCGTCGTGTCTCGGTAGAGAATGATGGTGCCGCGGAGGACTGACAGTCGCCTTGCAGGCGCCGAAGGTCAACAACGTAAGCTGTTTCGATGTCGTCGGGGGCTTTTCGGTCGGAGATTACCATGACCTGTGCGGCAGGGTGGCGGGCAGAGAAGGCCAACGCAGTTGACAGAGCCATCGCCCCATTGCCAATGATGAGGAGATCCCCAGTGAAGGTCATCCTGAAAGTTTGATAGATGTTGATGGAACAATTGATAGACTGATTTCTGTGAATGTTTATGTCGATTTTCCTGGTGCAGTGATGGTCCTCGCCGGTGTTTGTGCTCAATATGTATTCTGATGAGGTATGTCTACAGTCCACTCTTGGCCCCCAGCTGATCAAGGAACCGAGCCACCTTGCAGAGCAGGTTTGCATGCCCGGGCCCTACGTGGCTTCAATGGAAATACCTCATATTGTGTGATTACTCGGCATAGACTGGCTCAATTGAATTGCCGGTCTGAGTACCTCAGGAGTTCACCGTGACCAGACAGGGTCTTTCTGCTTGGAGTTGAAGTTCCAAAGTGAGACCATGACGATGGGATATAGATCCACATGGACTAGTGTGCTCCACACCTGCAGGGCTGTACAGGGCTGGTCTCCACTCGAAAACGGGTAATGCTGTTTTGCAAATACGACAGGGTCTCGTATTGTATTTCAAAACGCTTTCCAATACGAGTACCTGCTGGAAACCACTCATATCAAATGGGATCACGAAATGTTGATTATTTCGACATGGGCGCAAGTATAAATCGGTTACACCTTCTCAGCACAGGTGCTTCTTGGTCTATGTCTTATCTTTGTGACTCATTCTTTTCATTGACGCCAAAATTGGTCTCGTCAAAATGCATGTCAGCCTTGAATCACTGAACCCACTGCCTCTAACTCCAGCAATGGGTCAGCCTGTGCCTAACGTTGAACATGCTGTCTCAGTACAACTACCTACCTGGGATGACATTAAGGAGATGTTCACTGGCGCACCCAGAGTGAAGAATGCTCAACTTACCGGATATCCACGCTCTTTCATCCATCAAGATGTCAAACAGGTAATGTTCTTGATGAACGCTACTCAGTACTCCAGACTCTAACTCAAATGGTTCTTAGTTCAATAGAGTATGCATCGAGAAGTTCTCCAACGATACCAGCTCGTGCTTCTTCTTTCCATCCCTTGACTATGCGCGGGCGTGTCGTGACTTTGCGACGTCTACGAAAATCCACGGAGACAGCGCGTTACCGGAGGATATCCTGTCCATCCGCTCCGTGGAAGTCAGTTTAGCGCCATCGCTGGGTGGAGAGAACATCACTTTCAACACTCTACATGGTGTCTTTTGTCCAAAGGATCGTGAACTGCTCCTTCATACCTTCTGGCGCTTGGTCGGTGTTGGGATTTCCTCTCGTTTGGCTCAGAACATTATGTCCCGAATGCAAAGCATCAAAGACGTGACCGGTGACTCATGCAAGGAGCATCCAACCGTGCGCGGTCGATGGTCGGAACTCCCTCATCGCAAGCTATGTCAGCGCATTGCCAATCTACTTGAGAGAGCTCCACGGTGTACCACCAGGGGCGAAGTTGTCGCTCGCGATGATGTTTACCTCTATTCCACTGGAATGGCAGCCATTTACCATGCGCAAGAGCTCTTGCTCAGACAGATTGGAGGTCCTTCCGTCGTCTTCGGCTTTCCGTACGAGCTCACTCTGAAACTCGTTGAGACTTTCGGACCCGGGGCCAAATTCTTCCCTTTCGTCGAGGAAGCCGATCTACAGCAGCTAGAGGACCACTTGGCTCAGCAATCTGCAGCTGGAACTCCGGTGCAGGCTATTTGGTGCGAATGTCCTTCCAATCCTCTGCTGCGGACAGCCAACCTACAGCGCGTCCGCGCCATCGCGGACAAGTTCAAGGCTGCTGTCGTGGTGGATGAGACCGTTGGTGGGTTTGCGAACGTCGATCTGCTAGGCGTTGCCGATATGCTCGTCACGTCCTTGACCAAAAGCTTCAGTGGCTCTGCGGATGTCATGGCGGGGAGGTAAGTGCTACCAGTGACTCCCCGGCGAATATTTATCAACATGCTAACTTTATGACAGTATCGTTTTGAACTCTTCCTCGCCTTTCTACTCGGAATGGAAGAATGACCTTGAACTGAACTACCGAAACTGCCTCTACAGCGGTGATGCACAGCAACTTGAAGAAAACAGCCGTGATCTGTTAATGCGCACCAAATACATCAATAACACCGCCGCCTACCTGGCCGAGGCTCTGCATCCTTTGTGTGAGGATCCAAATAGTCCCGTTACCCACGTGTATCACCCCAAGCTAGACCAGCAACCCGAGAATTACCGCGCTCAACTACGCCAGCCGACCGAAGAGTTCATTCCCGGCTATGGCGGACTATTCACCATTCAATTTGGGAATGTTGAGCAAGCAAGCGTCTTTTTTAACGCTTTGAATGTCCACAAAGGTCCATCCCTTGGCGCTCCTGTTACATTGGCCCAGCCATACGTTCAAACAGTTTTCCACAAGCAGAAGGCCTGGGCTGGTGAGTGCGGTCTTCACGAATCGATTATCCGGGTATCGGTTGGATTGGAAGACAAACATGCCCTTTTAGCAGCTTTCCGGAATGCGCTGGCTGAGGTGACTCCTATCAAGGCTTCCCGCACTGGCACCTCTCTTGAAGCTGGCGGAATGGCGGATGAGGCCGCAAACATTCCACTGTCCACACCTGCGAACGACATGGCAAACAATGATATCGAGTAGATGCATCGTTTTATTCAAGAAATTATTCAATTCTTCACCGAACATTTACTACTATCGTAATCATTGGACATACTGGTTCGTGCTCAGCTGCATCTAGAGTAGAAATCTTGACGAGGGTATGTCCGGCTCCAATGCCGAATTGCGAAGCTTCCTAGCATTCAAACTTAATGGTCTGGGTTGAAAAAAGAACGGAGATCTGCCAAATTCTATTTTCACTTGGAGCTTGCTGCGTCTTTCCACTCTACAAGGTTGGAAATATCAATTTGTATTTTAGTGGTAGCGGCAATTTTGATAATTTAAAGCTGATGTGGAAAAGTCGACACGCTCGAGTGTACATGGCATTAGTGGCTCAAGTTTATTTGCTCCTAATGAGACCCGCGATCAGGGCTCAGGCTTTGATCTAATGTTCTCTGTGTGAAAATTATGAGTAAATTCTGTTTTCACCAACCTTAAAAGTCTCTAATTCAGGTACTAAATCATCAATAGACCTTCAAGGTGGTTCTTTCAGCCCTGCAGCTAACATCATATCGTTTTCGTACATAACACCCCTTCGGGCTACCTCATGAGCCGTATGTCTCAGCCTTGAATCCCGTTTAGTCCACGATGAATATTGATTTAGCCGAAGTAAGCATTGGCTTTGGGCAATGGCTCCTTTTTGTCTCCGAGGGTCCCCCAAATCTTACAACTTATGTGGGTACCAGCTCATTGTTGAACAGAATGAGGTTACCCCGTAACTAAATTGACCAGCTCTGAATTAATCAGTCTACAGTCGGAATATCCCGCAAATGACCCACTACATGATTTCACGATGTTACAGGGAAACATAGCACCTGTATTGCTTGAAATCTTCAAAACGCCCCACAAGGAGCAAGTCGGCACGAAGTGAGTCCGCGGAGTATATGGCTCGAACAATCTACATTGATAATCTCTCTGCTGGATGCATAAGCAATGCCGCATCGGCCGATCCCCTTGGAGTCAACCTTGCTGACGCTATGGTACTCCACAGAAAGCAAGGTACCCTGAGATGTTGACGTTGGCGTGGTATATGAGACAGACATGGGCCTTCCTGATCAAGTACAGCATAATTCATTGTCTCTAAACAATCAACTCATTCAACTTTCTTTCTGTTCTATTCTGTCGCAATGGAGTATACCGTCTACGGCTACGAGGTAGGTGGCCTATTGCTACTATCCTTGCAGATTAGTTTACTTGGGGTTTTCTTGCTTTGGATATTGACGTGAGATCTCTCTAGGGTAACCCCCGAACTCGCATCATCCGGATCGTGGTATGTTCAAGCTATCTGTTCGCGAATCAAAGCTTACGGTGGACAGGCTGCGCTTGAGAAAATCCCTCTGCATCTTTCGACTGTCATCCCTCGGATGTATGTGAACACCGATAACTACATCTCCGAGTTCCCCCTCAGCCGAAGCAAAGTTCCTGCTCTGAAAGGGCCCAACGTGAAAATAAGCGAAGTGATCGCAGTCACAACGGTGAGCTATGAATCAATAAATATTCGAACAGTCGAGGCTCACAACCAATCAAGTATCTCGCTAAGATCCACAATCGAGCAAACCTCCTCGGAGATGGTTCCAACGAGCAGGCCGCAGAGGTCATGTCTTGGGTGAGCTGGGCCAACCAAGAAATGCTGGGTACTTTGGCTTTATGGTAAGCGATAAATTGTTCAAGGTTTGAATTTTTCTGACAGAATACAGGTTTTTGCCATTGATTCCGAATATGAAGAAGCCAGCCCCGTACAATGCGCAGGCCGTTGAAAATGGCAAGGCTGCATCCAAGCACCTCCTTGGACTTCTTGAGAGCTTCCTGGAATCCAAGAAATACCTTGTGGGCGAGTCTGTCACTCTGGCCGACCTGTTTGTGGCGATGTACCTATCCCGAGGTATGGAGTGGATCCTGGATGCCGACTGGCGCGCTTCGCACCCAAATACCATGCAATACTTCAACGGCATCACATCCATTGACCAATGGAAGACCGTCATTCCGCAGATGAAGATGATTGAGAAGGAGACTCCGAATGAAGACCCATATGCACAGAACTGATCCCGAGGTCTTGGTTCATCAGGTCTTGATACTACGCCTACTGGTTAGAACATTGAATATCAATTGAACTATCTCATCAATCTCCATTTTACGTAGACGTAGTATGATCAGAGTCGTTGACTTTGTATATTCTAGACCTTGGTTTCCAAACTGTGAACCAGCCGAGTCACACTGTTGCATAGCTGGGCGATGCATGGTTTGCGGAAGTCCTCCGAGCCCATATCAGGTTCGAACGTGAATCTCGATTTAAACCGTCACAGAGGAGAATAGTGGGAGACATGTATCCATAAGGTGATGAATTAATGGTGGAATGAATTAGAACCTTAGAATAACCATAGACTATATCTGCTTTCAAGTTTCAATAGATCATGCACAGTAATTTTGATAGATCCAACTTTCTTTGCAATATCCGTACATATCCTGATTACTCCGTACATTAAATATGAACATGACAAGGATGCAATACCAACCTCGGAAGAGAAAAAGGACGTGTTGGGCAAAAGAAATACCAAAAACGAGCTGGAGACCTCGGGAGGATACAAAAACAAAAGGGGGAGGCTATATGTATTGACAGGCCCCACTCCTAGGCTCGAGTGACGAATCAAATCCATTCACAAATACTTCGCAATACAGTTCAAATTACACAGTGCCTAATTAGGACTAGCGCAGACTCTGCTAGATGGCAGAAGCTTAAAATACCAGTATTACTCTATATAACTGAGTGGGATATAGGAGCGAATAGTTTCAGGTGTAGAGTATCTCCCATATGTATAGAGCGGTGTACAGTGTAACTTATACTATCACTTATGAGGTATCACTAGTATGATTTAAATTACACTCGCCTCCTTTGCTTAAGGTTTCCAAGATAGTCCACATCATGCTCGACTAGGCAACAAGGCCACTAGACCCTGAATACTCCATAGTCTGCACCTAAAGCTTAGCGTCGGAGAATTTTGGGGGCACTTAACCTGTTACACTACGCCCTAAGGCGGTATATCCCCGTAATATAGCGCCAATCAAAGAAACACGCCGGGTGATGACCTTGGGGACAATGACCCAAAATCCACTTTTAATTGACTCGTTTCTAGCGAGAAATGAGGATTGGCATCGATTCCAGCGCAATACGCAGCTTTGGGACGGATATCGACATAAAGAGAGGTGGATCGGCTGGGATTACGACTGCTATATTCTACTAGTTCTAGTGCTAGGCCTGGTGCGAACACCGGGCTCTTGGCTTCTATGCTAGAATTTAAACGCTGATCGTTTCTCGGTCCGTATGATGGCGTTTAGTGATGTCTCTATGTGGAAATTTCGAATGCCGGGAAAAGGAAATGACTGAGATGCTGGGGATGCTTTTTTTTCGTGAAAAAGATAAAATGGGTTGTAACCTTGGAAACAAAGAGAAGAACATCAGTTCAAATGACCTCTACTGTGAATGAATAGTTCAACATAAGTTGAAAATTGTCAACAAAGGAACAAGATAGCATGGAGGCGATCGTGCAACGCTTGTAACGAGCAGTGCTCGAATACCCGGAAAAACACAAAACAACCATCATCCCCTCTCAGTATGTCTTTGTCCCACTCATATTGAGGGTCGATGCCAGCCACGCTGCACCCCCAATAGCAGAACTCCATATTGTATCCCAAACCCCAAAGCCGTCACCAGGCGCGGTGGCGGGCGGACTCTCGCGCTTCGCTTCCAGTCTCTGCAAGAAATCGAAGATAAATCTGTTGATTTGATCTGTTTCCAACAGAAAGCCGTCGTGACCATCTTCAGAAATGATCTCGTGATGGACAGACCCGGGAATTCCTTGGTGCAACTGCAACTGCTCTTCGAAGGTGAAAAGAACATCTGAGCGAATACTCAGAATCAGCGCAGGCTGCTTCACCAAGGCTAAACATTCTTCAATTGTATCACATCGACCGCGAGACACATCGTGGGTGTCAAGCTTATGCGTGAGCGCGATATAGCAGTTGGCGTCGAAGCGATTAATGAACTTTTTCCCTTGGTATAGTAGATAAGACTGAACGGAAAGCAGAGATCTTCCACTTTGGTTGAGGTCAGATATGTTAATTCTTCTGTCATCAGATTTGCGTCCAAATCGTGCCTGGAAGGACTTCTGACTTCGGTAAGAAAGCATTGCGGCCATTCGTGCGGCTGCTAAGCCCGTCACCGGCGGCTGTTGGAAGTCAGTACATGTCGGCACTTATCAGTTTTGTGTCACTCACATCATCTTGATCGTAGTTTCCATTATCTGTGACGTAGAAAGATTAGCGAAAGAGCCAATGAAGACCTGGGGGAAAGTATTTTCTCAATCGAACATACGGAACCGAGCGTCGCTATAGATGCATTGCCGTTGCATCTCTCCCCATCCAATGCCCCATGCACTGTAGCTTGCGGAGGTCGCGATGGGTACAATACTTCTGACATATTCCGGGCCAAAGTATGCGAACTCTATCACATGCATGCCACCCATCGATCCTCCAATAACGGAGGCGATTTGTTTGACGCCGAGAGTGTCAAGGGTCAAACGAAAGAGCCTGTTATTTCCATCAAGATGAGAACAGGAAGAAAGGAGACACGCATCGCACAACTTACCGGACGTCGTCTCGGATGGTGGTCAAGGGGAAGTCAGGCCCGTAGGGACCGAGGGTTGGATCCCCATTCTTGGGAGTCAATGGGCTGGCGGTACCATATGGTGACCCCAAACAGTTCATACAGACAACAAAGTACTTCGACGTATCAATGGCTGCCCCAGCTCCGTATTCCAGAAGGGCGCGCCACCAGACACCCACTTCTGCATTTCCACTTAGAGCATGGCATATCACAATGGCGTTGTTCCCAGAGGGCGAGAGCGTGCCATATGTCGTGTATGATACAGGAACATTCTTGAGTGATCCCCCAAGCTCAAGATCGAGGTGAGGTATGACTATGGTGCTCGGACTAGTAAGTCCAGATGTCTTCAAGACTTCATCTATCGCGGTGTTAGCCCCTATATCAGCCATTGGAGTAATTTGATGCATACCTGTTGTGATACGGGTTTGCATTCTGGCATTTGATGCTTTGTTATGTACCGACGGAAGCGAAGTCAATGTTAAGGGCTCGTTGGCAACTGATCAAGACCTCAAAAGCGTGGTCTTGGCGGGTGATGTCTCTTTGAAATGGATCTCTTGATCTATTTGCATCGGCTTCTGACGAACTTGCCCTGGCCTCAAGAATGTGCTTTCTTACACAGCGTTGAGTAATCCTTGGGCTCCGCACATGTGCATGGTTAACCAGGCCGCAACGTCGATCTTACAGACATGGTCCAGATCATGTCGTCAAGTGTGCACATACAATATTACCAACAACCTTGGGAGCAAAACATGCATCAACATAGATCCAGGGCTGAACAGGGCTTCTTGAAGCTTGATGCCAGATTGTCGAGTGGATATGTCTGACTTCGGAGTTGCACCGGCATGGCACCCTGCTCCACCTCGTATGTAATGTTTCATGCCTAATCCTACGCGCATTAGGTTGGCGCAAGGTACTCTCGGATCTTCGACTCAACACCGCACAAATACCGCAGGGCAAATGACTCAAACAAGGTCCATAGGAGGATTCAAGGACCTCGGTAGGGCAGAACGTCGTATTTTATCCGATTACAAGCTGAAAATTTGCAAACAGCTTGACGCCACCGATGGATCGTCATCTGAATCCAAGAGCAAGCACCATTTCTTGATGAGCTTGTCTTGTTCAATGTAGCAAATTTGTCATCTCAAGGACTGGGCGTGGGTCGATCTGCAAGTAACACCGGTCTGGAGCTGAAAGACTGTGCTGACAGAGACAGTACTTGACAGTATGGAATGGAGTGACTTATGTTCTGTCAATAGCGAGCTTTGAATACTTGAACCTAGACTACCGCTCGCCTTGTTGATCGGAACATACCGTTTGAATTTTAGCCCTTGCCTCTACCCTTACAATGGGTGATATCAGTATGCACACAGCAACATCTGTGGCATTAGACAAGTCAGAGAGCACGACATTGTTCTTCAAACCCGAAAACATGGAGCAATTGGCCCCAATGCCCTGGATCGTGCAAAAGTTTGGAGGGACAAGCCTTGGGCATGATGCCTCCAATATCGTCAATCAAATCATCATGTAAGTGACCCGACTGTAACAACAAGCCTCACCAGTTTCTTAACTCCTCGAAGTCCAGCAACAGCAGAAAGCAGAGTCGCCATCGTCTGCTCGGCTATCAGTCGCTCAAAAAAGGAAAACGGTACAACAAACAGGTAAGAGACGCGTCCTTGTGAAGCTAGAAGCTAGAATGGTCGTTGATAAAGTCACAGGTTACTTCGTGCTTGCAGCGAACTCGAGACAGACGGTGCATGCTTTTCTAAGATTATTGAGCAAATCGAACGTGAACACATCCAAGCAGCCGAACAAGAAATCCGTTCCCCCGAAATTCGAGAAACTTTGATTCAGAAAATTCGCACCGAGTGTGCTTGCGTCGTACGGACCCTCAATGCGGCATACTTTCTAGGTGAAATCAGTCCTGCCTGCATTGGGAAGGTTGTTGGCGCGGGCGAGAGACTGAGTTGCCATTACATCGCTGCAATGTTGCAAGATCACGGACAGGAGGCCACATGTGTGGATGTCAGCGAGATGAATCTAGCAACAGTTGTTCCCAATAGCTGGACGGACAAAAGGTTCGTGGACACATTGGCTGCAGAACTTGTGTCAAAGGTCTGCTCTGTGCCTGGCATCCCCGTTATCACCGGCTATTTTGGGCTTCGGCCGGCGGGAGCCTTGCTTCACTTCGTTGGACGCGGTTATACAGACCTGTGCGCGGCACTCGTTGCCACAGGCCTCGACGCTGCGCAGTTGCAGATCTGGAAAGAGGTGGACGGTGTGTGTTCGGCCGATCCACGCCTCGTTCCAGATGCAGAACTGCTCTCTTCGATCACGACTTCCGAGTTGCGGAACCTGACATTCTATGGATCCGAAGTGGTTCACTGCACTGCTGTCGACGTGGCAATGGATCGAAATCTCACGATGTGCGTGCGCAACGTGAGGAACCCCTTGGGAACCGGAACCCTGGTGACGCCCAATGTGGAAGACTGGACTGAACGGCCCATGGCCATCACCAAAAAGGACTACATGGCCATTGTTAGCGTCCGCAGCCAGCCAGGTGTGTCGGGGTTGACGTTGCAGAACCACATTTCGGATGTTCTTCGTCAATGGCAGCTCACTGGAGAGCATGCCACAATGAGTGAATCTGGAATCTCACTGGCCATTGCCTATCCGGAGGATATTGCTTATGGGGCTCTTCCATCTCCAGAATCAAGGCTTCGGTATGCTATCGAGGACCTGAAAGTACGTTTCAGCGCAGTCAAAGTGAGCCATCGCATGGCTCTACTCTGTGTAGTATGTCGTGCTGTCTCTATCGATTTCGCGCTGGTGGGCATGCTACGAGTATTACATGCCATGGGAGTTCCTGTGGAAATGATCATGCATGGTGAGTTGAGACTGCGAGGCTGTCTTCCAGTTCCGTTTGAATTTGCTTCACTAACCTTGTACTCAAATCAGATCCGATGGATACGATCGTGGGTTGTGTGATCGATGAGCAATATTCTGAGCCAGCTACCAAGCTGCTTCACCTAGAATTGTTCTCGGTGCAGTCAATGGACAGTCGAGGGACGGCCCTACAGTCTGCGAGATTCGACGAAATGGAGTGACTGATGTAGACCGATATCCGAAATCGATGATACCTAGTATGAAGATATTCTTCCACCGCTGCTGTTGTTTACTTTCTTTTGTTTGTGTGATTTTAGACAAACAAGCACCTCACGGGCCGGGTCCTCTTTATTTGCGCTCTCAATACCTGTTCTCTCCTTTTTGTGGCCTTTCTGTTGTGCGGAATCTGAGAAGTCTATGCGATATATCCAATGTTCAATATAAATGGCCCAGAGGCAGCGAAATATATTCATATGAAAAGCTACCTGGGCAAAAACGGGGGAATTGTCAGAAATCCAATCATGACCCCCATTTCACCACGGAGATCGACTCCAGTACAGTATAGACTGTCTTACTAGGTAGAAGACCCTACACGCAGTTAGCCTGGTAGACCTACCCTACCGGCTCAAAGACTATTCAAGAGTTGCTGGCTTGTGAAAAGAGAAAAATCAAAGGAAACGAGAGCTTCGTGAGTAGTGGGTTACATTGAACAAAGAACAAGACCAAAGATCCATAAACAGGAGAGGGAATAAATCCTGCAGCGCGAGATGCAGAAGGTAGAATGAGGGGAAGTACAAAAAGGCACAGAGAAAATACTCTATTCTTGTCCGAAGCCAAGTGTTTCCTCCACCGCAATAGACATTTTGTGCTCGAGAGCGTCGTGCGTCTTGTAAGGAGGGAGATCAAGACGGTTGAAGCTAGAAGAAGAGTGTCAGCAAAGCAAATCGAAAACAAGGATAGATCGTATGCATACCAGGTATGTGACTTGGGCAGGGCGTTGGGATCACCCGACTTCTCAATGGTGAAACGTCTGGGACCGTCGGAACCTTGCAGATCCTTGAATCCGTTGACGGGAATACGGGAGGTACCGGTGGTGAACTGGAGCAGACGAGACTTCTGTTCGGCATCCCAGGTGCGAACGATCTTCCAGAAGTTCTGGATGACCTCATCCTGCTCCTGGTAACCGCGGTAGTCGGTGTGCTTCTTCCAGTCGTCAACATCGATATCAGCAATACCACCAATCAGCAGCTCAAGTTCACGCTCATCGAACACGTTGACAAGATCGGGGGGAATCAGCTCATTGAAGCCGGACATGAAAGCGTTGAATTGCTCCTCAACTCGCTTCACGATCTTCCATTCGGTAACCAACCTGATGCTGTCAGGAATTGTTCCAGGGTAAAGAAACAAGGAGCACTTACTCAATGTACTGGGGCTTGTTTTCGTTGGTGACGGCGATATCCCGACCACCAGGTATTAAATCAATAGTGGTACGCTCGCCGAACTTCTCGTCGTCCACCGAGAATGTAAGTTCAATGATTCCTTCAATGTCATTATCACTATTGGTTGTTAGTTTGGAAGATTGAAAGAACATGGATCGGCGGAGTACTCACAGGGTCCATGCCAGGTTGCGGTGCAGGTCTTCGTCCACACCCTCCATATCCTGAAGAGTGACCTTCTTCCGTAGCATCATCTTGTAGAAGGCTCCGATGAAGAAGGAATCCAGGAAGCGACGGTGGAAGATAGCCAGACCAACCACTCGGCCGATGAACTTGAAGTAGTTGAGATGCTCGGGGTTCACGCCCGAGTGGGGATTAATCTGCAAGGTATAATTATCGTGGGCGGAGTATTCGAAGAGACAGTAGAAGGGATTGAACATTTCGTGGGAGAGCAGGAAGAAGAATTCACTAGGAAAGTTAGCAATGGCGAATAAATCACCGGCGTCAGAACATACCGTGAAAGACCACCGTAATCGAGACCATCTTCGCCATCGAACTTGATCATCAGGCGCTTCTTGAGGTCCGATGCGCTCTGCCGCATGATCTCGGCGTATGAATCTTCGAAAATGTTATTACGGCGAACCTTGACATGGCACTGCCCGGACATGATCCGCAGCGCGGGCTGGGATCGGAAGTAGATCAGCTTGCGGCGGAAGTCGCGCTTGTACTGCGGAACGCCCTGATCCAACGATGAAGGCAAGCGAGGATCATCCCAAGTAGTCGTTTTGGTGTTGTGGTCCACGAAATACACTCGGGCAGTGTTGGTGAGACGCATCTCCCAGCCGCTGGGAAGTGGGCCAAGCTGAGATACGGGCTGTTGCTGGATGGTTGTGTTGTTTGCGCCTCCGGTAGTCTGACCCTGTCCGTACATGCGGATGTACTGCTGTCGGCGAGGATCAACCCATGTCGTTGTACGGGTGTTGTGGTCCACGAAGTAAGGCCGTCCCTCGGGCGTCACGCGTCTTTCCCATCCGGGCGGAAGCTCCCCTGTGCCTGCAGTGGTGGCTCCCGTCGCCATCATGGAAACCGCAGCAGCGTTCGAGCCTGCCGGGGCCCCAGTTGCGACGGAGGTTCCTGCGTTCGGCCCAGGAGGTGGTGTGGGTATTTGCTGGGCGTCTGGCAGGTTGGGTGAACTTGCGCCGGTTCGGTCTTCCGGAAGCATTCGGCTCTGGTGGGCGCGACGTTCAAGTTGCATGTTAGCTTCGCGCTGCGAACGCTGGGTGTGCTCGTTGTAGTTGGCCGCGGGCCTTGACCAGGTCGTTGTTCGGGTGTTGTGGTCCACGTAATATGTCCGTCCCAGATTATCTTCTCGCCGTTCCCAGCCTGCGGGGAGTCGGCCCTGGCTATCCTCGAAGGAGCTGAGATTGGCACGGGATGGGACGCCTGGTCCGGGTGGGTTGGCGGGAGCGCCGTTCAATGGAGGCGGGGGACCGGTGGGCGGCGCCGTCGTCGGGGTGCGCTGGTTCAGCGAAGAACTTGATGCCGCGGCGGGTGAAGCATCGGTGTTGCTCGGGCCTCCTTGGGACTGGGTTGCTGCCACTTGAGGCACAAGACCGCTCGACGTGGACGTTTGAGGCTGCTGGCGCTGGCTGCCATTCTGGTTTGGATGCGGGGCGCTGAGGTTAGAAGACAAGTTGATGATCAACTTTCCGTGCACGACCAGATTGTCGTTGGATTTTTTCAGATCCCGGGTAAGCATCTCTGCACAGAGGCGTCAGGTCAGCCCACGTATGACGATCGGCGTTCTTCGGACGTACCATCACCACCCATGGAGAGATCAATGACATCTCCGATTCGAACATTGATCACTCCGAGGAAACCTTGATCCTTCTTCTTGAATTTCTTCTGGTCGAAAATCTGGATCGCGAGAATGCTGTCCTCATTGACCCTCCTGCAGCGACAAAAACCGGTTAGAGAACCGCCGAGAAAAGCCTTCGAGATGTCCAACAGGGTTTCACGTACAAGTCGAATGGTTCATTCCAGTAAGGGTTCAGAGTCTTCTTGATCACCGAGGTTGTATGCGTCTGTTCTCCTCCCACGGTAGCCACAGCGAACGGATCGGGGAATCCTGCCAGAAGTCAGCTCAACCGGTCTCATTCCAACCCCGCAGTCAAGAAAACCGCGCGGAAGATGTCACGTACGGAAGACATCGCGTTTGTAAAGCCCGTCAGCCGCGATAACTAGAGATGGAAGTGTCAGTCTCGTGCCAGATGAGAACCCCGCAGAGAGTCTCATATCAACTCCCCACAGCTCAGGCGCTCCTTACTGGTAACCCGGAGGTTCGGTTGGCTGCAATGGGTCAGTCCAGGGTCATCCCATCGGTATATCCCCCTCAGGGCCTGTAGGGGGGGTAGGCGACTTACGCGGGGAGATTTGACGCCATGATGGCTACCTGCCGATCAATCACACCCAATAAACAGCGCGGGCGCGCACATTCAGCACAAAGGCCAAACCAAGTCCAGGGACAGGTCCTGGAGAGAGTGAAGTAAAATCGGCGGACGGTGTGCACGAGGTGTTGAGAATGAGGAGGAGGGAAGAGAGAAAGGAAGGGTTAGGGCGATAGGTGCGCCCGGTTGTATGGCGCAGGTACTCGGACTACGTACTCACTATGTACTAGGTACCCGGTCAGTACTTCACGGGGCTGAGCACGGGGAGATCGCCCTTTTTTTTCTTATTTATTGAATTTCATGTTATTTAGCTGTGAATCCTTTATTTAGGGAATCCATTTGCCCTCCCAAGCCCCGTCTAGGCGTACGTAGAGAATTCAAACGGGTGCGGGCGGGTAGAGTGGCAATCTCTTAGGGTCCAGGCAACCGGATTGTATACGAGTATACGATCTATATCGATTTCATTTGCGAGGTACGGTTTATACATATGAGTCTCTACTAACTGGTTTACTGGTATGCGTGCTTGACAGATGGCAGATATAACATATTGTACGGAAAACCCATTTCTATATCACCAACATAAAGCACTGAGCTAGTTACCTCCTCTCTTTTTGGTTGATTGTTTTCTGCGATATCCCTCTGATTGCCCGGAAATTATTGTACAGTCCAAATCCCTAACTCCAAAGCCACAGAACATGAGATCAATTCGGCAAGGTCAACCTGGGGACTGGGAGGCTCCAATGCAGCAAGTCATCTAGCCTAGTAAGGCGAGAAGCCGCGTCCTCGGCCGCGGTAGCCACCACGGTAGCCACCACCGCGAGGGAAGCCTCGACCACGGCCGCGACCAAAGCCACCACGGCCGCGACCACGGTGCATACCAGGCAGGTTGGTGCGCTTGGGAACGACCTGATGCACATTAGCAGTCCGTAAAGATCAAAACAGAGGGCTTGCAGAGGACCTGCAGAGGGCCTCGGGAGACGTACCTTCAGGTTGCGACCGCGGAACACACTCTCATTCAATACCAGGGCCTGGCCGACTAGGCTGGGCTCCGAGAACTCAACGTAGGCATAACTGCACAGATCAGTACCGCACTCTCGCAATCCATGTAGATACCACACTCACCCCTTAGGTTGACCAGAGAACTTGTCGAGCAAGATCGTCACCCGGTTGATCGAGCCGCAGCTCTGGAAGTGAGCCTGAATCTCTTCGGGCGAAGCACCATAGTCGACATTGCCGACGAAAATGCTACGCGCATCGATATCTTCCTTGTTTTCCTGGAGGTTTTCCGTCTGCTGGTCGAGGGTGGCCTGCATCTCGCGCAGCTTGGCAGCCTCGGATTCCATCTCAGCGACTCGTCGCTTCATGGCTGCAATTTCCTCCTGTGAAAATCAATCGTGTTAGCGAGGGATCTCAATTAAGGAAGGAACTATGCGACGCCAGGATCAAAGAAATGGTCCGAGATCGCGGAACAAAGAGTGCTCGCGGTGAAAGACAGCCACACCTACCTCATCATCACCTCCTTCCTGTGCGGGAACCTGATCCGCCTTCACCTCCTCTGGGATCTCCTGACCTTCAGCAGCCATGTTGTCGGTGGAAGTGGGAATGGGTCGTGGGTTGGGACTCGAAGGATGAAAGCGCCGGGGAAATCGATGAGGGGAGCACTCAGAGCTCTCCGAGGACCACTTTTAATGCTCGCCAACGAAATTCGACAAAGAAAGTGTGATATAGGCGTATAGACACAACCGTTGGATAAAATCAGAGCACAACAACTAGATTTCTCTTCACCACGATCAGCGGGATCAGAATAGAAGTTCGTTTTGGGATGATGAGGTTCTATTTTAGGCATAGCGTCGTTTCCAGCATCGAATGATACTGCCAGGCGGTGAAACTACACCACATCGTTCATCGTCGGAGTGTACTGAGTACGGAGTACGTCTTGGGCTATTAGGCATGAGATGAGAGCAGAACAATGCGCAAGTGGGAATGAATCGGTTTAAGGTATCATGTATCAAGTTGGAGCAGCAAAAGGAAGCATGGAGTCTGCAATGGGCGTATAGAGGAACGAGGGATCCATGCAGGCACCATGGAACTATGTACAGAGGGGAATCAAAGTATAGCAGACGTAAGCAGGATGTATTCAAAAACGCTTATGCGGCAGGGGAGTGGTTCTTGCGGAAGGAGACTTTCTCAACGGCGACATTCTCCACCCCATTGGCATCGGTCTTCAGCTGATAGACGTACAGCACAAGAACGTCACCTTGGATCTAGTCATTGTGAGCATGTATGACGCTTGCAGAATCAAGAGAATCAACTCACGTCCATGAGACAGAAGCTCGGAGTAGGCTCCTCGTTGTCTGGCCAGAAGCCCGAGCTCATCGCCCCAGTCGCACTTCCCGGGTTGATGAAGAAGCGACCCTCCATCTCAAATGCCTCAAAGCGATGTGTGCCACCCCACAGTAGTACGTCCACATCCATCTGGCGGGCCGCAATCAGCAGCGCATCGGCATCGGCGGGTGGAACAATCGTATGGCCGTGGGTGAAGCCGATCCGCAGACTGCCATGGGTGACGATCTTAGAGAGAGGGAGATTGGGCGAATCGACATCAAAATCGCCCTTGACCATCTGCAGGTCTGGGGCTACATCACGAAGGAAGTCATAGGTCTCGCGATCAGTCAGGTTGCCGAGGCAAAGGGTTTGGCCGATCTTGCCAGGCGTCAGGAGTTTGCGGAACTATCGGGAGTTAGAACACTCGGAGGAACATTAGTTTCAAGAGCAACCAACTTTCGCTGGCAGATCCTAGATGATCGGTTAGCGGATATAGATGCGCTCGGCTAGGAACAACTTGCAGGAGCCCGGTCGGGAATGAACAGGTCGCCAATGACGAGGACCAAGCGGGCGGTCATCCTGGAGAATATGTGTGGGGTATCTATAGGTCAATGGACCGAAAGAGCCAACGGACCAGCAACAACAAGCTGTCTGGCTTCCGCCTGAGCTGGCATTAGGTCATCTTCTTATCAGTCATGTGATTTGTGCCGCAAACCACCGCCTTCGTTCTGCCGGAATCCCGATACCGGGCTCATCGACGACTTCCATTCGCATTGGCTCGTTGGGCCGAACTTCTGGGTGAGAATGGCATCCGGGAGCTGTGATCCAGTGCCTTTTTTTCTTTCATCTGCGAAGGTTTCCTCCTCCTGTGCGGAGTTCGCCGTCCGAAGACCAGGATGGGCCCTGCTGCGCATACTCTAGCACATTGGGATTCTCCTTCCGCAAATGGAGTATCCATTGCCGGTGAGCGTCAATTGCATTCGATGCGAGTCGGAGGGGGAGAGGGGTTTTCATTCTGGGCCATAGGAGGTGTGGTGTTATCCTAGGGATTGCATGGACAATTCGACACACTACAGACACCGAGTACACAGAAATGCAACTGCAATTGGTTTCCACATTGAAAGTCTAGCTAATATATATCGATATATGCTGTTGTCACATACATTGCCCTGACAGTTGGAGACGTCTGATACCCCAGATCCAATGCAATGCACTGCAGAACATGACACCGTGTGTACGGCGTAGGCTATAGACTATCGGTAGGGACCGCCCGCACCTATCGTTTTCGCCCGAGAGAAAATCTCCTTCGACGACGGGGTTGTTGAATCCATAAATACCTTGAGATCCTGCTATCCTCTCGGTGCCATCATCCGAGCAAGCAAATAACCAGATCGCCATCGGTAACCCAGCCGACCTCCCCACCACATCCATCGGCGGCTATCCCCGATATCACAAGCCAAGTTTCCCTCGGGAACGTTGCTCGTCCAATCCCATTCACCCGAATTTGACCCCGCGGCTCGCCGCAATCGGAAAGCTGGCTTCCAAGTCGACTACGCAGCGTTTGAGCCTGATCTCCAGACACCTGGACCAGCGCCTCCCGTTGCCTGACCTCAATACCCCCTTCTCGACCGAGAGAGACTCGCTTGTTCCGGACGACGTCGAATATAAACCCATCGATCGCTCCATTCCTCCTGCTCCTCTCCCCGAACCAACTCCCAAGATGTCTGCTCAAGCCCCTCACAACACCCTCCTGATCCCAGGACCCATCGAGTTCGACGATGCCGTTCTCCAGTCCATGTCCCACTATGCGTGAGTCACCCTCGCTGTCAATGCCACGGCCATCAAGCTAATTATTTCCAGTGAGAGCCACGTCGCACCCGGCTTCGTCAAGGTCTTCGGCGAGACCTTGACTCTCACCCGCAAGCTCTTCCAATCCACCTCCCCTACCGCTCAGCCCTTCATCATCGCCGGCAGCGGAACCCTCGGATGGGACCTTGTCGCCTCCAACCTGATCGAGCGGGGTGAGAATGCTCTCGTCCTCAACACTGGCTACTTCGGCGATTCCTTCGGCCAGTGCCTCAAAACCTACGGCGCCAACGTCACCCACTTCACCACCCCCATCGGCGAGCGTGCCTCCCTCGAGGAGGTCGAGCAGGCCCTGAAGCAGAAGCCCTACAAGCTCATCACACTGACCCACGTCGACACCTCCACTGGTGTCCTCTCCGACGTCAAGGGTGTGGCCCAATTGGTCCGCCGCGTCAGCCCCGAGACCCTCGTGATCGTTGATGGTGTCTGCTCCGTGGGCTCGGAGGAGATCGCCTTCGACGAGTGGGATCTCGATGCCGTCGTCACTGCCTCCCAGAAGGCCATCGGCTGCCCTCCCGGTCTCAGCATCGTCATGACCTCCGGCCGCGCCATCCAGGTCTCCAAGACCCGCAAGACCCCACCCAGCTCCTACTACGCCTCCATCGCCAACTGGCTGCCCATCATGGTGAACTACGAAAACCACAAGCCTTCCTACTTCGCCACTCCTCCCACCCAGCTTGTTCACGCCCTGCACACTACCCTCACTCAGATCACCGCCGATGTCCCCGGCCGCTTCGCCCAACACACCCAGGTCTCTGACAAGGTCAAGGCTGCCGTTGCCGAGCTCGGTCTGAAGCAGATCGCTTCTCGCCCTGAGGCGCAGGCCCACGGCATGACCGCCATGTACCTGCCCGAGGGTCTGACCCCTCCCGATGTCCTGCCCGGTCTGCTGAAGCGTGGTGTCATCTTTGCAGCTGGCCTGCACAAGGCGATTGCCACCAAGTACATTCGTTTCGGTCACATGGGTGTCAGTGTCACTGACCCCAAGCGCAATGATGTTGATCATGCCCTGGCGGCGCTCAAGGAGGCTCTCGCCGAGGCTAAGCAGGCCAAGGGTCTTTAAAGGTTTGAAAGTTTGATGTATATAGCAACAGATTGGTTGACCAAAGAAGCCCTGGCTCAATCTTTGGATAGAAATACCGCAACGAATTATTGACCATAGACACCGATGTATTTCCGCATCTCACATTTATAACGTGTAATATTTTGGCCTCAGGGCAGCTCTATCTTATTCAAATGCCCATAGTGGATGATTTCCTCTACTCGAGGTCTGAGCCAAGCAAGGGATATGAAAAGCAGTCAACCACCTGGGCATATCCTCCCCGACCTCACATGCCTAGCCACACGGCGCCCAGACGCCACATGCAGGTACCCGCTAGGGATGGGAATCCCCAACAGCCAGATCTGCCATTGGCGTGTCACAAGCCTTGGAAGAAGCCCTACAGGAGTCATTATCCAGGGCAACCACTGACAACACAAGAATGCTACTTATACTCCGATTGGACCCACCGATTTCTGATTCCTTTCCACACGCTGCTCACTGACAGTCTAGGGTTCTCCGGTAGCGCTCGGCAATGGTCCACTATACTCCGTATAATTGTACACTTATCATCAACATGTCTCTCCTAACATAGCCGCATACAAATATCCCCCTACTCAGGTGTTAGCTTAGTCGGGGATGGAATGTTATGTCTTTGGAAGAAATGCCGTAGAGTCGTCTTTATATTGTATGCTATCCCCAGGCTGTTCCAACCAAGTATCTTTCAAAATGCATCTCAAGCACACGCTTCCGCTTGCTCTAGCATCTACCATTGCTTTCGCCCAGCAATCGCCAATAAGTCCCGGCTGTGTCTCTGAGTGAGTCGACAACACCTAGAATTTACCCACGATACTGGTATCACATAGTTACTAACTATAGGTTCTAGTTCTGGCGAACGCCAAGGCGGATTAGCCCCAGACCTGCAGTATATAGACAATCGAGATTGCGGCAATGCTCAGCTGCCCGTTCCCACTTCCACATCTGGCGCATTATCTCCGGCCACAACCCACCCCACAGGCATTGAACCTCATATTGTCGCCAAAGATATTGCAGAGAGCAGCGATACAGAGAATTCGGACTCCTCGGCCGACAATGATTCCACCAAACAGCACCCAACCCAGTCTTTCAGTGGATTGAAGTCTAATAATGAGGACCAGACTGCTGAGGGTGCAGCTTCTACTATGAGGGCAAGCTGGGCTGGCTTATTAGGGTTGGTGTTGATGATTGTTCTATAAGGTTTACTTCACTACCTTCAATACCCTCGCCATTACCAGTTCTAACATCTTATATCAAACAAATATAGTCGATATAAAAAAAGCAAAAAGACAAAAAAATATGCAGACTGTGGGGTTCGAACCCACGCCACTTTCGTGAGTAGAACTTAAGTCTGGGGGAAAGGTTAGTGGAAAGTCGGTGTGTGAGAGTTGGCATTACTTGCCTACCGCCTTAAACCACTCGGCCAAATCTGCAGGTTTTGAGTGGGTCTCGTTCCTGCTTTTATATTCTCCTTGTCGCCTCCCTGCGGACGTTGGCCGACGGACCCCCACTGCCACCTCGTCATGTCCATCTTCTTCCATCTTAGGAGTGTCCCTGAAGAATAGCCTCTGCGCCTTACTTCTGTTGTCAGCCTCCGACGTGCGGGATGTGTGGGGGTCGTTACTTGTCAGCCCCAGAAAGGGGGAGACTCGCAGCATATGTACAACGTCGGACATTGTGCATCTACAGTCCTCAAAGATCCCATTCTTGTGTCCTCGAATACAATTGAGGCCTGTCATACTACAGCTTGACTGATTAATCGGAAGTAATCATATTATGCTTGCGTTCATCAATTGCTCTCACCCGGACAGAGTCAACCTTGACCTCCACATATTCGCCCCCAAACATCTCTCGTGTCTGACATCCGATCAATGCCTCTTTGGCAAAGACCCTGCGCGGTTTTCGAGGTGCTGCTTTCACATTGCAGTATCTGAGTAGGTCTTGTAGTCGATCTCTGCCAAATTGGTCAATTTGTCCATGTGAGACCAAGAAATCCAGACATGGTCTGACTGCCCAGAAAGCTATAAAGAGCTCTGATGTTCCCAGTAATTCCTCCATCCATCACTTCCCTCAGATCTGAATACCACAATGCATTTCTCTTCCCTCACCATCTTGACTCTCCTGTCCGCCCTCGCCGCAGCCAAACCCGGCAAGGTCGTCCTCTACGACACTGCCGGCTGCGAAGGCAAAGAACTCTGGACTGGCGAAGTCGACCACGACCCCATCTCCCCCTCCAATGATGAGATCAACGCGGCCCGTTCCTTCAAGTACGAGGGCTACTTCTCTCTCCTGGTTGCCAAGAACCATCTCCTCAACGATCACACCTGTGGCTATTGCAGCAACTACCATGAAGATCACTCCGGCGGTGGCTGCCAAGATATCAACACCGGCTGGCCGTTGAATGAGGGCCGAATCGTCCCCGAAACGAATGATCCCAGCGACATTCCTTGCCGCAACTATTTGATCAACTGTCCTTTCCCAGTTCCTCCCGGCAATGGACTCGAGGACCAGGGCGAGTAGATCATACTCTCGATTTTTAGTTGCATATGCGAGATGCTTCTGTGTTCCTTTCTATCTTTCTATATGTATATACCTAGGTAGCAGACTACGTGTCATGGTGAAAACTTCCAGGTTTTGCATCTGCAATGAAACAGTGACAAAGGCTGGATTCTTAAGAACTATAGCAAGGCGAGAACTGGCCTATCAACCGTGGACGTACAGTATGGCTGTGAAACATTGGGCTTGCGAGCGTAGGAGTATAAGCTCCGACTAGAACTCTTGGGCGTATTTTGACTCGGGATATCTGTTCCAAGGTTGAGATGAAGAGTCATGTGCCCTCTCAGCTCAGTTCAGTCATCGCTCTCTTCTCTGCTTCTGCTTCTCAGTCGCATCGCTCTGAGCTGAAGCGGACTTTCCGAGGTCTCTGCTCTCTCTTTGCGCTAAATCGTTATAACATAAAACTCGCATAGCATCAGAGCGGCCCCCACAGCAGCAATGACTGCCTGGATTCCAATGCCTGCGAGGACGATCTTAACAAAACTAATACGCGCAGGGCCTCTAAAGGTACTCCAGGCATCCCGAATACCGAGACACTCTCCTCCGCTCACTTTTGGATCGACCTTTCCACCAAAAGCCCGGTCGAATGGCACGATAGGTTCGTCTTTCTCGGGTAGCATGGAAGCGGCGACGCGAATGAAAATCACCCGAGCAGGTAAACACAAGAGAACACCAGAGAACCGGCAAAGAAAAGCAAGAACCATCATGCCCAAAGGTTCACCATCCTGGAATTTGCGGCTAATGCCCACAGTCCAACCGGCGATGTCCGACACGGCAATTGGAAGGTAGCCACTCACCCAACTGGTAAAATAAAACAAGGCAGCCGCTGGAGCAACCTTGGGCCAGTGGCGAAAGCTCAGCATTCGTCGGTAGGGCCTTCTCGGGGACTGATCAGCGATCGCAAGATGAACCCAAGCCATGTGCCATGCTGCCCAGGGCATGCTGGCGATGAAGTAGACAGAAATTGTGACGAGGGCAGATCTCAGGTGAGAGGACACTAGAGGGATTATCATAAATCTGAAAACGATGTCTGCTGTTCCAACAATCATGAACATGCGAATTCCGCGAAAGCATTCTCGCATGCCACCTCGGGCACGCAGAAATGTGATGGCGGACCATAGTCCTCCAGTGACAGGCTTTGCTCTTGATGGACCCTCGTACTCGAAGTTCATGGATCCTTCATCGAGCAGGATGTAGGGGTTTGGTCTATCGTCCTCGACTGCAGCCAGAGTTGCAACTACGCCGTAGGTGTATTCAAACTATTGCGGATTAGCTTTGGTGAGTACAAAATTTCCACTGAGATTCAATCACCAAAAAGAACGCAAGGCCGAATGCTATCCCCGTTATGGTCATAATAAATGGGCTCAGCCAGACTGCCCGAGGTGGGACCATGTCGTGGTCATCGAGTCGGGCGAAGATCAGCTCGGTCTCCCGGCGTGCGAACATATTCTCGATCAACATAATAGAAACATCGACAAGTTTTCTGGCAGAGAAGAAAATTTAAAGTTTGCCACAGGGAAGTCTCAAATCAAAGGTGGGATGTCTGGCCCCAAACTCCCTAGATACAGACAGCTATGCTGTTATAGGGCTAGTGTTTGGGCGTGCGCTTTGGTCGCTAATCGGTGACTTTGACGTTCAATCCAATATCCCAGCACGCACAGATGAATGTTCGTAATTGATCAGTTGCTTCCAATTAACACAGAACTCTCGAGCTATCAATCCGGAAATATTGGTCACTCAATACTCGAACTCAATGTAGTTTACAACCTCTTCCCAGATTAGTCTCAAATCTTCCCAGTATCCACCAACCGCCTCAGAACCGCAATAGTTCCATCAACGGCCATCCGACTCATCTTCTTCTCCTTGTTCAACAATGCCGGAAGCTCTTCATCGGTCACATCTGGGTGTCTCCATTCAAAAGTATAGGTCATATAAAGCTCCCCGTGCATATCCTCGCTGATTACATTCGAAATCGTACTTCCATCCTGTTGCTTGTACACCACCCTGGATGGCGCGAACGCCGTAACGGTCTCTTGGGCTTTGCGCTCGGACTCGACGAAAACAACCTCCCGAACGGTCACTTCGTTTCCCGTGGTTGGGTCGATGGACTCCGAGATCACCGTCGTCGAGGAAATAGCATTGGGAACAAAGGTTTCGGCAGATCGGATCTTAAGCCGCAGACCCGTCCAGATCTGGTCGGAATGGAGTCTCAGGCCTGTGCCCGGGGGATTGACAGGCGCGGTGAAGGCGATGTTGTTTGTAGGCATTGTGCTCTAGATGATCGAATGGGATTCATAGTCCTATAGAGTAACGGAGGTAGATTTCAAATTGTGATGTGACGTCAAGAATACCGAATGGGTGATCGATTTCGGCTTTGGCTGTCCGATCAGACGTTGAATCGTTGTTGGTACCGCGGGTCGCAACTCGACTGGCCCTAAGTCCTAGGGTATCAATACCATATATTGAGCCTCCTCCTTTGCCACCTTCGTCGAAATGTAGGTCTTGTCCAATGGGTATCCTAAAAGGCTGTATTTATCGATGTATTCGCTTAGAAAGCTCCCACAGACTCATAAAAAGACATGCGTTGGCTCATTTCTTAAGCCGTTTGCTTTCCCTTCTTGGGGCCGGCTTCTCCCCAGTCTCAGCTTCCCCAATCTCTGCCTTGGGCTTGCGTTTTGTACTGCTCTCGGTGTCTTGGGACTTATCTGCTGGCAGTTGTCTTTCGCTTGGCTCCTTGGGCTGAGTCTCAGGTTGTCCGGCAGCGAAGCCCGAAACAGCGACATGTCGAATCACATAGGCAACCTTCTCAATATCAAAGAGAGATACTGGCGGAAAATCACCGGCTTCGGCGTTCAGACGCGCACGCAGCTCTTGCACAGCATTCCATAGCTCGCGATATTCATTCACATTATACTTGGCAATCAGCTCCCCGCTAGGCTTCTTGTGGACCGATGGTTTGTCCTCTTGATCCGCGGACTCAGGGAGATCATTCAGCACCAGCCAAAGATACACATCATCACTGTAGAAAGGCACCTGGCTCTGGGAATCTCCGAGTCCCGTGCCAATTGACAGAATCAGAGATGCCGTGGCTGGACCAACGCCTCTGAGTGGGGCAGTGAGAGCGTCCAAGCTGGACTTGGGGAAGGCAGCAAGTGGCGCAGAGGGATCTGCATCTGGAAGTGAAGCAAATGCAGCTGCTGTAGCTTGTGTGACTGTTTTATCGGGGTTGCCTTTAATCATGCCCATGAGAGCAGGACGAAAGACTCCATGTTTCCTGTGATGTGGTCAGTGTCGTTCGATGGGCCACAGAGAAGGCACCCACATCTTCCAGTCCATGATGGAAACAAGCTCCTCCTTGAGAAGCAAAGCACCTTCTGATCCAGTGGATTGATTGGCTTTGCGCTCGAGAACCGCTTTTGGCAAAGAGTCATACCGCCAGCGATCGAGTTCCAGGAACTTATCTGTCTGCTCGCGAACCTGTGTTTCTTCTGAGGCGGTAAGGTCTGTTTTGGGAATGGAAGAGGTTGCTGATTTTCCTTTTGGCCCTTTTTTAGGTTGGAGCTTCAGCAATGCTTTGCGTCGATGGACCTGTGACACGGTTGCTTCGTAGCAAGATAATAGACGATGGAATGTTTCAAGGTTAATCCCCTGAGTACTGAAGGTTGTAGGAAGTTCATCCCTCGGTAGGGATTGAGGTGCACTCGAGATCTTTGCATTGCTCATCTTGAATTCAGTGCCCCAAGTCGTTTCGAATGGTGCGTGTTGTGAAGTTGATTCGCGCCGGGGTTGTTGACAAGATACCGTATGTAATCTATGGTATTACTCGGCCTGAATAAGGTAATTTACTGTATATTAATACAGATACTGTGCAAGAGCATCAGACTTAACAAGATAGAGCCATTCATCATATTATTTTCCGTAAAACTATTTGAATATTTCACTAAGTAATCAACTTCAAAGAAAGCAGAAGACACAAATTCATTTCCTGATATCAAATGAGGGCCAGCGCACGCTCAACTTATCATCCAGCAAAGGCGTCTCTTTGATGCCACAATTCAAATGAATCACCTTCAAATCTTTCATAACGCGAACATCCTGAGCCTCCTGGCGGTAAAGCTTCCACTTTCCCACATTTCCGAAAGTAGAAATTGTTCTGGACAGCCGTAGCATGTAGACTGGGAGGATATCATCTTGCAGATGGCCACGCTCAACGTCGTAGGCATGGTTGTTGATATCGATCGCTGCGTATGAGCGGCCAGACCGTAAAGAGACGGCAATCAATTGGACCTTGTTGGCTGGGTCATTGTCGCCGGAGCCTGGTTTGGTGATCCAGGATGCGAAGAAGGGGGATATGAGGCTTCTGACTGATGCGATGACTTCAACCCAGTCGATGAACGCGGTGGGGATGTCGGCGATGATTCGGATTGAATTGTACTTCTTGATTGCGCGGTGCGATTTCCGGGTCACTCGACTGAAGTTGCTGGGATCGACGGTGATCCGTAGAGATGGCCGTATGCTGAGGAGTCGTGTCCCATTTATCACCAGTTTGATGTCTTTGGTATTGTAAGGATCCACCGGCGTGTTTGGGATTTGGAGCTCGTAGTGTTCAGGAACATGGTCCTTTGGATAGTCAGGCAATTGGGAAGCCATGGTGTGGATAGCAAGATATGTATGTGGTTTGAAGAAGAAGAGCGAGAGGTGAGGAGAAGAGTAAGAAGAAGAAGAAGAGCGAGAAGAGAGAGAAGAGAGAGAAGGGTATCATGAGATTAAGGCTGTTCTCACAATAGAAAGTTGCGTATTGAGGGATTCCATGGGAAGGGGCCGATGCCTATTGATGAATAGCATCCATTTCGAACTTCATTCTCAATACCTAAACCTCTATTAGCTGCAACAGATAATACTATTGGTCGCAGGTGTGACCTCGGAGCAATAGTAACCTGGAGTGAATAGAACAATGGTAATTGAATAGGTGAAGCTCATTGTTGAAAGCCCTAAGCTACGCGGCAATAGAAAGTGAACTAGGCCAGAATGTACTAGGAAGTGATTTTGATTTTGAGTATCTATGCCAAACCAGTCGCATTTTTTGTTTTTCAATCTCATCGCTATGTACAACATTCGCGGCCGTAAAGTCTTCATTAAAAGCAGATATCAAGATACAGGAGAGACGCATGCATCACAAAGAATAGTAAAAGTCGTATCACATCATCGTCCAGTTCGGACATCGTCAAGATAGTCCGAGGTATTGACATGACAGACAAAGGAGAAGGTTCAGGGTTTTAATCTGACAGAGGGGAGATAGTAGACATGAAATCCTGATTCGAGGAATCAGGGTTTGCGGTCGCGCGTCTGATCCGGGTGGACATAGCCAACACGTTCATCATCGAACGTCATGCCCGAGATCTTCTTAGAGCGCGAGCGCTTGAGCTGTTGGACCGGGGGTCCGGGCTGAGGAGCAGGGTTGGCGAGGGAAGGGCCTGGCTTGGCTTCGGCGGCGGTAGGGGCAGCGGCGGCACGCTCGTCATCTTCAACTTGTATATGGCGGAAGGCTTGCTCTTCTTCGTCTGCCTCCGAGGAAGGAGGGCTGTCCGAGTCAGAGGCCGCTTCGTAGTCGTCTTCATCATCGCTGACCAAGCTGGGAGCCTGATTGGACTCGACAGCATGAGGACTCAAGTTGGCATGGTCCAGGTCAGAGTGGGAGTTGAGAGCTTGAGCTTTGCTGGCGAGGGAAATGTCCAGGAAGGAGTGTGGCCGGGAGGGGGTCGGCTGCTCCAGTGGATGGGCGCGATCGAGGGCCTTTCGGCTCTCTGGCTCGGAGGCCTGTCCAGCGGGCATGCGCATTGGCTGGCGCCCAGCACGAGCGCCCACATCCTGGTACTGGGGGCGACTGTCATCCGTGTCGAACTCGTCGTCGGAGAAGGCACCTAGGTCCACGGGCTGCTGGAACTCTTGTACCAGCTTGCTCATATCCAGGCCGGAACCTCGCGATTTCACAAGGGCGGACAGATGAGGAGTGGCCGGAGACGCCAAGAAGCTCGGGTTGGGAGGCAGCTTGACGGGGGCAGATTGTCGGCGGGTGGGATCGGTGGCGGGGGGAGTAGCGACGGAGGCGGTAGCCGCCATGGGTTTGCAGGGAGTAACAACTTCCTTGGTGGGAGTAGGAAGTGCTTTGGTGGGTGAAGCGAGATCGGAGCGAATTAGAGGGTGCACGTAGCCGGGGGTGGTTGGGTTGGCAGTTGGTTCTGCGGCACCGCCGACCACCAGGCCAGAGTCGTCCACTTCCACCGATTGACCACACGCCATGGCAGCTGCGTCGTGACTCGCAAAGTTTCGATTGTGCGCGATGCGGCAGTGATTGATGAATCCTTGCGTGCTGGAAAAGTTGTCGCGTCGGCAATCCAAACAAACCAGTTTGACCAACACTCCATCCGACTTGCGGCGAATAAGCATTGGACCGGACTTCTCCTTGACCATGGGATAGCCGCTGGGAAGCGCCGTATGCTTCGCGCCCGTTGAGCCGCGCTGAGGGCGTGTGCTGCCGAACATCGTCACATCGGGGTTTCCACGCGTCGAACGACCTTCCGGAACAGTGCCAGCCAACATCCCAGAGTCGCCATCGAAGCGCGGATCCGGTAGCAGCCACCGGGAGTAGTGGCGTGCGTAGGGCCCGTCCGTGACTCCCCACGGCGCCGGCGAGACGGCTGGACCATTTCCAGGTGCCAGCAGTGACGCGCCGGTGCCGGCGCTGACGTCCACGGAGGCGGCGTGGGAGCCCGGGAAGGGAATTTCGCCACAACGTCGCAGCTGTTCCAGAGCGACTTGACACTTGGCGATCTCTTGGTCGATGAGACGGAGTTCGTTGTGCTTGAGGAGCACTTCCAAGCTCAATTGGGCGGAAATGGTTTCCCGAAGTCGGACCACCCCGGCGTCCTGCGCCGGCGGACGCGATGCGACCGGGGGATTTGACGAGGTTGACGAGTTGGACGCCGTGGGCGTGAGCGGAACGGGGTCGGCGATGACCGGGCGTGGTCGAGAGGCTTCGGTGCACAATTTTGTCGCGGGCGCATCGGCGGTGGAATCAGCCCGTTTGCGCTTGGTCATGGTCAGGGTGTTCAGGCTGCAGTTGGTCGGGGCCAGCATCTTGACTTCCTCCATCACCTTGTTCCCTCCTATCGCAGAGGGCCAAGGGAGCAAGCGAAACATGCCATGAGATTGCATATAAGTCGATCGATGGTCCATGCGCAGTGTATTACGGTGAAGGAATGGACGTCGACTCGCGACCCGGGATTACTTGCGAAAAAACAAAAAAAAAAATAACAACACAACAAGAATCTATTAATAAGGGCAAGGGAGAGGGTGAGAAGAAAAGGGGAGAATAAGACGACACAATAAAGGGGAGAAAGGGGGAAACAAAGAGAAGTTGGGAATGGGCAATGGGCAGGGGGTGGAGCAGGATGTGATACTTGTGGCCACCATATAATTAGTAGCAGATCAACAAGTACCGATGCCGACGGGGGGAACTATTGGACGAGTCTCAAACATTACACGTCATACACTTATAGATCTAGATCTATCATATTGTTATATCCATTCTGGCGATGAACATGTGAATATGTTGATTCTTTATTCTGTAACTACATAGTGTCCATGTAGAGTACTGTGTATTCACTCCCTCATGAATAGAATCACATCGAATATCAACGGATGTTGGCGGCTACCCAATGGGACCCAATCGTGCACTCAATGCAGTCTAGACCGGGCAACTGGGAACGCCCAATAGGCAGCTGGGTCTGGGGTCGATCGCTGCGCCTCAAGTCTAATATAAAACATGATCCCCGTAGACTCCGTAGCGCTGAGGTGGACACTCGTACTTTGGTCTTCCCAGATTTATGAGGTAACCATGCTGACTCATCGATGGAAACCCATGGAAACTCATGGAACAACCATGACATAAGAGTCCCGTGACCCAGACCCCGTGACCTGGGGTCTGCACCTGCAGTCCGTGTACCCCGGAGTTGATCTGCATGCCCCGTACTCTATACTCCGTACTTCAGCCGTGATGCCCTCATCTCTCGGACATCCCGAATCTCGGACGATCTTCCCCCGAACCATCATTGTTGAACCTGGGCCGTCGTGCGCATGAAGACAATCCTGTAGTGCCCTCCCCCACTTAGCGGCCATCGCTAGCCTTTTCCACCTTCCGACCCATATATCCCTGACTATCCTCCCTATCCTGGGGTAACCGGTGGACCGGGAAAACGATTAGCGGTTCCTGGCTGCCTTGGCTGACCCGTGCCAATGCGCGCCAACGGGCAGTGTCGCAGGAATTTCACCCGAGTAAATTACGATTCCCCATCGAACCTTACGGTTCCGAGCACCAACCTCCGAGATCAACCCCGTTCATCACTCTGGAATATCCGAGTCCCCAACCTGGCAGGCGGCTGCACCCCACAATGCGGAGCTGAGCGGGGTGCTTCTGCTGTCTGCAAGGTCCGTTCGCCTCGTTGAATATCGTACGAGGTCGCAGTAGAGTACACTATATAAAGAGGCCCTGGAAGGTCCCAATTGACACTCGCCTCGCTCGCGTTCCCTGCATTTCCTCATCCGGTGCGATTCTCCGACACCCAACATGCGCTCCTTCCTTTCGCTCTCCATCGCTGCCCTCCTCCAGGTGGGAGCAGCGCTGCCAGCCAACCAATCCAAGCCCCAGGATTCTCACGCCGACCAATATGTAGACTGGCGCACCTTCAAGGGATACGGAGTCAACCTCGGCGGCTGGCTGGAACAAGAATCCACCATCGACACGAAGTGGTGGGCGAAATATTCACACGGCGCCGCCGACGAGTGGACCATGTGCGCCAAGCTAGGATCCGCCTGTGCGTCCGTCTTTGAGACCCGGTACAAGACCTATATCTCGACATCCGACATCGACACCCTCGCCGAGGCCGGTGTCACGGTTCTCCGCATCCCAACCACCTATGCCGCGTGGATTGACATGCCTGGATCGCAGCTCTACCATGGTAACCAGCAGAAGTACCTGCGTCGCATTGCCCAGCATGCCATTACCAAACACAATATGCATGTTGTCATCGATATTCACAGTCTGCCTGGAGGCACCAACGGACTAGATATCGGTGAAGCCGTCGGGCACTACGGCTGGTACTATAACAGCACTGCCTTGGACTGGAGTTTGAAGGCCGTGGATGCTCTGGTGGACTTTGTCGCCAGCTCACCCAACCCATGGAGCTACACGATCGAGCCCATCAACGAGCCCGTAGACAACCGGGATTTCTCAACCTTCGGTACCCCTGCGGCGCTATCCGACAAAGGCGCTAAGTGGGTGGTGAAATATATCCGGGCCGTTCTCGACCATGTGGAGAAGGTGGACGACCGCATCCCGGTCATGTTCCAGGGCAGCTTTAAGCCCGAGACTTACTGGAGTGGTTTCTTCGGGAAGGAGCGCAACCTAGTCTTTGACGCCCACCATTATTACTTCCAGTACCCCAATGCGACTTCGGTCAATTTGCCCACTTTCATCTGCAAGGATGCCAAGGACACTGAGGGCGATGGAAAGTTCCCTGTCTTTGTCGGCGAGTGGTCGATCCAGGCAGGTGGCAACAACACCCTCTCACTGCGCGGGGAGAACCTCCGAGCTGGTATCTCCGCCTGGGCCCAATACACACAAGGCAGCTCGTTCTGGACCGCCAAGTTCTCCAGCAATGTCACCGCTGCAGGACAAGGGATGCAGGAGAACTACTGGAACTTTGCCGAGTTCATCGAGGCGGGCTATTTGGAGGGAAATGTTGTGATCGAAGATTATTGTTGATATGTATATATGAGATATGACGTCCAGGAGAAAATGCCGAACGATTTTCAAGGTTCAAGGCTTGTGATGTGCAGTAGATAGAATTCAATTCTTGTTTTAGATGAAACCCCGAGCAAAACGCCAAATGCAATCAAAACAGACGCTCGATTCAATATGAACAGAAAAGCATGGCCTCATAAGCAACAGGCAGACCAGACGCCGAAATACCCTGACATAAAGTGACAGTAGCCAGATGGTACCAAACTGAGCACCATGCCCAGGTACACACAGTTCAAATATATCCTTTCCACAGCCTTACTCCCTCAAACATGGAACTCAATCCATCTGACCATCCTTGATCCGCAAGATAAAGTTCACCACCACAGCGGCAAGCAGCGCAATCGCCAAAATAGTCGGACCGAACCGATCATCAATACCACCCTGCCCGCGACGCCGAATACTCTGTGCTCGCCAGTGGAATGTAACCAAGGCGTAAATCATCGCGCCCATGGCGATAACGGTGAAAAGGGCGGCGGAGATGCGACCGATGCGGTCACCGAAGTTGAGCAGGCCAACGGCCAGACCGCCAAGAATGACGGTGAAGTTCAGCCAGGAGAGGAAGGTTCGCTCGTTTGCGAAGAAAACCTTGGGCTCGACACGGGTGGGCAGGGCAATTCGCTTGCCTGGAATCTGGTCAGCGGGTGAAACATTGGAATGCTGGGGATGGCTTTACCGGGCGCGGTTTGAAGAAGCGGTTGGCTGGACATTGTGCAATTCGGACTGTCTGGGTCGTTTGAGGAGAAGAAAAATAAATCCGAAGTTCCTGGGAGGAAAGTAAGGTCGGGAAGCGAGGAGAGCTTCGACATCAGAGGACGTCGTTAACCCGGATTGGGCCTAGCGCGGGTAGCTCATTCGCACGTGCGTCTTCAATTCGATGAGAGGATCAGGTGACCCACTGATATTCGGTTTTGTTTACTCCGTCGTTCTGTTTTCTCCTCTATCATCCAAGTCTGAGAACTCGAGAAATCACACTTGTGCCTGCTTCGAATGAGGGGCGGCACTTGAAGCTCTGGAGACTTAGACCGGCTTGCTGCTGGCCGAGTATATTCTCCGATTATTGACCGAATAGGCTAAGCTAATGGGCTCTAAGCCTCGACATCCATGGATCCCTCACTAGAAAAGATGTCTATTCATAATCGTCCATGCCGTGAGCAGTCGACGGCATACTTGCAGCATACAGTACAACTCCAATTCCCGTTTGAGCCTCGGAAATCCTCAGACCCACCAGAATGGGCCAGAACCCCCCACAGTGAAGACAAAACGGATTCTGCTCTGCCTATAGGCTCAGCTTGCTACGTCAACCATCGACACCATGATCAAACCCCAAAATAGTGGTGTTCACACCCGAAAGTCAACCCAAGCACTAATGAAATACGAAGAAAAGGACCAAAAAAAGCTAATATTGAATCACTGAGGCTCATGCGTAACTCATTAAAATGCAAAATGCCTAAGAACTAAGATCCCAATCTTGCTGAATGAGATCGGCCGCCTTCTCTGCAACGGCATACACACTGCTCACAATATTGCCCGAGACATTGTTGGGGAATACCGATGCATCAGCAACGCGCAGACCTTCGACACCCTTCACGCGAAGCCTGCTGTCAAGTGCATCGCCCATTGCAACGGAGCCACAGATATGGTATTCACCGGCAACCACATCGTGCACATGTCGTCGTGCAGCGTCCAGGTCTTGGAGATTGACTGACGGTTCTGGGATGGCGCGGCGCAGGATTGATGGCTTCAAGTTCTTGTTCTCGCCTACCTTGTCGCCCCAACGCAGCATGGCGGCCAAAAGAGAGACATCTGCAGGGTGTCCACCGTAGTTGGGGTTGATGATGGGGGATTTGGTAGGGTCTGCATCGTCAGTTGTCTAATACGTGATACAGGTTTGGGTGTGACCTACCGGCGCTTTGGATATGGATTGATCCTCTTGCCACGGGATACTGCAGACACAAGGCAAAGGTCACACCGGCAGGCTTGTCTGCAGACCGGGGAGGGATCAATTTGCCCTGGTGCTCGATCCCCTCCGGCTCCATTGTAGCAGGCACAGTGACAAGTTGGAGATTGGCCGAGTGGTCACTCTGCAGGTGCGCAATGACCTGTGCAAGCTGCTTCTCGTGGAATGCACTGGTCGGCTTCACGTCGCGAATACTTTGAATGACCTCCTCCAGCTCCGCCTCGGACAGGACCTTCTTCGCAGGGAAGAAACCTTGCATACTAGCAATGCAGCTGAGGGGTCCACCCTTCTCCTCTTCGTACTGCTTGGCCGCGGCTGCCATGGCGTCCGGCACTTGAGCCAGGGTATCCAACGTCACCACGCCGGGCTGAACGTCAAATGTCGCAATGGTAATGGAGTGGTCTTGCACATTCGCACCAACTCCCATATTGGCCACCTTGCACTCCACGCCAGCAGCTTTGAGGATCTCCGGGTTTCCAATCCCAGACAACTCCAGGATTTGCGGGGACTTGATAGTTCCTCCGCTCACGATGATCTCCCGGCGCCCAGAGATCTGGTACTCTGTTCCGCCATGCGTGAAGCTGACCCCTGTTGCCTTGGTCCCATCGAGCACGACCTTGTTCACCAGAGCTTCGCAGAGGACTTTCAAGTTTGGCCGAGTGGCCCGGTGCGCTTCGTAGTAGCCCCGTGCCGCGTAGCTGCGCTTGCCCTTGTTAGGGCCGGACCGAATCACCGAGCCCAGGGTGTGGTAGAAGCCGATGTGGTCTCCGCTCCATGGATCGGCGGGCTTATTCGGGATGCCCGTGACATCCTCACACGCCTTGATGATGTCGTTCTCCACGGGCATCAGCGTGTCGTTGAATCCAGTGCGAACGGGTCCGTTCGTTCCGTGGAAATGTCCCACCAATGGCATGGTGGACCGATCCGTGATGGCCGGGTCTACCGGTTCGAGAGTCTTGATTCACATGAGCGGCGACTCCAGTCGGGGTTCACAGAAATCAATTACCTGATGCTTTCGCATATAGCCCTGCATGATCTCCGAGGACCATCCCTCGTCTCCCGCTAGTTCCGCCCAATCGTCATAATCCTGCAATGATCCTCGCACGTACATCATATAATTGATCGCACTTGATCCGCCGAGCACCTTGCCACGCGGGATATGGTGCACCTTGCCATTGTTGGCTTCCTGCACAGAATTGAGTTACTGCGATTCCAATCCACCGGCACCACGTACCTGAGGGGCTGTATATAAACACCAATCGTAATCGGGATTCTCCAGCATTTGGGGGAATACCGCAGGAGTATCGACCAACGGATCCCCAATGCGATACTTGCCCGCTTCAATGACACCGACGGTCACAGCGGGATTCTCACTCAGACGCGCCGCAATGGTGAGTCCAGCGGTGCCACCCCCGCAGATGACATAGTCGAAAGTTGTACGGGTGAATTCCTCGACGGAGCATGTTGGTTGAGCCATGATGTTTATTTGAGAGAAAATAAGCCGGGGGACCGCTCAATAAATAGCCAAAGAGAGAGCCCTAATTTCTGACATTGGACCCGACGCGGGGTATAGCTTGCGAGCATCGGTATACACGCATCTCTTGGCAGTAATGGAGTACAGAGGTGTCAGAGGATTCTGGTTGGTCTCTTTTTCGTGGATCTTAGCCTCCGACCCAGTGCAACCCCAGGTTTTGCTCATTTTTGAGCGAAGTCTATACTGGACTGCGGGGAAGTAGATCCTACTGGAATACAAAACTACATACTCAACGGAAATGTACAAGATATGTACAAGGTACCCGTGGACGGAGGACGGAGTACAGAGTGCGGAACACAAGTAGCAAACTTCTCGCCGTGCATAAGCGCGAATGCAGAGTCAAGGCCTTCGAGGGGCGAAAGATCAACTTAGTGTTGCAGACGAGGATCAGCGCGATATTCAGGCCTCCCAAGCCGAGCCGCCATGGATACCGCCCACACCTCGGCTGCACTCCGCGGGGCTGGTTTCCGCAGGGATTTCCCCGAAACTTCCGCTGTCAAACCTGCGATGGGGGAAGAGGGTAAATTTTACATAGGATAGAATTACAGAAAGGACACGTTGCATCCCAACCTTGGAAGGTTTCTAGTGTACTCCGTACTCCGTGTGGACTTCGTATCGTAAGTGATTGCTGCGCCTTGTACATATGCATGGCGCTAACCGTTTACGCCCCGTTGCTTGATCGTAGCCCGTCCAAATTTGGGTCAATGGGGCGCTGGGAGTTCTGGGGAAATTCCAATTAGGAAAGGCGTCAAAAATGGGAAATGGCTGGTAGAGTGCAGACTTGCCCCTTAAAGGGATCTGGTCTATGTTCAACGTTTGATCGTATTTCTCAACGCCGGACAAAAAAAGAGCCCAATGACCCATGATGTGTATGTAAATCGCTGCAAAAATGCTATATGTACAATTAGCCCATTCGAGTCAAGGCCCGTATACTGCCCAGGCCAATACGGTCGTCCCTCATCGAGACATTTTTAAATGCACCCAGGAGAGTGCCCGATCCCACCGTGGATCCCCCGATCGCAAAGCGTCAAGCAACTCAGTGACCAGCGCGCGGCCGGAATTCTTAGCCCACCACCGCTTCCCGTCCAACTCCGTCAACAAAACTCCCCAATACGTGAGGATGAGCAGCGAGAAAGGCTGTCGACATCGCAAGCTATCGACGAATTCCTTCTCTACGCGCGCCAACCAAGCCAGAACGGGCGCGGGGTCCGCCGAGCGCGCGAATTTCGAATAACAATGCCGTAGATGCGAAATTACCTCGCGGTTGATGCGGTGCTGCTCCGAGTAGATCCCAATCATGACCTCGTCGTTCAACGCCGCCAGATGCGCCAATGCAGACCCGGTATCCGGGTCCAGCTCCTCGGGCGTCTTCTTCCAGAACTCGCCTTTGGAAAAGAGTTCCAGCTTGATCCATGAATGGCTGACCATCATGATCTTCCGCACACCCTGCAGCAGCTCGAAGAGAATCACAATGTTCTCCGTGATGCTGGTGCCATCGTCCTTGGTGGCAGTCAGGCGCGGAGACGCGATAGTGATGGCAATCATGACAATGGAGTGAGCGAAGACCGCATTGCAATTCTGCGGCGTGATGCTGTCGATGGCGTTGCGGAACGGCGTCAAACTGCGATTGTAGTACTGCAGTCCGGCATCGTGGTACAGCGGGGCATCTGTGGGCTCTGCCGACGTGGCAATGTGCATGGACGCCAGGGCCAGGATGCCATTCATGAGATAATCATGTTTGAGCGCCAATTGGGGGATGGTGATTTGCCAAATCTGGGTCTCGGAGTCGCTGACGCACAAGCTCTCATAGGTGTCTGTGGCGAACTTGTGCATTAACTCGAGATTGTCGATGCCGAATGAATTGGCTTGTGGGGGTCCGGTTGCTGAACGGCCGTGCGACCGTTCAGGTTTGGACGGTGGAGTGCGATTTGAGCGAGCGGCGACTTTCAAGTAAGTACAGTCTAGTCCGCGATTTGTGCAATTGGTGCATGGTGGACCCTGCTCGTCACATTTGACCCGCCTTGCTCTGCATTGGTCGCACCCGTTGCGGGATTTGGTGTGCGCTCGGAGAGGGGGCATCCTTAAGGTTCATTTACATGCTGATGTCCAATCAGGGAGAAGGGGAAGGTGAGCAAAGTGAAACCGACGAGGCGATGCGAGGTTATCCACTGGGGTCATGTGACCTGATCTAGAACAGGACTCGAGTTGGCCCTGTCACATTTTTCCTCAATTCTCCAGGGTTGGGGAGTTGGTGATCGCACATTGTATGAGCTGAGACATCATATACATACCGGTTTGGACACTTCCAAGGTTGGAATGGGCACTCCTGCCAAGTTTAGGCCAGGGAATATATCCAATTCACATTCTCATACTCCGTACTTTGTACTACAAAATATATACCTCCACGGTTCAGATAACATTGCAATAATATCTCATGTTAATGGCCATTATTATAACAAAATTAAAGAGCACGTCCATGCCTATACAAAACCGAGCATCATTAAATCAAAGCAGCCGCCAGTCCCGCAACAACACCAGCAATGCTAACAGACATCTTCTGACCAGCGCCAGTGTACACGGGAGAAGCAGAAGGGGAAGAAGTGGCAGAAGCGCGGCTCCAGGCAGACTGAGAAGGAGTCGGCATAGCCATGCTACTGTGCTTGCCCATACCCATCGCAGCCATACCGCTGGGGGTACCCATAGCGCCCTTCTTGCCAACCTATCAAATCAAGGATCAGCTCCGCAACAAAAGAGGAGAGGCTCCCCAACCAAAGTGAGAATGTTGGTAATTAATTTACCTCGACGATAGCTGGACCAGCGACAATGTTGTCATCAGTCGCCTGGGTGTTGCCCTTGGTCAGGACGAAGTAGCTCTGTCCCGCGACACCCTTGGGAACGGTGACGGTGAACTTGCCATCGCCCATGGATTCGATCGGGGCCCAGACGGGTCCGGTGACGGTGATGAAGGCGGCGTGGATATCAGTGGCCTTGGTGTCGAAGCCCTTGCCCGCGGTGACGGGAACCTTGGCACCGGTCATGACGGCGGCCATGGACTCCATGGTGAGCGAGGGGAATGCCTTGACGGGGAGCATGCCGTTGCTGGAGGGGCAGGAGGCGATGAAGGGGGAGGCAACGGTGTAGACCTCGTTGAAGTCGAGGGGGTTATCGAAAGCCTGGGCGAAAGGCACCTCGCCAAGGGCAGCGCGGAGGTAGGCGCTGTGGCGGGCTTCGGTGGTGAGGATGCTGCCTGCTGCAGTGAGGTAGGTGTCGTTCATGATATGGGCGGCGGCACCGAGGTAGGCACTGACTCCAACACCTGGAGTTGATGTCAGTGGGTGTGTATGAGGTACCGGGGCAGTGGATGTCGTCTTACCTTCAAGGACGCTGGCGAGAGCCAGGAAGCTGTTCACATCGGTGGATGGGAAGTTGTAGGTGCAACGGGCAACCGGGGAAGCACCGGCCGCTGCAAGGGGATTAGTTACTAGACCACGAGAATTGTACAGAATACATACCCTTCAGAGCGGAGGTCAGGAAAGTCTCGTGCTCGATCTCATCGGACGCGACTTCCTTCAGGTTGGCATAGAAGGGGTCCTTCATGCCGGCCTTGACGAAGTCGGCCTGGGTGTAGTTCTTCAGGCCCTGCTCGTAGAAGGCGGCCTCGAGGTGCTCCAGAGTCAAAGCATAGTTGAGGATGTCAGCTATTCATGAGGTGTTAGTTGTCGCCCATTTCGATCCATGATAATACAAACCATCGCTGATGGCACGCTTGGAGACTGGGCCTGCATTGGCAGCACCCAGGGCAGCGGCAGTGAGGGCAATGTTGGTGAACTTCATGGTCGAACAGTAAAAGGCTTTGCTATTGAACTCGAAAGACTGTTTCCCGGTATGATCCAGTCCTTCCCAGGCGATTGACACGTCTTTTATAGCTGCCCTCTCGGCAATTTGCGACTCCGAGCGCCATGCATGAAAGGAGCTCCAAAGCATGGATATGGATAGGCCAAGGGAAACTAGTCATTTTTTTCCCTGTTTGGCATCGAACTCTCTTTTCTGATATCTCAGTGTTGTAGAGTCCAGATTGAGATCAACGTTGGGTCTTCCGAATCGAGATGGACTATTCACGGAAGAGGGGATGTAATGATGTCTCCGAAGCACTAGTTCCCACGAGATATGAGCTGCAGGGACCATGACAGTGGGGCGATCCGGGGTAGACAGGTAAGAAGTGAGCCAGTTGGCTGGCAACGGAGCAGGTGGGTAAGAGGATCGGGGCTTTTCTCGTGAGCGAAAACGAGAGTATCTGATGAGCGAGAGCGAGAGCGAAGATACATACAAATTAGCACAAAGCCGGGACCGGGAACGAGAGCGAAAGCGAGTAGCATAACCCTCGGGCAAGTTGATTTCAAATACAACTCGTCCCCATTCAGGATTTCGTACTTGCAAGGTTTTTCTTCTGATACTTTTAACGCAGAAGGGGGACTACATGGGATCCGTGTCCACAACAGCCCTGGCCTCGAGGCTGAAATTTGCACAGGGTTGGACTGGATCCGATGTAGCTAGGCATGATCGGAATTTGCATTCCAAGTGTTGGACTTAATCCCACACTACCTAGTAATGTTTTTGTTATCTTTTGCATGAATTTTCCATGAATTTTCCGACCCAGATCTGAGCATAGCTACACAAAACCTTGGAACAGGACATATCTCAATCGATGCGGAGGACGCCGTAGCGAGAACCTTGGATTGGATCAATGTCTCTTTTAGAGCGACTGCTCCATATGTCAAGCGAGTTGCTACTGTTTTACCTCGAGACTGTTCACACCAAAAAGAATAAAAATAAAAATACCTGATGGAAAGGCTAGACGATCGAGAAAAGGCGTATCCATTCAACTAGGGGAAAGAGAGCTGCTTTAGCCTACAGAGAACCGGTGAAGAGGGCTGTTTGGATGGTGATACAGAGCCAAACGGTGCGTTTGACTGCGAATCCCAACGGCCGATTTCACAACAATACCTAGTAATCCCATGCTGAAACGCGCCCGGGCGTCAGATATATATTCCGATATGCCCCCCTGGCAGGTGCACATGCTGCAGCTTTTTAGTCGAGACACCTTCCAACGCCTGAGTCGAATGGTATTTCAACTCCCACGTATGTTTACCAGACACTTATCTTTCTGTTTCTCTCTCTTTTCTTCCCAAGTTTGTCCACCTGGGCATGACTGCTGGCGTTGTGGAATAGAATGCAGGCAGACCGCGGATGAGAACTTGGAAAGGGCAGTAGAAACGCACAATCCGGCGCACATACTAGGTGAAATTGATTATGCTCTCCTTGTATGCATGATGCTGCCAATGGCTTCAATGGCGCCGAAGATATCTCAGAAGCATGTCAATTGCTGGAAAGCCGTATGAGGAGGCTCGAAATGGTGCCCAGCATAGACCGAAATTTACCGTGCTTTGCATAGCCATGCAGAACCAAGGCCGGGAGAAATGCTGTTCAGATGCTATTTCTGAGACTTTCGAAATCTTCAGGGGTAGTGGATCCAATGGGCTATGACTATTCTCTACTCCGTACTACCTAGGCAGTGGGCACCTGAGACCTCGGGACTCCCGAGGCCCCGAGGTCGATGTACGGAGTAGAGTACAGTGTGTACGAGAACACTCATGTTGCCATCTACGCGACTCCCTACCTAACCCTGGAGCCCTGGAGGTATTGAAAGATATCCACGTGACCCACCTTGACAAATTGTCTAATGATCCCGCGGTCTCAATGGCTATCACACTCAGAGATAGAGTGATTGACTTCCAGACTTGGGATCATTGATTTGGAATGAAAGAAGACCATTGGTCAAAGTTGACGGAAAAATCAGCCCGACGTCTCTCAAACGACCGTTGAAAAGGGCAAAGTCTAGAGCGGCAGTGCCCTCCGCCCTATCATATTTCCGCAGCGCCGTCTGGGCCTTCGTGGGGCGAATCGTGAGTGGACCCCCCGATCTACTCCATTTGCACGGCCGTTTTTTTCAACTTTTTTCTCTATTCAGGAGAGATGAGCCATGACTCCGGAAGCCGTCGAAGAGTGCGAGCGCGAGCGCATTCGTGACTTGTCCAGGTAGGCCTGCCACCCAACACCGAGCGTGCAGTGCTAAGTCCGATAGATATTACTGCACCGTTCAACAATCCACCCCCGTCGGGACGACCAATGCCCCCACGGGCGACGAACAGCCCGCCAGTTGTGAATTGGCCCAGGACATCACCCTCACCGCCCTGGCCCAGCTGGGGGTCTTGCGCTTCAACGCCAATCGGTCCTTCGTATCCATCATCGACGGAGACACCCAGCATATCATCGCCGAAGCCACCGGATCGATCTCACTACGAGACAAGGCGCGTCACGACCCCGGGAATGGGATCTATCTGGGAGCATGCTCCCTCAACTTGACCTGGGGCGTATGTCCCCACACCATCCGCCTCTTCACCGGCCGGGAGCCCAACGAAATCGAGTCCGCCAACGTGACGGCAAACAAGTCTCGCTATATCATCCGTGATTTCACACAGGAGGACTGCTTCAAGGACCGACCGTATGTGAAGGAATGGCCGCATATGCGCTTCTACGCCGAGGTGCCGCTGTTCAGTGCATCCGGATACGTCCTGGGCTCCTACTGTATCGTGGACGACAAACCGTGGACCGAGTTCGGGGATGACCAGGTGCGGGATCTACAGGAAGTGGCGGATGCCATTGGACATCATCTGGAGAACGTGCGGCGCGGCCAGGTGCATTTGCGGGCCGAGCGACTGGTCAAGGGGTTGACGAACTTCGCCAAGGCACATACCGACTTCGACCCGACCGAAGTCTCCAACGGGGGCAGGATCGAACTCAGTGTGAGTGCTGCGCATTTGGCATGTAACGAGGAATCAAACACCCCAGTCCCTCCAGTGGTGGTCACCCCTTTGCCCCCGACAGAGGGTGATACCCCGAGCTCTGAGCCGTCCTCCATATCCACTGTTACCGGAAAGGAATCGGTTTCATTCCCACTAGATCAGCAATCGACAACCGATCCCTCATCTCTTCATTCGATTTCCGGCGGCCCGACAGTGTTGAGTCCGGCGGAGGAAAAGACTCTAGAAAATGCTATGAAATCAGACGTGGGGACACAGGGTGTCGAAAAGGGCCTTTCACAATTGACAATCGCCGAGAGCATCCCGGTCCATGAGCGGATTGGGGCGATATATTCATCCGCCACTGGTTTACTCCGAGAGTCCATGGACCTTGATGGTGTTGCACTTTTCGATGCTTGCCCGACCAACTTCGCCTTGTACGCTGCATCATTCACGTCCATTGGGAGCTGATGCTAACACTGTTCTTGTCCAGTGTCCCCGATGAAATAAAAGACTGGGAGCCATTGCCGGAAATTGTCGATGGCCGTTTCCCGATCGCCCCACTGCCAAGTCCTCTCGGCCTGCCCCAGGCTGTGTCGCAGGAATTCAACCAGCCTAGTGATGTTCTTAGTTGCGCATTGAAGCCGAATGGCGCGAATGTTTCGGCCCTTCCCCCGAATATTCCAAAAGGACTGCTGCACCAGCTACTAAGGACTTGTCCTAAGGGCCAAGTGATAATTTTCGACGACATCACTGAGGATAACTATTGGAATCATGGCTCCACAGAGCCATTCAAGCCCACCACTGAGCCGGTCAGCTTGCCAGTGTTGTCCAAGCAGCTCGCTCATCATATCCCCGATGCCAAGTCGGCCATTTTCCTGCCGTTGTGGGATTGGAACAAATCCCGCTGGCTTTCTGGTGTTCTGGCGTGGACTAAGAGTAGCTTCCGAGCACTGGGGCTTGAGGAACTACATTACTTTAACGTTTTTGGTGACTCAATTATCTCAGAGGTGTCCCGTATAAACTGGGCGAACGACGAGCGATCCAAGTTCGACTTCATCTCCTCTGTGAGCCATGAGCTGAGATCTCCATTGCATGGAATACTCGCAAGTGCAGAGCTGCTGAATGCCACCTCTCTCGACGGAGTTCAAAATGACATGGTCGGCATGATCGAGAAGTCCGGACTCACCTTACTTGATACAACAAACCACATGTAGGTGCAAAAGGCCGGTCCATTATACCAGTACTAATCACGCACAGGCTGGACTTTTGCAAAGTCAACAATCTGCGTCATTCCCGAAAGATGAGCCAGGCGCTGGACAGCGACACCGGGAATCTTGTTTCTGATTTCGATGTTAGCGAGTTGGTGGAAGAGATTGCGAACATTATGTACACCGGCCATCGAGCACCTGCTCGAGCCACCAAAACCGCCCGTAGGATGTCAACCGACGCGGGCATGGCTGAATCCAGTCCTGTGCAGTTCGATTCGGCCGGCCAGATGTCGATAGTTGTACGCATCGACCAGTCCAATGACTGGAACATTCGATCGCTTGCAGGGGCCTGGAGAAGAATAGTCATGAATCTCCTTGGAAACGCGATCAAATGGACTGACACCGGGTTCGTCGAGCTTTCGCTATCAAAAATTAAGGATTCGACGAACTCCCAGCCCCTTGTCCACCTTTCTATCACGGACACTGGCCGAGGGATTGCGGCCGACTTCATCAAGCACAAGCTGTTTGTTCCATTTTCGCAAGAGGATCCGCTTTCTGAGGGCGTGGGACTGGGTCTCAGCACCGTCCATCAGCTAGTGACATCGCTTGGAGGTCACATTAACATCAGAAGTGAGATGGGCATCGGAACCCAAGCAGATGTCTACATACCTGCTGAAGAGCCTCCGGTGGGGACTGATGGAGACAAGACTCTCGCCCCGGAAACTCTCAGCAAACATCCCGCCCCGTTTCATGCGTGCTTGGTTGGCTTTAATGGCTACCCCGATATCACCGAAGCACCAACTGGAATACTCACCATAGAGGGGAAACGGAAGCTCAGCATTCAAAGCACCCTCGCCAGTATCTTCATGTCGAACCTCAAGTGGAACATCTCCCTAGCTGATTCCATTGAAGAAGCGCATGGCCAAGTCATCGTCATCGAAGAAGTTTCACTCGGTCGCGTTCTGACAAAACGCTGTCAAAGCGTCACAGAACTGGCCGCTGAAGTCGGAGTAGACTTTTTCATCGTACTTTGCGACAATGCGCCAGTCGCCCCGGAAATTCCGTCGGCGAACCTCGTTCGCGTGATTCAGCCGTGCGTTCACTCCCCGGGCCTCTTGCGTTTCTGATGTAAGCTAATCATTTGAACAGACTTGGACCTCGCAAAGTATTGAGTGCCGTCGAGCGAATCATGCACCTGCGCGAACAAAGGTTGCTAGCTGTCTCGGACACACCCGACCTCACTCCGCCGGCACTTTCGACGGACAATAAATCCCCGTCGGACTCTGTGTTGGATATCGATGAGCCACCTGCAGTAACACCTGTTCCTCCATTGAAAAGCATGGAATTAGCATCTACCCCGCCCTCATTGCGCAAGCAAGCGGTGGCGCACGTCCTCATCGTCGATGACAACGACATCAACCTCAAGGTTAGTCTCCTACTTTACGAGCCAAGGTTGTGCACTTTGCCACCTTGCCCTTCTCCAAACCACTCGCTAAATTACCATAGATCATGGCCACGTACATGGGAAGGATAAACTGCAGCTACGAGACAGCCAGCAACGGACTCATTGCCTTCGAAAAGTTCAAGTCCTCCACCTCTCGATACAACTATGTCCTGATGGACATTTCCATGCCAGTGATGGATGGAATCGTATCCACCACCAAAATCCGCGAACATGAGCGAGAAGCAGGCCTTGTTCCAACTTGCATCATGGCCCTGACGGGCGTTTCCTCCGCTGGCTTCCAGCACCAGGCGTACACCGCCGGCGTCGACAACTACCTCATCAAACCTCTTTCGCTCCGCGACCTCAAAACCCTTATGAACATTGCATGATACCAACTTTGGTACAACTTTCCCGGACAAAAGCTTTCGGATGCACAGCGCGGTGTTAATTTTTTCTTGTTTTCTTCTCATTTTCACAAAATTATTTGTTAATTCCGTTTTGCCTCTTGGATACCTCGAGCAGCATATGCATTGGAAAAATCAATATTGATCTGAGTTTACTATTGACCCCACTACATATGAATCTTTTAATGACGTGCATCCATTCGATCGGATCTCTCCGCCCCGTGGCTTCACATGCTTCGATTCGCGCACTGACGTGGACGTAGGTTCAATGCTGAGTCGAAACCAGCACATTATAGCTCAACGTGATTCTGTGCGAAGCAGTCAGAGGTGCCTGGATCCCTGGGCTTGATTTGGTTTCATTTCTGGGCTTTTAAATTCTAACGATAATCTGCTTTCGCACTAGACCCGGTGTTTGTCGCATTGGAGCCGAGGATGTTGAGATCCTCCATTGTCGCATTGGGGGGCGTTGAGAAACCCATATCATGTCCAAACGTCAAGGCAGTGTCGCTGAGGGCAGTGTGTCGCTTTGGGTATTCAAGTCCGGTCGATCTTCTCTAAAATAAGCAACACAGCCTTGTCGCCATGGCCTTTTACATAGTCTATGAGTTCCTCAGTGACAACCTTCACCAACCCCTCGGCCTTGAGCTTCTCAACCTCCGCCTGGAACCCACCCGGCACCCAGATTTCCTCCAGGATCGTCGAAACCACAATCCCCTTCGTCTTGGTCACTCGCACCAGTTCCCGCAACGCCGGGTCCGGCCCAACGTGGCCGAGCGTGAATGTGCCCACACAAGAAACCACATCGTATGTCTCGTCTGCTTTGGCGATGGGCGCATTCATGTCCGCTACCGTCAGATCCCGATAGACGCCTGTCTTTCGTGCAATGGCCAGCATTGGTTGTGAGAGATCGATGCCGTCAATTGCTTTCGCCTTGGCGAGTCCGAGTGCCACGCCCACAAGACCTGTCCCGCAGCCGGCATCGAGGACGATGCTGTTCGTGGCTCCGTTGGATAGTCCGTATTGGATGGCTGCTTGGGCGACGAGGACTGGTGCGACGTAGTCTTGGGCCTCGTCGGTGACTTCGTCATCATATGTTTCGGCCCATCGCTCGTATAGGGCCATGCAGTCTTTTGTGCTGCCGCTGGCGCGGGCTTGTCCTAGGTAGAGCTCGTTCACTGTGTTTGGGGCCAACATGGTGTATATTCCGATGGGATTGGGATTTGGATTGGTGGGTATTTCGGTTGTTGCTTGGGCTTTGTTGCTTTGGGCTTGTATATTCCGTGTATTGCATGAGAGGCTTGCAATGGGTTTAGCTGGGTTATATACTATATCTCGGCTACACCGGTAGCCTCAGACGATGGACACAATGGCGTGATGCGGGGTTTCTGGCGTATTATCCCGACAGTGACGGGATCGATGATGTCGGTGGGCTCTATCCTTCAGACCTCACGAGTAACAATGCAGAACAGCGAGTCGTGGGCCCCTCTTCCAGAAACTTTCAATTGACGACAGGTTGAGTCGAAACCTGCTCCCGGAGCTCCATTCCCCGCCAGTCAGCGCCAAGCAGGTCGTGGATTCGTCAATTCCAACGCTACGCCATGCACATCAAGATGAGATCCATAGATCAACTCAGATTGACACTCGGTGCGGGGTGCCCCACGGCAATCATACTAGGCCCTGTCCCGCCTAGAGCGAATATCATCTCCTTCAATGGACAAGGCTCGTTTTTAGCGCCTGTCGTCGCCAGGTCTTTTTGGTGGAGTAACTCCCTCTGCATGTACATGCACGTACCTGCACTGAAGTCAACCTCGTCTCACCATGTCCCTTGCCCGAGGCCCATGCCACTGCCTTTTTATGGGTACCCTCCTCTTGCCCCTGCTGTTTTTTTCGACGCGTGAATTTCGGGGATATTTTCCTACACGCGATTTGCGCTTCTTTCCTACCCAAGCTCAGAAGACTTTGCAGAACACTTTTGCCTCAGCTTAGCATTTGAACTTGTTCATTTTCGGATTATGCGGGCCTTGAAATAAATTGAGGTAAAAGTGATACTAACACATGTGATCCAAATGATTTGCCTAACACTGGCCAGTAATTTGTACTATTGACAGTGGACTCGAGTGGGACCAAGGTAATGCACGCGAGAATAACACGTTGGCAACGTTGGAATTAGGCTAAAATGACTAGACTCCACGCAGTTAAGAGAGAAACAGGCTGCAACTTTCTCACGCAGGAATGAGTGTTATACATGACGTGAAATGAAGCATCCTCGTTCGACTTGGTGCAGTACACTCTAACATCAAGATAACCAGGAAAAGCAATGAACATACCAATGCCACAGCTTTTCATCAGTTTCTCCATCTTTTAGTATTTTATTCTCTTACTTCAAACCCTTTGTTGTTGATGAGCCTGGGGGAATGCTTTTCATCAGTTATGGCCACCTAACTATGTCCGTAAAACTAGTGAAGCCATACAGAAAATACGGGTCCAGCGGCATTGGGAAAAACACATGAAATCCATTCTGCTTATATCAAGACCATTATACTGAATCTGTTGCCACCACATCCAACCTTGGAACCCATTACAATGTACCTGATCGCATTCTTCACCCTTCTAGGTCTTGCTGTAGCGGACGCAAACACAAACACAACTTATTGGATCAACCCCGAAGCTCTGGCAACAGGATTCCGGATCTGCTTTCGAAGGAAACAACCCCCCAAACAGGGGAATTATCTACTGTAAGTATGAAGAAAGTAATTGAGAAACTGCCAAATCTGACCCGAACCAGTTCAAACGGACCCTCAAAACAGCGTCTCGAGTATCACCAGGGTTGTTCAATTGTACGGCAACTACGATTATCAATCCTCCACGTTCTTCTTCACGATCGAATCCTCCGAGACCAGTGGTCATCCCTCAGCTCATTTCACCATAAATGGAGGCTCGTCAAACACGGGTTTCTTGGGTCTGGACACGGCTGGAATACGCCGACTTGCAACTGGATTGATGATAGCGCTTGGGTCACTAAGCGCGCTGTTCATCGAAGTTATAGGGCTGCTATGGTGTGTGTACGGAAGAAACCGCCAGTGGAAGGAAAAATATGAGGTTGCCGAAAAGGAAAGGGACGTGTTATCGAGGGTAGAGTACAGCTTCACTGCTACCCCGTTTCTCCGTCCCCAACCAGCCGCAGCTCAGACTGGGAGGGGTGGCCGGAAAGGGTGAGCAGTCAACTGAGTTTCTCACTCTCCCCCGACATCTATTTGTGAATTTTGAGATGCTGGGTCGTTCACCACTGAGTCTGTAGTTCGGCCCGAAGATCCGCCGCGTCGCTCAACCTGCATCTCAAACCGTATGCCCCGCGCCCGACTACCATCGGACTTGGGTTTGACTAACCTGCCGCCGATGAAGTCTTGAATACGAAGAGCTAGACGAGGAGGGAAAAGAGTGGTCTAAGGAGCTGCCGTGTCGGGAGACACCCGGCGTTCGTGGAGCTATTCGAGAGCTGGAGAAAACTTTCCCTAAAGCTGGGGTGGCCTTGATGCAAGTCAGATACGAACCGGAGCGTTATCGAACTAATTCCGAAATTAAATTTGGGAAGTCCTGTGTCGCCTGTAGATGAAAATGAAAAGGTAGATGGCCGAATCATCGTGGCACTAGGTAGTGACGGCACTAAGGGGATTCCATCAGCAATCAGTCTTGATATAACCCGTGACAGTTAGAACTCTACAAATTGTATGAATTAGCAAGGTGCTGAATGTATTATACTTATATGTTTTTGTCATGGAGGTCTGTGAGGGTTCCCGGGGCCCCGGGGCCCGGTCCCCAGGGGTTCGCACCGAGGGGCCCCGTAGTTCGCTACCTCCTGTCCAGTCCCCCCCCTCCTTAGTACCTGGTTAAGGAACTTTTTTTCTGTGGCGCAACTATTGATTATTACGGGTATGCGTTCCTGATTCAAAGGTTCCATGCACAACTTCGACAGTGGGCATCCTCTACCTCTGATCATAGAATGCTCCGAGATATTGTTAAATATCACACCATCCATTTTTTTATTTGAAACTCTTCTTCGTATTGGAAAAAAAAGAGCAAGAGTTTTTGATTCGTTCACTGCTGTTACTAGGGAAGGCCGCAGCGGAGCAATCTTCCCCTAGCGCCAGCGCCTAGAGGCGTCATGCACAATGGGCGAATCAGCATGGCTTTTGAACCGATACACCTATTCTCAGTATTGATGCAAGTGGAAATGGGGCTGAAGGATTCAACTAAGATCTACCGATCGATTAGAGTGGGCCATTATACTCTAGAGGGTTTGCATGCCTGTCAGCTTTAGGGGCGCGTAGTCAAACAGTGATGCCCAGGTGCTGCACTGCTATTTCGGGGCTCTCATGGATTATAGTCGATCGATATAAAGTGGTCTAAGGATCAAGGATCTATATAAAGTCCCCCATGACCTTTAATGATGCTCAATATTAGTCCACATTAAGATACCAGCCCTATTTCACGGGGCTGGGTCAACGAGCCTGATGGACGAGGAACATGGGGGATCCTAACGACTTGCATTCTCACGACGTTCCTCTGTTGTTGGACTTCTGTGATTCCGAACTTACCTGCCCAATGTGATGGCGCATTTCAAAGATGGAGATACAAATTGGACCTAGCCATCCTTACGCTACTTGGATCCGAGTTCATATTGATGCTCTCCGCAGGCCAATGGACATCCGCACGCCGCTCGGTCAAGGTGAGTGATTCTTCAACTCTAGGCGATATTTAAGCTGACCTGCCAGGACTTTCATGAGGCTGGATATATAAGCTGGACGATGAAACATGCGTTTTTCGCCGATATGGGGGGGGTTTAGGGTCAGGCCGCTCGAGCATGACATGCCATCATTTTTATTGAACTCGAATCAACTCTTTACGCTGGTCAAAGATGGATATCTGCAATATCCAAATCTGGAGGAGGAGGAGATTGAAGACAGGAATAAATCGGATGAACTGACTAGGTAAGGGACCTATCACCTTTCTCTCCGATTTCTCAAATTATACTGACCTGCGCAGGTGGCTGGCGATTGCACAAACCCTGTGGTTTACTTTGAATTGTATATTTCGTTTCGCTCAAGGTCTCTTCGTGACTACAATTGAGCTCACCACTCTTACCTTCATTATTACCTTCCTCATAACGTCATACTTTTGGTACCACAAGCCTATGGGTATTACTACGCCGTTTATCTTGGAGCTTCAGACCTCGATGGCGATCCGACATGATCATCAAGTGACCGGGTTGAAGTGGTATCAAACACCATTTGACTACCTCTCGCGGAAGAGGATATCTACGCTCGAGCTTGGAAATATTATCATCAAATTCTACGCTCTTTGCATATACCGCTGCTTACCTGGCCTAAACGACGACCATACGAGCGTATTCCGACTATCAATTGGTTAAATTTTGATGCCAAAGCCGAGATCATAACTTTCAGCGTTCTGTTTTTCGTTGCGTGGAATCATGATTTCCCTACCGCGAGTGCAAAAATACTCTGGCGCGTTGCGTGTGTGAATGTCTTAGTCCTCGCGCCGGTTGCCTGCGCCCTGGAATACTTGCAGCGAACCAGGCCCCGAGCGGATCGGAGCCAGAAGGGAGAATCAACATGAATTGGTCGCTTGGCTTCGAAGCTTAGGAATATAGATCCTGAGCAGGATCCTCACTTGAAAATCTATCTTCTGTCCTTTATTCCATTTTCCCTTTTTTGTGCTATGTATTGTGTCAGTCGGGGGTTTATCTTGATTGAAGATGTGATCGGACTGAGAAGTTTGCCGGACAGTGCCTTTCAGACTGTTTCGTGGTCAAGATATGTCCCTCATTTGTAATGAAAGGGTGGTGAAGTTGCTGAATGTATACCCGTGGACCATATAGCCTACTGTTAAAAGGGGGCGCGCTTTATTTCTTGACACTATTTAGTCCAGCGCAGATGTTCGTCAACCCACACATATGAATAGTGACTGGTTGTCTTCGCGTGGAATCTGATATTTACGTGGCAAAAGATTTGGTAGATTTGGGTAAACACGAGAATCAAGTTTTCATCGATTGAGATTTCAGAGGTATTTGGACTCCACGGGGTAAGGGGGCTTCTACCTAGTACTTGTACCTCGCCCACTCCCTTTCTTTTCTCTTTTCCACAGTTGACTCCATTTTCCTTCCGAAAACACTCGACAACAACTGCGGGCGTGCATCTCAAGGTGCGATCACACTTTGGGGGCTGAGACGAAAAGAGTCACGGCCCCGGGGGCTATAGGGAGTTGCCTAGTGCCTGGGCAGTTTTCCCTGCCACATCTGCATCTCACAACAAACATCAAAGATGTTGGCTAAACGACGCCGGAGCATGCCCAAGGTTCGAACAGGATGTTCCACTTGCAAGTGAGTCCAAACATAGCCTTCACTGAGGTAGTCTGACTCGACCAGAATTCGGCGTGTCAAATGTGACGAGCAACGACCAAAATGTCACAAATGTGTGTCGACCGGCCGTGCCTGTCCAGGGTACCCCGCAGAGGCACAGGCGACAACAATCAAGATCTACAATCTGCCATTCAAAGTACCGGGCAGCCGAACAGACCGGGAAATGTTGCATTTTTACCATACTCATGTGGCGGAGAGTATTTCACAATTATCTGACTCGACATTATGGCTGGACGTCATCATGCAGCAAAGCCAGCACCACGCTGTTATTCGAAATGCCCTGGTTATCATGAGCTCTTTGTACAAAGACTATTCGCAGGGATCCCTAGGCACATCGCCATATCAGCTCGAACTTATCAACAAGGCACACAGACAACTGCGACTGCATCTTGCGTCGCGCAGTGCATCCGTCGAGGCTGCGCTGATTTGCAGTCTGATTTTTTATATCCTTGAATGCCTCATCGGCAATACAAAACATGCGATATGGCATCTTGATCGAGGACTGACCCTGCTGCAACATTATCAGGAGGAATCAATGAGTCTTGATCTTGTTCCGGGCTTCGATCGGATGGTGACCGTTCTGTCTCGACTTGATGTCCATGCCAGTATCTTCGACAACGAGCGACGTCCCATTCTGAGGCTCTCTCCGCCGGTGAATACCGTAATGACTTATGGCGTCTTATATGTCGCACCAAATAGTCCTGCCGATCTCGATACTTTCGAGAGAGAGCTCACCATGCTCCAAAATGCAGTGATGCATCATCTGATATCATATGCCGAGCACAAACAAACACAGTCCGATCAAACCCCCCTCTGGATCATTGAACAAGCCCTCTTTCTCCAGCAAGAAATGCAAAAGCTTGAATCAAATCTGGAACAGATACTACCTTCTCTCGAAAACCCACGACAAAATCAGCACCAGCGAAAGATTCTGTTGCGGGTGGAGGTATCGGTATTCCACGGCGCATTGTTGGAGACCATCGACGCATCCACCGGAGAGTCCGTGAGATCGACAGCAGCCAATCGCAGATTTGATATTGCCCTCGCAGATATACGTACTCTGTTGTCATTCAATACCACATCTCCAAATTCGCAGATTCGACAGTTCACGCTGTCTACGAATCTCGTCGCAGTATTGTACTACATCTGCATGAAGAGTTTGGATCGGGAGATCGTGCAATCTGCACTGTCGATCATGCAAAACAGCCTGTCTTCGACGCGTGACGGTCTTTGGGATGCAAGTATGGCTGTCGGGGTTGTGCAATCCCTCTTGCCGGACATGTCAGTTGTTAGCCAATCAGACGACATCAAACTGGAAGATTTGGGGTCTGGAATCGTGGACACGAGCGGTGGATTGGAGGAGGCATTCAGACAGCTCACGTTCGAAAGCCCAGGGCCTGAACCCCTCGATCGCGAAACGTAAAAATGCCGCTATATTTATTGTGTCATCCTGTCTCTGTGCATTTGAAACAGCAAGCTAGCGAAGTGTCATTGTCGTTTGAACGAAGGGTGAAATATTGATCGAGCAACCGCTCGGCTCTATATGCAAACATAGCTAAAGTGAACATTGGACCGCAATCAAACAAAGGAAATCAGAAACCGAGAACGAAAATCAAAGTAATAGAAAGTACAAGTGCAGCAAGGCTTGATGGGACTGTCCCTCTCGCAGCAATCGAAAACGCTGCAGGCTGAGTCTCATTGCCGGAGACTGTGCCATTTTCACCGACTTCCAATAACTTCGCAAATCTCATCTCATCGCGCCCGAAATCAAATACTGTAAGCACATTCTTCAAGAAAGACACTCCGAGGATGTTCACTGTCAGACCTTCAATGGACACCTCCTCAGACGCAACGAGGCTGGACACACAAAAGCCGTCGGGAAGCCGAAATAGCAAATCAGATCCATTATGGAAGAATGTTTGATTCCCCATCTTCAACCCGAACTGAGGTGGCTTGGCAGAACAGTCGACAACAGATACTTTCAACTCCTCGTTGTATACGGCCGGGGGCGAGAAGAGGGCATTGACGCGGTCGACAATGGAAGAGGGAAGATAGGTCACATAGTTGCCAGAATCAATGAAGGTCTGGAACTTGGTCGAAATGGTGGTGAGATTGCTGGAGGATGTCCCAAATGCAGCCTCGCGGATTGTCGTCGACCAGTATGAGAGAACACGCTTCCCAGAGGTAAAATTGAGAGGGATGTCTGTGATTTCCACCGGAGCCACGGCGAATTCAGGACTATAGCTGACGGGAGGAAGGCCCCCGAGTGTCAAGTATCCTCCGAAAGCCGTAGATGTGTTTTGAGGAGATCGTGCCAAGGCAAGACTGAAGTATGGCTCAACCAGACCCTTCTTGTGCATGGTGTTGACCAGGGGATCATAGGGTAGACGGTTGTACCAGTAGGTGGTGTTGTCTGTGACATTACCCGGATGCGCCGAGGTAATTGAGGGATATGCGAGACCTAATAAGCCGCTGTTCACTCCATCTCCCATTGGATTGGATCGATTGGCAATGCCGACTTTCTGTCTGGTGGTCACGTTTCCCAGCGAGACATTCTCGTATACGAAATAACCGCTGGCAAGCCCGGCGCCATATTGGATACCAAAATTCTCATTTGCGACTCGAACGTGGGTGTCAGAAGGCTGGTAGGTCTTGTTTCCGTATAAACAATCCTCTTCACCCATGACGAGGTTGTCGGTGGCATTGAGGCAAGTATACCCAGTCTTCATCACATATGTATCACTGCTTCCGGTGTCGACGAGCATGTGGAAACTTTGATTGCCAATTTTCATGGGGGCATCAAAGACTGTCCCGTATTCAGTCGAGAGAAGTGGGATTGTAGTACTCGCCGAGGCGATGCAGGCGAATGCCATCTGAACGGCTGGGATGGATTGTAAACCGCGCATTGTAAGTGAAGGATATTAGAGGAGATGATAAAAAAATGAATCTGTCCTATCCCATGCCATCTATTTATGTGTTTTCCGATGATCTTTTTGCATGCCTGCGTGTATATGCCAAGCATCGTATATTTTAGCGTCAGGCATCATGCATGATCATTGCTTGGCACACAAGCAGCCCCCGGGGCCGCCCAATTTTAGAAGACCTTACATTACGATATTATACACGAAACCAGCCCTTCGATATGCTATTTCATTGGATCGGACTTAGGTTTTCGTTTCGCAAATTCCATTAGTTCCATTGACATTGTAATTCATGAATGCAGCAAGACCAATCATATCATATGAATTGAATAAACCACCGCCCCGGGGCCATCACGCAGACGCCCCCGGGGCCCCGAACTTCATCGTCAGTCCATGATGTCATAAATTAGTATCAGCTTGATATACTAGCCCAGGGGTTGAACGATCAATCATGCCAGCGTTTGTCTCTCCTTGAGAACCTCTTTCAGGTAGGGAGCGTCACCCTTCTCAAATGGATGATTGCGCTCGAATTCAAGGACATGCTCACGGTGCTCGTTGCTCCGCGGGGTGAAAACGCACTCATATTCCTCGGGGTGGCTGATGATACCAGGGGTAAAGTTCACAGAGGACTCAACCTCCTGTCCATCTTTGTTGAGAGGCTTCGTGATATTGAAAACAGCAAGGGTGTGAGAGATTGTAAGGAAGAGAGAAATATCTGCAACCAGACGACCAGGACATAAGCGTCGTCCAAAGCCGAAGCTCACGTTGTAGGGATCTGGAGTTGTAGTGGAGGCTGAGTCGAGCAAGAATCGCTCAGGATTAAACACAGTAGGATCGTTATAGGCCTCGGAGTCATTATTGAAGGACCTGTGGGAGTGTTAGCTTTAGTTCTAATCGCCATGGAGTTCGGTCATAATTACCAAATGTTTGCAAGCAATAAGGCTCCCTTTGGTATCAAGTGGCCGTTCACCACATCGTCTTGATCGGTTTTGTGAGGCAACCCAAGGGGCGCAACGGTGTGCCAACGCAGAGCCTCTTTGACAACAGCGTTGATATAAGGCAGTCTGTCTCTGTCTGCAACTGAAGGGAATACATTCTTTCCGAGCACTTGATCAAGTTCTGCTTGTGCCTTTCGCTGAACTTCAGGGTGAAGCATCATTGCAAGATAAAAGCCCTGGAGAGCAGAAACAGTCTACTATGCGTTAGCGAGAGAATAATTTCAATGGTTGCAAACGATCTGACCGTATCTGCTCCAGCACTATATAGTGCAACTGATGACCATTTCACGATCTCTTCATCTTCCCCCTGTTGGAGCAGGTTCGCAGTGAACGAGTTGTGCTTTTCGTCTGCCATTTGCGATTTCGTGAATGCAAATGGTTCTTCGACAAGGCGGGTCAAGGTGTGAGCGTAGAAACGCGCGGTCTTCTTGAACCCAGCCCCTGGCGCCCACTCAGGGATATGCTTTACTGTAGAATGTGGTAAGAGACCAGTCATTCTTTGCATCGCTTTCAACATTCCCCTTGATCAAACTTACAAAATGGAATCATGTCAACTAGCCAAGCACCAGGAACGACTGAAGCCGAAAATTGTTGGAGTGCCAAATCAGCCAAGGATACAAGAGGGTCGCTCAGATGCGGCTCGATATTGTATCCGTAGGTGATTTTCAGAATGAATGCACCGGCGGCACTAGTTTGATTTCAGCCGAGAATTTCACGAAAATTCATAGGAGAGTACCGACGTTCTTGTGTGGTTCACAAAGTCTTTCGGGTGGTTGAGCACACGCCAAAGGAAGCGTCGCGCTTCCACTTCGAGCATATCGTCGAATTTGGACATGGAACTGCGCGATCCAATAATGCGCGCCATTGCCTTGCGGTATTGACGAAGAAGACTGGTATTGTCTTGACTTGAGGGCGCTTTGCCCCACCCAACGCTGTTTTCAATGCGAATCAATATTTGATCGCTCAATTCGTCGCGGCTTTTCAGTTCACGCCTGAGAAATGCATGGGACTTACATTTCATCCGCAAACACTGTATCAGGTCGAGATGAGTGCTTGGCAGAGCGCTTCTCCAAAATTTCTAGAGCAAGGTTGCGATCGTTGATGATCACCAAAGTAGTTCCGAAGATCGAGATCGAGCTCAAAGGTCCTATTTGCAATTAGAACATGGCTCCATGAAGAGGGTGATGCGAGAGGTTTCCAATACCGTAAAGCGTCTTATGCTTGAGCCAGTGCTGCCATTCCTGCTTTCCTGTTGGCGGTAAATCCAGCAAATTTCCGATTATGGGCATTCCCCTGGGACCAGGGGGTAACTGCAGGCCTGCCTTGGGTCGGAAGAAGCAGTAAAGAACATACGCTGCTGCTAGGGCAGCCAGCAAAACTCCCAACTCCATGATGGTCGATGAACGGAGAGAAATTCTGGCCGGACAGAACTTGCCAGCCTGACCAACTTTAACAGCCGTCCAAACACATGTCAGCACGAGACACAAAACCTCCCATCAGGGTCAAGTGGGTCACTGGTAGCTGTCTTGGGCTAGTAGGTGATTTTTTCCGAGTCTGGTAAGTGGTATGTAGCCACCGCCATGGCACTTCTATGCAGGCAGTTGGGAGGCTAATGCACAAGGTGAGGGCTAGCGGAGGTTAGCGGATCCACGCGGGACAAGAGGCCTCGGATGAGGGCTGTACAGTACTGTGGAGATAATAATAAACCAAGTACAGTAGATACTCCTAAGTACAGTAGTGCCCACTGTCATTGGAACAGAGTTGCACTGCATAAAGCTGACTGAAGATCCGGAACTGACCCCTGCTGATTGGAAGCATATTTCCCGCCTAACGTGCAAAATCAAGTTCTGGAACGTGGCGAGTAACTAGCTTTGACACTTCTCAAGCCTAGGCTGTGCGATTATGGGGGCGTTGTGGATATTAGTGGTGCTTGGCTCTTAGGCAAGCCGTGTTGACATTGGCAGTGCCCAATCACCGTCGTTTTGTTTACAAGGTGGATCTGGAAAGGGATAAAGACTCCGTGCGTTGTGGTGCAATAGAACAATTCCGTTGGAGTTCCACGTAGGCAATCACGATGCGTACCATGCTGGACCTGTCAGTGCCCGGGATTGTTCAAGCAGTGAGAAGTGAGATTGGGAATTTTGTCTCGCGCGTATCGTCGAAGGGAATCGGTTGTTGGGAGACAAGGAGTCTGTTCCATCGCAGTGTGCCCCGCGAGAGCCATTATGAGCCTGTGAAGAGGTATCGGTTTATGCAAATGGATGCAGAAAAATAGGAATCAAAAAGTGAGTATCAGAGTCGCGTCCATGTTTCCCAGGTGTACGCAGGGTCAGGCCCGTAGATCCAGCCAAGCGGTAGGCCTCCAGCCGCTGTCGGACCCCGCGTCTAGCTCGTGGAATACTCGCCAGCGAAGATGACTTGAACGTAAGACTACCCTGTGTGGGTTCACTATCAATGGAGGATTGGTCAACAATTTCGTTCTCAGCGGTACAAGGAAGAGAAAAAGCGCCCGTGCGATACTTGATTAGTTTCCACTTGGGAAAGGATAGGTTCTTTCTTCTGAGTATGACTTCGCCGGGATCAGGAGTCGATGCAGGGTAGGTTGAGATATTGCGAGTCAACTGATTTCGAGATGGTTGGCCACTTGCGGTGGGTGAAAGGGAGGTCCAGTTACAACACAAGCGCTGAGCAGTGGCGTATCATTCAGAATGCCATGGCCGCGGGGCTCATACAAGTCCGGTCAGCGAGTTCACCTCAAAACATGTGAGAAATATACCATTGCGAAGTTTACCCTTTTGCTGGAGCGGTCCGATTGAATCCGAAGAAGAGTATCTGGCAGAAACGTCAAAGAAAACGAAGACATGCCGCAGGGTGTATGGATTGAGCAAAAGAAAAGTGAGATTTGCGTATGATCAGGCCATGGTTTGCAGCTTGTTTCCAGGGAGTGATGCGATTCTGGACATGAAATCGCAAGTGGTGTACTCCGGTGCAACAGTCGCGCATATCAGACTGTCACTCCAGTTCCCATCGTACAGAACACCTACTTCTCTGAGAATAAACATGTGTATTTCTTTTGAAATTTTGTTCATACATGGTATGAGTAAGAATTCACTCCACAGATCCACTGCACAAGTCACTTATTCCTTCGTGTGTCACCGGAGAAAGTCACCTTTGCGCCGGTCCTTGCGTACGAGGCTCAGTTGGTAACTTCTTCGCCCTGAGGTTTGGTCGGTGTCAGCAGGTTGGGCGTTGAAATCAAACTTGCTTCGCAATGCCAGCGTAGAAACTGGCTACAGGGCAAAATGAGACTTACGATCTCTCGCAGGTCTCCCTGGGCCGCATAGACTGTTTGGATCAAGTTGGCAACCGATCTAGGCGGGCGGCTGACCTTGCCTCCCATGATCTCTTGGACTGAAATGCGTTCTCCGTAGAACCGCTCGTTCTCGTCAAAGCGCTCGATAACGATCGTACCATCGAATGCGACACCGACATAGAGACCTTGGCTCTTCATGTATGTCAAGATGGGTGCTTGTCGCTTATGAACCTCGCTTTCAATCATTCCTCCTACGCCGACTGGGCCAGCGGCGACGCTCAGTTCTCCGCCGATAGTGCAACGAACTTTTGTAAATGCCTCCAGCGCCTCGTAGGTGTTGATCACCATAATGCAATCGTAGATGTCTATACCAGCCAGGAAGCCAATGCCAGCGGTATGTAGGAGAACACCAGACGGCGGACTCCACTCGTCTGTTCCGGGAATGCGTCCCAACAAGACTCCGCTGCCCCCGGAGCCACTAAGCCACATGCCAGTGCGCATAGTGGTGAAGATCAGCAATCCTTTTGCACGTTGAATCACATGCTGCGGTATCCGTTTGAGAACCCGTTGTTTGCTTCGTGGTCGACTGATCTTGCCATTCTCGCTCATGTCATCCTCGGACTCGGCGGCGTAGACTCCATCCGTGCAGAATCCGCGAATGATGCGCGCAGCTTTGTCGCTCTCCTGGTCAATGGCCATTGGCCAGAAAGCCTCGGCTCCTAGTCGGTTAGAGAGACGATTCACCGGAGGGCCCAGCTTGTCGAGAGCGTCCCATGCTCTGTCGAAGCCCACTTTCGAGTAGCGTTTTGTCTTTTCCCAGTACTGATCCATACTATTCCGTGGAGAAGAATGCTGGTGAATGAGAGGCAGTTGACGGATGATCGACGTAGGAATTTATCAATGGGATGTATGCAACTCCGGGGGTGGATGGTGATGTTGAGATTCCGCAGATGGTCAGCTTCGTAGATGGTTGCAGTCATCTCGACAGATCACCTAGGCATAACAAACCTTGGAAGAGTTCTGTAGTCACAAAGCTGCAGAACTTGGCCATAAACCGAATACGATCTAATTACCACTCTGGGCCTAGGGCGAATTTAGCGTCAGTGGGTCCCGAGTGAATCAGATCGTGATGATCTATATTGCCAATAGGATATCCGATCAGATGTGCATGCGACTTGGGGATGAAGACAGGGAAAGGTATCATGCGGATCACAGCCTTTCTACTAGTAAGACCTTGGAAGGATGCGACACGACTGCAATCACTAAAAGGTACCGTCCCAGGTCGCTTCTCCATCAGTTCCTTATGTAGTTTCAAACGGGATGGAAAATACTTTGAGGAACAGTGAGGCACCATGAGTCTTGCCAGGTGGTAGAGCAGAGGCAACAAGTCTGGTTTTGATATTTTGCTATCTCCATGTTGAAAAGTCACATAAGTCTCTAGGAGGCTGGGAAGCTATACTCATGCAATGGAGTCGGCGGATGGCTGGCCAAGAAAATCACGAATCGGTGCCGGTGGCCACGGTGCTGGGGAATAAGGTCTGTTAAATGAATGACGACCTGATCCTACCCAGAATTTCTCCTCATCAACCGGAAGGAAAACGAGGGCTCTGCTATTCGGCGGTACGACGAGGTCAAGAACAAATTCTTCATTGTTGCGCACCTCCCAAGCACACTCCACCTTACCGCCAGGGGCCTCATATGTCGCCTTTGCAAATGTGATGGTACCTCCTGGAACTGGCTGCACCTTGATCTGGCTCCAACCAGGGCTTAATGGAGATATCCCGGCCACAGTGGTATGTAGCCAGTTGACTATTGACCCGAGGGCATAATGGTTGAAACTCGTCATCTCCCCACCGTTAATAGAGCCGTCGGGCTTCATGCTGTCCCAGCGTTCCCAGATTGAAGTGGCCCCCATAGTAATGGGATAGATCCAAGACGGACATCCTTTCTCTTGAAGCATGCGATATGCTAGCTGTGGATAACCGGCACGGGTGAGAGCCTCCGTGATGATCGGAGTGCCGACGAATCCCGTTGAGACACGAAAACCGGCAAGTCGGACGAGATTTGCGAGGCGTTTTCCTGCTGTGATGTATTGGTCTTCTGAGTCGAGCAGGGAAAACACCAAAGCCAGACTGAGCGCTGTTTGAGTGTCCCCGACGATCAAACCGGACGGGGCCACGTATTTATTTCCAAACACTGATTTGAGGCGAAGGTAATCAGCGCGATAACGGGTGGCATTGGATGTTTCGTGAAGCAGTTCCGAGGTCTCCGCAACAACCATCGTGACCCTGACGAGATATGCATCAGCTACCAAAGTGGCGTTCGTCCTGGAGTTTCCGGGCTGGGATGGCGGTGCTGTAGGATCAAGCCAGTCGCCCAGCTGCCAATACTCGATATCCCAAAGTCCATCTGAGCCGCGCGGAATGCCTTTATCAACCCAAGATACCATACTCTCGTATTGTCGACGCAAAATCTCCACATCACCAAATGATTGGAAAAGCGCCCAGGGTGTGAGGACAGTCACATCATCCCATACTGCATGTGGAATGCTACTCCAGAGATCTTCAATCGCATTTGGCACAACAAGCGGTGGAATTGAGTGGGCGTTGGAGCGTTGCTCTAGCGCGACATCCTGTAACCAATCTCCCAACATGCCGGCTGTGTTGTAAATGAAATTTGCAGATGGACAGAAAATTTGAATATCACCAGTCCACCCCAATCTCTCATCTCGCTGGGGACAGTCCGTAGGGATAGACAGGAAGTTACCACGCATGCTCCAAACAGCATTTTCGTGCAATTTGTTCACCATGGGGTGGGAACATGAGAAATACCCAGTGCGGTCCATATCAGTGTGCATCACCAAAGCACTAATACTCTCTTTGGTCAGAGGGCAGATATCATCCGCGGGGGTCCACCCCTCAACTTACACATAGCGAAAGCCGTGGAAGGTGTACCGTGGAGACCATTCTCGTAAGTCTTGATCGGAAGTGATGATTTCATCAGTGCATTTTGCGTCGCGCAGAGGACGGACTCCAAGCTCGCCGTGCTCCATGACCTCAGCATGTATGAAGGTCAATTTGGTGCCTGATTGCTTCTTCAAGTGGTGGATGCACAACTTTCCCACGAGATTCTGACCGAAGTCGATGATGGTCTTCCCCGAAGGGGTGGTGAATATCTCGACTGGTCCCACAGTCTGCGTGACTTGGACTGGCGGAGCATCGGGGATCACTAGTCGTGCAGCTGGCATTTCAAGTGTCCTAGTGCCCAACCAAAGGCCTTCATTGAAGGCTTTTGACCCGTGCCCGCCCACAGGTTCCTCTCGCGCATCGTACAATTCTCCATCATAGATCTCACTTCGGATGATTGCACTTGAACTGCACTTCCATGAGTCATCAGACAAGACCTTGAATTCCACCCCCTGGGATGAGACGAACTCCAGCTGAGCAAGCACGGCGAGGTCCTTTCCCCAGATACACCGCTTACCACCGAAGAAGCCCAGTTTCGTCGCATACCACCCTTCACCAACTTCAACCGCTATCATGTTTTCTCGGCCGGGCTCTAGCAACGTTCCGATATCGAAGACTTGGTAATTGATTCGATGACCATAGCTTGTCCAGCCAGGTGCGAGGCATTCATCACCAACTCTGCGGCCGTTGATGTGTGCGGTATAGCTGCCTAGACTAGTGATATACAGTCTTGCTTTTCTCACATCATCAAGTGGAATTGTGAAAGGTGTTTGGAATCGCAGGGGTCGTTGGGGTTGATTGGATTGAGGTTGTCCGACGGTAATGATTGGGCGAGCGATCCAGTCCGAGAGATCCAACAAAGCGCATTCCACCGTGGCCCACGGAGACCAGGGAGTTGGACCCAGATTGTTGGCTTATCCGTCATCTTGAACCCGCCCATATGCTCGAACTCGAACCCGAGCCTGTCCACGAGAATGCAACGGCCGACTTGGCCAGGGAGTCAAAGTGCAACTCTGACCAGGGAGGTGGTATGTTTCCACCCCGGAGCTGGGGAGATGAAGTATTTCAACGTCATAGGCAGACTGTTCCCAGTGCGGCGTGGTTGATGGAGAAGAGAGGAACCTCCAGGAAATGCGCGGTGCAGCGACACCAATGCCAAAACCGGTGTGGTGCTGCTCAAAAGAGGGGGTGTGGATGTTGGGCTGCTCGTTTGACATGATGAGGACTCTTCGAGTGTAGAGAAGAAGGAATTCCAAGAGGGAATGCACCCATCTTTATAGGTTTGCTTCGGCAATAATGATCTCGGGGGTGGCACCTACAAGATCTGACAACAGGGAGCTCGCTTTCATTTACCCCGAGACGCGTCAAACAGACCTTTTTTCTTTTGGCTAAATACGGAATTAGTTGGAATTCCACTGCATGGCCGTCCTACACCCATATAGGCCCAAATTATTTAGGCCGCCATCACCACTAATACCCGGCCCGTTTTATACCAGCGGGTATTTTGTCAGGACCTGCATATTGAGACAGCCTGATATCATGTATCCCGGTAAGTCGTGGGACTTGCACGGTTGGGGACACACCCCAACGGGGTGCAGTCTACATTGCGATCCCCAGTCTTCGCTTTTACGAAGACACATGATCCACACACAGTATATAACCCCGTACTGAGCTGAGGACTAGGATCCTCAGCGATTAGTTCAGCAATCTACTCTCATATATTGCTACTCCACTTATTGCCCGAATCCACATAGATACAGACTCCTGCGAAGCAGGGTCTAACAATAGAGCCCAAAAAAAGCAAATCAAGAAAGGGAAGCCTAAGTAAAGTCACCCTTCTTCTTGAAATTAAAACAAACAAGGTAAGTAGAAGCGGTCTTAGAAGGTTGGCAGCAATACTACCTGTTTAGAAACGCGATGAATGAACCACGGATAATTTATTGTACTATCAGAGATCAGCTTATGTAGGCTCTAACCTGGTATCAATCAGCCATCAGGTCTGCATATCCCCCACTGTACTAGTTATCTCAGATAGCATCAATTGATATACCTAGATACTCCGTGAGCAAGATCAAGTCTTCTCCAGCTGTTCAATCCCAATCACTCCCCTCAAAATACTCATTCCAGCCATAGGTTGGCCCGACACAGTAGGCATTGCCAACAACAAGCTTGGCATCGCAGTTATCCTCACTCAGCGAAGGGTTCACGTCCAAGAACAAATACCAGGGAATTTTGCTCTGCACACAGATCGTTGTGCAGGTCTCCTGCAGTGCCTCGTTTGTAACAACATGCCATTTCCCGCAACCGGTTGTTGTTCCCTCTGCGACAGTTGAGTTCTGAGGAGGCTCAATCTGTGGAATCACATAGCCGCCATCAGAGTATCCGGGTGATGTGGGATCTTCAACCGGGGCAGTGGTATTCGAATCGCCAGACTGGGGTGAGAGGCAGATGACATGGCCGTACGCGACATCGCTGACAATTTGAAGATTGGAGCAATCATAACTGATCCAAGGGTTGTACTTGCGTAAGGTGGTTCCGTCTTTGTAACCGACGCCTTGAGCCTTCTCTATAGAAGTACAGGTGTCATTCCCCTGAATGGTATAGACGCTTTCACATTGCAATGGCATGCATAGCTTTGTGCCGACTGGGATCTCCTCGCATTCGAACAGGTTGTCATGTCCAATGAAAAGGGCGGCCGATGAGACTTTGTATGCAACCGCAATCTTGTCACACGTATCTCCAGCAACGGTTGTGTATTTGATGCCTGAAAGACACGAGTCCGACGGTGCATATGGATCGACCACTGGCTGAAGCGGATCTGGTATCTTGGTCGGGATTTGGAGACCGCATCTTGAGTTGATGTCAACCAGTTGTGATTGGAAGTTCTTGTCGTATTCAGAGTAGGGGGTTGACTGCATCTTTTGGTACCGGTCGACGTAGCAAGAGGAGCAGAGCTCAGAAGTGGGCATAGCATCAAATTCCGGATTGAATTCACTGATTAAGTCTATGCATTATCTCAGGATGGGAGCCTGTCAAGTGAGGTTGGAGGATATTTAAACTTACCACCACAGTATTTACCACTTTTGGCATCCTTTGCGCAAGTCTCATTCCATCCTGCCCAAGCATTTCCACCTTTGATGTTCAATGGAGCAACGCTTTCATCAGCTGCACAGTTGTCCGCGACCTGATGGAACCAGGTGCTCAAAGATTTTCCGCAGCTAGGGCTACAAACCAAATCACTGAGAGTGTCATTATCCAGACCCCTTCTCCACTTAGGTGTCTGGAACATGTAGACCTCGTCGTCGCAGTTGATGAGCTTGGTAAGTGCTGTTTGGCAAATAGGGGATAGTGTCGACAAATAGTCTGAGTCGGAATCGTCCTCGTAAAAGTAGAATCCCGTGAAGTTACGCTGTCCGATAACGTCGTCTGCCTTGCGGAACCATCCAAGCAAAGAGGACATGAAGCCATTCTTTGTGTCCTTGGCATACGTCGCAGTCTCCCCAAGCGGGCTGATTGACTGGACAATTGCCTTGGTAACAAGATTGACGATCCAGATATCGCTACTCTGCTCAACGTAGAAAGCTTTGTCTTGGCAGTCGTTCGAGTTCAAGCAGTCTTGAGAATATGAATTGAACCAACTGTAAATACCTGTAAAGGTTAGCAATAGCGCGAGTCAAGGCCGAAGAAGATGGTACACACCTGCACCGAGCATATATATCGATTCCGAATTGAGCATTCTCACAGCCCACGAACTCGTGCATGTTTTGCAGTCACCAGTTTCTGGGTCATCGGGGAACTTGCCCAGTTTGAAGGGCTCAGGCATTGGAGGCGTGGGTTGGAAGTAGGGGGACTCGGTTTGTATCATTCCCATCACCAAATTTTTGGCCCTCGATAATTGGTACTGATACATGACACTGTGCTCTGAAGCTGTGCCATACATCCAGGTAGGTCCCTGACTTTCGATTAGAATACCGCGTGCCACGTAAATGTCCACTTGGTCCTGAGACACCTTGTCAAGGTCATGGTCCGCGACCCAAGCCCAAAGGTTCTCCATGTAAGCCGAAGCTGATTTTGTGACATGAAGCATAAGTGACGCGCCGATACAGTTTTTGTTTATAGTTGATGCCTTTTTGGGACATTTGTCGGACTGGAGCTGGGAACCAACAGCTCCGCCCACGCGGAAGTGAGAATCTGGGTTCGTTAGCCTTTTCGTACGCAGATGCAAAGATTCGACAAAAAATTGCGCATCAGGAAAAGGAAATGCTTACCCCAAAGACCTGCAGAGCCTTGTGTAGACTCGTGGACATTCCATTCCATCAGAACAGCACCAGCTGTGGGCCCAGACGCCGTGAACATCATATTTTGGATTTCAATGATACCAACATCACCCTCTTTACCCACTTGGACCGCAACATGGGGATTCTCGGCATCTTCAAACTTGCTGCCTGTCGCCATAATCTGCGGCCAAACCTGTCCGACAATCCGGGAACCAAGCGGAACACGTAGAGTATCTTTAATCACGTAAATACCGTAGGGGAAGTACACGATGGAAGACATATTCGCAGCAGTGGAGAGGATACTGTTTAGAGCTGCTGTATCATCCGTGGTGCCATCACCTTTAGCACCATATGCTTTGACATCGAAGACCTGACCGCCGTTGAGACCAAAGTACTGAGGACGACGACGGGCAAAGAAATTCGAGGTCCCTTTGACATATGACTGGCTGCCTGTGAGTATCTTCTTCCGCTCCAAGGCTGGCAGTTGCTGCTGTTGTGCGAAATGAAGTCCAGTATCGTCATGGTAGAGTCCGAATCCCCAGGAATCAACGAGGACCTCATCTCCTCCAGATAGGAGAGGCTCAGTAGTAGTGTCGGATACAACTGCGTCCTTCACATTGAAAAATCCCACATTCTGTAGTAAGACTGCCGTAGAGTCATCTGCATATAACGATGTGAGGATTCCTGTTGGCGTGTTGGCGATGATGGCATCCACCAAGATGTACGAGCCAACTGATTGACCAGTACTGGCCACACCTCCGGCCTAAACTAGAATTCAGATACAATTTCTCAGACTTGACATGTTAGGGAACTTACACCACCAGTCACTACAATTCCGCGTCCACATGACTCGATCACAACGTCTTGCATTGTCCAAGCCCAGTCCCAGTGGCTACTGTTTCTGTTCCTTGCCAAGGTTCCCGGTTAATCAACAATGTCAGAGCCTCGACGCGCGGCCCACCCCCATTTTGGCCCCCATGGTGTCCTTGGCCATCTCCGAGAAGGATCTTGAACAACTTCAATGTAACGAAGATGGAGTACTAAGGACTTAGCTTCCCATTGAATGCAAATTAGGAAAGGAAAAATTTTCAAATCATACAAATCAGGCTAGATGCAATTTACCAATGTCTTAAAGCTCAACGACCCAAAGTTATACCAATTTGTTAGCTTCTGAGGAGGGTATAAGATCCTTTACTCCTTAATTTCCGCTCAGTGAGAGCACGAGCTGTGTATTCCTGATGTCGGGGAAGTATTTACTAAGACTCAGCATACTGCTCTGTGCATTGGTACTGCTGGTCCTGGGACAGGATTGCAGTGCAAGCAAGCATTGCGCTACAGGATGCTGGTATGTATGATTGCTCCGTAAATTGGGAAATAGCCACTGATCATTCATGACAATTAGCTCAAAGTCCGGCTTTTGTGGAACTACTCCAGAGCACTGTGGTGACGGTTGTCTTTCGACCTGTGACTATAAACTCGGATGTGACGCAAAGAACCCTTGCGAGGAAGGCTGCTGGTAAGTCTTGTTGGTCATTTTGGATAAACTTGTTGGCAGCTGATTGAGATCAGTAATAATTTCGGCTTCTGTGGACATGGCCCAGACTTTTGTGGCAAGAAAGTCTGTGTATCTGGCTGCGAGCGCAAATCAGAATGTGACCCTGGCTTTGGAGGTGAATGGGCAGAGAGTAAATCGTGCCCACTCAACGTCTGCTGTTCAGATTTCGTATGTTGCTCGAATAAGTTCTCAAAGATTTGGGCCATGCTGACCTTGTGTGGGTTTAGGGTTACTGCGGAACCACGAAAGAATTTGTGAAGCTCACCCTGATATTATTACATTTCGAATATTGGCTAACACCATATTGCTTTTAGTGTGGCAACAAGACTGTGAAGCACGAGACTTGCTCCAAAGATCGATACATGTCCAGGGTCGTCGGTTATTACGAAGGATGGTCTACCCGGCGTCCCTGCCATGACTTCTGGCCCGAACAGATTCCTCTCGGTGTCTACAGCCACATCAACTTCGCATTCGCCACCATTGATCCAAAGACATTCAAGGTGGGGCCGTCTGACGACCGGGATGTAGAATTATATCGCCGGTTGACTTCCCTGAAAACCTACGACAAAGACCTCAAAGTGATGATTGCCATCGGAGGATGGACGTTCAACGACCCTGGTCCAACTGCCACAGTGTTTTCGGAGCTCGCAGCATCAGAAGAGAAACAAGACAAGTTCATTGCTTCGTTGATTTCTTTCATGTCTACCCATGATTTCGACGGTATAGATCTCGACTGGGAATATCCCGAAGCCGATGACCGCAACGGAAAGCCAGAGGACTTCAAAAATTTCCCCAAGTTCATGGCCAGACTGAAAACCGAGTTGAACAAAACACCTGGGCGAAGTGAGCTTTCGATCACGCTACCAGCATCATATTGGTATCTCCAGCACTTTGACCTCAAAGGCCTGGCTAAGCACGTTTCATTTTTCAACATCATGTCCTACGATATGCATGGCACCTGGGATCAAGGCAACAAATGGACAGGTGCTTTCTTGAGCCCTCACACCAACTTGACGGAAATCAAATCCGCTCTGGAACTGCTTTGGCGGAACGACGTGGAAGGAGATCAGGTTGTCATGGGGCTCGCATTTTATGGACGATCTTACACGACCCAAGGGTGTGTGGAGCCTGGATGTGTGTATGCCTCCGGGGGTCTTCCAGGTCCATGCAGCAAAGAAGCAGGAATTCTTCTCAACAACGAGATCATGGATATCATCGACGAGAAAAAGTTGAAGCCAAAGCTATACAAAGAGGCCGCAGTCAAAGTTGTCACTTGGGATGATCAGTGGGTTTCCATGGATGATCGAGAGACCCTAGCCATGAAAGCCCAATTTGCCCGTGAACAGTGTCTCAGCGGAGTTATGGTGTGGGCGATCAGCCATGACACGCCCGCGGCAAGCTTCTCACGAGATCTGGCAAAGATCACTAACCGCCAAGTCTCAATGCAGAGAGACCAGGTTGACTCCGACATCATCACAGAGAAGACGAACCACAACCAGTGTCGATGGTCCAACTGTGGAAGGCCCTGTCCTGGAGGATGGAAAATGCCCCAAAGAATCGACGACTGGAAGACTGGAAGCCCAGAATATATGATGGATGACACGCACTGTAACGGCTTGGGCACACGCTCATGGTGTTGTCCTCCTGATGCCAAGTTGCCAAAGTGTGGCTGGTATAGCTTCAACGACGGTAACTGTCAGTCTGGGTGTCCAAGTGGGATGACTGAGATTGGTTCGACAACAAATGGATGCAAAGACAGTCACCCTCCAGAATACCAGTCAGCATGTTGCACAGTGGAAGACGATTCCAAAAAAGAGCTGAGCAGCATGGCACTTTACAACACCTGCGAATGGGGCAAGTTCCCTGAGTGCGGTGATGGCAAGTGCTCCGGGTCAAAGAGCTCCCTTCTCGGTGAATCTGGTCAAGGTAGCGGTGACTCAAACTGCTATGCCGGAGACGTTTGGGGGAAGCACTGGCCAAGACACTACCACTCACTGCGCAAGTATTGTTGCAATACGGAGTCGAAAAGCAAGCGATTCAAGAACTGCAAATGGCGCAACAACGTGGGCTTAGCCTTGGACGGTCAAAGGTGTGTATCTGGATGTGATGAAAATCAGGTACGTGTGGCGATGGATGGTTACAACGAAGGATGTTACCACTCCGGTGCTCGAGCATACTGTTGCGATGCCGTCAGCTACACCGAGACCTCACGTGTATCCGATGAATTGCAAGAGTTTTCGGATGCACTCATTGACTGGACAACCAACTACGTGTGTGCGGAGAGCTACCCTGAGACACCTCGTACATCTGAAGCCAATTCCCTGAGCGTCCGCGAGGATAAATGCGAGGTTATCGCAACTCGTTTCCTGGTCTTTCACTTGGTTGCAATCTTCTCAGGTTACCAACAGGGTCAGGACGATCACTGGCATCGTCTGGTCAACGCTTGGAACAACATTGCAGGGCATCTTTTCGAGAACCTGAACACCGCCACGATGCTTCCTAGCCTTTTCTCGGGTAAGACTGTGCCAGAGTTCCTACGAGATGGTTATGAGAAGACCGCGACATCCATCTACCTCAACCCATCAGGATACAATCAGCTGTTCGGTAAAAAGCCCAGCGTGATTACATGCCACCAGGACCTGTGCAACTATGGAGATGAATCGTGTGGCTCGACACTTGCCCGACGGGAATCCACATGGAAACAAGAAGTTAGTCAATCATCAACTCTCTATGCTCCTCACTAATCACGCTTGAGATTGTAGCGAGATGTGCTTCACCACCTACAAAAAAGGGCCAATAGCAAGGTGCTTTCTTTCATTTGCGTGGATAAAGATGGCATCGACAGGGTGATACAATGGACGAGATTTGCTTATCCAGGGTCAAAGGACTGGTTGGAATTGAAGACTAAAGATGCAAGGAAGGACCCCAAAAAGAAAAAGGCGATCGATCAAACTGTGGATCTTGACACTTCCGGTGATTGTGGAAATACTGCAGTGCGTCAACGAACAGCGACAACGCAGGAGCTTAACCCCGAAAAGCCCGATGGAGGCAAGGCCCCAGAACCTGAGGTCAACAGTAAGTCATTTTTGCGCAAAGTGAAAAACACAATCTGACGGGCTAAACCTTAGCGGATCACCCGTTAGAGGTGAAATTGATTCGCAGGTTCATGGAATGGGCCATCCTAAACTGCGCAAGTGTTGATTGTGACTTCCTCCTCAACTTCTTCATCAAAGATATCATTCCGAAAACTGCACCAAAAACCCCGGGTAGCAACCAGGTACTTCAAAAGCCCATTGATCGGATTATGGAGCAAATTGGAAGCAAGAGCAACTTCGATGTGTTCCGGCTGATGGCTCGAAGTTTGAACAAATTGAAAGGCGATGTCAGTGTTTTGAAGCCTTGATTGCGAGCTAGCCTAACTAATCTTAGCTCTGGGATTTCGATAAACCCAACAACGTGATGTTTGCTCAAGACGCTTGGCTCGAAATGGTCGCAAAGAAAGATCCAAGCCAGGCTTTGACCATGCTACGAAATGTGAGATCTGACGTCGCGGGTGTTTGTTTGCCAGCCAAAGCACTAATACTTACTCGTCACAGGTTATTGCCGTCTACAATTATCAGAATTCCGACGATGTCTTCAAAAGAATCATCACCGTCTACCAGGCTATTCGTGAGGAGTTGACACGCACTTCTCTGGCGCACTTCCAGCTAGGACATGACTTCATCGACTTGGTGAGTTGCTGGGATCGCTTCTTTGAAATCCAGCAGAACGAAATGGTCAAATTCGGAAAAGACTTTGTCGAGAACGGAATTGATCAAATGGCAGCTCGATGGGTTGACGATTCCGAAATGAGCGACTCACTGCGAAAAACGGCCCACGCAGTCCGAGAAACACTTAAAGTGTTGAAAGGGAAGATTGATGAGATTTATATGAACACCCCTGCCCCAAATTACCGACCCACCACTTACTAGGTAGTTAGACCATATCTATGGATGTTGCATGGAGGTGCTGATGTATATTCATTTAAAAGATTTTGTCCAAGCCCCCTGAGATGGATAGTAGAAGAGGATCCTAAGTAGACTGAATGCCTAGGTAGACTCATCCCTGGAGCTTGACATACTCAGCTTCCGTAACGCTTGCTGTTCTCTTCACCTGCCCATCTGGAGAAGAAAGAAACATTTCCTTGATCTCGGTTGTCGTGGAATAGCCATCCGTGTAAACTTCCTGTGTATGGGGGGAATCCATTCCCCAATCTCCCCATTCGTGCTCTCCGGTCATAAGATCTTCACAATAGAGAGCAAATTTGAATAAACAGTCCAGATGAACTCGGACCATTCCTTGATAAAACTCCCCAGTGTCATCATCGGGGTCTTCGGGATCAAAACAACTGTCCACCGCGTTGACATAACCAACCATAGCTCCCGGCGGGTATGGGATAGATAGCGAACCCGGCTGCACAAGGACTGGTTGGACCGGCTCCGCACTAGCGAGAATGGATCGCACACAGCGGTCATCCAGCAAAAGACAATAATCCAGACGAGGAGTACCACTGCAAAAGCTAAGACCATGGCCTTTGACCCATTCTAAATGTTTTGTGCGAATTGTGGCTACCGACGCCCCCTCCAGGGCTGGGTCTTCAAAAATCACATTTCGGTAGCCATCTCGAATCATGCCGATGGTATTGTACCCACTTCGAGCCCAAGAGAGCTCGAAGGTTGTTAGGCCATTCAGACAGGACTGGTCAAGCTTCTCAATTGCTTTCGCCCAGTCTTTATCGGACGTATGCGTGTAGGAGGTGCGAAAAATCGCCCAGCCCCACGGCCACCCCCCCGGTTTCTCAGACTGAAAGGATAGGAAAGGCGGTACAGAGGCCCAGTCTGGTCTTGCGCGTTGTCGTAAGATTCGCTGACCGATTGTTTCATTCGGCGGGAATTCGGAGTCAAATTCGGATGACTGCCATGGTGTAGACCATGACTTGTCATGGAAGATGCTGGGATTAGGCGCAGGCATGCAGTCGAATGGCTAACTGACGAGAATGTGGAAGATTTTCGATCTCTCTGTATTTGGTTGATGGTCGACCTGTTGAGAGAAATGGCAGGAGGGAGAGAGAAAGAGAAAGGAATGCTCATTGGTGATGTTCTTAAGCCCCGCGAACGGTACTAACCAGTTTGAGTTACTAAGGATACCATCTACTTAAAGCATCAACTTGATGAGAGAACTACTCCGAAGCATAGAACTATGGAAAACATAGCTTGATCTGGGGAAAAGGAGAGAAGCCAAATACCGAGATCAAAGTTGTGAACATCCGGTCAGGTGACTGTGATTCCCCAGATAGTAGCTCGCTCTCTTCCTCTACTTGCTTTTCTCTCCTTTCTCTCTCATTATCTCGATGACAGAATCAATCTCATCGTCCACGCGGAAGCACTTCACGTCGCTCCATCACCAAATCGCTCAGGTGTGGGGCGTGCAAAACTAGCTTCTCTCTCTCGACTCAATTCGGAATGCTCGGGCAAACGGGTCAATATCGCGTTGGAATTTAGTGCTTTGGTTGCTACCTGTTTCACAGACTGAGAAAGGGGAGCGACAGGGTGGGGCGATTCAGAGCAACTCCCAGTGAGACCGCTGACTCCTTGAGCGAATATCTAACCTCGAGCACAGGATAGTGGTCAATGCTATTCTTCTGAATCCCACCAATGGGGGAGCTCGACCATGCTTGACCTTGCCTCCATATGCAATCTGTTATTCATTCATGCTTTGTATCCACCCGGAGCCCATTGCTGAACTACGTGATTACCCACAACAGAAGCACCCTATGGCGGTTCAACGGTTTCTGAAACTTTTCCGGCCATATCGTCGAGCTGACAGCGGTGGTCATGAGATCACACGCCTATCTTCCGGTATCTATCATTCATAGAATATGATAGATCCCAGCAAGGCGAACGAGTGGCTAGGCTTTCTTGAAGTGCCTCGATCTAAAGAAAATATTTTGTACGCCGACACTGATATCTTTATGATGTGTGCTATTTTCAAGGTTTGGTCCTTCCACACAGGCTCTGTGCTTTTGATTCTAGGCTTTCGATATCCTCCGGGGTAATACATGGTGTGAAATACGAAGAACAGGCAACTCGGTTGTTTATTCTGGCTTCACCGGGCTCTAATTTCGTTCGCAATGGACACCTTTACAGTGGCCTACGAGCTGATTTTCTCTCTGTACAAAATCAGCTTTTGCCAATATTCATCTTCCACGGACCAAGTACCGAAGAAAATCATCAGCTAAAATGATGATCTCACTTCATAACACTGGTCAGTATGAAGTTGAAGGTCTAAAGGAAGCCATGTGCCGAAAAGCCAAATCCGTTGCCGAAGCCATGAATCTCTAAAGATGCAATTGAGCGCAACTAACTGGCCTTCTCTAGCTGCTATAATCGCTGCCTTCGTTCTGATCTGGCAGTTCGTGAAAGGAGGAGACTCGAGTAGCGGCTGGCCATTGCATGAATTTCCAGTTGCGCAATATCCTTGTGATGGAGTAAGTAACATGAATCAGACTACCCCACACCACGATTCTAAGTGGGATGTGATAATAAAAAGGACTTACTCACTCGAGTTCTAGGGTGACATCTACGCTGAATCAACATACGGTATCGCAGAGGCAGATATCCAACTCCTCTCGAACTCCCGTAGAGCGACCTGTGACCCTCCTGTACGTTTTCAACCACAGTCCCAATCACTTTCATCGCTGAATCTTTCGTCTACAAGTGTACAGGGTCAAATGCTGTTTGCTGCAATGGAATTTGCGTGAACAACATCAACAGCAACCTCAGCTATTGCGGATCTTGCGGGAACTCTTGCACTAATCGACTGTGTCCTGCGCCCGCGGCGTCGGCCAGGTGCTGCTCTGGCACCTGTGTTGATCTAGCTATCAATGCCACCCACTGTGGTAATTGTTCAAACGTTGTATGAGCTTTCCATGCAGTCGCAATTCGGCTTGAGTTGCTATTAACGCTGTCTTCATCTTCTGCTAGTGTACAGAGCCTTCAAAATGGTGCTGCTCAGGGTCCTGCTATGATTTAAGAAGCAGCCCTGCAAAATGTGGCGCCTGTGAAAAGTCACCAGTGAGCTTGCCACTCTATGCTTCGCCTTCCAAGCTCTAGCCTCGTGCTGGTTTATCCCGAAGCGTGGATATACAAGCGTTCGTTGGTTGACTGAAGATACTCATAGTGCCCTGGTACCATCCCCGGCTGTTGCGTAGGCAGATGTCGAGATTTCGGTGTCGATTCCCTCAATTGCGGCGTTTGTAACAATGTTGTAAGTCATCTGCTCGGTGCCCGGACTAGGACAAGGCTAATATATTCCTCCAAGTGCAACTCGACCTACCCGCTGTGCTGTTCTGGCAGTTGCACAAATCCAACTAATGATATAAATCACTGTGGCAGCTGCACTGCACCACCATGTACTGGAAGGAGACCGGCCTGCTGCTCCAGCAACTGCACAGACTTGAGCTTGGATCCACTGCACTGTGGTTCATGCAATATCACTGTGCGTTCGAACCTAATGGCCAAATTGATTGAAACCCGAGTACCCACTGACAATTCCAGTGTCCCACCTCACCTCCTCAGAGTTGTTGTTCAGGAAACTGTGCCAATCTAATGACAAGCCAAACGAACTGTGGAAGCTGTAACAAGACAGTAAGCCATCAAAGCCCCTTATTTCCAAAAGGAATCATATAACCATTTGCAAGCAAAATAGCAGGAATACTGACATGGTTACTCAGTGCCCCTCGGTTCAGACCTGCGTTGGTGGGGGTTGCGCATGTCCGGCGAACGGCACATTCTGCGCCATCACAACCTCCTGTGTAAGCGGAACTCTTGACCTCGCATCTTAAACCTGGGGAAATCCGGAATAGCAAGAACTGACGACTGAATAGTGCGCTGCCGGCTCGACGTGTGTTACAGCGGGATCTGTAGTTGGGTGCTGCCCTAACAATCGTGTTTGCCCTCCACTCCTCAATCCCAATGGAGCCCCGATATGTGTAGGTGTTATCTCCTGTTGTTAAGCCCAGTTACTGACGATCTAGTGTAACCTCTGCATTCGTGGGCGATGTATCCTCTAGCAGATTGACCTGCGAGCTCCGAATAAGGTGATAGCTGAATATCTGCGATTTTTAGGCGCAGAGACAGAATCTAAATCTACCTGCCTGAATGATTTAAGTCGTTTTTCTCAGTAATTAGAGCAGCAACTGGCATCTCTTGGTGTTGAATCCACCAGGCAAAAGTCACTCCGGTCGCCGGCGCTAAGTGGAGCTGGTTGGATCGGAGATGTGCCCGCGTGTGCCCCTTTTATTGGCCGCGAATTTGCAAACATCCTGAATGCAATTCCCCCATGAGGTTTAGAGCAGACAGAAGTCCGATCGCCCACCGAATCACCGCTTAACAGGCTCCCATGTCTTGAGGATCACCAACGTGTTTGGTTCTGAATCTTCTGCACACCTACAGGAGCTATATTCAGTGTCGCATTCGGTATTTGGGGGCCAAAACACCGTCACTCATAAAGGAGTCAACTTCAGGGCTGGAAGCTACCAACAAAACGCCAATAATTTCAATCACGACTACACTCAACTGCGTCGGACTCAATTGAAATCATGCAGTTCGCCCTCACTTGGACTTTGCTAGCTGCTGCCGGTTTGGCGGCAGCTTCCCCGACAGTATATTTGATCCGCCACGGCGAGAAGCCCAGCGATGGCGGTAACGGACTGAATGCACAAGGCCTTGAACGTGCCCAGTGCCTTCGATCTGTGTTCGACAAGAGCTCCGAATACAACATTGGACATATTATGGCGCAAACGCCAAAGAGCAGTACGATAGCACTCCCACGCAGCTTGTGGACGAACCTGCGACACGAACTAACTCAGTTGTAGATGGCAAGCGGGCTCGCCCATATGACACTGTTGAGCCACTGGCCGAGGACTTGGGTCTCACCGTCGATACCTCGTGCGACCGTGATGACTCGAAGTGCGTCAAGGAAGTGGTGGATGGATACAGCGGGGAAGGAAATATCCTGATCTGCTGGGAGCATGATGCTTTGACTGATATTGTCAAGGAGTTGGGCGATAAAGATGCACCATCGTATCCCGATGACAGGTGAGTTCTTTTCTTCCTAGTCTGAATCTTGGCCAAGTGCTTATTTGCATCTAGCTTCAACATTATTTGGACCGACCCGTCGCCTTATTCTGAGATCACTGCGGAGACGAGCGAGAACTGCGCTGGATTGGATGACTGAGTCTGGAGAAAGGCCTATACATTTTCTTTTGTCCGTGGTTCGAACCTGGTCGATAGATCTTCCATCAGTATTTAGATCTCGATAGACTTATTGAAGAGCGCCACGAAGAAATAAAACTATAATGCGAATAATTGAATTATTATGGAAAATCCGTATTGGGGTATTGCGCAACGATTGTGACCACCTCCGCATGTCCTAGGCGATGGGACAGCAAATCCAGTCACAGGGTGATAGACAACACAAGTTGACTCGTCGAAAAAGAGCTTGGAGTAGCCAATCAGCGATATGTAGCTGCTCTCATTGCATGCATCAGACAGTCTCTTTCTCGCCAGACTTGGGAACAACGTTCCCCTCCTCTGCATGCACGGCTCCAAGCTTGTCTGTCTGGATTTCTCCCTGCTCGAGCTTTCGCACGTGTTGGAATTGCACAGTTGTCTTCCACGGTCTTAGACCAGGTGTGGTGAACATTGTTTCAACCTCTTCGAGTGTCTTTCCGGCTGTCTCGGGGAAGGCAAAGAAGACGTGAACGGTCATTGCAAAACAGAACACGCCGAAGACGAGATAGACCCTCCATTGGATATTTTCAAAAGCGGGAGGAACAAAGTAAGATAAAGCAAAGTTGAAGATCCAGTTCGATGAGGTCGAAAGAGCGACAGCCTTACCACGCAGGCGGAGGGGGTAAAGCTCAGGAGGATAAATCCAGCTAACGGGACCCCAGGTAGGGGCGTAACTGGCAACGAAAAGATAGGTGCAAGCAATGACTCCTTTGGCTGCCTTGGGGGCTTCGGAAAGATCCCACGATTGCTCGGGGGTGTTGTTCAGGCCGCCAGGGGGAGCGGGCTTGCCGTGAGTTGCCATGATTCCACCATTGGCGAACATGAAGATCATCATGAGAGTGGACCCGATCAGGAGTGGAGTGCGACGGCCCCAGCGATCGATGAAGAGGAGGGCTAGGATCGTCATGACCACGTTGATCACGTATTGAATTGACGAGGCGACGAGGTTGGCGTTTCCACTTAGTCCGGCCATGCCGAACACGTAGGTAATGTACAGCATCATCACGTTCATGCCTGTGAGCTGCGACCAGATCTGGGTGAACATGCCGAGATGAGTGCGGTAGAGCATGGGTCCCTTGAACAAGTCCAGGTACGAGGCATCCTTGTTCTGGCGCTCGAACTCCACCATTTCGCGGATTTCTTGCAATTCAGTCTGCACGAAGGGTGCGTTATGATCACCCTTGGCATGGACCGAGGCCAGAACCTCATGTGCCTCCTCCCAGCGATCTTTCTTGGCTAACCAACGCGGACTTTCCGGCAGAAGGAATGTCAGGGCAAAGAGAAGGGCAGCGGGGACCATCTGCAGACCCCATGGGGTACGCCAGGCCTTGACGCCCTCCATAAAGCTGCAGCCGTATGAAACGTAGAACATGATCAAAATACCCCATGTAATTGCCCACTGCTGGGCACCAACGACCTGGCCACGCTTACTCGGTTGCGCGAGCTCGGCAACGTATACGGGGACCTGGGCACTGAGGATTCCGACCGAGAGGCCGTTGATGAAACGGCCCACGACGAGCTGGGCAATACCGTAGGAGGCGCACACGATGGCACTTCCAATGCACCAAATGACAGATCCGGACTGGATGGCACCCCGACGGCCCATCCAGTCAGTTACAAATCCTGACAAGAGAGCTCCAACCCAGGAGCCACCGGGCATGGCTGCTGAGATACCACCCTGGTTGGCGGAGGTAGGGCCACCGCATTCTCCTTTCTCGTTGACTCCGGTTTGGTTGAAGAAGCACTTGTACTGTTGGGTGCCCAGACTATCACCCAGTCAGTATGTCTCCCCTGCCCCTCACTTCAGGGTCTAGGGTATACTCACATAGCAGACATGGAGGCGATGTCAAAACCAAACAGTGCACCGCCGATGACGGCCACCGTGGTGATGACATAGATGTTGGTAATCTTGTACCCCATGATGATCGAAGGTCAAGATGCAAGATGCGGAAGAAAGAACAGAACGGGGAGGCATAAGCTTATATACCAAACACGTACTCCGTACAGTGGGGTATGTTCCCCGGATACTACAATCCCCAGGTTTTTCCCTAACTCACACTAACCCTGCACTAAACAAACCCTGACAGCGTCGATCCAATCATACCCACAACAGCCCACCAGCGGCGTCCCCGTGGCCGGATAAAAGGACAATTCCACGATAATCATTGCCAGATACGTCGATCAGGTGTCCCTCATCCCATGGTCTATACAACTTCACCAGTTCAGCCACATCGTTCCATCGTGCGCGGACCCCGGACATTTTCCTATTCAGTTCAACATTTGCAAGGGCGCCAACTTGCAAATGAAAAGTAACTTTCCACCGCGAGGACTAAGCATCGCAGCCGATACCCGCTCTGCCATGGGCGTTGCTATGGCTGACGGCTTGGCTGATTTGAGGGGGCATCGCCTTGGCAGCCCCTTTATGATTTGACTGAATACGAGGTTTCCCACATGTCTGATACGACCTGTCTGGTCAGAATCCTGGTTTCAGTTCATGATTTGACCTCTAATGGACTTGCTCTGTACGGTACCGTCTGGCTGTCCTGGGATAATTCCAAGCAAAGGCGCAAACAAGCTGCCCAGCGGCGGGGGTCTCTGGTTCTTGGCTTCGCGTTCTTTGTTTTGTTTTATTCTCGACGAACAAACGCACGGAAGGCCTAGCGAAGTCGATTCCCGATATTCATAACCAATAGGAAATTGTGAAATGGGCGTTCCATCGCTGGCATGATGTTGTGTTTCTCTCGACTGTCACACCATAACACGGGTTCTCTAGCTTCGTGCTTGGCGGGTTGGCATTTCAACCTGAATCTGCCAGTCTGTACGGAGTACGGAGTATACTTCTCTGTTCTGGGGCTATGGGATTATGAGGGTGCTTTGGTGATATTTGCCTCGGTGTAACCCTGAACTCACTATAGCTTTGGACCCCATGTAGTATCCTGGGCCAGGTCTTCCACCAATAACATTATGCTTGGTTCCCGTGCTTCAAATCTAAATGTCTTGGAACCTGGAAGTACAGCTGTTAATGAGATTCTAGCCTTCGAGTCGATGAACTACTCATTCTCCCACTTGAGGTGAAATTTGGCCATGCCATCTGCCCATCCAAGTTCTGCTTTCCATACTTCGTACTTATACGCTAGACTATCGTTGCTTTGATCTTCCAAGTTTTCCTTGACTCTTTGTGCATCTCATACCAATATGTGTTGTTTATGTGAGGCATTTCGAATAATCTTGTGACTCCAGGGTGCTATATTGTATTACGTAGATGGCTGCGCCACCCGAGAACTATTCCCAGTGCATTTCGAGGTTCTGAAGCACTTGAGAGAATCTGGCTACATGATTTCCCAGGTTAGTTTCCAGGCTTGGTGATGCTGGTGATGTCTCGGCATCAACGGGAACTCGTGCAATGTCTCATCTCGGAACTTCGTATCAGCTTCAAGGTTCAGTGTCATTGTAAGGATTGGACTTTGGATTTTGCTAAGCCGGAGGAGATCCATGAATGGATTATGACCATGATCAAACGAAGCAACATACCCCGTGGGCATCGGAAACTTGTCGCATCTTCCCAAAATTATCTGATTCAGATCAAGGGAACCTTGGAAATCTATGGGTTCCAGCATAAGATCAGATGTCTTCGAAGGTTGTGACTGCCCAGGTGTTGACAGATTGGGTAACGGTCAAGGTATTTCGGCCCTGTCAATACAGCTTCGAGGGTCTCCAAGCTTCGCACATGTCAAGCATGGCATGGGAAGTCTGCGGAAAAACACCGTATTGCTATAGCCTCAACATCCACGGATATATATACCCGTGGACCACGAAACCAACACGGAAACCCCTGTGTATAGTATATTCATCGAGTATTCGCACGCCACACCGAGTATGGCTGCAAACATCCCAAGAGTTTTCATCGTAAAAGATCATGAAGTGATGCTCCTCGTGACAGCATTGCTGACTGCCCAGGTGGGAATACGAGGCGGGATGGCGTGGGGGCCAAATCGCAAGGGGCCAACTTCGATCTGTAGACCTCAGGACGTGAATTCTCTGCACCATGAGGAACCCCGAACCTTTGGAATCCGATGCCTTGCCTCCACCATATACAGAGAACGACCCGCAGACGCAGGTCCCAGGATATGAACCCGGGCCCGCAGCGACCATCAAGTTCCCCCCCGCGCTGAACGGCTACTACCAATGGAAGCTGACCAGCACCTTTCACCTGGGGCCGACCGCAGAGGAAAAGCTCTTCGCGGTGTCCACACACGCGACCGTCTTCAACAATAAGCCCTCGGTGGTCCTGCACGATGGACCGACTAACACACACCCGGTGATGGCCACGGCCCTCGGAGATAGGTGGGGGAGATGCAGACCGATCGCGCTCACTTTGCCCCCACGCCCCGATAGCCCTTACTCCACGGAGATTGTGGAATCGTTAGTTCCCAGCTCTGCCAAGCTTAGCTCACCGACGCATACCTTCGAAGCATCGGTTGGCGAGAAAGGGACGACGCGGGAGAAATTCGAGTGGCGCTCGAGTTATGGCAATGAGATCAAGGAACTGGCGGGGCATTCGCATGGGTGGAAACTGGTGCGTCTGGCGGCAGCGCCGAATGTAGGTGGGAGCAGGAGGGAGCGTGATTTCGGGTATACGAGTGATGGGCTGGAGGTTGTGGCTGTCATTGCGCACAACGCCTCGTGGAGCATGACGAAGAGTCTCAGATTTGCTTTTATGGGCAGTGGGCTGACGGGGACGATGGGGGAAGCGTGGGAGATCCTCGTGGTGACTTCGGCTCTGCAGCTCTGGTATATAGATGTGCAGACGAATGCAGCGGCGACTGCTGCTGCGAGTGCTTGAGATTGTACTGTGGTTCTGTCTCTGTTTGCCGCTTTCCAATACACTTGCCTGTTCTGCTGCCAACTTCTCTTCTTCACTTCACATATTGTCTTCGCTTTCTTTCACTTTCACCTCTTTGTTTTCACAAACCATCTGACCTCACTCGAATCACTTGATTATTTATTCAAAATCTGCTGAATATACTCACTGTAATAACCCAGGGTTGACCACCCTTCCTGATCACTGGGATCGACAGTAATAGAATTCGCCTACCCGACAAGGATCCTTTTCTACTCCAACCTGCCCTATCTAAAGCGAGTGGGAGAATCACCAAAGCAATCCAGAAGACCCTGATGACGGAATATGATCTCCTGGTCAGACACAGATCGATCACTCGCCCGATCATTGGCCTGGCAGATGGGTGAAGTCGTACGCGAACCGGAATCGTCACTGTGCTGACAGCTGCTGATGAGCTGCCACACCTGTCTTGACCCGACACTTCTTGCCAACACATGGACCAGGCTTGGTCCCAGTTGGCATGTTCTACCAAACCGCACCACGGGCAAATAACAAATCCATCGAAGACTCTCGAAGGCTATCTTGTGTTGTGAACACCCAGTCAGGCGTCATCATGGCTGTTCCTTAGATCTCTCACCTTGCCCTTATCCGCCTTTCTCGGGGAAGTGACAACACCATGGACCGTACCAAATCTCGACGTCTGTACAGGTCTTCGAAAGATACACTGAACGCCAAGGCCAAGGACAGAAACGAGCAGCGTCATGTCTGCTTCAATACTCTGTGTCGGCCTCATCAGTCCACCACTACAGTGACCCTTCTGTCGCAGAATCCCCTCTCAACTACGCTTTTCCATTCCTGGTCTATATGTATCTCTTACATTTGAATTGGGCCGTTCATTTGCTTTGGCCGTGCTTCTTCTGTATCCGTTCGACCGTACACGCCCCACACATTTACCTTGCAATAGAGACTACTAATACCCTCAGAATAGGACCCCTGTAACCAAATCGGCTATCATATGAGAATCTCGGAAAAGGAATCCGATTGGTATCATGCAGCCAGACGTATGTGCGGTAACAGCGCTGCATTGAAAACTCGCTGTCAATGCCACTGTCCCAAGCACGACGTCATTTCGAAGATCTTGTCGGTATATAAGTTCAATTCCTCATAGACAGCAGTCGCTGGATAAGTATGCAAAAACCGAGTTCGATTCAGAATTTTCCACGTCTCATTCTGGGAACGTCCCCACAGCGGATTTTGGCCACCGCGGTGGATCAAATTTGTGAACCCCAGAATTAGCGCCCTGATCGACTTCGATTTGACACTCCTCTCCGCAGTGTTGTCGAATTCCCGTTTAGAAGGACAGAAGTGAATGTCTCACGATGGCCTTGCCCAATGACGTACTGCTCCTGATCGGCGAGGAACTGCAGACAGATCGATGGAACCTCGTCTGTGTCTCAACGCATTTCCATGCCTTATATCTCCCACTTCTATACCGAAAGGTTTCCCTTCGCGATTGGAGAGATGCTGCTTCGTTTTTGTGCGCCATTTTGAAGCGCCCGAGCCTCGCGACCGCGGTGCGGGAATTGGATCTGACGAAGTGGCGGGCTGCAACGGTGTCCGAGCACGAACGTGAGGAAATTGCAAAGAATATCCCATTGACGGAATGGGTATCTTCTATCTCACATTCACAGACCGAGAGTGATCAATGCATTTGGAGTCTTGGTCAAGGGTCGAGCGATGCCTGGATTGCAATTATTTTGCCTCTTCTGACTCAACTACGAGAGCTTCGTCTGGTTTACGCAACGAGCTCACCTCACCTGGATCGGATTATGCAAAGGGTAGTGACCGGTGAAAAACCATTCAGCGATCAACCGGCGTTTCGCCACCTGAACACTGTTGCATTGCATCACCGGGAAGATCTTGACCGCGACACTGAAAGCCAAGAGTCGTCGCCTTCAGGGCTCCTCTTGCCTTTCTTCCAGTTGCCTTCCGTGCGCACGATCAGCGCCAATTCCGTGGTGGACAAAGCGCCCGTGGACACCGACTCGACAGGATCCGAAAGCCCAAGAGCCGGTTCCTCCTCTGTCACTGAGATCGACCTCCGCGCAAGCAGTGGCAACCACGGCATGGAGGTGCTGATTGCCTCATGTGCCGAACTGAAGTCTTTCAAATACCAGCATTCGGACGCCCATGTCTTATCTCATGGATATCGACCCTCTGCCTTCCACCGATCACTCAGCAATAGCAAGACGACTTTAGAAACCCTGTGGCTTGACAACTATGGAAACCACTATCCCTTCACAGCCGCCGGCTTGAACCAGTCCCACGACGAATGGTTTGGTTCTCTAGCCGAGTTCACTGCACTTCGTGAGATACGCATCCGACTCACCAATCTCCTCGATATTAGATACCAGAGTGACCCGGCAATACCTCTCCTGGACTGTCTACCGTCCTCATTGGAGACGTTGTATATTGAAGGGTGCGAGGAAAGGCACTTCGGTATGCTAGTCTCGCAGCTGCAGACCGTGGTCAAAAATCATCGCGGTCGCTTCCCACATCTTCAACGCGTGGGCATTGAAGGCGCATTCCACGACGTGGCACTGGAGGATCAGAATGTTGGATCGGGATCGGTCGAATCTGCGATCAGCAACAAGATCCTCCAGGCTACGGAGTCGTTGCACGTCGATTGTTTGAATATTGGAATGGAGCTGCGAATCCACGATCGAGCTCTTTCGCATTTGTGATTTCATTCGATCGGCTTTTGTTTTGCCAATCGGCCTTTTAGATTCGTGATACCACCCCTTGATTATATGTTCATAGATTTGCCTTTAAGAATTGATAATTGATGATTATTTCATAACTGCATTCCAAGGTTCTATTCCGTGAAAAGGGTATCGGTGGACTTCCAATGGAACCTTGGAGACCCCATATTTCCAACGTGGGCCTCGGAGGCTGTTCACCTATGCGAAGCATCCACCGACAGCAGCGCTCGTCTCAGACCAATGTAATCCCGCTTTCTACAAGGAAGCAAGGACGGCATCGGCGCCAGATTTCTGTTCATAAGTATCAGCTCCGTATCACAATCCGCAGAACGTCATCCATACCTTGACAGCACCCTTCTCAGTTTCAATCTGAGCATAGCCGACCTTACCGTGATCGATAACAATGGCATACCGACCAGTGCGACCAGAAGCCTCATCAGCCCAGCCAATGCTCTTGGAAAACTTGGCCTCAGGATCCGAGAGGAAAAGCTACTTCGAGTCAATATGGGTCCGAAAGCGGGAAGCGGGGTGTGGGGTTTCGTACGATGTCATCGCGGACGCTGTTCGCCTTGCCCCAGGCGCTCATGACGAAGGGATCATTGAAGGCAAGGACGGCGACGATGTCAACGCCCTTCTCGCGGAGGTTGGGGAGGTTCTGGATGTATCCGGGGACGTGATTCACGGAGCAGGTGGGGGTGAAGGCGCCTGGTACCCCGCGTTAGCTGGAGCTTGGGGTTGGAGGGTTGGGATGGAATTGACGCACCGGGGACGGAGAATAGGACGACTTTCTTGTTGGCCCATTCCTTGGAGGCATTGTAGTCGATGGGGATGCCGCAGGAGGTGATTTGGTCGCTCTCCTCGCTCCAGGGGATGTACCTAGGAGGTTAGCGGTGTGTCGGATGGGGTTGGAGAGGACGCACTTGAAGACGACGTTGTCGGGGAAGCTGTCACCGGACTTGAGAGACATGATGTGTAGTTGTTGAGGAGAGAAGAACCTTGAAAGAGAGAAAATTGAGGCGGGGTTATAGCGCTGAATAATATGCAGAAGTGAGGTGATCGGAGCCCGCCGACGGTGATCCCGGGGACCTTGAGCTCACGTTGGGGACGATCTGAGTTCGTTGCCACCAACACGCATTTATATTGCAATTAACCACCATATTTACTGGATATGAATGCAATTGAAGACTTTCCTGCTGAGCTTCAAGGATTTTAAACCGCAGTTAGACATGGGGAGCTACTATATCCCGCCAGATCTAGACCGACAGTTCACCTTTGTCGGGCGTCAACCAGAGTGATGCAAAATAAACTGATACTAAAGCACATTTTCGACATACAGGCTTGCTCTTTGAAGAATCGCATATCTCAAATTCGACCTGAGCCCTTTGAACCTTCTTATCGCCTCATTGTCCCCAGTAGACTTCCGCATTGGGCTGGGTTGGGCCCTATAGTACACTCCGAGCCCAGAGCCCAAACTGCGCCGGGAGCTCAGGCCCAACCCAGCCCCCGGGCTGGGCCCGGACCGCGCAGCCGTGGAGCTACCAGATTCGCCTCAATGCACTCCGCGTTAACTCATATCGTGGACTCGTTTGTGAATTGCGCTTTATGCTGCTGACTCCCTCAACTCCAAGAAACCATGTGAAATGCGATGAGAATGAGGCCCAAAGTGGTCGAGATAAAAGGGAGGGCGGTTTCGGATGGGACACAGGGCCGCCGCCTCGGCGGTTAAGTACTCCGTTACCCATGTGTGTTAACATCCCTGACTGCCCTCCAGGGCTCCAGGGCTCGTCTTTCATCTTACATAATATGGGCTGGGCAGCCCTGGTCAGCGCCTAACTTGGGTGTAATAACAATTCTTACACCCTCTGACCCGAGCCAAAGCGTCAGTTGAGACTTCTGGCAAAGCGCTCTTCCCTCATACCTGTCTCCGTCTCTGCCACCTGACCATGGAGGAGCGTGTGGAGGTGGTCTTGCCAAAGGTGCAAGAGCAGAATGTCAATCCCTGGAGTGTCTCTGGCGAGGTTGGAGCAGACGGCAAGGTGGAACCGATCAACTACGATAAACTCGTCAACCAGTTTGGGACCAAGCTCATCGATGCTACCTTGCTGGAACGGTTTCAGCGAGTCACTGGGCATAAACCTCATCGCTTCCTTCGACGACAGATTGTCTTCTCCCACCGTGATCTGGAAGTGATTCTCGACAGGTACGAGAAGAATGAGCCATTCTTTATCTACACCGGCCGAGGACCCAGCAGCGACACAATGCACATTGGGCACATGGTTCCGTTTGTGTTGACGAAGTGGTTATCTGATGTCTTCGAGGTGCCCCTGGTCGTGATGCTGACGGATGGTACGTCTTGCAATCCGAGCTTCTGTCTTACCCGCACCATCCCCCACTAATGAACCCTGAGTTGCATAGACGAGAAGTACCTTATTGGTAAGGCTGACCGTGAAGTGGAGGAATACGAACACTACGCTCGCGAGAATGCGAAGGATATTATCGCGCTCGGCTTCGATCCAGACAGGACCTTCATATTCTCAGATTATGCCTTCATGGGGGGAGACTTCTACCGAAATATCACGAGGATTGCAAAGGTCTGCATGGCGCGGCTTTAGGCTTTGTGTTGCTAGCTGCGGTACTGACATATCTTTAGCGAATCAACAGAGGAACGGTGGACTCTTGCTTCGGTTTTGATTCGAGCACGAACATTGGAAAGGTAACAAATCCAAGCCCAAAAGCGCCCTGCCATTTGGGTTTATTGAAAAAGGGTGCTAAGGATGCCCAAGATCCACTTCGCTTCCATACAGGCAGCCTCCTCATTTGCAAGCTCCTTCCCAGCAATCTTTGGGCGCGATAGACTACGAACGAGCAGCATACCCTGTCTGATCCCTTGCGCAATCGACCAGGATCCATATTTCCGACTGACGCGTGATGTCGCCAGTCAATTGAAGTACGCGAAGCCATCACTTATACATGCACGATTCCTCGATGCTCTCCAAGGACCTGGGTCGAAGATGTCTGCTTCAGTGGAGGCAAGCTCTATTTTTCTGAGAGACAGTCCCAAGCAGATTCTTAAAAAGATAAACCTCTACGCCTTCAGTGGAGGCAAGGAAACTCTGGAGGAGCATCGGGCGAAGGGAGGTGATCCCGAAGTTGATGTCAGCTATCAATACTTGAAGTTCTTCCTAGAGGTCAGTGAAGCCCTCTCTGTCTTGACCCGGACGAATAGGTCGCTTATGAGCAGCAGGATGACGAAGAGCTAGAGCGGATCCGAGAGGACTATCAATCGGGAATATTGTCGACTGGTGAGATAAAGCAAAGGTGAATCATCCTCCTCAAATCGAAATAACACAAACATGCATTCGTACTGACTCATCCAGGTGCGCTGACGAGGTGTCGAAATTCTGTCTCTCCTTCCAGGGGCAACGAGCAAAGGTAACAGACGAGATGGTTGACCACTTCATGACACCTCGACCCCTCTTGTATAAAGATGTTTCATCCGACACCTTGCTGTCTAAGCCGGTGGATCCAAATGCCTCAGGAAGTGTTAAGGACCCTAATTCGAGAAGTCAGTTGAAGAAACAAGAGAAGTTACGGCTTGCCCAAGAGAAGAAAGCCCAGAAGATTCGTGAGAAGGAGAAGAAAGCTGTCGATGCTACTTGCGCCGGCGATGTCACCGAAAGCGCGGGTCTGGCTGTAAGGGCAGCCAACGAGTGACCCTGTTTAGATCGTCGACCACCGAAAGGTTTTGGTCGGATGACCGCAATGGGCTGGGGCCCTCGGCTCAGAGCCCAGAGCGCACCGTTTGGCCCGAAGACCGGCCCCTACCCCCTATTGCGGGGCTGGGCCGGGACTCTGGGCCTTGTGGGCTTGCGCGGAAGTCTGCTTTGGTCGAATTCCATCATCTTTGCTGTTGGCCAACGAATTGATGAGTATCGCTATGGAACCATAGTATTGAATCATCTTACAACCGATAATGGAAAAATGAATTTTGTCTCGTCAAAAATGGATTGTTTTCCCCGACTGTGCTATGTGCTCACGGTCGCCTTCAACTGGCTAATCATCCAGAGCGACCTTTCACAAAGCGCCCGGGCGCCGTTGCAAGTGGTCGACGCCGGGGGTAGGGCCGGTACAGGATTGACTTGATAACTAAAACAACTGGTGATACCGCTAATCGAAATTGACGTTTCCATCGAGGACCTTCGGTTCCCGTGACTGCTCCCGGGGTCCTCATAACCCTGGAAGCGTCCATTACAGCGAAGCCAACCTCAACATAAGTTTTCTTTTCTCTCATCTTTGTGAAAATTATGCTACCAACACACCGCGGTAACGCATCTTGCCGTCTTTCAAAGTGTTCACACTCTCCTGCACGCCCTCCAGTGTCATGGGGAAAGTCATCGTGATAGGCTTGATATTGTGGAAAGAAGCGAATTCCAACATGTCCCGGTGCACCTGGCGCGAAGACACAATGCCTCCCTGAATCCGCAGGCCATTGACAAGCAAGGGCATGTATGGGATCTTCAGGTCATTGGCATCGACGGACAGCGGAGAGATGACTCCGTTGGGACTCATGTTGGACAGATACAGTGGCCAATCGGGCTGACTGCTAGTGGTCACAATCAAGTTGTCGATGGGCGCCTTGATCTTGAGTTCCTTAGCTCCCTTGGTGGCATAGAACTCCGCAGCACCGAGTTTCTTCGCTTCTTCCTCCTTGCTAATTGGTCGCAACTGCGTTAGATATATCGGATCAAACGAGCGCATTTCAAATCTTACCTGTTGGTACCGGAGAACACGATCACCTGGCAACCCATGCGCGCCGCGAACTGAATAGCAAGGTGGCCCAGACCACCCACGCCAACGATACCCACACGGGCGGTCGGCCGAACACCGGCGACGTGCAGCGCATTGAACACGGCTGTGAATCGCGTTAGCGTTGAAGGACGACCCGAGACGGTATACATACTGGATCCACCACACATCAAGGGCCCCGCGTCCAGGCTGCTCATGTTCTCGGGGATCTTGAACAAGAACGCCTCGCGCCAGACGGCATGAGTAGCGAATGAGCCTTGGTCCAAATCGGCGCTTCCGTACATTTTTCGCTGTCTGCACATGGTCTCCCAACCAGTCAGACATGGTCGGCAGTGGCCGCAGCCTAGATGCGACTGGGGTTAACGATCGAAACCAAATGGTGTCGCGAGATGCTCACAATCGTGCTCATAGCCCCATCCTACGCGATCGCCTTTCTTCAAAATATGAGCATCAGGGCCGACGTCTTCGACCACGCCGGTTCCTTCGTGGCCGAGAGCCATGTCGGCGCCCTGGTAATGAAGGTCCGTGCCGCAGACTCCAGAGTGTGTGACCCGAACGAGCACATCGTCTCTCTGCAGATCATCACGCTGAGTCTTGGCTTCCTTGATGGTCCCCTCCTTGGAGCCCTTGAATACGGTGAATTCGATAGTCATCTTGGTTTGAATGTGGGATGGCCGAGATTGATTCCTCCGACACTCAGCTCGTCCTTTAAAAGACACGGACTCATCACTTGGTAACGTCACATCCGCATCCCCCGCGGTGGGCACCCAGCCATGATTGCGCTGTCATTGGCTCTCGCGAACAAGTTCGAGCTGAACACAAAACACGATGTGATGCAATGTGTGGGCCCTTGGTGGATCGGCCTCACCGATTCGACCTCCGATGCGAACGCATTACAAGCTTCTGAGCTAAGATTCTAATTTTCAGTCGAGTCCTGCTTTGTTCAGCCCTGGCGCAACGTAATGACATCATAGAGTCGGGTTGCCCGCAGCTTTTCCAGGCCTCTCGCGGGCAATTGGACCAGACCCGCGCCAGCAGTGCTGATCTCAGATTATGCGGCAGGATTGGCATATGGGAGACATGCCCAGGTGCTGGGTACATATCCACGCTGTAAGGAGTTGGATTGCGGGCACACGTGTGGAATTGCACAATGTGATGGATTGTGTCTCAGATCCAATAGTTGGTGTGTGGGTCTGTATATTCCGTAGGGCTCAACTCAATCATTCTTGCTGTATTGTTTTCAAGCACCGACAAGTGCTCATCTCGTGTTTAGCACTCCGTACTTCGTAGACTCTGAATCTCGTAGTGACTGCGCGACTGAGATGTCCATTCTGCCAAGGCGGTGGACAGGCGATATCGGACAGCCCAATTTGGCAATGCGAAGTTAAAATAACAAAATTTCTCGCTCGTGTTTTTGTTTGTTTTTGTGCTGTGTACAGACCGTAATTGGTATATGGACTTTGCTCTGCGTTGACAGCCTTGAAGACAACCGGAGATGATTCAAGTTCATGCCGTGGGCGACGGAGCCCCGCACACCGAGAAAGATGCGGCATTAGCGGTGGTGAGCGATGTAGCCCAGGAAATCGACCCTGCGGTGGAAAAACGAGTCTTGCGAAAGATCGACCTTTATCTGATGCCGGCTATGCTGATTGGTAGGTTGAGGCTGGCCAGTTGGACGCTTGCCGATCAAGAAATTGTTGACTGACAACCACAGGATATGGAATGGTCTATTATGACAAGGCTATCCTAGGCAGTGCCTCACTCTTCGGCATGACTTCGGATTTACAACTATCTGTCAAAGACTTTTCTACTTCGCCTCCAACTGTCGACACGTCCCGGCTCAGTTGGGCAACGTCGGTCTTTTATTTTGGAATGCTGGCGGGTCTTTACCCAATGACATTCATCCTCCAAAGATTCAACATCCGAACTGTGCTCGGCCCTGTCGTATTGATTTGGGCTATCGTCTGTGCTGCAACGGCAGGTGTCACCACTTGGCAAGGCCTGTATGTGCAGCGGTTCTTCCTCGGTGAGTCTTCCTCCACATGGACTGTGCCATGTTTCCACTAACAGAAACAGGGTTCATCGAGAGTGTGATTCCCACTGGATTCATGACCATTGTCAGTGGATACTACACGCAGGAAGAGCAAGCTCTGAGACAGGCCTGGTGGTTCTCAGGAACCGGCTGGTTCACCATCATCGGAAGTGCCCTGAACTACGGATTCGGTCAGATCACATCAGGTGCTTTGAAAAGATGGCAATACATCTACATTCTGGCTGGAGCTCTCACTTTCTTGTTCGGCCTGTGGTGCTGTACTATGCCAAACTCCCCCGTTTCGGCGTGGTTCTTAACTCCGGAAGAGCGCACAGTCGCCGTGGAGAGACTGCGAAAGGGCCAAACTGGAGTGCGATGCCAGAAGATCAAGTTCGACCAGATTAAGGAGTGCGTGACCGATGTCAAAATCTATTTGGTGGCTATCATGATGGCGGCAGCGTGAGTTCTTCCCGGGATAGTGAAGTTAAATCACCCAATCTAATGGTCCCATCAGATACACAATCAACGGTGCCATCTCTGGTTTTGGTCCATTGATTGTGTCAACCTTCGGCTACGACACGCTTGATTCGATTTTGTTCCAATTCCCCGTGGGAGGCGTTTGCGTCATTTTCATTCCACTCTGTGGCTATATTTCCACCGTTGTCCCCAACACACGGATCCCGATGCTGATTGCGTGTTGCTTGCCTGTCATTGCTGGCTGTGTGATGATTTGGAAATCGCAATGGGGATACCATCCCATCACGCCAGTTGTTGGTTACGCACTGACTGGCTTCTTTGGACCGGTGGTTAGCTTGATCATCACAATCGGTGCTAGTAATGTTGCCGGAGCTACCAAGAAGACCGTCATGGCGGCGACTGTCTTTGTGGCCTATACCGTCGGCAACATTATCGGTCCGCAGTTGATCAAAAGCAATACCAAGGCACAGCATTACCCTGAGTTGTGGACTGGTATGATTATTTGGTAAGTCTCTACGGAATATCTGCTCTTTATCTAAGAATGTTCTAATAGCTTCTAGTTACTGCATCACAATCGCTGCCGCGGTTGTCCTGTACCTCGTTCTTCGACGGGAGAACCGAATCAGGGAGACATTGGAGTTGGATGAAATGCAGCGAGACAAGATCGCATTCGACGATCTTACCGACAAACAGAATCCGTTCTTTCGCTATGCGCTATAGTGGTTGACATGTCTTCTGTCTCTATGGCCCAATCTTGGATTATTTCCGAGATCCTTCGCATAACGGCTTCATGCTTGGTTAGTCAAGGCCTACTAACCTCATACGGCGAATGAAATCCGACAAATTGCACAACTTCATTTTCAATTAACATTCAAAAGTGTATTCTAAGAAGTCGGGTCGAGCTTCTTCCGTTGTGTCGATCAGACCTCTTCTCCGACACGGAATCTTCAAGATTCCGGCGATCCAACCCCGCAACGCATATAATAGTGTATAGAATTTCCCTAATTAGCAGAGTCGATCTGTTTTTTCCGAGTTACTATGAATGAGCCCAAACAGTGTTCGGTTCATCAATTACCACAAGATGTCAACACCAGAGATCCGCAATATGAAGTGACCTGGGACATTGACTCTGAGAACCCACGAACATGGTCAGTATGGTATCGTGCATTTATCGTCGCGTCCATGTCTTTTTCGACGACTATTGTGTGAGTCTCTTTCTTTTGATGTTCCATGTTCTTGTTTGTCTCTTCTCAGATGCGGTGATTAATTGGCACCGCAGAGTGATATATACCACCATGTACACATCGGGCATTGATGGGATTCAAGAGGAATTCAATGTCTCCTCCAAATTGGTCGTGCTATTAGGACTTACGACGAATCTTTTCGGATTGGCAATAGGCTCCGTTGTGCTGTCTTCGTTATCGGAAATCTTTGGAAGACGTCCCATCTACCTCATCTCCGTTCTGCTGTTCGGTCTTATGATCATCCCCGTCGCTCTGGCGAAGAACATTGAAACTATTCTGATATGTCGCTTTTTTGGTGGATTCCTCGGTGGCACTATGATTGCCAGCGCGCCAGGCAGCGTAACCGATGTCACAGATGACCAGTATCGAGCACTCGCATTAAGCTGCTGGAGCTTGGGCACGATGAATGGACCGGTTCTTGGTAAGTGTTTCTATTACTATTGAAGAATCCTTTTGATTCAATGTCTAAACGTAACTCTTTTTCCGAGCAGGGCCTATCATCGGTGGCTTCGTCTACCAATATCTTGGCTGGCGCTGGATCAACTGGCTCGTACTAATATGCAGTGGCGTTTCCTTGTGTCTCATGTTCCTCGTCAAAGAGACATACGCCCCTGCTCTGCTTCGACAAAAGACCACAAAGAGACGGAAAACGACCGGGGATGGCCGTTGGTGGTGTCGCTTCGACCACGAAGAAACAGGATTCCAAATATTGAAGACCAACCTCATTCGACCTATGCGGATGTTAATCGCTGAGCCAATTTGGTAAATATACGATCTTTTCCTGCTGGAATATCTCGATTTGAAACCGATCTAACATCCCACAGTGTATTTTGGAACATATACGTTGGTGTCGTTTATGCCGTCCTATTCCTCTGCTTCGTGGCATACCCAATTGTCTTCGAAGGTGATCGAGGCTGGGCTCCAGGAATAGCCGGACTAAGCTATTGCGGTATTGGCACAGGAACAGCAATTGCCGTTGCCCTCGAGCCTTTGATCCGACGAGTCATTTCCATGCATCCCTGTGATCCGAGTACCGGACGACCAACCCCCGAAGCAGCAGTGATCGCAGTCTGCATTGGTAGCATCTTGATTCCCATCGGCGAACTGTGGTTCTCATGGACAGCGACTCCGTCAGTACATTGGATCTCTCCGATCTTGGCTGGTGTTCCATTCGGCTTAGGGAATGGGCTGGTGTTCATCTATGCGACGAACTATATAGCCGGTAGCTACACTGTTTACGCGGCTTCGGCTTTGGCGGGGAATTCTATTGTTCGATATGGATTGGCTGGTGTCTTGCCTCTGGCCGGCGACAAGTTGTACAGTACCCTTGGTGCTAATTGGGCGGGAACAATGTTGGGTTTGATTGAGGTGGTGCTTATCCCGATACCTTTTATCTTCTATAAGTTTGGCCATCACATCCGGCTACGGAGCCCGATGATTGTCAAGAGGGATATGGATAGCTGATAGAATTTACGGCCAGTCTTTCCAGGGTCAGATTCTCCAAGGATGCGCGCTAATATTCTATTTGGTGCCTTGGAACCTGCTGTTGCTCCCATGTACATTTTGTTCTGTAGGGTTCTACCACTTCCAATGTTGGTTTTCAGTGAGGCCCGTTCAATACACTGTGAATTATGTAGTTTGCTTGCATCTTCACTGCCAGGGAAAATCCAGTGGCACATGCGAATCCAAATCGCTAGCATACAGTCCCTGAAGCCATTCCATCCCTCCATCTATCATTTCTCCCGGTAGCCAGGAATTTGTATCAGATCCTACCACATCCGCGTCTAGAACGGGAAACGGAGCTGGTGGAATGTCCCATACGCTAGAACTTGCGTCGACGGACATACCGGTTGGTATCTCCGCTGCTTCCACGCTATGTGGTACCCCGGCTTCAATACCAGGGCCTAGTCCCTGAGGGATGATAGGCCTAGGCAGGCTATCTGCTGACATGGAATGCCTTTGTTCCAAGGTGCTGGGATGACAGACCTGCATTCGTGCAGAACTTTCTGACAACTCTTTGGTTGATTGTGGCAATCTTTGACTTGGGGTGTTGAGATGCATTTCTGGTTGGGATGTTCTGGACTGAGCATCACTACTCGAATGCGATACATCAACCGACAGAGACGAAGGTCTGTCACGGTCTCCTGAGGCTTCGTGGCGGGTGCTTGGATTCAGAATAGCCTCCGCCATTTGGTTCAATTTCCAGACAGCGCGGGCCATTTTCCCTGAGACCCAGGTTTTTCGACAGTGCTTTTTCAGAGATCGTGCAGCCTCCAATGTTAAAACTCCGTATGTTTTCTTGAAGGAAGTCTGTTTGATGATCAATCCCAACGCAGTGATGATCGCATTCGTGAGATAATGTAAAAATGGAAATGTGTACTTTGGATGATCCTCCGGTACATTTCTGAAGTCTTTGATGGTGCTCTGTGCTAGTCGCATGCACACAACTTCGTTCTCAACTGCATCTGGGGCAGGTAAAGATGGATTTCCTTTGCCATGAAGCATAGGCTTTCTGATAAGGAGATATAAGGATGACCACCGCTGCGAGAATGTTAGCACAGATCAAACAGTTTTCACGCGACGATTCAAAAAATGCATACAATCCTTATCATTAACTGTTGTTTGATTTGCCACCATGCCAGTCCATTTGATTTGTAGTCCCCTGGGCTCTGTGGGTCATAGGTGAACTCTGGCTGAAGGTCACTTTGAGACTGCGTTATCAGAAGCTCCAGGTACTCCTTCAGAAGTGGACTGGGCGTAGAGTTTGACGTTGAGGCGCCATACAGAGCTTCCCAAACTTTACCTACTACCTTCGAATAGCTCACCATAGCAATGAGATAGGGTATCGTCGTGGGCGACTTTGTAGCATCGGTATCATCGGGCTGCAGAGAATTTCCAACTCGATGTCTGGTAAGCTCCCCATCGCTCATCACTTGGGGGAGGCCAACATCAACGTTGAGATCCTGAATGAGGAATGGCCGACCAGTCTCAATCGCCTGTCTTCGGTCCATGAGATATGTACACCACCACAGGCGACGAGCCATCTCGCTTTCAAATGTGCTCATGTTCTCCACCACTTGACGGCGCTGCAGCCCAATGTGGTGTAGATGCGATATCGCAATGGCCAGCAGCTTTTCGGCCGGTCCGTGTGCATCAAGTCGAAACAGGTAAACGACCTAAATAAAACGATAAATGATCAATCGAGTGTGCAGCGGAAAAGCCTGGGTTGAAGCTTACCATCAAAATGATGTTTTGCAGCACGAGTATCTGGTCAGTACACTCACTAAAGGCATCCAAAAGATCTCCAAAGATATCTCTCGCCGCTCGGTACAAACTCCAACCAGCGGAGTACTGCACTTCTTGGTCATTCACCCGTGAGGATTCGACACATGTTCCATTGGCCAGGCACAGCAGGATGTATGATGCTGTCAATCTCCATTCGCCGTGGCGGTGCCCTGAACGGGAGGCAAGTGCATCCCACATGTTCTCGTATGCCTCCCACACTGATGGCGGGTGCAAAAAGGGGACTAGAAGCAAGACCTCATCACAGAAGGTGTTCATGACGCGGTCCCATTGCGCCCTGTCGGGGACTATCTTATGAGAGTCCAGGATCTGCAATAACAAGTTGCTTTTTGCTTGCTGATGTGTACTCTCTCTCGGAGATGCTGGCGGAGAGGGTGTCAAGCGTGAAGAGAAGGACTGATGGGGAGACTCAGACCGTAGTCTCGGATACCTCACCCCCATCTGCTCTAATCGGCCCTCGACAACCGTGATATTATGTGTCAGCGAGGTCTCACCGGAGAAAGGCGTGATGCTTTCATCTGGAACGCTCTTGTTTCCGCTTCGACTTTCGCGGGGCTCCTCCTGCGGATCTTCCGGTCGTGATCTTACGGGTGTTGGGTCATTGTATGGCTCATCTCTGACTCCTCCATGATTGGGGGCTTGCACTCTGGCCGGTTGTCAGCGCATAATACACCATGACAGGAATGCAATCGATCAACCTCTGGACCTTCTCACGACCAGTCCGCCGCGTTCTTCCCCTCATATCAGTTCCATGTTGCCGACAATCACGTTTGTTTGAAATGCAGGCTTTGCACGGAACATTCCCATCGCACTACAAGCGAGAAATATTGACCTCAATTCAGGCTCACTCGTGACGAGGGTCGTGTACAACATACCTTGATCTTTCGATGCTTGCATTGGCCGCTGACATTGGGTATGGCTTTAGTGCTAATCTTGACTGGTTTCATCAAGTCGAGGAATGCCTACCACGCTTTTGACGCATATTTCTCTCGTTTTGTCCGTTTACCGCCTCCGTTCAAATTGCTGGGAGACTCCATCTCTTTCGGAATAGACCTCGGTGTGGCGGCTGAGAGTCGGAATCTTCAGATCGGAGGTCGGAATCTTCGGCAACTCCATTCTCTTGGCATTTGGTGTGGGGTCACCGACTGATTCATGATATCGTGAACTATATACATGGGGACGAAATTGCGCTCTTGAGCAATATGCAGATATGCCAGGTTCTCGAATCCCCGAACAACTGTATGTCGGAATAGGCGAATGTCTTCTCTAATGACCTCGAACTCCATCTTTCAAGACTATTGGCAATCAATCACTTGTTGATCTAGCCAGTCTCTCCACGCCCGGTCAGCTAAGATAGACCTGACACGGGCCTCCAGCCACTCGGTATTGCCCCAGAATCCCCAGGAAGCTTGGAACCTGCACCAGTCGACAAGAGCTGTCTCCCAGTGTCGAGTGAACACTTCCCATTCATATTCGCTCTGCTGGTCCTGAAGGAGTTGAGTACGGTACCGCTCCAGCAGTTTCCTTTCACCCTCGCACATCGATAGTTCCTCGGGCAAACCGGGCTCATCAACGAGCAGATGCAATGGCACCGAGCAGGTGAATAATTTTGCCAGGTCACAAACACCCAGACCAACACCAACGTACTGGAAGTCGAAGAACGCCACCTCGTCTCCCTTGTCATTCGTGAAGAGGTTCTCGGACTTCACGTCACCGTGGATGTATGATTCAACAGATCTTCCTCGGGGCGTCAGTACCAATGCAACCATTTCAGCAACGGATAGGGAGGAATCCTTCGGCACTTTGCACATCGCATCTGTCCATTCGGAGTCATCTTCAACGAGGGAGGCGTATTCCTTCCGCCGCGTTGCAAGGTAGGTATATCCCCCATTCAGCCACAGTCCACTTCCAGCAGATTTACCTGTGCTATTTCTCCTTTTGGATTCTTCCAAGGGTGGTAACACACAGCTGCCCAGACTCTCCGGCAACAACCGCTTTGACCGGCTGTGGAATCTAGCCAGCCAGTCTAGAGCGCCGCAGACCTGAGTGTGGCTCAGAACACTTCTCTTCTCTCCAGCGACCGGGAACTTTGGACGCAGATCTACCATGATGGTGGCCATGAGATCCTTCAATTGCTCTTCATCTTTTCGGCCATCTATGCCCCTAGTCGAAGAAAGGCACTGCGCAATACCAATTTCGTCATCTAGAAGCGGAACCACATTACTATAAAAGTACTGCTCTACTTCATAGCTCAGCATCTTTCGCAAGTGGCCCTCATCGGCATTGCTGGTGCTTTTTCTCGGGGGAGAGATGAGTTTCAGGATCAAAGGGTAGATAGATCCTGTAGTGCCGGGTTTCACACCGCAAAGCTTGCTCAGATGCTCTGCTGCCGCATTGGTTGTCGCCCGGGCAGTAATGGCACAGATCTCTCCATACCCAGCCCACAGGGTTTGCAGGGGAGTGCAGGTGACTGGTTCGAGGGAGTCCCAAGAGAGCATGATGCGGGCAACACGTTCAGGGTCATGATGGGCCATTTTGAGAAGTCAATGCTTGCCTTGAGGACTGAAGAAGATGGAGTTGTGATATGTGGATGTGCGGAAGATCAATTATCCGGAGTGTCTATGCGAGCGCAGGGCGCCTTCAACTCTCTTTCTGATTGACTCGTACGCAATTGCCAATTTCTCTACTGAGCCTGGCTTGCAGACAAGACAGCTTTGGTCATTCAGATCCATTTGAAATTCGCCCCGCTGCCAAGTACAGAAACCCCCATCTCATGCCAGTATGCTTCGCCCGCCTTGAGTGGGGTATTGGCCTGTCCCTGCACCCGAATACGCCTGGGCTGCCGAGTCCAATGTCGTCATGGATACCGGTATCTCAAAGTGTTTGATGGCGGCGATTTGCTCCGAGTCCGGCTCCCACGGCGTATTCAGTATGTTGACCGTCGCCCGCTGTGCCACCAGTTGCGGTCGATCTGTCGATGACTCCATATCAGCCTTAACCCAGTGCCCAACTTGCGAGACCTTACCCTCCGGTGGAGATACTAGTATTGGTTGACCTTGGCTGTCGCCTGGGGACTTCTCCGCCTTGCCTCGCATATCCCACCTCCGCCTTGACTGCGGTGGAATGGATTCTTTGACAGGCTTCTCGGCACCCGAGTACTTCCCTCTGGATGCGATTCCAGCACCCCACCGCAGGCGGATCTCGTATCCCCCACAGACTAAACCCCTTGAGGTACACCTTGTGCATGCGGGACGGGTTTCATCGCATTGCACCCGCTTTTTCTTACAGGTCCAGCAACCCTTGAAGGATCTCTGCCGCGAGGTATAGTCATGCTTCTCTGAGTGAGCCATCGTAAAGAGTCAAGTCGAAACTGAGACCGCGGAAATTGGGATCGCGAGGCAGCTCTCATATATGGTCGCGCAAGGGCTACGTTCGCGGGCCCTGATTGGCCGAACAAAGATCTCAGTGAGCGACATACCGGGTCTATTCTCCTATAAGAAGTGCGTGCCGTTTATATATCGCAAAATCCCTCGCAGGTCATGTCCAAGGCATTCTCGTGATGTGTACGGAGTAGTCGTTCTCAACGTAGGAATCCGCGCTTGTCTACTTCGGGTAGGTACATCCACCAAAGTGCGCTGAGAGGCTTCATGCAACTGGACTCCTTGCGTATAATTCTATTCCAACCTGGAAGTTCTACAAGTTCCAAAGTTATGGTCATTCAAGTATGCGCAGGTGAACATCTTCCAGTACATATGCGACCCAACCTTCCAAGGTTGTGACCCTTCAAGTCGCCACTCCAGATGTCGTCCCGCACCGGAATGTGTCACACACCTAGGTAGAACAGCCCTGCAGACCTGGCAAATCTCCCACAATCGATCGCCAGGCACTATGCTACTTCACGCATCGACCTTCCAGAGATGGAAGCTTCAGGCTACGCAGCGATGGATGTGGGGAAAACCGGATCTCGCTGAAAGGTCCGTTTCCACTTGTGGACCCTGCTCGGTGTGTTCGTCGAGGAGGTCCCTCTCTCTATGGCCACTGCAGCCGACATGGGGTTCCCCGGAAATGTCAAAACCCCAGGTCGCGGGGGGATTTTAATACACTTGCTCGCCGGTGAGCAAGTATACAGATATTTTCCTTCCACGCAAATGAGCTCAATTCACCTCTCAATTCCAATCACTTGATATATTATTATGGACCTGGAAACCGACACAAACCTCAAACCGCCCGATCAAAATACCCAAGATGCCGACGACCTCGCCGAATTCGGCCATGAGCAGATTCTGGCCCGCAAGTTCAATATCTGGAGCATGCTAGCCTTGGCATTCTGCGTGCTGGGGACATGGTCGACATTCGCTCAGGACTTGTCCGACGGATTGATCAATGGTGGGCCGGTCTCAATCCTGTGGGGTCTCTGTCTGGTCACATTTTGCAATACCTGCGTGGCTATCTCGCTGGGCGAGATCTGTAGCAGCATGCCCACTGCGCTGGGTCAGGCATACTGGGTTTATCGTCTGTGGGATTCGCGGTTCGGTCGATTCCTGTCGTACATGTGTGCCTGGATCAATGTCTTTGGGTGGTGGACACTGGCTGCATCTCAAGTGGCATTTATGACGAACTTCCTTCTCGGAATGAAAGTCATGTTTTATCCTGAGTGGACGGGGGCGTCGACAGGGTGGTTGGAATTCGTGGTGTACGTTGGATGTGTCTTTGTCCTCACGTTGATCAATGTGGTGGGATGTCGGAAAGAGAAGTTCCTTCCGTGGATGAACAACTTTGTTGGAATTTGGTTCTTCGGTCTCTTCTTCGTGTTTTGTCTTGCGCTGCTGATTTCCGTCGGGACTAGAGAAGGTCTGGCCTTCCAGCCTGCTACATTCACGTTTGGAAAATGGATTAATCAGACTGGATGGCCGGATGGCGTCGTCTGGTTCATTGGTCTGGTCCAGGCTGCTTATGGACTGACTGCGTTCGACGCCGTCATTCATCTCGTGGAAGAGATACCTGCCCCTCGCAAGAATGCTCCTAAGGTCATCTATCTGGCTGTGATCTCTGGAGCCATCAGTGGTTTCATCTTGATGATGGTCTGTCTCTTCTGTATCCAGGATGTGTACTCCGTGGTCAATTCCGCCAGTGGCCTTCCATTCATGGAACTCGTCCAACAGACAGTCGGTCAAACCGGAGGCGCAGTACTCATCGCCCTCTTCGTCACAAATGGTCTCGGTCAAGGCATCAGTATTGTCACCACGGCCTCCCGTCTAACATTTGGTTTCGCCCGCGATGGCGGACTGCCATTCAGCACATACCTGTCCGAAGTGAGCCCGTACTGGAAAGCCCCCGTCAGAGCACTCTGGTTCCAAGGAGCCATCATTGCCTTAGTTGGCGTTCTCTTCTTGTTCGCCGAGACAGTCCTGAATGCGATTCTCAGCGTCAGCACAATCGCCCTGACCATTTCGTATGGCCTCCCCATCATGACAGTGTTACTGATGGGCCGAGACAAGCTTCCCCATGGAGGCCAGTTCCATCTTGGGAAGTTCGGAGCGCCCGCCAACTGGGTTTCCCTCATCTACTGCTGTATTACGACTGTTTTCTTCTTTTTCCCCAGCGCACCTAATCCATCTGGGGGAGATATGAACTACGCTATTGGCGTCTTCGGCGTGATGCTGGTTATTGCGGTGTCTTTTTGGTTCTTCCAAGGTAGTCGGACCTATTTGAATACAGAAGAGTCTATGCCGCATGTGCTTCAGGCTCAAGCAGTCGCTCAAGAGGTGGCTCCAGAACCGAAGAAGACTGACCAGTGAAGCTCGTTTATGCTGATATTTCAGTTGGGGATGATGTATATATGTGGCTGTATTTGCAGATGACCGATCTCATGTTGAATGTTTAAATGATTGTTAGTTAGAAGCTTCTTTGTAGATCGATCAAAATTCCAAGATTCTTGATTTTCTCTTGGGCTCACCTTCGATTCAACTTTATGTCGTATCATCCGAGGTCTTTCGTATATTAGGCGTCTAGTTAACACCAGGCCCATGGTTCGTGTACCTAGTATTTGAAGATCTCCCTGCATCATCACGGCTTCAGGCCTTACACACCTGGGCACAGCTCAGTTGCCTGCTAGCACTGTCCACTTCGGTAGTGAAGATAGTCATAAGCTGAACCCAAGAATCACCCATCCAAGTGCTGACTCTATACCTAGTAGGTAAGACCCATACTGACGTCGGAGCTTATAGTCTACAAAGTCAGGAAGATTGTACAATATTCAGACAGATGTATTGAAGCTCGCTAATTAGACAACCATTTTTTCTTTTTTCGTGTTTTTTTTTCAACATTTTCAATTTCTTTCTTCATCTCCCCAACTTCACTTTCCAGATTACTATTTCGCCGTCTTGGGCAGCTCCGCCAAGACCTCCTCAATCACATCGTAAAGCTCAGAAGCCTGATCCTGGTTTCCGAGCTGTATTCATCATTAGCATCAACATGGGGAATGAGGGGATAAAAGGCAAACTCACCCGAAGCAACAAAGCGCCAACCTTACCATCCTCGTTGCTGGCAAGGAAGATGTCCTTGGTGGTAGGTCGGCTTCCATCCTTCTCACCATAATTCATATCGTGGAACATGGCACTGTTCAGGGTGACACGCAGAGCACCATCCGCACGCATGATCATGCGACCAGAAAGAGCTCCGTCTGACTCAATCTTGGTGTTGATCTTGAAGGTGCCGGAACCACGTTCTTTCCAGGCCTTGTCGAAGTAGTACAACTTTCCTTTGGCAGAGAACTTGGTAGTCTCGTTTTCCTCGCCGGTTTCGACTTTGGATGATGAGTAAATCTTCGAAGCGGCCAAGCCAGGGGGATCCATTGGGGTCATACCGGTCTTCTCGTGGAAACGCTCGTCGGTCTTTTCGGCCACGAAGGTGTCATTTTGTTCACCCTCGGACTCATTATCGGATTCGTCCTTGTCTGCCTTGGGGGCGCCGAATACCTTGTTCTTGGAATCGCCGAATGATGAAGGGAGGTTGGGAGACGCGAAACTTGTCATCTTTCCAGGAGCTCCTCCAAGCTGGTTACCAAAGGGAGATTGGCTGCTCAATGAGGTTCCAGATCCGAGACCTCCAAAGCCGAAGCTTGAAGAGCCGCTCATGGTGAAGGGTGAGGCGGTAGAGGCGCTGCCGAAAGCAGAGTTTGCGAAAGACGACGGGACGGGTGCAGCTGGCTTTGCCGCGAAAGAGGACGATGACGCTGAGCTGTTCAAAGCGAAAGGTGAGGCAGATGGGTTTGCGGTGTTCAAGGCAAAAGGAGAGCCAGCAGAGGCTTTTCCGAAAGCACTTGCAGTGAAAGCCTAAAGGAAGTGTTAGCAAATGGGGAACCTCAACGAACAGAACCCACTTACCTGGTCATTGCTCTTCTGTTCCTTGGGAAGTTCCTCCTTAGGAAGTTCCTCTTTGGGAAGTTCTTCCTTGGGGCTTTCCTTGGGGCTCTCTTCTTCGGGGTCTTCACCTTCGGTAGTCTCCGAGGGCTCGTCGTTCTGGGATTCCGAGTCGTCAGTCAGCTGGGATCCACGGTCAGAATCATGAGGTTGAAGAAGGTCAAGACGGGCATTTGCATAGCCCTTTTCCTCGATGCTGGGCAAAGGGTAATCGGGGTCAAAGTAATCAGAAGCACGGGGGTAAGAACGAGCATGCGGGTAAAGGGTAGGAAGAGTGAGGCAACCAGGGGCAGGGTCGCGGCGAGGGCATAAAGAGGGGAGCAAAGCAGGCCGTTCGACGTCAGGGTCGCGACGAGGGCGGAAAGGCGAGAGCAAAACAGGCCGTTCGACGTCAGGATCCCGCACAGGGTATGGGTCCCGCTCGACGTCAGGATCTCGCTCAGGGTATGGGTCCCGAACCCGGTATCCTCGGTACCAGTAGGTGCGAGCGGGAGGGGAGCTTGGGGCTTCAGGGGAAGGAGTTGAATCCGAGGAAATCGAAATGTGGCTCTTGGGACCTGCGGGCAAAGTCGTAGGCAAGGCGACAGCAGAAATCAGGGATCCTTGGGGAATGTCCACTTGGACCTCGAGGGGAACCGAGAAATGCTGGGTCGTCTTGGTCCCACAGCAGGTCAAGGTGAGGTCGAAATCCAAGGGCAGAGTAACCTTCGTGGAGATAGGCGCACAGAACTGTTGTCCGGGCGGGTTGAAGCTCTCTTCTCCAGAGGAATGTTGCAGCACAGGGGATTGGGCACCAAATTCCACGGGGGTCTCAGGCAGGTCGGAAGAAAACTCAGAATCTGAATGGTAGTCACTCACAGAATCGCGATTGTTGGTCGACTGAACGCCGGGGGCAGCAGACTTCTCACCGGAAGTCAGCTGTGAGGTGGACTCGGGGGTTCCTTCGCGCGATCGCTTCGTAGGGTGTTCGTCGGCCGCCGCATCAGCGTCTTCGAGTGAGCGCTTGCGGTTGATGTGGGCGGAGCCGTTGACCGCATCAATGTTGGTGTTTTGGAGCTGCTGGCGGACTGGACGCTCGCCGCCGTCGTTGTCGGAGGGAGGTGACTGCGCGGCCACTGTTGCGAGGTCAGATCACATGAAGCTTGAAGCTTTGACACCCAGAGGAGCAGCAATGAGTTGAAGAACCCCCAAGACACACTCACCTCCAGGCTCCATCTTTATCTCAACTGTGGACGGTTAGTTGAATTGGGGAAATTGCGGCGCCCAAACAATGACATACCGGAGGGGCTCTGCTCACGTGCAGAAGCCATTGCCGAGTTGGGTATACCAGATACCGAGAAGACAACAGGAAGAATAGAAGAATAGAGGAACACTCGTCGATTTGGGCCAGCCAAATCAATTTCAGTATGGGTATTTTCGGAAATATCAGAGTGAACGAGGAGAAAAGGTAGCTGGGACGAAAGCTTTAATACCTTGACCGCCGATGCGGGGACTGAAATATACAATGTCTCTATAGCAATGGATGTAATGGAATAATTCGATTGAAGGCACAATACGCTCGAAGGGAGTTTCATTTCAATGGTGAATAGACCGGCATTCACACTATTCTGAGGTATTCTCACTGAGGAGCTTTGCACGATAGAACAATAGAACAATAGCTTAAGTGCTCAATAGCCCAAGTGCTCAGTAGCTTAAGTGCCCACTGGGCAATAGCTCGGTGATCAATAGCATAATACAATAGTCCCATACTCCAACAGTTCAATAGGCCAGCTTAACTGATGAAACAGAGACATCCAATCGCAACGTAGAACACGAACAATGGGAATACCGCAATCCCGACTCGGTTTGGGACCACCCCCGAGCCACCTAAGATGCTGACTCCGGCTGCTAAAGACCAGGCGACCAACACTATATAGACGGGTATGCGGGCAATGGTGAGGAGGCCCAAAGCACTCAGCATGGCCGCGATCACCAGGGGGAACAGAGTGTAACCAATGATGCTGATTGACTGGAAGAACGAGCTGTGACAATGTCAGTAAATTATACCAGTAACGATGGGAGCATATGAATGAGTCGTACATTTTTCCACCCAGAAGTTTGATCTGAAGGGTCACAGCTGCCATGCCTATCCAAACCATACAGAAGACACCGGAGAAGACCATAGATGACTGATCACCCTTGGCTATAGAGAGGAACAGACTCAACACGAGACAGAAAACAAGCGGGCCCCTAGAAAGAGTACAGGTTAGATATTGCCACACGAATCAAGTGGTGTACATACCAGAGGTCCCAGTTGCGCAGTCCGTCACTCATCCTGCCCTGCAAGACCCCGTCGGCATCTGGCCAGCGACCAATAAGGCCTCGGAGGTCACGACCAAATCCTGCAACACCTCCTTGTTCAGCATCAGCTGTCCCACTGCCGCCGCGTTGCATCACTCCTCCCAGGAGGTACTTGGGCCACAGCACCTGGCGCATTTTCTCCCCGATCGCCATCAAGTCGCGTGACAATGTTTCCCAGACACTCTCGTCAATGGTATTCTGGGTCGAGCGACGGTCTTCACCACCCATAGAGGATGCGAGGTAGTTGCCATAGCCCGAACCTTGACCCCGGCTGCCTGAATCAGATTGGATGTTCCCTCGTAGGGGCGCGGTATCGGAGGTATCGCGGAGAGGGTCGTCAGCATCGATAGCTACAATAACATGTCAGCCCACTGGAGATCAGTTCAATTCAGAGCAGATCAGATGCTCACCATCGTCGGCTTCAATCAGATCATCCCCGAGCAGGGAGTCATCATCACGGGGGTCTCCATGAGGGTCTCCATGAGGATTGCTGTGTACGGTCGCCATAGCTCTGTGTAGTCAAGTGCTAAAGAAGAACAGGTCCCTGTGCGCTAAGAGAAGGCAATGTTGACAAGAGTGAAGCTGAAGGCTAGAGTGGCATTTTGGCAGAATGTTACGGCATCCGAGCTGGGGTCACACCGCCAACGGGCCAGGCACGTTCCTAAGACGTGCATGAGATCCACTGTGGCATTTCACTTTACTTGTTCTGCTTAAGGGCTATACGGTGAACACTCCAGTGTTCGGCCAAAGTAGATTAGATTTAGCTTGATAATCAAGCTTCACTGCCATCATATGGCTCCTCCTCTTGATATACATCATACTTATACTGAGTGCCAACATGGTCAGCCCGAAGCTCCTTCTGACCCTTGCCAAACACTTTCTCCCTGGCGGTGAGAGCTGGCTCTGATGGAGATGGGAGCTCCGGGTATAGACCGCGTCTTCTCAACTCAGGAATCAGCAGGTCTACGACGTCTTCGAAGGTACCCGGTGTGGTGACATAGGCCACATTGAAGCCGTCAAGGTCTGCCTCGCGAATCCAGCGTTCCATCTCATCAGCAACTGTAGCAGGGCTTCCAATAGACACAGGGCCAAGACCTCCAATGGCAGCTTTCTCGGCCACAATGCGAGGTGTCCAACGAGGGACATCCTTGCTAGTCTTGAGCAGCGAATCCAGCAGACTGGTCACTTTGTTGGCCTCCAATGAGTCTGCAGCCGTAAGATCCTGATCGAGCGGAATCTTGGAAATATCAATGCCCGTCCACCCACTGAAGAGCACCAGGCCGCCAGTCACCGATGCATACTTCTTCAGCTCCTCGTACTTGGCCCACGCCTCTTCGTCGGTTTCGCCTACAATGGGCGTGAAGGTGCCAAAGAATTTGATAGATTGAGGGTCACGACCTCGCTCGGCAGCAAGTTCGCGAATCTTTGCAACCTTGGGTCGCAACACCTCGGGCGAATGAGAAGAGACAAAGATGGCTTCTGCGTGAGTCGAGGCGAAATCTGACCCTGCTGGCGAGGTTCCGGCCTGAAATAGGAATGGCGTTCTCTGGGGAGATGGGTCGACAATGTGCCGTGTGTTCAGCGCAAAATACTTGCCCTTGTGGTTGATTTGGCGGACCTTATCCGGGTCGATGTATGAATCGGCTTCGGGATTAGGGGACAGTGCGTCGGGGGCCCATGAACCCTCCCAGAGTCTATTCCAGGCACCGCGCGGTCAATTCATGACTTGCACCAAAAATTTTTGGTATAACTTACTTATACAGGACTCTCAAATATTCATCTGCCTGGCGGTATCGCTCGTCATGCTCGATGGGAGTATCGACTCCAATGGCCTTGAAAGCTGCCTTCTTGTATGAGGTCACGATATTCCAACCCAACCGACCATTGGTCAAGTGGTCCAAAGTGGAAAAGCGCTTAGCCAACAAGAAAGGCTGTTCGAAGGACGTTGACGCCGTGATTCCAAACGCGAGGTTCTTGGTCACGGCGGCCATGGCAGAGATGGGCTATCATATCAGACAAGAGGCTTACTAGGACTTTTCGGACATACTCACAATCGTTGGATCTGTCACTGGCCATTGAGCTGCGCGACGAATGCACTCATCCAGCTTTCCTTCATAGGTATCGTGGCCTCCAGTTGTGTCCGCCAGGAATAGCGCATTGATTCCCCCGCGCTCCAATAATTTGGCCAACTCGATCCAGTATTCCAATGTTCGCTTCGTTGCAGACTTGTCCTTGGGGTTCTGTACAGCTCTGAGTATACTTCTTCTATCAATGCCATGCCAAACTGACCTTCCACTGCCCGGGAGACAGGTGCCCCACAGTTGACATGTCAAACGCATTCAGCAAGATATGCTTCTTTGCATTGGTGTTCGTTGCGCCATCTTGGCGCGTTGCATCGGAGTCTCCCATAACTGTAAAACTTAATACTTGCAATATTTGTTGATCAACCTGTGGCAAGAAGAGTAGAGACCAATGCAACTATAAGCATCGTGTCTCACCCCTCTCGGATGGTTTTCCCCATCTCCCTGTTGATTCGCACATTTCCTGCGTATCTCACGCCATCGATGGGGCTATTCTTTGATGCGCATAATGCTCCGGCCTACATATGTCACCATCAAATGTCAAATTGCGTGACATGTCCCGCATATTTGGCGGAGCATTTCGAACCCAGTTTAATTTGAACATGCTCAGCAGCTCTACGTAACTATTGTTGTATTCGGTTCGAAAATGGTGGCTACTTGAGATATCACCTGGGCAACCATCGCGGATTACTTTACCTTCTCGGGTGTTAAATAGTACTTTCGGTATGCGCAACCACTTGCAATTCCAACTTGGAAGGCTTCAATATCTCTCTTGTATACGCACGTATATGGGATCCCAACGCCCATTCTACCTAGGTATGACTGTGTATCACCCGGCAACTTTCCCTTGGACATTATCCCTCTGAACACTAGGCTCAATGCTACTTGAGACCGCTATGCTTTCGGAGTCCGACGTACTCTCACGGCTCGACTTGAGCTTCCTGAAACAAATGTTAGAGACAGCATGTCCAATCTGGGGAATCAACTTACTCTTCTCGCGAAATGAAGTACTGGACCACATGAGCGAATAAAATCAAGCAAATCGCATTTCCAAGAATGAAAGAATATCCCTTCGTAAAACGTGGGGCCTCAACAGTCTTCAGGACCAAGAGAGGCGTCCATACCGTAGTCGACTGGGCAATGGTATTGACGATGATCAACGTCAGAGCGCGTTCAACAGGAGAAGCTCGTAGTTGGCTGTTGATCCAACCATAGAGAACACTCGACATGGCAACTGAAGAGTAAGTAGTCAAGAATGCAAACCAGAGCGCTGATTCAGAGACATCCCAAACGATGAGAATCACCAGCCCAAGGATATTCCACAAATGGGCAATAGTAATAGCCCAGGCAGGTCCAAGGAACAAGTCCGACGAGAAACAAACGAACAAGGTATAAAATATACCAAGAGCCGGCGATATAGCAGCCAGCTCATTCAAACGACTGGTAGAAAATCTGTCCAGACTCTTAAGCCATAGCTGATAACCTCCAGCACTGGTATTCAGACAAGCGTTCCAGAACAAGATGTCGAGTGACAGTAGAGCCCAGAATTTCCAATTCCTAGTGACTCCCAGTACTGTATGCCAAGAGAGAGAACTCTCTTTGGTCTCGTGCGCAACGCGCGTCAATCGAGATTTGGCGAGCTGTACATCTTTCTCGTTCAGGACGAACTTGTTCGGCTTGTCGGGTGAGCCTGGGAGGATGAAGTAGCCCAGAACAGCGACTGGGAGGGTGATAATCGCACAGATGATGTACATCCATCGCCATCCCGCGAGGCCGTTGACGCCGTCCAGTCGACTAGATGCGCCTGCTTGAATTAAACTGGCTGTTAATGTACCGAAGGTCAAACCGACGTAGAAAAACCCTCCGCGGCGGGCGATCTCATCACCTCGATACCATGACCCTAGCCACGATTAGCTGTGAGCATATTGGGGACATGGTGCAATCTTACCAAAGATGTAGTGCATTCCTGGAAAGAAACCAGCCTACCTATGTCAGTTTGGCTCTAGATTCGAGAATAACGCACTCACTTCGAACCAACCCACGAGGAAACGATACGCAGCCAGCTCCGCGTAGGAGTTCGCACGGTATTGCACCAACGTGAAGATTCCCCACATGACATCCATGAAGGGGATCATCCACGACATGGGAAGTTTGGTGAAGAGGAATATGAACGGAAGCTGTCCGACCACTGCGCCGACAGTGTACATAGTTTGCAACTGGACAAGATCATTTCCACCAAGGCCGAGGTCGTCCTTCAGTCCGGATACATAGGCATTGTCTATTTTGCGTCAGTTCACGACTTGAAATACTGGGTGAAAGTCATACTCATGTTCGCCTGGTCAATGTATTTAGTCCAGTATGCGAGGAATGCATAAGGAACAATCAACAAGTCGAGCTTGGTAATGAGTCGCCTTTCATCCTTGGTGTCCTGGTCTGCGAACCATTGGACTTTCCACCATTTCCGCCGTTCTTGGGGGACGGTCATCTTTGCACGAAGGGGTGATGATCAAGGACTTGTGAAACCTTGGAGCATTTTATAGTGAATACTCAGTTAAGAGATTCGGGCATTAGCCGAGCAAGTTGCTTCAGCATGTTGAGCCATGATGCAAGATGTCACTGGAGACGGCAATTGCGTGCTGGAAAGTAGCTCTGATAGCTATGGCGACAAATGAGGAGAGAATTAGAGCTCCCGATCATCGGTGACACGAGATAGACTAACGACTTGGACAAACTTGGCATAGTCAGTGCGTTTCAGAATAAGCTTGGTTACTATTGTTTGTTAAGGAGGCAAATGTACAATGTTGTATGAAGTAGAGAATGTACTAGTGGTATTATGTACATGATGCAAAATAGAACGCCATCTATAGCCCCCAAATGTGTGTTATACAAGCGTTATACAATGGAGATCCTGCTCTCAAGCTTGCAGGCCACGGGCACAAGCTAAGCCTTAGCTTCAGCCTCAGCTTGGGTCTTCACCTCCCGTTGACTACCAGAATCCGTCTGCGCGACGGTACTTTCCTCCGATCCGTTTTGTCCAAGTCGGCACGCCTCCTGGTAATTGGCGATGCGCTCCTTGGCCGCCTCCTTTTGAGCAGCCGTAGGGTATACGGTCTTGGCCTTGAGGCTTGCAATAACCTTCTGATCAGAGTACTTCTTCAGCATCTTCGACTCTGCCAGAAGGATTTTGCGCTCCTCTTTCGACACGAAGTTCTTGTAGTGGACAGAAAGTGTGTCATCAACAATTAGACGAACTCGCGCCATGAACTTGGCAGCCGCGCTGCCATTGACTGGGTCAGCGAGTTTGTTTTGGGCGTCACTCCACCGTGTGTTTTCCTCGGGTTTGCCGTTCTCAATTGCCTCGTGTAGCTGAGCAACGTATGGTCGCAGCGTGGCAATGGCATTCAGTCGCAGGAGCGCTTGGAGCTTCTTGCCCACGTCCTGGAGTGTGCGAGTTTTGCCGCCAACGCCCTTGCTCTCGAGGCCTCGCAGGCCCAAAAGAACGGAGTGGCCCCCGGAAATGATCTGGATGGTCTCGAGGTAGCCATCCAGAACGCGGATATCAGGGAGAACAAGTGCTTTGTCCATGAGACCAACGACTTCGTTTGCATGAAGGAGAACCGAGTGGTTTCGGCGATCGCGACGGCAAACGCTGAGAGCAATGTGGAAGGCTGTTCCAGTGGCGTGGCCGGAAGGAACCATCTGTTCTCGCAGTGTCTTAACGGCAATCTTGCTGGAGCGCGAGATGCGAAGCATACGGAAGTATGTCACGTATGTGAACGCGTCGGGCTCAATCCGATGGTGGTTCTCCTCCATGGTCATGTACTTCCAGTAACTCAAGGCTCCGTCAGTTCCTTGGGTCATCGTGAAACAGGCGTTCAGCAGGAGGGTGAGTTCTTTGCTCGTGGGTTGCAAGAATGACATCTCTTCAGATCCTGGAACCACGGGCTTGAAGAGATCGTCAAATGATTCGTCTTCCTCTTCTTCTTGTTCTTCCATCTCCGAGCTTTCTTCCTCAAGCTCTTCTGCGACCTCCGCGGGTTCTCCGGCCATCTCTGCCTCACCCAGAGGGTTGTTGTTTTCGTCTACAAAGGGTAGATCCTCCATCTTTTCTTGTCGCTGAAGTTCAGAAGTCTCAATTGCCTGGTTTTGCTCGTGGGTGATCCGGCGGCGCGTCGTCTTCTCACTCTCGGCGGGTCGCTTTGCAAGAATGGGGATCCCCATGGTCTGCTTGTATAGCTCCATCACGTTATAGCAATCAAAATCACTGGCGCCATCCAAGAGCAACCCAGCCATAGCGTTGACAAGGGAATTGTCAACCTCTAGTGTCTGGTTCTTCCAACGGTAAATGACATCGGCCCAAACCCGCTTGCCTTCAATAATAGCTTGGCTCTTACGCGCAAGGATCTTGTCAATCTGATCAGGAGACATCTTCTCGATATCTCTGCGGGCTGCGAATTGCACCGCGTTTAGAATGACGGTGTACGTGGTCGAGTCGGGGGCGCCTTCTCCTTCCTCGGGCAGCTCTCCAGCGATTTTCCATAATCTGTCCATATCACCATGTCGGTGGCAGACTGTGAGCATCGCGTTAGTGTGTATGATATTCAGCTCAACGCCAGAGTTCGGTGCGGATATCGAGCGGTACACAGAGGCGGCTGTCTTGACAACAGACGGCGACATTTGAGCCGAGCTGAAACCCTTCAACATAATGGTGTATAAATGCGTGTTAGGTCGTCGGCCTCGTTTTTTCATCTAGATTGGTTAGAACAACAGCCAGTAAACTCCAACGATTGACCTTACATCATTATAAAACTTGAATGCAGCTTGCGGATGTTGCTGTTCCATGCAATATGCTATCAGGTGATTCCATGCAACACCAGTACCCAACCCTTGTTTTGTTCCGGCGCGCACAATCGCCGCCGCCAAAGCTGGCTGGTCGTTGCGCAACATACGTCTGACCCGGTCCGCTATTTTTTGAGGATCACCCATCAACCATTTCAATTCCATATTGACGATGCTGGGTGCAATCTGAAACTCTCGCGGGACCTTGCGCTGGTTATTGATGTTGAAGTTCTCTTGACCAGGGGTCTCGGTTTCGGGTGTCTCTTCGTCTTCGGATGGTTCGCGCTTTTCCTGCCCCTCGACTGCGCCATCATCTTGCGCGGCTGCAGTGTCAAGAGCCTCACTTTCAGCGATCTCCTTCTCGTTGTCATAGCGCGCGGAACGGTTGTTCGATGCAACAGCCATCAGCAATTCCCTTTTTGCTGGGTTGAGTGTATTTTTTGGCATGCGGTTGTTGCTTCGTTTCCTTTGAACTTGGCCCTGAGCCTGGTTATCGAAACGATCGCCATGGCTGGGGAATTGAGGACGGTGGTTCTCGGAGGAGTATGCGGAGAGGGATGATGCGGCTCGGGTAGCGTTGAAGAGGTTTTGCGTGACTGGTAGATTATGAGCCGCAGTTGCCGCACGACATTGTTGCGCAGAGAGTAGTCGACTGCGCAAAGCTCTATTGACGAGCGACCCCGGAAGCCGGAGGGTCATGACCGGGTTGATTGCCAAGCTAGCGTGCTTGAATCTATGCGGTATAAGTGGTAGGGGCGACTTCGAGAAACAAAAAGACTGATAGGATGAGAGAATCGCCAAAAGCAAGGGTGTGATGTGAAGTCTTGATTAGACGCCAGATTTGGTTATCGAAACAATTTCGCAGATTAGACTGCACTAGTCCAGATCGGGTCTAGTCTGTCATCACCTTGTGCCTCAGGCGTCACTTGCTCTATCCACTAACCCAAGGGGGCTTAGCCCCCGCTCCGCTCCGCGCCTCCCGCTCCATAAGCCTAAGCCTCCTGTCATCAGCAGAGACGAGACCTACACTAAACCCATTTGCAGTTTTGAAACGCAACATTCTATCTGAGCGCTTACCCGGTTTCTGTCCAATAGTTGTCACTGGACCTATCAACGTGGTCTCCGTTTGGCACATCTGTATTCCGTACTCAAGAAACCACATGTACTTATGGGTATGGAAACAACTTGTCCAAACTGAGACCTAAGTTTCTCCTCCTTTCCTGAAACAACTTATATGTTGCAGCACCAACCCTGACCTGCAAGAGGTTAGCGCCGAACATGAAGTGCAGATCTGTACGAAATTCTCGGAACGGATGCCGGGATGTGACTTGCTTCCGCTGAGTAATATTTTCTGGATCTAGTGTCTGCACATACTTGCCAAATGGGGTTGAAGACCTGCACATCATTTGTAGGTGGACATGGGGGGAAAGGGTCCACGAATGATTTCGATTCCATTATGTTTCGACACCAAGAAATTCGCGCAAAAGTCCTGCTACATGGTAAGCGGTTTGTTTGGAAGCCGAGAGCGAGACTGCCCAGGTGCTGATCCTGGTCAATCCTCGGGGTAGCCCCGAAAGCGTAGAGCTATGAGAGCATATAAAGGGTTTCCAGTAGGCCGCAAAACTGGAGATATCATTGACGTCGAACAGTAATAGTCACCATGCTGCTCTCACTATCCCCTATCAATCTGATATTCGTCGGCATTGCCGCTCTTGTGATTCGTTTCCTGATTACATTGGTCAAATCTCCAAGTCTTTCTATACCAGGGCCGTTCCTCGGTCGATTTACCAACTTATGGTATCTATGGCAGATGAAACGGGGTGACTTCCACCATACCAACATCAAACTTCATGAAAAGAATGGTAAGCACCATCTCATCCATTGATATTCGCCTCGGACCACCTTAACCAACCCGTCATTACAGGCAAGATCGTTCGTATAGCGCCGAACCAGTACAGCATTTCAGACGCCGCTGCCCTCAAGACCATATACGGCCACGGAGCCAAGTTTGAAAAGTCCGATTGGTACGATGCATGGAACTTTGGCCCCAGAACCGGCTTCACGAATCTATTCTCCGAGCGAAACTCCAGAAACCATGCCGAGAGCCGCAGGAAGGTTGCTTCGATGTATTCGATGACTTCGTTGGTATCGTATGAACCCTCGGTGGACAATTGTATCGAGATATTCAAGCAGCGCCTGCTCGAATTCTCGGAGCAAGGCTCCACCATTGACATGGCACATTGGATGCAATGCTATGCATTTGACGTTATTGGAGAAATCACAGTATCGTCGCCCATCTTTCTAAGTTCAAGTGAACGGATCCGCTAACAATTGATAGTTTGGAAAACGTTTCGGCTTCCTGGAAGCAGGCAACGATGTCGGAGGTGTCATGAAGTCCCTTGACAAAGGCCTGACAGTTAGTTCCTATTTAGGACTGTATAGCTGGCTTTACCCTTGTTTCCTCTGGTTTTCCAACCGTTTCCTCGCCTCGAGCCAAAGCTATGCTACCCAGTTCACGTTTAAGCACATTCAGGAAACCAAGGCAACTATGAAGAATCATCGTGCCGATCTCCCTTCGCATATGGCTATGAAGCTGGTTCAAAAGCAGGCTGAGAATCCGCATGGAATGTCCGATTGGGATGTTCTGTCCAATGCCGGATCGAACGTCGGGGCTGGGAGTGACACTACTGCAATTGGCCTCTCTTCGACTCTCTATTATCTCCTTCGGTCCCCTGGTTGTCTGGCGAGGCTGCGGAAGGAGGTCGAGGAGTCGGGTGTTGGCTCTAATCCCACATTCAAAGAGACACAGGCAATGCCCTATCTCCAAGCTGTCCTGAAGGAAGCATTGCGGATTCACCCGGGAACAGGATTTCCTCTTTTCCGGGTTGTTCCCAAAGGCGGCGAGATCATAGCTGGACAATTCTTCCCAGAGGGGGTAAGTTGGGCAGTCTCTTCGGTGTAGCGCATTACAGCTAACGATGGTAAACAGGTCAACGTCGGGATCAACAGCTGGGTGTCACACTACGACAGAGAAATCTATGGTCAAGATGCAGATGTTTTCAAACCTGAAAGATGGCTTGAATCCAACAAAGAGCAGCTCAACGTCATGGAGCAGAGCTTCATGCCATTCGGAGCTGGCTCCAGGACTTGTATTGGGAAGAACATCTCTTTGCTAGAGATGGGGAAGTTGATTCCAGTCTTAGTCAGGGATTTTGACTTCGAGTTGAGTCAGGACCTTGAGCAGAGAAGCTGGGCAACAAAGGCGCGATGGTTTGTAAAGCCAAAGGACTTCGAAGTCAAAGTTCGCAGAAGAAGTTAGGTGATACTTGCAAATCGATTGGGCCATGGGTCCCCAGCACATATACGGCGTTGCTCGCCCTAGATGGGCATGAATGATATGCTTGTTTGCGATCTACATGGTTGAGACACGACTCGCAGGCTGATCTGGGCGATGTTGGGTTGCGATCCCAGCTATACCCCATATATATGCTTCTTCCATTCCAAGTAACACCTGAATGATTATAAAGCGTTCAATTCGTTGCCGCCACCATATGAACACCGGTGAACAGCATCTTCCGCTGGATTTATGAAACAAAAATGGCGAATCCAAAGTCATGGAAAGTAGCATGCAGTTGTATTCGTGAAATAAGCCTCAAGAGCTCAAGAGTGATCTCATCTTCCAACATCGTCATCTCCGCCAACCAAATCAAACGGATATTGATGGTCGTAATATCGCACGCTCAGCGATTTCTCGGTCCGCGCCGATTAGTTGTCGACAGTGCCGTACTTGACAATCAGAGCAGTGACGTGCTCGATGTAGCGCTGGTTGGCCTTGGCGACGCTGTAGTCCTTGACACCCTCCCAGGCGCCGTAGAGCTGCTTCTTCTGTACCGAGCAAAGAGGGTCAGACACCGATCAAACGCGGAAGATGCCCCGCTTCCAGCGAGAATACATAGGCCTAACATACCTGGATATCGAACATGCCGGGCTTCTCCATAACCTCGCCCTTGCTGACCTTGAAGTAGATGTAGAGGTCCTTCTTCTCCAAAAGACCGGGCTGCTTCTGCAGCATCATGACGGCCTTGGCGGCGAACTCGAAGCCCTTCTGGAGAGCGGCAGCCTCGGCGGCATCGTCGAGCTTCTCGAACTCGCCCTGGTCGGCGACCTTGGCGAACGCGGCCTTCAGGACCTCGATGTCGATGCCCTCGGCGGCGGCCTGGACCTCCGGAGTGAACTTCTCCTTCTTCTGGGCGGCCTCCAGGACAGTGATGAAGGGGGTGATGTCGGACATGTTGTAGGTTGTGTGAAAACGAAATCAAACGGGGTTTGTGATTGTTGAGAAAGTTGGAGATGGTTGAGGGAGGGGTTACTTAGTGGGGTCGCTGACACACGCGCCTCACCAGTTGGCGCAAAGTCCGACACATGGGATGGTTTGATAACGCCTGTATATGCTGGAGACTACTTCACTCGCTATGCAAAAGAAAAAACGTATCGCTAAAACTACCAATCCACAGCCCATCCGTTGTGAGTCAGGAATTCCTCGCAGGCCGCCTTGAGCGCATAATTATTCCGCAGATCACCCACGGTCATCGGAGCTCGCGTCAAGGGATCCACGCCAGCCTTCTCAACATACTTGGTGATTGCGAGACGATCGAAGCTGGCGCCAGAAGGCGTGATCACAGGATCATGCATGATCTCAAAGGTAATCCCATCAACCAGATGATCAGGCACAGCCTAGAATAGTCAGCAAGGGATCAACTGTAGTACTGCCCGCAGTACATCCGGGGGGTACCAGGGACATGACATACCCGTTCCTTCACCTCCCCCTGAGACGCAATGCGGAAAGCGTCCCGCAGATTGGCCACCTTCACCTCGGCATCCTCTCTCAGCGCCTTCTGATCCTCCCCAAAACCAATCTCTCCAATTTCGCCACGGTCCAATCGGCCCTGCAGCTCGGCAAGCGCACGCGCCACATCTGTCTCGATGAGCGCCTCAACAGCGCCAAGTGTCTCATTCAGCTCGCGGACTCGTGAAGTTTCCCGCGCGGCCCAGATCTGTTGCTTTGCCCGTAGCACCGTGCGCGACAGGTTTTCCGTCTGTGCGTTTTTCGTCGTCAGGCTCTGTTGGTATGCGTCGGCTGCGACGTCGTATGCTTCCTGGGGGCGTTGGAGGCCGAGGAGGGCTTGCGCAAGATACCAGCAGCTCTTGAGAGCGGTGGGGTTCTTCAGGCCGTAGATTTCGATAGCGGCGCGGGCGTCATGTTCGACACCGGCCCACTTGGCTAGTTTGATTCGGGTGATGGCGCGGTTTGAGAAGAAAGTTGCATCGTGTGGGTTTTTCTGGATGCTGCTTTGGATCAGTTGGTGCTCACAAAGTTGGCGGGGGGGGGGGATACTTGCGCTTGGGAAAACAGATCCTCGGCGCCGCTGTAGTCGCCGGCTTTGTAGAGCTCGTTGCCCTTTGCTTTGAGTTCCTGCGCCATGGCGTACAAAGTAAGTAGATGTGCGACTAGGCAATTGCGATACAAGAACCGGAAGTCCGGAGTACGGAGAACATCTTCGATCCCCGCCGAAAGCTCTGAGTCAGCTACCTAGGATCTACTGTATAAAACATGCTAATATCAAATCTCAGTATATTTGCTCAAAATTATATACAATTGGTATCATGCACGGAATTGAATCTCATAGTCGGTGATGGCCTGGATCTTGGCCGCGGATGCACTCTTAGGGTCAAACCGATAGTTCAGCCAGTCCGAGGCCAGCTTTTTCGCCAACTCAACCCCGATGACCCGTTGACCCATACACAGCACCTGGGCATCGTTACTCAGAATCGATCGTTCCACCGAAAATGGATCATGGGCAGTCACAGCCCGGATGCCGGGCACTTTGTTGGCGGCAATGGCCACGCCCAGTCCCGTGCCACAGATGAAAAGGCCTCGGTCTGCTTTGCCTTCACGGATGAGGGTGGCACCTTCCACGGCTGGGTGCGGGTAGGCGGTTTTATCGTCGGAGGAGTTGACGCCCACGTCGAGGATCTCGGCGACGAGGGGGTTTTTCTGGAGGGTGGCTTTGATGGCTTCTTTGTAGGGGACGCCGGCCTCGTCGCAGGCCATGACAATGCGGAGGGGGGTAGACATTATGGAGGAATTTGAAGTATCTTGTTCAATCCAGATCCGGAGACTGGCGAGCACGGGTCTTTATACCTGAGTATCCCGCTGCTCCAGCCTGGGCAGTCGGCAATGGCCGTATACTTTGGGAACTATGCGAACCCTGTTACGCGTAGGCTGGGTTCTGGCCATACGTCCGCTATACCTCGTATTACGGGATGTTACATCTCTGATGCAATGAGAATGATGGTGCCTTGATTCCCTTGATTCTTAATGGTCTCAGATATAGGTACATCATACCCAATTGTTGTGGCTAGGCTCATTTCCAAGTTTATCCCGCGATGCCCAGCCATTTAGCTTTCGGGCTTCAGTTCAGGTTCGAAAACCTGTTTGAGGTGAATGTGAAAAGCCTCTCTTCAAAATGTGGAATGCAGTCTAAGTAGTCGACTGGTCTCTGGAGAATTGTAGTTCCCGTGTCTAGATTTACTTACAGATCGGCAGTATACTCCCCAGCACGATCCACAATGCCCTGGGTTGATGTCGAACCGTGAAATCCCGGGCGAAGTGTAAATGGGACGGCAGACAGGTTTTCCCCCTTGTCCCTGTGTCCCCGTTCTGACGGCACTTGTGGCTTTGACATCACTGGGCTAACTGTATAGGTCAACTGAAGTCGCTAGCGGGGCGCTAGGGAAACTCACCTGCCCAGGTGGGCACCTAGTTTGATATCACAATCTATACACTCCCGAGGTCAACTCCATATACTCCATACCTCATACTCCATCCTGTCTTCAACCGCAATGCCCTACCCAGTCCTCCCCGAAAAGCTCCTCCTCATCTCACTCAAGATGTACTTCACCCCAGAGCGGACACAAACCTACCTCCACGAGCTCCTCAACCCCGCCAACCAAATAATAACAGCCAACCCCAACCTCCTCCTGGCCCTAATCCCCGACTTCCTAACCATCTACCCCTGCTCCCAAATCCTACAATCCTACAAAACAACCCACAACAAACCCGCCCCTCTCCTCCTCGGCGCCCAAGACTGTTTCTGGGAATCCGCAGGCGCCTACACAGGCGAAGTCTCCCCAGCCTCCCTCCACAGTCTCGGCTGCTCAATCGTCGAGCTAGGCCACGCCGAGCGCCGCGCCATCTTCCACGAATCAGACGCCGAAACAGCCCTCAAGGCCGCAGCCGTCTGCGCAAACAACATGCTGCCACTCGTTTGCATTGGCGAGATCACGGCCCCGGGCCCGGTGGCTTCGGCTGCTGTTGGTCTTGCGGTGGAGGAATGTGCTGTGCTGGTTCGGGCGGTGTTGGCGGCTATTCCGGCTGATGCGCCGGTCGTCTTTGCTTATGAGCCTGTGTGGGCGATTGGGAAGCCGGTGCCGGCGGGGGTGGACCATGTTGCGGCTGTGGTGGAGGGGATCCGGGGGGTGATTGGGGCGCGGGTGGGGGCGGTGCGGGTCTTGTATGGGGGGAGTGCGGGGCCGGGACTTTGGGCTGGTGGGTTGGGGAAGGCTGTGGATGGGATGTTTTTGGGGAGGTTTGCACATGAGATTGGTGGGGTTAGGGAGGTTGTGAGGGAGGTGGAGGAGTCAATGGCTTGAATTCGTGGATGGTCATTGTCTTTGGACTGAAAATCGTCCATGGATATCCCGAGTCTTTCAGCTCGTTGCTCTACATCCAGGACTGTATGGTACTGTTTCAACTCATACGAAGGCTGGTTTTGGTTTTACGGACTAGATAGATCAAAATTACGTGACAGGTCTAGACGGAGCCAGAACACAAGAAACAAAAGAAAAAAAAGGCACGGGAAGCCTATCTGGGGGAAGCCGAGTCTATTTCCCCGGCTTTTCATGTCAGCCGATCTGCTCAGGTGACTTCTTCTGCAGACTATTTCGAGTAATCCGACGGTACTTCCTGAATAGGCGATTCCTACTTATCGTTTGCTATTTACAGTGCGATATACAAGAGTTCACCGCTTATTTGGTCAGCTCCTTGCGCAGCTCCTGCTTGACCCGCGTGACAGTGCCAATGCCACCGTAAACAACGCCAGTGTACATCATGGCCACCGAAGCGCCAGCCTGGAGAGCCGCCTGCGCTTGTTGTCCGGTAGTGATACCGCCCGAAGCGAAGATCACCTTCCGGGCCACGTTCGACACGGCCTTCTCAGCATTCTCGGGCTCGGAGGGACCCTTGTCAAGGAGAGCCCGGTAGCGGGCAACAAGGGCAACGGACCGGTCAAACAGTTGAGGACCGGAGTAGCCACCAGTCTCCTTCAGGGTCTTCTGCTCTTCATCGGGGAGGACGAAGCCCTGAGGCAAGGCAGCGGGTCGGCGGTTGGTGGTGTTACCGACAATCACACCGTCGACGCCAGAGTTCCAGACAGCCTCGCAGATGCCCGAGATCTGCTCGTCGGAGTCTTCGTCAGGGCTGACCTTGACCATCACGTAGGGCTTGGTCTTGCGCTCGACGCTCTGGGCGGAGCCCACGACGGCCGTCAGGATGGCGGTGAGAGGGGCCGTGGCTTGCAAATCACGCAGGCCGGGGGTGTTGGGGCTGGAGACGTTCACGACGAGGATATCGGCGTACCGGGCGACCCGGTCCACGCAGTAGACATAGTCGCGCTTGATAGCCTCGATGTCCGAATCCGGAGTGACCTTGTTCTTGGCGACCTGCACGGCAAGAAGCTTACCGGGGACCAGACTGCCGGGAGGAACGTTGGCCTCGCCGTCTAGAACGCGCTGCTCGGAGGCGTCGTGCTGGCCGAAACCGACAGCGTAGGCGAAGTCAGCGACACGCTGCTTCAGAACCGCAGCCATGTGGTCTGCTCCCTTAGAGTTGAGTCCGTAGCGGTTGATCATGGCGTGTTGCGAGGGCAGTCGGAACACACGCGGCTTGGGGTTTCCGTCCTGCGGCAGTGGGGTGGTGCCACCCACTTCGACGATGGCAGGGCCCAGGTCGAACAGCGCATCGGGCACATCGGCGTGCTTGTCCAGACCTGCGGAGATACCAATGGGGTTGGAGAGGTTGTATCCAAAGACCTGGATGTCTCGTTAGCGATTGGCTGTCTTGCAGATCTGGTGGGTCATACCTCGGTGGACAAGGCGCCGTCGCGATCAGGCTCTCCACGCTCGCGCGGGTGCAGACCAAACTGGTAAAGCATCTTCAGGTTGTCCACGCCCATGTGGTGCGCATCTTCTGCGTCTGGGTACAGTACGCGGATCAGAGGCACAATGCCGTATCTGTGAATGCTGGCTCTGGTGTCGGTTCCGTAGATGTAGCCCACCAGCAGTGTGAAGGCCAGAGAGGTGGCGTAGAGGGCCTTCTTGGAGCTGCGGCCCGCCTTGCGAGGGATCTCCTTCGCATTCTCTTTGGCGGTTTCCTTCGCGGTTTCTTGAACGGTCTCCTTGGCAGCATCCTTGACAGCTTCGGTGGGCGCAGGTGCAGCCGATTCCGAAGCGTATCTCACGGCGCCGTGGCGCTCGACTCGCTGGAAAATCGTGGATGGTCGTTGGGTCCAGCGGGAGGTCGGGAGGGCACGAGCCCGAACGCTGGCTCTCCAGGCCATTGCTGCAGAGCTACAGACCATTTTTACCGTGGAGGGTGTGTGGGTCTAATTGTCGTCGGCGGCCCGATCCTATACAGTGGTTAATTCTTGCGATTAGAGTGTCAGGTAATCTGTGGAGGGCCAAATGGCTTCCAAATCCAGAAATTGGAATATTGCATATAGATCTGCAGGAGCAAGCTTACAATTGGAGTTGAGCACGGTCCGAGGTTCCTCGTCCCTTGCAACGTCCGAGGGCGAAATCGGGTTCTGCAGAATGGCGGTGATCATAATGCCGGCAGGAATGAGGGCGGTAGACATCGAATGGCTGACATCCAGTCAATGTAGATCGCAGTATACGCTGATCACTATCTATCTGTACAAACCTTGAAAGTCTCTTGATATCTTCAAACTGGCCATGCGGCATATTCGAGTAACCCTCGTGCATGCCATTGGCACAGCCAAGATGGCATGATGTCAGCCACCTCGTGTCCGCTGCTTTGACCAACTCTCCTCCCACTGCACATCGGTTGAGATCGCTGCTTAGCCCCTGAGTCTTCACAAAATACCATAAGACCCCTTTCTCTCTATTTCTCGTCTCTCCTTCGTATAGTACTAGTATCACTTCACCCGTCAGAAACCCAAAACCAAACCCCCAACCCAACTCCGGAGATGCACAAAAGAACAACCTCCTCCACATCCGTGGGGTTCGACCACGTGTGTTTCGACGAATCTGATCCAGAGACGGAGACAATCCCAGAGTCTCCAGAGCAGCCAAAATGTGCAGTGAAGCCCTACCGCTCATTCAATGTCTTCAAAGACGTACGTCAGCCACCCGGTAACTAGATCACTGCTCATTCTCATCCAGGTGGCGCTGGGTACAAATGCCTTCAGCTTTTGTCTCCAAGTCCATCCATCCGGTGGACTTGCGCAGTCTCCAAGTCCTGTATATCACACCCTGCGCATTCCCTGGTATCGACAGGGGCTGTATCTCCCCGCATCATTCGATCTATACGCCGGTGGTAATGTGGTGCGAAGTCGGAAGGACCCTTCTCCTGATCCTCAGGATCATCGTGCCCATATCCACTACCGTGGGTTTGAGGGCCTGCTGAGTCTTCGTGCAACGATTGATCTATTCCGTGGTGATCAAGGAGGGACCGCCGACTCTTCCAGTCCTGAGGAGCACGCTTCGGTGAATGTTGCGCGGAAGGGAATCGGCAGGAAATATCGTGTTGAGATTTCTCATGCTGATTCCGTCAAGACGTTCTATTGGAAGGGATCGAAGACGGCTCTGTCACTGCTGGAGACTGAGGACGACACTCTTCCCAATAGTGGGAATGGCAATCTGAAGTTCTTTGCTGCGGATGCACCAGAGGATATCCTTGCAGTATGGCAGAATAGAACTGACCGGCAGATTTTGGGATCATTGAATGTCATTGCGAATTTGGATGCTGGGTCTGATGGGGTGCTGGAAGGGTTGGTGGCGAGCTGTCTGGCTGTTGTGGTTGCTGAGAGGGTGTCTGGGCGAGGATGGATAGGTGGATTAGGGAAGTCCAAAGGACCTTAGCCACCTAGGAGATAAACACAACAAACCTTGGAATCCACCTTGTTTGGAGATTCACATGCGAGAGTTTTCCAGGTGGTGAAATACATTGTCGCGAACCAAAAGTACTGTGCTCGAGTCAAGGTTTGTCTCTGAGACCACACCCGTACCTAATAGACCAGTGGACCTGGGTAAAAGACAATCATTGTCACAAATTCCAAGCTGACTTCAATGGAGACTTCCCTTGAAGTGACATCTGCAGGTGGGGCTGCTGATAACCCAGACACTGCCCAGGTGGGCAGCGATGTGTGTAAGCCGGGAACCTGAGCATAAGTATGGGGCACTGTTCTCTCTTAGGAGTATTACTTGTATGCCAGCGAGGAACGCTCATTTCATGGAAAATGATCCGACATTAGATATTTTGAAAGCTTTTCAGTCATGATATTGGTACAAGTGCTCAATGCAGAACCTAAACTCCGAAACGGAATTCCCGGACCTTCTTCTGATAGTAGAAAGAGGCCAACAGTCCAGTCGCACCAAGGGCAAGGGGCATGGCAGCCCGAGCCTTGGTCTTAATGATGCGGGGAATAGCAGAACCAAGCAAGAGAAGACTGTTTCCGAGGGCAAGCTCAGTGCCGTAGTCTTTGTTTTCCTTGATCAAGTAACCTGGGAATGCGATTAGCTTGGAAAGTGCCACGAATATGATGGCGGGCACTTACCGGAGCAGGCGTAAGAGACACCAAGACCAACGCCGGCGATCAACGAAGGAGCTGAGCGGGTTTTCATGAAACCAACTGTCCCTCCAATGGGCACTGGTATTGATTAGTGGCTGGTCTAAGGTCATCAGGTGTGATGCGGAGACTTACGGAGGGCAGCCAGGGTGAAAGAGGGATGTTCAGCCATGATGAAGTTGAGGTTGAAGTTCAAGGTTGAAGTTGAAGAAAGTGAGATGTGATTGTCAGATGTTCCAAGGTTATGGGTGGTGCCAGGGGTGCACTAGCGCCCGAGCTCCCGGACTCCGGGGCCCGAATCCCGATGAGTCAGCGGGGTCTGCCCCCAGCCCTGGAGGGCTTTGTCTTTGGATTCTGGCGTAGTAAGTTTAATGAGATTCCAAGATTATACACCTGGGCAACTACCTAGCTAGCTCACTTCCAAGATTTGGGGGAAGAATATACAATACTAGAATTCGTCTATTTGGTTGTTGAAGAAATGCCTGTCTTATCAGATTGCCTCGGGTAGGTTGGTCGATATATATTCACAAATATTGTGACAGCTTAGGTAGTAAAATGCTTCGAAATCCAGAGGTTGGCAATTACGCTCTACCTATCAAACAGAGCTATTCAGGAATCTTCAGCACGACCCTGCCATCTATATCGGAGCGTTGCAGGCGATCCAGAACAGCATTGATCTCATGCAACTCATAGACATCAACATGGGCCTTGACATCACCAGCGACAGCCATAGCCAGCAGCTCATCCATTTCGTCTGAAGTTCCCGCCGAGTTGCCAACAATAGTAAGGCCTAAAGAAGGTCAGTCAAACTTTTCCATAGCGGAGACAGCCGGGTGATATATCGGTTCGAACATACCCCTAACGATCATGTCGAGCGGCGTAGCTGGAAGACTAAACGGCACACTAGGAATTCCGACGCAAACCAGAGTTCCCAGAGGACGGAGCATCTGCATGCTTTGCTGGTATGCTCGCTCGCCATTGGCGGTACAGATGACAGCGTGCACACCCAGGCCAGTTTTGGCTTTGATTGCCTCGACGGTATCGACTTCTTGATAGTCCAGGAACTCGGTAGCGCCGAGAGATAGACAGAGTTGTTTCTTTTTCTCTCCACTTTAGAAGCGATATCGTTAGTCCGTATGCCGCGTTTCACTAGGTCACTGGGATATCATGCGCACCTGTCGATTGCAATCACTTTCAGACCTTTCTTGGCAGCAATTTGAATTCCCCTGTGCGAATCATTCAGCAACGAGTCAGGACCGGACTACTTGAACGTACATATGACCGAGTCCTCCTCCGGCACCAATGATGGCAAGATAATCCCCAGGGCGGGCTTTGGTCTTCATAATGGAAGAGTACATTGCAATGCCAGCTAATCCAAGAGGTAAGCACCCCCGTCTTTCGTTTGATATGTCAGACCGAACATACCACATAGTAGAGGAGCTGCGCTTTCCGGCGATAGCTGTTCAGGGATCTTGGTCACATGTAGTGCTGGACTAACAATGTATTCTATACAAGATGTTAGCCTCGTACTGCTTGAAATGCATGATAGTCTCACGTTGAAAAGTGCCCGGCGTATTCTGCAGAGGATGTAAGTATAAGACAATGACCGACAAAAGCAAAAATATGACTTTGCCTTGACTGTTCCTAACTTACTGCACCGGCATTCTTCTGCTTCGGACAGGCAGTATGATTGATTTCACAAATCTCGCACTGCCGACAAGAGCTGTAGAGCCATCTGGTCTCGTAAGTAGAGTTACACCATGAATTGGCGATCCACGGAGACACCAAGCAAAGGAACCTACCTGATGCCAACTCGTGTTCCCAGCCACTGCTCCCCGTCAATTTGGGAGCCCACTAGAGACAATGAGTATTCTCATTTATCTTGGAGCAGCCAAGGGTGCGAATCAGCCATACCTTGGACCACCCTTCCCACGCCTTCATGGCCAGCTACATCGGTCAACATCGGCGTGTCTCCGCGAATGCTGTGTAAATCCGAGTGACACACGCCCGAGAACTCAAGCTTCACAAGGATCTCGTCGGCTCCGGGAGTTGGCACAGGGTGATCACTTTTGATCACCACCTCAGAACCAGAATCCTGAGATGCCACCACGGCGGCGATTTGGATTTGAGGGGCTGCCATGTCGATGCACAGTACAAGAGGGTGAAACGGAGTGCGTCGGATTTAACGCCGCACTTGAGGAGGCCAAGGTGCTTTATAAGGCGACAGATGCGGGGGTGTAAGATAAGAAGCGACAACACTTTACAAGTCGGAATTCAATTAAACATTTATTTGTGAGCTGATCTCCCGCTCCAAGCATGAATATGAAACAAAGACTCCGGCTTCAGAGTCGAGAAGAAGTACAGCCGAATGCGAAAGGCGAGGCGAAAGAACGCCAAGGTATATGAAGATCTAGAACCTGACACCATAACAAACACCTATGCGTCCTCGGCCTGGATTGTTTGCTGCGAAGAGTTAGCTTCATTAGTCTCAGTAGCGAGAGGGCAACGAACCACCAGCCAGTCCATTCCTTCGTTAATTCCCTTGCCATCAATGGCCGAGCAGGCCACAATGCTCCAGTTGCGGTCCCGCAATTCTCCTAGCTTCAGAGCCTCTGAAATCTCACCGGCGCCCTTGGCCCCGGGTTGATCCTGTTTATTGGCAAACACCAGCAATGCCGCATCGTGAAGCTCCTCCTCACTCAGCATGGCTGCCAGTTCATCTGCCGCGGTCCCCAGCCGCTCGATATCCGTAGAGTCGATCACGAAGACTACCGCGGCGGTGTTTGCGTAGTAGCATCGCCAGTATGGGCGAATGGAGGTCTGACCACCGAGATCCTAGACGGGTATCAGCGTGATCGAGAAATCGGGGTCGAAGATGCTCACCCAAACGTTGAGATTCAGATTCTTATATGTGACCGATTCGACATTGAAGCCGATTGTAGGTATCGTGGTAACGACCTCACCGATCTGGTTGCAAAGGTCAGATTAGTTCACATGTAGGAATGCGCTGAGTGCGATCACATACCTTGAGTCTGTACAGTAGAGTGGTCTTTCCAGCGTTATCCTATAATCGAGAAATCCGTGATCAGCCCGGCCCTTGTCACAGTGCACTTGTAGATAGTTTTCCGCATACAAGTCCCAGAATGAGGATTCGGATTTCCTTCTTGGACCAGAGGAGGGACCAGATGCGCGATAGTGAGCCTCCCATTGTATAGTGACGTGTATTCGTGCGGCTTGGAGGGGTCGTTCCGTTTCGTGTATAAAGGGGATATCGGTTGAAATGCACCTATCTCCTTGCAAGGGACAAGCTATGGTATATGATACAAGGAAATGCAAGAGTGAAGGAGAGTGGCAACCGCATTGTTTCGGCCAGTGCGGTGTGGGCGGTCAATTGATCATCATCCGGAGCTCCTCATTGAATTGATTTCTCCTGCGACTCCTTCCAAGGTGTTTGGCTATTATATTTATTTGAATTACGTGCCCTCTATTGTCGCATTCGCAAATCACAGTCGCAGAGCATTGCGACTATCTCCGGCGCACTCCCTAGATTGACCGCGGTCGGTCTCGCTCGCAGACATACACATACACCATGGTCGGAAAGAAATCGGGCAAGGCGCTTCGGGATGAGGGTAAGATTCCTCGTCAGCTGATTGAATCAGGAGCTCACAATCACAGGCCTAGAACGGACCGACAACAACATGGAGCTGTCCAGCTGGCCACAGATTCCCGCGATCAACCAGAAGAACTACTACACGTACGAAGCGATTGACCTAGGACATGGAAAGACGACTAACCATTCGCAGAGACTACCTGAAAAGAGATGACCAGAACCTTGCATACCGACTCCAAAATGAGGAAAACAGAGCGCGAATGGCCAAGAAGGCCAAGGACCATGACCGAGAGCAGGCGATGAAGAACGAGGCAGCGGAAGGGGATGCGGAAGGGGATGGCGATGCCAACATGGAAGACGCAGAGGAGACACCCGCGGAAGTGATTGGCTCCAAGGTCATTGTGGTTCACATGGGCAGTCAGAACCTCCGCATCGGCCTTGCCAGCGATGCTTTGCCGAAAACGATACCGATGGTGATCGCAAGGAAAGCCGCGACAAACGAATCTGAGGATTATGACGAGCCTAAGCCAAAGCGCTTCAAGCAGGATGACGGTTCTGAATTGGAGCCAGAGAAGGAGTTCGGACCTGAGGTAGGTCGACCGAGGAGTATACGAGAACCAGGCTAACAGCTGTAGTGGTCGGCTCACTTTGGTCGAATGTCTGCGGATTTGAAAGTACACATGCGACTGAACAAGCGTAGGATGCTTCCCAACTCCAAGGAAATGGTGGTCAACTATAACCGCAGAACCGTGCCCGAAATCATCTCCGAGCACAATGACCCCATGCGTGCCGAATGGACCGAACTGTCCAGCCCACCGCCAGAGTATATTGTTGGCCAGCCGGCATTGCGAGTGCCTGACGACTCAAAACCTCGGTACAAGCTATATTGGCCAATCCGCAGCGGATGGTGCAATGAAAAGGACTATGCAAGCAAGAGAGCACTGTTCCTGGATATCTCGCTGATCCTTGAGGATGCGATCAAGAACCAACTACACTTGACCAGTAAGAAGGAATGGACCCAATACTCGTGCGTCTTTGTCATTCCAGATCTCTACGACAAGTCATATGTCACCTCTGTCCTGGAGATGCTGATGCGCGAATTTGCATTCGCCCGAGTGTGTTTCATCCAAGAGAGTCTTGCGGCCACTTTCGGCGCTGGTTTTACTTCGGCCTGCGTGGTCGACATCGGTGCTCAAAAGACATCCATCTGCTGCGTGGAAGAAGGCATGTGTGTCGAGAACTCGCGCGTCAACCTCAAGTTCGGCGGGCAGGATATGACCGAAACATTTGTGAAGATGATGCTCCACGACCACTTCCCATATGCAGACATCAACCTACGACGCCGACATGACTTCCTCTTGGCCGAAGAACTAAAGAAGAACATCTGCACCATGGTTGAAGCGAGTGTCTCCCCGCAAGTTTTCGATTTCCACCTTCGTGTTGCAGGTCAAGATACGCGCAAGTACACCTTCAAGGCCTTTGACGAAGTTCACCTCGCCCCGATGGGTGTATTTGAACCTGCTATCTTCGACAATGAAAACAAGATTGACGGAAGACGGACATTGATTGACCGTTCCGTTGACATCTACGAAGGATCACCCAATGATCCTACTTCCGCCGCCCAGTCAGAGATCTTGACCGCTATCGCTCCCCCTCTCAACACTGGCAAGACCGAGCCTGAGCCCGAGGCCCAAACCCCGATCCGCCCCCCAGCCTTGAAAGTTGAGGCTACTCCCCGGTCTTCTGTCGCTGGATCACCGGCTCCTGAACCCACCAGCACTCCCCAGCCACCCACCACAGCCACCGCAGCTGCTCCCACCACGGCTCCTCGCCCACCCGCCGTGGAATACCGTGATGACATCATGCCTGTCTTTGGTCTGGACAATGCTATCCTGACTTCCATCGCCCACGCTGCCCGTTCCGACGACAAAAAGATGCGGGACTTCATCGGTGGTATCATGGTTGTTGGTGGTGGCAGTTTGACTCAAGGCTTCCATGCCTTCCTCGAGGAACGACTGCAAGCCCTTCGTCCTGGCTTCGCAAAGGAGATCATGATCGGAACACCGCCCAGAGAGCTGGATCCACAAGTTGTGGTGTGGAAGGGAGCCAGTATTTTCGGCAAGCTAAGCACCACAAACGACAGCTGGATCGGTAGACTGGAGTTTGATCGCCTTGGGCCACGACTGTTGTCGTACAAGTGTATGTGGGCTTACTAGGGCTGTAATTTCGCAAGAATGCGTGATGTTCTTATGAGTTTGGCGTGGGAGTTGCATGTTCTGGTTATAGGGGATTTTCTTAAGTCATTAATTCAGAGTATGTAGTTTGAATATGTACCTTTCTGAAGCTCGCTCTGTGGTGCCAAATGCACGCCTGTAGCCACGTCCTGCGGCGCACGGTATTTCCACGCACAGGCGGTGTAAATGGGCAAAACAACCACCTCCGTCTCGCATCACAGCTTGTCTATCTCAGATTTGTCGCAGTTGGATGAGAGCTCTCCACTTGGGCATATCTACACCCGAGAGTAGTCTACTACAAACCTCCAATCTGTGGGCTAGCTGCTATTGACCGAATCAGCTTCTCACCATTGTCCCTATCCCATTATAAGCGACGAACGGACTGAGCTTGCATTGCGACACCTCTCATCTCTACTCTTGACTTCTCTTTACTTGCAATTGCCTCTTTGCCGCCTTATCTGTGAGCAGTATGTCTTCCTCATCAATTCATGCGCAAATGCTAACCAGTTCAGATCCCAACAATGTCCAAGTCCAAGGAATCCTCCGGTGGTTTCCACCAGGAGTACATCGCGTCTCTGCGCTATCGCAATGACCTACCTCCTCCTCACATGCCGCCCAAGCTTCTTGATATCCCCCACGAGGGCTTGAGCCGCTACCTCACTCCCGGATTTGCATCCAACCTCGCCCGCCGGGAGGAGCCCAACATCGACGTTGACGCCGAGGGTGGCCTGCCAATTGATCTCGTTGGTCTTCCTGGGTTACATCTGGGTGATGAAAGTGGTATGTTCCGGTGCTTTCCTATGTGATTTACCCTAAGCTAACATGCCCAGCTATCATGGCCCCCGAAAACCCTCAACCCATAGACCCCGCCGATCTCCCACTTCTGATGACCATTGACCAACTACGAAACCCCGCACCGAAGAATGCCAACGTCAGTTTCTTACGGCGTACTCAGCACATTGGCGTTGACCGCAGTGCTGGAAACGATGCCCATGCCGCTCCTCTTCAGAAGCCATCGCGCAGCGCAAAGAAGAAGCCCGCCCTTGACGATCCCAATTATGTCAAGAAGTTCGTCCAGAAGGGATTCGACATTGCCTACCCCCAGAGCAAGCACACCGGAGAGGACACCGACAGTCAGATCCGCGGAGTGACCGCCACCAAGGCCGAAGCAGACGCCTGGGCCAACCCGGTCAACCCAGAGAACGCCAAGTTGAAGCCCGTTGGTTTCTTCCCTGTCTTGCCCGATCTGGAGGGCTTCCCAGACCCCGGTGGCTACCTTCAATTCAAGTTTGATAAGGCGCCGCTCGCCGCCGTGGGAGGCAAGCGCGACAAGCGCATGGACGTCGGTATCCTATCCCCCGTCGCACCCGAGCAGCGCATCTGCCAGGAGCACGAGTCGAAGGTCAAACTCCACCAACAAAACCCGAACCTGTACTCCCATCCCGGTCCAGTGCCATACGACTATCAATTATTCCTACCGGAGAAGTCCCACTCCGCCCAGAAGGTCCATTCCAGCATGGATCTGACAAACGCCCACCGCGACAGCGAAGATCTCTACACCAACGAAGGACCCGAAGGAAACAAATTCCACCGCTACGACCGCACCCGTACATACGCCACAAGTACCCAGGTCTTTAACACCGAACAAAAAGACCTCGCCTTGACCCTCTTCCAGCCCAAGGACGGAGACGTCCGACAGCTAGCCGCCTACTACTACCCCATCCTAGGCAAGACGCGCCTCAAGCCCGAGCGAGCTCGCACCATCGCACAGGCCGGCCTGGCTCCTACCTCCACCCAGCAAGAGGAGCGAGAGGAGCAAGTGGACCAGATGCAGGTTGTTGTGCGTGATCCCAATGAGGCCGAAGTTTACAAGCGAGCTTTGGCCCGTCTTCGTATCGATCCCAAGTTCGAGAGCAGTATGCCTCCTGAGCCGGTTCAGGAAGAGCAGGCTGTGGAGTATGAGGAGAGGCCTGCTGAAGAGGATACTCATATGAGCGATAATGAGTAGGCTCGTTAATGTATTATGGTGTTTTAAAACATGCAAATCTTGAGCTAGGTAGATTATCATGGGTCTGGCGTCTGCGGGAAAATGGCGTTCATCAAGATCAATTACATATATACACTTGAACATTGAGACGTAGTTTGCACTGCGTATTAGTTTACTCCGGCTTCGAGCAACATGTCGAGCTCTGTAGATTAGTAGAAAGTGGTAATGCTCCTGCCAGGTAAAGAAAAGCTGGATTTCAAATGGTCTCGAAGTAGATTTACCTCCAGGGCTTGGTCTTTCAATGTTCATATTGTGGCACCTGGGCAACCTTGGAAGCTGAGAGCAAACATAAGTTTCCAAGATGGATATTGTTGTTTTCAAGGTTAACATTAGGTACGTGTACATCCCATACTCATCATCATTCACCACACATCACGTTGAAGACCCAATCTCGCTCACAGGTCTAGCCTTCCTTTCAACAGGCTTAGATGTGGCCATGAAACCATCCCCTGCAGCGAGCCCAGAAGGACCCATCTCATGAATCGGGTTGTCAGTGGACAGCTCCAATGCACCCGCTTCGGGCCCTGTCTGTTCAGCGCCTTGCTTTCTCCCGCCGAAGCACCCAGCCAGCCTATCGCGAAGGAAGAAAAGCGCAAGAAGGAACAATGCGACAACCACTCCAACCACTCCAATCGCTATTCCCGCGATAGCGCCTCCGGACAAGCCTGAACTTTGGGATTTGGCACTCTCTTCGCTTGACTGGCCAGGGACGCCCGCTTGTGTAGGAAGTATGCTGGACCCGGGGGTCGCTGTGATGTAGACAGTAGTAATCCCTCCGCTGGTAGAATTTGTGAGCGAAGCGGTACTGGTAACATGGACTATTTGAAATATCAGTATCCATATATTTGGAAAGTCCAGCTGCATAGAGCCTGAGCAGGACAAACTCACCTACAGGCTCAGTGGTAGTCGCAGAAGTGAGAGCAGGGTACTGTCGAAAAAACGGAGTAGTGAGGATCGACCCCGACCAACAGTAATACCTCGTGAAGTCGGGTTTATTGTCTGTGAGTGTTTCCCAAATAAAGTCTGTGTGGCACTCGAGGCTGGTAGCACTATATGGACATGTTAGATATCGGAGAAAAGCTTTGGCTGGTCATATCATGATATCCAACGTACCAAGGTGTGCTTGAACCGGACCAATAGATGGTACCGCTGTTGCACTGTGTAAAGAGATTCACATCTTCACCTGAAGATACACATCCGGCATTAGTTCCTGAAGAAGCGAACGTAGAATCTGATCGGCAGGTTTGAGACACTATCTTCCGTGGTCAGAATGGACTTGACCCGGGACGAGGTGTTGTCAAACGAACATGTTGTGCTTGCGTAGGGAATGTAGCCGTAGAGATTCGCAGCAGGGGTGGTACGAAACCCCGACATCTTGCGAAGTTAGAGATGAGGCAGAAGAGAAAAGAGGGAAGAAGGAAGAGGAAGAAGAGGGAGGAGAGGAAGATGAATTTCCAGCTTCGAACCTCTAGCGTATACAATTAAGCTCAGGTTCTCCCCTTTGGGCTAACCACAGTATGATTTTAAAGTACTCTTTGAGAAAGCTTGCAGTCTCAACCAAAGCGAACCATCGAGGGCACGAGCCCAATCTCCCGGGTTGAAACTCCCAGGAGCAACCTGAATCACCGAAAGTGTGGTAAAAACATGAGATAGTTTCTGGGGAGATCAACAGGGTCCTGAGGGTCCGAATTTCCCCTCAGCTGCATTTTGCGCATCTATAGCGATGGCTCAGCCTCCAATCGCCAGGATCTGGGAAATAAGGGCCATGCACCCTAAGTCACGAATTGCCAGAACACCGAATCATGGCGAGTCAGATCAGGCTCGTCGTTCACCCGATCAGACATTCGTATCATTTAGCGTCTTGTCATCCGCTGTCCAGGCTGCCCTCTTCACCCGGACAAACAGGTGGCTCTGTGGCTCGGGCGAGCCCGATGTGCGATGTACGGAGTACAGTAAAGATGCTTGAAATGGACTCCTATTTTGCCATAGCTGCTGTTCAGGTTGCCGAAAACCGATGATTGTTGCACTTGCAGTAGTTGAGGTCAACAGTTACCTTCCACGGCGAACATGAGGTTGATACGCATGGGTGCCTCAGGCATCAATATCACCTCCAGAGCACCGCCTTTTCACAACATCACCAAGACCAATGGAGCGTCCTTCGAAAAAGGTCAAGCTCTCGTCAGAGACTGACAGTGCGCCTGTGTCTCTCGCCTCCCTGCACAGAGAAATCAGTCCACCAGTGCGATCCCAGCCATCTCCGCGCCCCGCGCAGGAGGACGCATCGGGACCCAAACCTCCCAAACATCCCAAACAAACCCCGAGGGCATTGAGATCCCCGGTGCAGCTCACGCATATCAGAGATTTGCCCGCGGCTAACAATGTGGACACTGTGCGACTGTCTGACATTCTCGGAGACCCAATGATCCGTGAATGTTGGCAATTCAACTATCTGTTTGATGTTGATTTCTTACTCTCCAACTTCGATGAAGATGTCAGGAGTCTGGTACAGGTCAAAGTTGTTCATGGTTCGTGGCAGAAAGAGGCCCCCAACCGCGTTCGCGTGGAGGTGAGTTTGCGCATTGGTTTGATCTATCTCGAGATTGACAGGGGGATAGGAAGCATGTTCGCGCCATCCCAATGTCCAGCCCATCGTGGCATATATGCCCGAGCCATTCGGAACGCATCATTCGAAAATGATGATTCTTCTTCGCCATGATGACTTAGCTCAGTATGTTATTCGCACCATTAATGTGACTTGATCTAATCGAGCGCCAGGGTCATCATCCATACCGCTAATATGATTCCCGGAGACTGGACTAATATGACACAAGCGGTTTGGCGCTCCCCACTTCTTCCTCTTGGATAATCATCGCCGGAGACTCAGACGGAACCACCGAAACGTGGTTCCGGGGCACGCTTCAAACGCGATCTGCTAGCATATCTCAAAGCATATGGGCCTACAAAGACCGGTGCACTTACCAAGCAGTTGAAGGACTATGACTTCCAGGCTGTTCGTGCTGCCCTAGTTGCCAGTGTTCCGTCCAGACCCCATGCCAGCGATTCAAATTCAGACGAGGGCACTCTATGGGGTTGGCTTGCCCTGAAAGATTTGATGAATCATATCCCTACTACGGACGATGATGCTCAACCGAATATAAATGTACAGGTACGTGCTAGCTCACGTTATCTAACACTTCCATCTAACTGAACCACGAGATCTCATCCGTCGCCACCCTTGGCCAAACAAACAAGTGGCTCAAGGATGTCTTTTTCAAGGCTCTAGCTCCAGACTCTACACCAAGAAAAAGCCCCAAGTATTCGATAATATTCCCAACCCCAGACGAAATCCGCCGCTCGCTGGATGGCTACGGCTCAGGCGGATCAATTCACATGAAGACCCAAAGTGCCGCACAACAAAAGCAAGTGCAATACATGCGTCCTCACCTCTGTCAATGGGCTGGAGATAGCCTAACTTCCGGCGCACACGTCGACCTGTCAGAAGAGTCATCAACTCGTGAAGCAGGCCGACGCAGAGCAGCACCTCACATAAAGACCTATATCAGATTTTCAGACAAAGATATGAAGACCATAGAATGGGCCATGGTATCTTCCGCGAACCTCTCCACACAGGCCTGGGGTGCGGCTACAAATGGCAATGGAGAAGTCCGAATATGTAGCTGGGAGATCGGGGTGGTTGTTTGGCCCGAACTTTTCAGCGATGATGCGGGTGTTTCTGAGGAACCTTCAGATCTTGTCATGGTTCCTTCTTTCAAGCGAGATACTCCGGCTTCCGAGGCAAATCATTCGGTGGTTGGCTTCCGCATGCCGTACGATCTGCCTCCGAGACCGTATGGTGCTTCTGATGAACCGTGGTGTGCGACTGCTTCGTATGATATTCCCGATTGGAGGGGCCAGAAATGGATTTGAAGTTCACATTCCAAAAGTTTGTCAGGCTCAGGTCATGGTGAAGATCGAAATTTCACAAATTGTTCTATATGTGTTCTGGGCATCAACTTGGAAGCATTGACTTCCCGAGCTCGTATTTGCGCGTCATCGCCAGTTGCGCCTATCCGAAAAGAGACCCCGAGTCAATTGAACTTCGGACTTCGCACATTCCACACTTATAAATTTTCCATTTTGAATATTCGTGTAGATACAAACTCACAATCCAATCATGACTGAAATGGAGAATAGCCTACAAGCCGCCATCGACGCTGGCAAAATCAACGGCGCCGTGATCTGCGCCACCGACGCCCAAGGCCATTTCGTCTACAACAAAGCATTCGGCGAGCGCACTCTCCTATCAGGCGAGAAGCGACCTCAAAAGATCGATGACATTCTATACCTCGCCTCAGCCACAAAGCTAGTGGCGACCATCGCCGCTCTACAATGTGTCGAAGACGGCCTCCTAACTCTAGACGGAGACCTCTCAAGCATTATCCCCGAACTATCCACCAAGCAAGTCCTCACCGGCTTCTCAGAGGATGGAAGTCCACAATTTGAGCCTCCAAATCACCCAATCACCCTCAAAATGCTCCTCACACATAGCGCCGGCACAACCTACTACTTCATGAACCCGCTCATCAACAAATGGCGCGATCAGTTCACAGACACCCAATCGAAAGATCTTTCTGTCGAAGAACTATTCTGTTACCCACTCGCCTTCCATCCCGGCACGAGCTGGATGTACGGCTCGGGACTCGACTGGGCAGGCCGAATAGTCGAGCGAGTTACAGGCGAGACGCTGATATCGTTCATTCAACGACGCATTTTCAACCCGCTCGGTATCAAAGACGGTCAATTCTACCCCGTCACCCGGGAAGATCTACAAGAGCGTCTCGTGGATTTGAATCCCGATGATCCCACTTGCCTGGGCCGTGCAGTCCTCGGTGGTGGAGGCGATATGAATGCGCGCACACGCGGAGACTTCGGAGGCCATGGACTGTTCTTGCCTGGGTCTGATTATATCAAGATTCTGCACTCGTTTCTTGCTAGTGATGGGAAGTTGTTGACTTCGGGTACTGTTGACGAGATGTTCGAGCATCAGTTGAGTCCGGAGGCTACGGTGGGGTATCAAGATGCGCTTAGTGGACCGGCGGGGATCTTCTTCCGCGTTGGAACTGAGGCTGGTGCGAAGGTTGGGTATGGATTGGGTGGGGTGTTGACGCTTGAGGATGTTGATGGGTGGTATGGGGAGAGGACGTTGACTTGGGGTGGGGGCTTGACGTTGGCTTGGTTTATTGATCGGAAGAATGATCTTTGTGGTGTTGGTGCTGTTCAATCTGCTTTGCCTGTTGACGTGGAGCTGGTTTCTGAGTTGAAGCAGATATTCAGACATGATATTTATCGTAAGAAAGCTGCGTGGGAGCAGCAGAGTTCGAGGTGAGATGTCAAGCCCTGGAGGCGTCTATTGAACCTTGAATCTATCATAGGATGCCTCAGCTGTCAATATGGAAAGTTGTAAGATTTGATGACTTGAATGTTATTCCGAGGTTTCAAGAAGCTTGAAATTGGCAATCATTTGCCATACGAGCCTATGTGCACAGATATAATACATAAATGTTATACAAACAGGGGTTCAAGGGCGAGAAAAGATCACCACATAAAGCGCTGGATTTTACCAGGCTCCTGTGGCCACTCGAAACCCTTGTACAGGAAGACATAGCCCGTGACCAAGTTAATGATCAAGAACCATGCCATCTCCACAAACTTGGGAGAGTTGATAATAAAGTCGGAGTTTCGCTTTGCTGCTTCCTCACGTGGGCGTGTCTCCCGGTGCTTATACAGAGATGGCAAAGGAGGAAGATGAAGACGCCACATGACCCACGGAATGATAAAGTAGCGTGGCTCAACGAGAGGCGCGGTGATCAGGGAAAGAGAAGTGGCAGCCAGCCAGATCAGGACGAAACTGACACGAGGTGTCTCGATTGTCTCTTTCTGGCGCATAAGAAGGTGCTGCTGCACCTTGGCCAGAACCTCTGGGTCCGTTGGGTCGGTGCTCTTTTCAGGGGCGGGTTCAGCGGCCTTCTCGGGCGCGGGCTGAGGGCTGCTTTTCCGGTTGGGCTTGTTGGGCCTCTTGGTCCCCTTTGGTGGCTGCTCGTGTGCCTGTGCTGGCTTGGGCTTGGGCTTGGGCTTTGATTTGACCGCGGCTGGAGCCGGAGCCGGGACAGGGGCCGGGGCAGGTGCAGCAGGAGGGGCTGGGGGCTGTTGAATGCGCACAGTGCGAGGTGGGCGTTGGATGGTGGTGAACCCAAAGGCCGAGATGACCGCCCATCCACACAGGAAGTAGACCACCACTGCCGCGTACTTGACGGCAGGGTGGATGCCCAAAAGGAGACGGAACGCATAGAAAACATAGTGTCGGTTATCAGCAAGAGTGAAAGGGTGCACTATGGTGTTGAAGTGAACCACAGCGAGCATGAGTGGGAGGACAATGAGAGCAGCCTTGACTCTGGGGTACTTGGTTTGCTTAGGGGGGAAGCCGAGGTTGATCCAAGTGGGAAGTGGCTTGAGAGCAAGGATGTTAATCAATGGAATCACGAAAAGTGGCCATGAGAAGAAGGCAAAGTAGGGCCAGATATAGAGCATTTGTGCCAGGTGAATGCCAGCAGTGTGGAACTCTTTGTGGCCTAAATTTCGTTAGTATAACCATCACAGAGGAGGAAGAATCGATCTCACCGAGTACAACGCCGTTGTTCCAGAGCACAAATGCTCCGAAGGCCCCGAGAACAACCAGGTGCGGAACAACGGAGGCGAGGAGTGCAAATGGCCTCCTCAGAGCAACAGTGGCAAGGGAAACAGCAGTCTTAACGTAGTCTGATGGCCGAGTTAGCGATGTTGTAGCCATCTGTGAGGTGTTCTTCAAGTACCTTCCAATGAAGCCCCTGACACGGGTGGGTCGTAAACCTCATTCTGTCCACCTTGCTTGACGATGTTCAGCCATTTAGATGACATGCAAGACTTGGAAGATCTTTTAATTAATCGGACAGCCTGGAGTCCACCCAGGAACACAGCAACCCAGAAGATGTTGGTCTGGCGACAGACCAATGCCGATAGAGCAAAACCCAGGAATCCCAAATTCTCCAGAAGCCTGTTCCGCTTCGCATTGGGAGCTGTCTGCGAGTCCCTTTTCAGGTCCCAGTTGTATGCTTCAACCACAAAGAGCAAAGCAAGCACGTCCGTGTAATACAGACCGGAAAAGAAGAACAGGGGCGGGAACAGACAGATGTTCAAGACTGTATGAGACAAATTCGCACCCAATCGCCGAGTGTTTGTCGTTTTCTGGATCGTGTCCAGCAATGTCTGCAATCTCCATGGCAGCAAGACCGAGATGGCGCCAATGTTGGTCATACGAAGAACATCCGTAGTCAGCGCCTCCGGAGTTCGAAGAGTGAAGATCAGATAGGAGACCAGATACAATCCCGGCGGAGTAGTGAGCTTGGGATCCCATTGAGTCCATTTATGTGCCCAGTATGCCTGGGCTTGGGGGACGTGGAAGACTTCATCCAGGTAAGGCTCCGGGACAATCGTATTGACACGATTGACCCAGAAGAAAGGAAAGAGAATCAGACCAAAAGGAACCAACCATCTCGCCGTCCGGCTGAGATCTGACTCGGCAGGATTCGACATGTTGGACTTTGTAGTAGATGTCAAGTGAAGGTGGCTCGGAAGCTTGGCCGCCTCCGATGCAAACGTATCAAACGCGACGCGCCTTGCAGACAATCGACAGGCAATCGACAGAACAAGGCGAGATTAAGATCAATTGCATTCTCTCAATTCGCAATGGCCTTCCCTCTCCCTCGAGGCGTCACCGTCTCGGAGATCGCCTTCCTCGCAGAGATGGAAACGGTGACAGTTGTTCCCCGCCAGCGACTCGAAGGCCTCGAACTACTCGGAGTATGTGACATGCCTGGAATACCTCACGTCTCGCTCAAGCTAAGCATATATCTAGGGTCCCGTTGAGCCTCTTGCTCCTCCACGTCGCGCATCTCTCCCCCTCTGGCTCGCGCTCCTCCTCAAGCGCCAGCGCCGCGCCAATATAATTCCACCAGCATGGCTACACCCCGAACCTTTGAGCTTGATCCTCGACGTCGAATCCCAGCACCAGGACTACCAGAATGCCTTCTCCCCGCCCCCTCCTTTACCTGGCCAACCCAGCGTCCTGGACCGCAATGCGACGGCGTCTGCGAAGCCGCAGTACACTCCAGATGGCGACCGGTACTATCCAGCACCGCCATTCCTACCACACAACACTGCGCAAACTACATCTTCGCGGGACACGCCCTCACTACCCTTCCATTGGGTCGAAGTCGGCAATCTATTACTGGAATCTGCCAGTGATGATCTCGTGGAGCCAGATCAGATTCGAAGACTGTTGAAGGATTTGCGCGAAGTGCGGATGTCGAAGATGAGGTCTGGTGTGGATGTGCTGGATGAAGCAGCGACTGGCGGCGGAGGCGTTGCGCTGACTGGTGTGGGCTCTATGGAATTGGGAGAAGAGCGTGGATTCATCACCGGCGTGGTGGATGGTCTCAGGTATGTACACGCGCAATGGCTTCAGTTCAAGATATCCATGCTAACACCTTCGCAGGAAGATTGGGACTTCCAAGGAGCAAGCCCGGCGCGAACAGATGGCCGAGCAGAGGGCCGCTGGTGGGTATAACGGCACGCAAGAAGAGGAAGAAGAAGATTATATGGAGTTCTAAGCGATTTTGTTCATTTTTTTGGTCCGGCGTTGAAACGGTGCATGTGCAAATACTGCCTCCCACGACTTTCATGTATATAGTCCACTATACCCTACTTTTTGACCAACGGCTACAATCAAGGCTTGTTCCAATTCACCTAACACCATAACATGCGAGAGAGCAGGTATAAACAAGGAGGAGAGATGCCCGAGCAAAACCGAAACGAGAAAACGCAAAGGGTATAGAGGTCCCGGAAGCCTGGCGCCGGATGAACATCAACAAAGAGAGATATACAGCATGTTTATTGGGACGGCCGGATAATCCCCGGTTCATTGGGTATTGCCCTGGTCCTTTTGCATCATCTTCCGCCGCGCCGCCAAGATCATATCATCCCGGCGTTTCTGCAGGAGTCGTTGGCGCTCATCCTTATTCTGAGACCAGGCGGTCTTCGAGGGTGTCTCTTGTTGGTCTTCCGTAGAGGGGCTAGAAGCTTTAGCACTTAGGTTATACCGAGAGATCAAGTCTTGGCCATCGGCTTTGGATACCGATGCAGCGGAGGCGGTCTGCGCCACTGGGATGGTGGTCGGCGCAATTGGGACTTGTGGTTGGAATGAAGGAGGAGGCTAGAGTATATGATTAGTCACTGCTCTGTCTACAGTGAGGATGTCCTTGCCACCTCGGTGGTTAAGTAGACCGAGGTGGGAGCATTTAGACATACCGTTTCCAAGCCCCGTCCGGTCAAAATTCTTTCCGTAGTTGCGGGGACACTGCCCCCGTTTCGTTGCAGATCCCACATGATATCGCGGGTGTTCATTTGAGGGAACATCTGCGCAATCTGGGCGACTGACGCTGGGTCGACGACATTGCCCCGACCCCGACCTCGGCCACCTGCCGCCGAATGATCATCGCGGTTGAGGAACCATCGAAGCACAAAGTAAGACACGACCGCTAACGTCAAAAGCGACGGTATGTTGAGAGATGGCTCATCGTCCGTCATGTTGCGGCGGTCTGAGTCAGGCTCGATCGAGTATCGCGGAACAATTCCGAGCTCAGGGGTGATTAGGTCTCGAGAAGAAGAAGTGATTTGATACTTAGGGCGATGGAAGAGAAGCAAGAGCGCAATGCGCGGGGAGGCGCGTTGAGAGGTGGCACGGAGGGTCAAGTCGGAAAGCCGGGCACGTGCCTTGACCGCATATCCCTCGGGAGATCTCCACAACTCCGTTGTATACCTCTTCACCAGTTGACTCCGTACACATCTACATAATTACAGGGGAAATCTTCTCGGGGATTCTTCACAATGCATAAGTCGTAAGAACAAAGCCATTACCGTCCATAAAATAACACCGACCGGACATAATGTCACATCCCACCGGAATAACAGGCCAAAGAAACTATAAACAATCCAAGGGGTTCCAATCATTTCATGTCCGCAGGGGTCAATGCCTGAACGATACTTGTGCCCTCGCTGAAACGTGTGCGGAAAATCCGGTTGGCATTCTGGAACATGCCGTCTTTGAGCGAGACGACGATGAATTGAGATCCCTTGAAACGGGTCTTGATCAGCCGGCCAATGTTCTGCGTGTGAGACAGATCCAGCGCAGCGTCGACCTCGTCCAAAATGTACATGGGCGCAGGCTTAAATTGTAGCAGAGCCATGATCAAGGAAAGGGCGATGAGAGACCGTTGCCCACCACTTAGTTCCGTCAAGCTCTGCTTCCAGACCTTGCCCAGAGAGACCTTCACCTCCAGACCGTCGGTGATGTCTTTGCCTTCGGGAGGGTCCAGCTTGGCAAAGCTGCCGGGTAGAAGTTCATTGAAAATTTGACCAAAGTCGCCGTTGACCTTGACCCAGGTCTTGTGAAGGGCTTCCTTCTTGTATTCGTTGAGGTTCATGATGGTCTCTTCGATCTTTCGCTTATCGCGAATGACTGTCTTCATCATGTTCTTCAGTGCAGCCTCCTTCTTTTCCACGCTGTCGATCATGTTCATGACCTTAGGATTGATCTTCTTCTTCATGCCCTGAGATCGCTCCGTCAAGTTCCGCAGGGTGGATTTGCACTCGGCGATGTTCTGGCCCTCGAAATGGTATGGTGTGTTCGCACGGCCAAAGTGCTCCTTTTCGTCGGCAATCCACTCATGTTCTTGCTCCATGTGCGCCACGGCCTGGCTGGCGGTGTGTTGGTCCTTTTGGAGTTTTTCGAGCTGATGGCCGAGCTTCTGCGCTTCAAGGCCGTCTTCGGTGATTTGGGAAGATTTACTCTTCATGGCCGACTCCAACTCTCGTAGTTCCTCGTCGAATCCGGTCAACTTCGCCCTCTCATCATTGAGTTGAGCTTGTGCGATATCATGAGCATCCTGTGTGTGTTAGTGACAGGAAACTCCCAATGCGGAAAGAACACCTACTTTCAGTCGCGTTTGCTCACGCTTCTGTGACTCAATCTCCTCTGCTTGAGCGCTGAGAGTGTTGTCTGCTTCGACCAGTTGCTCCTCGGCCGCAGACAAGTCGCTTCCGGCTTGTTCAGAGTCAAGTCTGGAGGTCTGCAACTCCTTGTGCAGCTCTTTCACAGAGCTTGAGGTCTTGGCCAGACTCTTCTTGAGTTTGTCCAGTGAGGTTTGTAGCTCCGCCAACTTGCTGTCCTTGTTGTCGGTGAATTCGCTCATGTCCTTCTCGATCTGCTTGATATCCTTGGATGCTGCTGCTTGGCGAGCCTTAGCGTCTACAATGTCCTTCTTGAGTTGTTCGATATTGGCTCTCATTTCTTCCACGGCTTGGATAATCTATTTCACGTTAGTCGGGAACCAGGTGGTGAGGAAGATGAGTATACATACCGAGGATGAAGAGTTGCTGTTGATCTGCTCCTCAGTGAGCTTAATTTCGTGGGTTTTGAGATCCAAGTTCTGCTTCACAGAACGGACTGCGTCGAGCTTCTTCTTCTCCCTGTTCATGTGGTCTTCTAATGTCGCAAGTTGACGCTCCTTGCTCCGCAGCTCCTTGGTGATTTCATTCAGCTTCTGCAAAGTAACGAGAACTCCGCTGGAATTGGGGGAACTTCCTCCAGAGAGTGTTCCAGATGGGTCATAGACATCGCCTTCAAGTGTAACACTCTTCATTCGAACTGACGGATCGAATGTCACTCTCTTGGCGGTTTCGGCGTCATCACAGATGAGCGTGTTACCGAAGACATAGTTCATGGCTGCGAGGACCTCTTCATCGTGTCCGATCAATGACAGCGCAAGATCAACCTTCCCTGGGGCAATGTTCTGCGCAGCGCCAATCTTCTCAACGGAGGCCTTGAAAGCAGAGATCTTGTTCAAGGGAATAATGGTAACACGCTTGCGCAGCTTGCCCTTTTGGAGCAGTTGAGTACCGGTCTCTGCGCTGTCAACTACCACGTTGTAGAGGCGGCCACCAGCACAAATCTCGAGCGCAGTTGCCGCTGGAACTCGATCTTTGTTCAGAGTGAAGAGTTGCGCGACCAAACCCTTGACCTTGGAGCGGTCAAAGTTGGGATGCGGGTCAGCGTAGTTGAAGTCGATATTCGCTGCCTGCCTCCTGAGACCATCGGCCCGTTGTCGAAGATCTCGGATATCTCTTTGAAGACCGGTCTGCTCCTGGTAAATCTGCTCCTCCTTCCCAGGCTCAAAGCCAAGTCGGCTCAATTCTGATTCTAGCTTGCCAGCCTGCGCCTTCAGTCCCTCCAGATCACGTAGAAGACCGGAATTTTGCTCCTTGGCCTTCTTTGCCCGGGGCTCCTCCTCTTTAATGCGCTTTTCCAGGTGGTTGATCTTAAGTTTGCCCTGTTCTTGTTCCGTGGCAGCATTGCTTGCGCGGTTGCGGGCATCTTGCAACTGGCCTTGGTAACCACTCTCCTGGCCTTCTTTTGAAGCAACACCCGTCTGCAATGTCTGCAGCAGCTCTTCCTTTTGCTCTACTTCCACTGTTTGAGCATCGAGTTCGGCTTTGGCGGTATCGTACTGCGCTTGGATCTTCTCGTAAATCTTGCGCTTCTCTTTCAGGGCTTTTTCGAGGTCCACGACGGTTTGTTGGATTGCCTGGCGCTTTTCCTTCTCTTCTTCCATGCTCGCATTCTTGAGATCGAAGACTGTAGACAGTCGGACCAATTCGTGGGAGTAGTTCTTGACCTCATCTTCAAGTCCTTGGAATTTGCCGCCTTTCCGGAGTTCTTTGTCGCGGGCTGCCCGAACACGTTTGACGTCCTCCTCCAGGTGGGCGATTTCACTCTTCAGCTTATGCGCGTTATCTTCGAGTGCCTGCGCCTTGTTCCGTTTGTTTTCGCATTCCTCTCCGGCAATGCGCAACCGCTCTCCACCGCGAATGTAGTCGTGCGCAACAACGAGTCTGGTCATGCGCTCGAGATCGTTCTGCGTTTGTTGGAAATCAAGGAATGCTCGCTTCTCGGATCGCAGCTTCTCCAGCTTCGGTTCAATCTCTTCCTTCAGCAATTCCTCAATTTCACGCAGTTTCAGCTCTTTCTTTCCCATTGTGCGGTTCGCCTTTTCCCTTCGATCCTCGAACATGCGTGTGCCCGCTGCCTCCTCGATCATGGAAAGGATTTCGACGGACTTCATGTTGAGGACTTTCGTGATGCGACCCTGCATGATCAGGAAGTTGGGATTGTTGATGTTCAGTTGAACACTTTGGAACAGATTTTGGACGGTTTGTTGTTGCGCGCGGTGTCCGTTGATCAGGTACTTGCTCGTTCCGCCCAGCACAATCTGTCGGGTCACTGAAATGTTGGCATATTCCTCGAATCCGATTGGCGACTTCGCTGTGTCCGTGTTGTCAAAGACGATCGTAACGCTGGCTTTCGTGACACCCGCTTGACCACGTTTGTAGATGAGATCCTGAAGATTCTGCGCGCGGACCGTGGTCATGTTGGTGATACCGAGGACGAAACAAATGGCATCGAGGATGTTGGATTTACCACTACCGTTCAGACCGGTGATGGAATTGAATGACTCGTCCCTATTGTCGCGCGATCAGCAAAGTCCCCCTCCAAGTTGCGCGCATCCCGCCCATCATTCTGCGCGGATTCGCCTTTGATCCGAATGCTTGCATACCATCCCGAGATCACCGTACGCACAGCGTACGATTTGAAGCCCTGGAGCACAATAGATTAGCGCAAAATACTCCAAAGAAGTGTACCTGTACTCACGTCTATGACAATTTCCGTAATCCTCATGATTGCTCTGAGACGGCTTGCTGCTCGCGAGCAGAGTGCATGAATTGAGGGGCCGAGAGTGTTGATTGTTTTCCGCACGAGCTGTTTATGGTTTGCCCAATTGGGTCTGGCTGATGTCAGCGCGGGGACCACTCCACGGTCACGTGGCCACATCACGTGGATCTATACATTTTGACGACGGTCACCTTTCTTTGTTCTGCATTTCACCTTTCTTTGTTACACATTTCAGGGTCCATTCCCTACCTAGGTAGGCACTGGACCCGAGGACTGGCCCAGTACCCCTTCCCTTGCGGAGGTTTAATCCTGACACGGTCTCAGAATGAGGTGAGAATGCGAGGTTGAAGCGCAATCTATACTGTTTTGTATGAGATTCTTGAAAGCCTTTTTCATCATGGGGTTGACGCCAGTCTAATCTTGAAATCAAAATGCTTCCCACGGGTGGACAATTCACTGTGTGCGAACTAAGCAATGATATTTCCTCCCAAGGTCAAAACCGCACCTGGCAGCACGCAATAGAATGTTCTACAAAGAAGACTGGAAGGGAGGTTAAGTTCAATTGTGTGATGCCGCGAGGCTGTCTCTGACTTCTCTGTCGTTTCTCCCCTTTTTCTCTCGCCTCATCTTTACTGGTATCCAGGGAATTCATTCAGCGTTTTCCCATCTTCAAGATTATATATATTCACGTGGTTTTCGATCGAGCTGATGGAATCTTTGACTGAAGCAACTGAGATGCGAAGACAACGATGAAGGCAAAGAGTCCACCTTGGAAGACTCGGATTGATGTGTTGATCTACCTAACAAGCATTTGTCTTGAAGAAACAATCACAACCAGAATACACATTCAATTTTAAGCTCACAAGAGCTATACTGCGAAAAGGAATCCATAAATGCGTGGATCAATGCCCGGCTCTAGAGTCTGCAGCAAGTTGACTTCAAGTTGGTGTCATCGCCTCCGTCAACCAAAACACTCCGGTTCTGCTCCTGAGTTGACACAGCGACATCTAAGCCCGGATTACCAGTGAAGAAATTAGCAGGCTTAAAACCGACGACCATCTTCTCCGACGGCATCACAGGCCAATCCTCAATCCTCGGGTTATGTGTCGATCCAAACGTGTGCCAAACAACAATATCCTTGTTTCGAACCGACGCCTCTTCAGTCCCAGCACGCTTTTGAATCGCAGTATGGATTCCATCCCCACCAACAGACTGCATCGTATGTCGACCAGAGGGGAAATGCTCCTCGTCGTTGTGACGAGTGACCCACACAGCATGCGTTCCGAACTCAGAACGCTTTGCGTGATATGACTCTGGGTGTGCGAGTAGCATCTGGCTGTATGCAGGAAGTAACTTGAATCCGACAGGGGTTCCGGTGATGGGGTTGATGACATTCTCGTTGATGATTTTGAAGGTGCGGTTCTTCGTGAAATCCAAGTCGAGACCCTTTTCCTGTTCGACGATGGAAGAGTGTGTTATGTATCCGACGCCGAATGGGTTGCTGTAGGAGTCGACCTGAGCTTGGGACTTGCCTTCGTGGTTGAAGGTCGGAGTGTCCACGGGCATGGGATGCGATTCTTCCACTTGTAAGGAGTTGTTGTGTCCATCGAGGGCTGGGTCCATGCGAAGAGAAAATAGATGCTGGTGGTAGGGGGCCAAGACACCCGGGGCAACGATCGTGCCGTAAGGTACTTTATCGCCGATGTCGATAGGTGTTGTGGAGAGGATGCCAGTAGCCCGGACTTCGTAATGGATAGACGCATCTTGACCGAACTGGAAAGCAAATATATACTCGTAATTGCTGACCGTGATGATAGTTTGCAAGACCAAGATGCGTGAGCGCGTAACAACTGCGTTCTGGGTTCGGAAGTTCGTATGCTTCCATAAGATGCCATCGTCCTGCTCATGGCAGCAAACCACATTTGGAAGCTTCACAGGGTCACCGGAAGTAGTGGTGTGCCAGCCGTCGAAGTATTTGATGTGACCCAGGCAATCACAGCCTAGACGTAGGTTATTGGCATTGATTCCTGCTCCGTCATTCCCGAGATCGAATGCTGCTTTGCGCGGGTAGGGAGTTCGAGGATCACCGTATGGCACGAACATCTCTGCAAGTGAGATACGGTAGAAGAGGCTTCGGTTATCATAGCGGACGTCGTGGAGAGTGAGGCCCTCTCGATAGTTGAAACCAATGTGCATTGACCATTTCTCCCACTCGATGAAGTTCCCTTGAGTCTTGAAGGAGGGTCCCTCGGGCTGGATGACTTGATAAGGCTTGGTTGTCATCCGCGGTGAAGGTCGCAGACCAGGGCTATATTCGGTTTCCGCTCCATGAATCTTGCGGCGGTCAAATGGCTTTGGCTCTTCGTGAATGCGGTCGTTAGGTCCAGATGGCAGTTGATAGATCTTGGTGACCTTCAATTCTTCTGACACCTCCGCGCAAAGATCTAGTGGGTAGGCGTAGTAGTTTGCGTCGGCATCGTCGATCAAGCGCATGTAGAACCAACCCTGTATGCAAAATTAACCCATGCTCACTATCAAAATTCGGGGGATATCAAAACTCAGCTTACCATTGTTGTGCGCTTTGACATGTCATTCAGACCATCTGTAGCGTAGGCCCATGCCTCGACAATGACAGAGGCGTCGGCAGGTAGTTGAAGATTTGCGATATGTTTCTGAACATTTGGATCTTCTATGCAAACTTTTTCAACGGCTTGCATGTAATCAGAGTCAATGTAGGGATGCTTTCCAGCGAGCTCCTGCTTCTGAACTACACAAGCTTGATCGAGGTCGACCCATAGCTCGACAAACTTATTTGTCGCGCTTCCAGGAATAACAACCTGGACACGGGCTATCCTGGCAGGTCGCTTATTTGCAGTCTCTCCTCGATGTTCGCGATCTAGGAACGAGACCATCGAAGCCTTTGCCGGCTCTTTCAAGGTGATGACGCGGAAGTTGGGGTTTTGGGCTGGAAATTCACGGCGCACAATGGCCGCAGCCTGCTATCATCAGTTTGAGCTCGTAGGAACGATGCCAAACTGTCATACCTTGGCTATTTCCTTTGGAGTCAACGGATCAAAGGGATGGTTCAACGACATAGTTGCAACAGACTTGAAGTCGGGGATTCCAAAGTTTGATCATTCTGATACGAGAAATGTAGAAGATGGTATGTTTAGTTATTCCCGACTCCCCCGATTGCCACATATTGAAATATCCAAACGTCCCCAACGGTCAGGTTTAGACGAAGGTGAATCCTGCATTGGTTAGACACTCGACACCCCCACAACCGCAAAGGTTAGGATTAACCGGGCCACGTCCTGCAGCCGCAGCCCCTAAAGGTAGGCCCAACCTCAGATTCCGGAAGTTCCGTGTGAAAGTTCCGGGAAAACTAGACATTAGATGGTCTTCGAAGTAAATTTGAAACCCCAAAGAGAAGGTTTAGGCGCAGATATCACCTTTGAGGACAGTCATTTATAGGCTCGAAGAGAGCCAAGCCTATCCCCATACTTCAAACATCCCCTAAAGTGTAAGAATACGCGATTCTTCCTAGTAGATCCTTCTTCTTGGGCTGGGAATAATACTCTAGCCTGAATATATGGCCCCGACTGGCTTTTATTACGTAGACTCTACCTGATAGAATCGAACATGCATATTGCATATCATTGTTGCATCTATTCGTGGAGTCAGTATATTTCTTATAAGGAGGCACTCGCACATTTCATTCCACTTCATTGATCTTGATCAGATAAATTTTCAACACCTGTCTTTTGAAATATGTCAAACAAACTCCATTTCGCTGTACGCTCTTTTCCTTTCTCATGAATCTCCATTCACGGGATGATCAACTGACATATGTGCAGCCGGAAGATCCAAGCCTGCTCCACGAGGCCTCTTTGCTCAACGGCAAGTGGGTTCAAGCCCAGAAGGGTCAAACCTTCGCGATTGAGGGTTGGTCATGCCTCTTTGGTTTCAACAAGCCACTCTCTAATGAAACCACCAGATCCCGGATCCCATCATGTCTTCGCCAGATGCCCCAATAACACGCTCGCCGATGTCGATTTCTATGCCGAGTCTGCGCAGACCGCATTTGTGAAATACAGAGAAACAACCCCCAGAGAGCGAGCCAAGCTGCTCTCGCCGCTGGGTGCACCATAATCATCAAGCCCTCGCCTGAAACTCCACTTAGTATACTGGCGCTGGAAGACTTGGCAATGAGGGCTGGATTTGCACCCGGTGTTCTGAACATCATCACGACAGATAACGAAAACACTCCCGTCGTCAGTGAGAGGCTTTGCAAGCACCCACTCATGCGTAAAGTTACCTTTACTGGTAGCACTGCCGTTGGTTCGATCATCGCTAAGCACTGTAGTGATGGTCTGAAGAAGGTATGTTGCGTTTGAATACACAGGCAAATAATTTCATCCTACCTAGTATTGAAGGCCGTGATACGGTGGCATGAGTCTCACCAGTCAACAGGTTACACTCGAGCTTGGAGGCAACTGTCCATTCCTAGTATTTGATGATGGTGATCTTGACCAAGCTTTGGCTGCCCTGATGGTTCTGAAGTGGCGCACAGCCGGTCAGGCATGTACCCATGCAGACCGTGTCCTAGTCCAAAGAGGCGTGTACGACAAATTCTTGTCCATGCTAGTCCGTGCCACAAAAGAACTTCATGTTGGCCATGGCGCAGCTCCATCCACCACGATGGGAGCATTAACGACATCTCGCGGCTTGGATAAGATGGAACGCCACATCGCCGATGCTGTCTCCAAGGGCGGAGAAGTAGTTTGCGGGGGAAAGAGATTAACAGACTTGCCAGGAAACTTTTTCGCTCCTACAATCATCTCCGGAATGACATCCTCTATGCTGACTAGCCGTGAAGAGATCTTCGGTCCACTTCTTGGGCTATATTGCTTTGGTACAGAGAGCGAGGCTATTCGAATGGCAAATGACACTGACATGGGCCTTGCGGCTTACTTCTTCACCAAAGATGTAAGCCGGTCATGGCGGTTGCTTGAGGGCCTTGAAGCTGGAATGATCGGTGTAAATACCGGTAAGCCTACTGTGATCATCTACAGGCCTTTAAGCATTCACTAATACCCTAATAGGAAACGCTTCCGGGGCTGAATCGCCTTTTGGGGGAATCAAGGCATCGGGTTATGGCAAAGAAGCGGGTAAAGACGTCGCGATAGAAGAATACCTAGTTTCGAAGACAGGGACTCTGACCGTCGAGCCTCTTTCGAGACTTTAGTGGATTCTTCTTCAATATTGAGTACGCAAATTCGCTTTAAATAACTTCATATTGCATATCTACCCCAATTGCACAATAAACAACTCAGAAATGTCTGAAACAGAAACATCAACATTGCACACGCGTAGCGTCAAACATCGAGAATGCGGCGACATGGCTGAAACATCTAGCTTGACTTGCGCGCAGTAGAAATTATAGCTTCCCACTCCGTTACAGTGTCTTGATCGCGACCAAAGATGTCTTCAACGGCTTTCGCCAATGCCGTGCGAACCTCGGACTCATACTTCTCCCTCTGTTCCTCGCTCCAGAAATACTTCATGACAACTGGGAGCATGAACATAGTCATATCGACAAAGACCGAGGACTCGAGGGATGTCGTGGCTGTCTCAACACGAACTTCGATGTCTTCAAATCCACGTTGCTCGAGCTGGGACTTGATCCAAGCCACTGAGTGCCAGTCACCATCACTCAGGGCTGCCAGGAGCTCTGCGGAACCTGGGAAAGGCAAATCCTTGGAGATGCTCTCGATTGCCTTTCTAGCAATGGGGATCCAGCCGGCTTTCAACGGGTTAGTATCTTTGCATATCGAGGGTTTCTGTGGGCGCCACTCACTCTCCTTCCAAGTCGAAAACGCAATAGTTCCACCTGGCTTGAGCATTCTGACTGTTTCTAATAACTGATCAGATCTGATATATCATTTGGGGTTGGGACGGAGTAATTACCGTCGAGGGCCTTGATCGATTCGGGGAGTGCCATATAAGCTGCAAGTAGAATGCCATCAGTCAACAGCCCATTCCAGCAAATAAAGAGAATACAACCCACCAAAAGCCGTAAAGATGTAATCATAGAAAGAACTGGGTAGTCCAGGGCTCTGCGCATCCACAGTTTGCGTCTCCGCAGTCTGCCAATTCTCCTCTTCCATCCGGCTCTGAGTATACTTGAGTACCGCAGGAGAAATATCTCCACAGGTCAACTTCAAACTTTTCTTGGCATTTGGATCGAGCTGCTGGTTGAGAACACTGGAAACAACACCAGCTCCACAGGCATTATCGAGGACCACGAGAGGCTGATTGGGGTCGGCATTGGAGTTGACCACCTTGCTTTGCTCGACCAGCTTTTCGGCGAAGACATGGGTCACCATTTCTCCGCGCTTGAATGAAGAGGCATACTCTTCACTCTTGAAAATGGTTCGTAGAGTTGATTGGGAAGCCATAGTGTATAACAAGATTGCTTGGGGCAGTTGGTATAGAAGAAAGTAGGAAGATGAGTTGAAGATGAGTTTCGGCGGGATAGGAGGCTCTTTAAATAACAGGAAATATCACTTTTGGTTCTTACTGCTCAACTGATTCTCGTATCCTAGAATGACGGTCCAAGTAGAAAGTGTCCGACAATGTCTCCGCGGTGGGTTTGGGCTACCCTAACTTGGATAGTACGAGTAAGCAGGATTCTAGTAAGCACGGCTCCAAACTGATGGGCATGTGTTGTATCCACTAATTCTCTCTAATTGGGCGATCCTCGATTTTGCAATAGCAGTTATTGGTTGGCTCGTAAGTACCCTTGGGCAATCCATCGTGGTAGGGTATGGGATTGGCTGGCGAGGAGCTCGGTATCATCTATACTGGTGGAATCTTGGGGGCTGAGGACGATGCGGGGGTCGAATTGTGATTTATACTGGTGTTTCTGCTCCTAAACGACTGGATGGTATGGCAGCAAAGGGGGTAGAGGGGCAAGAGAAGAGAAAGTGCGATAAAAGTAGAGGGGAGGCTGAGCGGCGTTGTTTAGATGGCGCATTTCATTCAAGTGCAGGCTCCCCAACTGCGCCACAGCCCAGGGGGCTACGAGTCGGGAAAGCCCTAGAGATATCATACCACCACACTTCTTACTGCTTGTATAGTTTCACAGATAGAAAGCAAGAACAATGTCACTGTCAACATTATAGCGTTTTAGAGATTCAAGAGATCATCACACGTAATACACAACCATGCAATCCCCTCGCCCTGGGCGTTATTACAAACCATTGGAACAAACACCGGTGTCAGTCTACACCACACGCTTACCCTGTCATATTCGAATCATGAAGCATGATGCGCCACTCCAACAGGTCGGGAAACACTCCGATTAGGATCTAAACGGTTGTCCAAGTCCTCGTATCGAAGAATGAATTCACGCTGGAACATCAGGTCAGTGGGGTGGAATAGCATGCATGAATGGGGAAGAACATACTCGGATTTTCTTCCACGTAGCGGGATCCCAAAGCAGATACACACCGCGCTCGGTGACACCACGCTCCACGTCAACAGGCCCGGGATACGTTTCATCGCGGGTTAACCAGCAGCGCTCAAGTTTGTGGTACCGCCATTTCCGGCCCATCAACTCTTCGGCCACAAGCTCCTGCATTATATCGCGGGGTAGGCTGTAGAAGATGAAGAAAAGGGTTTCGTCGCTGAAGCCAGGGATCCGAGACTGGAGAGGTTGGATGTTGGCAACATTATAGCAGGCTGGAAGAGAGAAATCTTGTTCCAGGGGCACGGCAGACATGGAAGAAACAAAGGGAGAAGCAAATGACGTGTGCAAAGGTCTGATGGGGGCTGTTAGCATGGCTTTCGTGTCAATGGAATATGCGTGTCTCATACTCCGCTTGGTTCAAATCCAATCCCAAGGTCATTAGATCTTGGCCAACCGCGAGACTGGCCACGTCAGGGCTCTCGCTGTGGATCATACGCAGCAAGCCAGCTAAGCCAAACCTATCAAGTTCACTCATTTGAGCAAGAGGGGGTTGCTCGGTGTTTGTAGGGGCACCAGGGACATCTTGGCTATCGCTGGTATCTTGCTGCCGTTGTTGGAGCTGCTGTGGATCGCTGAAGTTTCGTTGGCTGGGAAGGACGTTGTTGCCCAATTCCTGGTGTGGTTTTAGTTTACATGCTGAGCACAAGATGAATCTGAGGGCTCACTTCTTTCTCTTGTCCTAAGATGCCATTAGGCACTTGGCTAACGGGTGATCGTGACGCTCCCAAACCTAGCAAAAGGGTGAGCATCTTGTAGCCAAAGCATCAGAGTAAAGGAAGCGATAGAGCAAACAAGGAAACACCGTGTGGTATGACATCCGTGTAAGGGAATCCCGAGATGGGAGATTGCCGGAGGTGAGGTTTAGACATACCGGTTCCATAGTTTCCAAATCCAGCTCCTTGCATCAAACCCCCAGTCCGTCCGAGGGGAAGCTCTGCGGCCGCATTTCGGCCCAAAGGAGGGAATTCCTCGATGTTTCCTGTCTGAGGCTGTGCTCCTACGCCCAGTTGGCTACTAATGCCTTGCCCGCCATTCCGGAAGTCATCGAGGCGGTTGGCAAACTGTGAACCGGAAGGGAACATATCATCATGCGGTTGTTGAGATTGTTGCGGTGTGGGGAGGCCTTGCGGTTGAGAAGAGCGAGAGGGGGCTTGCGAGGTCGGAGGGAGCTGTTGTCTTTGAACAGGTGTCTGCTGAGCGGCGCGTTGACTTGCGTTGGCCCACATTAGCTGGCCTGGAGTCTGAGACTGCGATTGTTGTGATGCTCCTGATAGCGAGGGAAACTCCCTGTAATCACCGACCTTGTCAGTTCGGGGACAGACAGAAAGATCTAGAGAGACCGGACACTACCACAAGTCATGGGCAGAATATGACTTACGAGAGATCCAGAGGTGCTGATGAGGACTGGGAACCTCCTAAGCTTTGCGCAAAGCTCCCCATGGTTCCCATTGTTCGTTGGCTTCCTTGTAGGCCACTTGATCCTCCGGGTAGATTGAAGCTCCAATTCGCAGCGCCGCCTATACGATTTTAGGTCAGTCTCTAGTCATGTAAATTGTCAAGTCCTCTTGAGGTGGGGTCGTTGCGCGGCAAGTGCCCATCTAATAAGTGCATGAGGGACGGCGCAGATCAAGCTGGTGCTTCATGACATCAGATACAACGCATGCAGGAAGCCATGGCACATGCTTGACGAGCCAGCGCAATCGACCTGTCTCGGCTCATGAGGCTCGGTCCACACCACAGGAATGTGCGATGCATCTCTGCACAAGGATGTCTCGGTCGCAAAGACAAGCACTGATCGCACGACAAGGCCATTGGAGGCATGGCTCTGCTCTCTCTTATATCGATAGACCAGTATTCCGTAGTCATGCACCAGCACAGACGTAAATGCTCAGTATTCGAGGGTGGTCCGCAGAGGCAGAGATGGGGACGAAGGTGTCGAGTTGAGAGAAACTCACCTGGTCTATTCATAGTCAATGCTCCTTGCTGGGAGACGAGGTGTGATTTTCTCGAGGTAGTCAGATAAAGATCGAGACTGACATTAGCCGAGTGAGGTACTTCGTAGGGCGAATATGTGGAGGGGATAGCAATGCACGAAGGGCCCTGTGCTTGATGCGGCGCTGCTCCGACGAGTCCAGTTGACGCTGATTGGATGTCTAAGCGCGCGGCTAGAGCTCGGCCTGAGCGACGCCGACCTCTTGGGCGACGCATCCTTCGTGGCGACTCAAGAGTACGGAAAGAGAAGAATAGATAGAAGAGCTTTGGGAACGACCTTTTTCTGAAGTCTCACAAGTTGTTCACTTTGAGGGAATCAACTGTCCTGGCGCGTGTGCGGCGTTTGCTATCTAGTCACGTGGTCCGTACCGCAGCGAAAAGAAAGACCATCGTCCTTCGACCATCCCATTTCCCGGGGAAACCAACACCACAACTATGCAGGCTCCACGCATCGCTAGCCGCCTGAGAGGGCTGGCTCTGACCGAATTGCCTCCTCCATACCTTGCGCCATCGCTCCATCGCTCCGTGACCTTGTCGCCGGTCCAATCTTCCAGCTTTTCTTCCACTTCCCCCGTCGGCGGCCGCAATCCTCGACGCGACAGAAGCAAAAACCGCGGTGTGTCAGCCATCCACCGAACCGGACCCCGCTACCCGCTGGTCGCATCACGATGGCCATTGCCCAAGCCCGTCTCACCGGAAGCCCTGCAGCGCCGGGAAACGAATCCCAACCACGGATTGTGGGCCTTCTTCCCTCCTACCCGAGAGTCACTACCACTCCCAGAGTATGATAACGCACACGGTAAGCTCTACCACTCGAAACCGGAACCTAATTGCCTGGATGGCGCTGATAACTCGCCTTGTAGGTCGTTCATGGGGCATCCAAGAACTTCGCGAACGAAGCTGGGAGGATCTGCACGCCTTGTGGCATGTCTGCGTCCGAGAGCGCAACCGTATTATGACATCTGACCTGGAGCGAACCCGTGTCCGGGCCGGTTACGGTGACTACGAGTCTCAGGAGCGTGACAAGGTGGTAAGTGTTTGCTGTTCCATTGTTTCATCCATACCCATCATTCAACGGCATCTTCAAACTATTGGGAATCCTCTTTTCCGTTTCCCGAGATTCCCCACGTTCATCATCACCGCTGCAAGGGCTACGCTAACCCTCATGGCACGATCAGATCAAGAGCACCATGAAGAACATGAAGCACGTTCTCCGTGAACGCTGGTACGCCTACGAGGACGCTACACGTCTGTACGAAAGCGGATACCGTCCTGAGAACTTCTATGGGTTCGAAGTCGAGGAGCCCGAGCTGAAGGAGCCTGAGGTCGAGGCTGAGGCCAAGCAAGCTGAGGTCAAGGAAGCTGGAGCTCAATAAAGTGATAGACAGATCTCATCAGGATGCCGTGCTGGAAGATATCCTCGACTGAAGCCAGTATTCTGGGTTCGAACTACTATGTAACATTAGCTGGAAGTGCGCATGTCAAAATATACATACCAAGTCATTCAATCCTATGCCCGCATGTAAATCGACTATTGAATTCACTCAAATTGGCCCTGTCCATTTTACCAATTTACCCCTGAAAACACAGCTATTTGCCCAAGCTTCAGGGGGGAAGAGTCGAGAGTGTCCAGCGCGTCATTAATATGTGTTCTGGTGAGGTAACTCACTAGTGGCGGATCCGCCAAATAGTTCCCCTTTCTTACCGCTTCGTTGATCCGCGGGGGAATAACTTCTTCTTCTCTTCTTCTTTTCTTCCCTTCGATAACATTTGTTCATATTCAAAATGGACGAGATTGCCCCAGAATACGATGTTGTGGTGCTCGGCACTGGTATGTCCCTACCCCGCCATCAACACATTCCCAACTGACCCTCTTTGCGCTAGGCTTGACCGAGTGTGTGTTGTCTGGGTAGGTCTGGACTTCAGGAGCTACGTGATTACGGACTCACGGTTGTTTTCTCTGCAGTGTTCTTAGTGTGAAGGGCAACAAGGTCCTCCACATCGATCGCAATGATCACTATGGAGGGTAAGTGAAGCGGGGGAGCTCACGATGACGAACGAGACAGCTAACAGCAACCACAGAGAGGCCGCTTCCGTGAACATCGAGGCTGTAGGTCTACCAGATTCGTCGACCTTATCTATACTGACCTTAGTCTCGCCTATAGCTGTTCAAGAAATACGGCAACGTCCAGCCCGGAGAGGAGCCCTGGAAGAAATACGGCAGAGTCAATGATTGGAACATTGACCTGGTCCCCAAGCTCCTCATGTCCAACGGAGAGCTGACCAACATTTTGGTCTCCACGGATGTCACCCGGTACCTCGAATTCAAGCAGATTGCTGGCAGCTACGTCCAGCAGGGCAAGGGCCCCAAGGCGACCGTGGCCAAGGTGCCCTCGGATGCCGGTGAAGCTCTGCGCTCATCACTGATGGGCATGTTCGAGAAGCGACGGGCCAAGAAGTTCCTCGAGTGGGTTGGCGAGTTCAAGGAGGATGACTCCGCCAGCCACCAGGGTGAGTACCCAAATCCCCGCATGGTGGGGGTCTCGTACTAATGGAGTATAGGACTCAACATCCACAACTGCACCATGAAGGAGGTCTACGACAAGTTCAGCCTCGAGGATAACACTCGCGACTTCATCGGTCACTCCATGGCTTTGTACCCGTCCGACGGATACATCAACCAGCCCGGCGCCGCCGTCGAAACCATTAACCGCATCCGTTTGTATGTCAACTCCATGGCTCGTTACGGAAAGTCGCCATACATCTACCCTCTCTACGGTCTCGGCGAACTGCCCCAGGGCTTCGCTCGTCTCTCCGCCATCTACGGCGGTACCTATATGCTTAACACCGATATCGATGAGGTGCTCTACGAGAACGGCAAGGTCTCCGGCATCAAGGCCACCATGAAGGACCGCGAGGACCAATCGGACGCCATGAAGTTCGAGACTAAGACTAAGAAGATCATTGCGGATCCCTCTTACTTCCCCAGCAAGTCCAAGGTTACTGGATACCTGCTCAAGGCTATCTGTATCCTGAACCACCCCATTGATAAGACCGACAGCAGCGATTCGCTCCAGCTGATCATTCCTCAATCTCAGGTCGGGCGCAAGCACGGTAAGCTTTGATATGCCCATGTTCGCTACTGAACTATCCACTAACCTGCTCAGACATTTACATTGCCATGGTCTCCTCTGCGCACAACGTCTGCCCCAAGGGCTACTATATTGCCATCGTGTCCACCATCGCCGAGAACGATGCCAACCCTCACCTCGAGCTCGAGGCCGGTTTCGAGCGCCTGGGCAAGATCGAGGAGAAGTTCATGGGACCTCCCATTCCCCTTTACGAGCCCACCGACAACGGTGAAGAATCCAACATCTTCATCTCCAAGAGCTACGACTCTACCTCACATTTCGAGACTACTACGGGTAAGCACTGATCTCTTTGACCACCCAGCTACAATTTGCTAACCCCCGTTGCAGATGATGTCCGTGATCTTTACCGCCGCGCCACTGGTGAGGAATTGAAGGTCGAGGGTCTCCGTGAGGACCAGCAGTTGGCTGCCGAGTAAAGACTCTCGCCCTGACTCTCCGACCCATCTAGAAAGTCTTAGATTGGTTGACTATATCACATTTGGACATTTGCGGGAGATTCTATTTGCTTTTCGCATCACCATAACAAATCCAGCACACTATTGATGCCGTTCAATTCCTGGAAATTCAACGAACTGATGGCGCGAAATCTATACATATCAACAGTCTAAGCCTTGCAGTATGAAATCCTCCGTAGTATCTCAAATTCTCTGATCCACCTCCGGATCCGTATTGGCCTTCTCATGCTCCCCAACCACGCAGGTATCCCCACTGTCCGCCCTTTGGATCTCCGCCCGAAGTAACGCCAGCCGCTTTCCCATGTGCACCACCTCACACACCAGTCGCACTTCCATATCTGTAGGCACGGGACGCAAATAAGTCACTCTGAGATTGCGACTGACGCCGCCGAGCGCGAACTTGCCCGGTGAGGAAAGACCCAGTAGAATAGTTGTGGACAAGACATCGATCAAAGTCGCGGCGCATCCCCCGTGTAGATTGCCCATGTAATTACTCATGGCCGGGGTGACCTTGAAAAGGAACGAGACCGAGGCCGAGGGACCCCGGGTGGCTGATTCGAAGCGGAGGTTACAGCTGCGAGCGTCGACGCCCCAGTGCTGCAGATTCAAGACAGTGGTTAGTATGGTCGGTGAGGTTTAGATGTCTTTCGGGGCTGTTGCGACGGCGTCCGAGTACTTACTCCTTCACCCCCGAGGCCCATGCGGGTGGTGTATTCATAGACGAGTTCCTCGAACTCGTCCAGTTTCCTGGCTGGAGCACCTAGTACGTATTCTGTCATGGCTGTGATAAATGCAATCAACAATGCGGAAATGTCAGTAGGGGGAAGGTTGAGCTGAGTGTAGCTGGAGATAGCTGTACCCCACAAGCGCGACTCGGGGAATTGGACCTCGGCTGCGGCGAAACGACGCGGTATCTTCAACGACCTCTTGTCACTGAGTACAGTACGGGGTATTCGCTGCTCTCGAAGTGGTCACAGTATTTTTCAGCGGGTTTTCCTCTGGGTGCTCATGTTAGTTGATCCCAAGGTTGCTGCACAGTAGCATGGATCTCGTGGATCATGGCCGAGATCTTTCCCGAGGTCCCATTCCATTGTAGTGCCGTTTTTTGAGTCGAGTGAGACTTTGGATACTCAGTCCACTTCTTTGAGCGACATCTGATTCAGATACTGATCGAGCCCTCTAGTTGACTCGGAGGAAGACTGCACGACGCGGACACAGTGGTTTAGTCACGTATGCTCTTCAAACAGCCCTGGGGCCCAGGTGTCGACCATGTCCTGTCAAGGAACCTTTTCAGTCCGTAAACCATTTTCTTTCAACGCTGGGACATCCAAAGAGTCAGCTTCTGGCTAGTTGAGCTCCCATTTGGGGGGTTTGAAGTGAACGTCTGTTTGAGCACAGATCATGTATATATTGTGCCACCAGAACATTGGAACTGACGACCTCAAGTTTCGTGATGTCCATCTCGATGTGTGCCACACAACATCTCTCATCTACATACACACAGGAGAGGAAAAAAAACTACACAAGCGCCAAATATCATGACCCTTACACAGCCCTGGAGGCTGGGTCCCATCCACAGCCCATCGCAGCAGTTTACCCATGGACTGTCTGCCCAGGTGGTGAACTATACGCGACTGCTGCCGAGGCCTTTGAAATGGGCACCTTCAAACCTTGGATTGAATCTGATTGTGATCTCGGAGTATACCTAGCCGAGTGTAGCCCCTAATTATCGGGCTTCTTCTGACTGAAGACATTGCCAACAATTTCCTCCACTGTTATGCCAGTCAACAGCTTCAAAACCGGGATGTCAACCCCAAAAGTCGGTCATAATCCACGTCCGAATATCAACCGCAATCAACGAATCCACCCCGAGGTCGGCGACAGCTGTGTGCTCCACCACCGGCTGATTGGGTGGAAGATGAAGGCTGGTTCGAATCTTCGTCACCACCCCATCTAGGAAAAAAGTCATTAATATTGCAAGATCCGCTGCGACGTATCCACTGGTTGATTGATAATGGACCGGAAGTGTCTTCGGACAATGCCAGTTTATGACCGGGAGTCCAGAAAGCTCCCGGGGATTACAGTCAAGCAGTTCGGCAACATTGTACTCGGGAAGTCGGGCGTCAAGCTGCTTTGCGATATACTCTTTGGTAACTGAGTGGGCGCTTGTGAGTAACTCAGTCAGGTTGTTGCTGGCGGAAGAGATGGAGTTCAAATGTGCTTGCAAGCACGGATGGAGCTGCGAGGCGCTGAACATGGGGAGGTAGGCTGTCTATCACTCTGGCTGCAGCGGGGTTTTCTGAGAGGTTGATGAATGTATCAATTCCTTTGGGGAGATATGAGCTAAGTACTCGTACTGGCGCCTGCGGATTGCAGTAGGTCCACAGCGTCGAGGTAGCCAGCTCTTTGCTTCCGGTTAAATATTGTACCTGAAGACCTTGGGAGTGCAGGTGGTGCGAACAAATCTTCTCATGCACGGCTGCAGTGGAATCCGTGGCATAAAGGAGGACAAAATCCCCAAGAGTGATCTTGCTCGTGACGGACTTGATGAGAAAGAAGGTGAGTAGCCAAGAGACCAAAGTATCGGGGGTGGCTGGACGTCTCATGATCAACGGAGATTGAAGAAGATGTGGACACTGTCATCACAGACGATAATGTATCAGAAGCAGCAACGACGTCTTCTCCCGAGAGGACATCCACGCCTTGACTCAAATATGTCGATAGCTGTAGGCAGGGCTGCCAATACCTACCGAACGTGTTGCGCGGACGACACGAGAACTGGCCTGGTATGAGTGAAGGGGACCCTTGGCCACCAATGAAAAGCTGTTACTCTGCCATTCCAGCTCGGTCTCATCCTCATCAACGTGGACTGGAGTGGTGATCTTCCTTCTAGAGCTGTTCAGGCGGTTGTTGGCCGTGTCGAAGGGTCGCAGCCACAAGAGAGCCCTCGTCCACTGGCACTATCGCTACTCTGATCTCCGGGCAGCCAACGTCTATTCAACTGCACAATTGGTCTCACTGGTACCTAGGTAGCGCAGAGTCGGCACATCGCGCGAATATATTTCCGGTGGCACGCAGTGGGATCCCTCCGAAACGCAGACGGTATTCCCCATGTCTACAATCCGACGAAAGTTGCACGAAACAAACAGCTACGGGCAGTCGAAATTGATCGCCGAGAATATCGTCGCGGCGGCCGCAATGGCACATCAAAATCAAAGCCCAGGAAATCGGCTGGGCGTGCTGAATCCGGCTCTCATCATCGGCGGATCAAATAATAACCACACAGCTAACCTTGATGACTTACTTTGGAGAATCATTAGTGATGCGTCCTGATGGGCGAGTATTACCCCAAGCCTGAGGAGTGGATTTATGTCGCTAGGGCCGAAGATGTGGCACACATGGCCGTTGACGCCCTCATTGAACCCATGAACCCCCCAGAACATACCTAGGTAGGAAAATGCTGAGCGGGCTCCGGGTCACGGCCTTTTGGAATGCAGTCAATGCGGCTCTTGATGAGCCTTTGTGTCTGTGTGGCACATATACCGTCTGGCTCAAGAAGCTGGGTAACTCGGTGTCGAAATTCGGCGATGCCCATCCTCGTTGGCCAGTTATGCAAGTGGTTGAGACGATGGGGCCTGGGTTGTTTAGTAGCCCGACTCCGCCGTGGGTAGATGAGGATTGGGAGCACTTGGAGCGGGTCATGGCTATTATTGTTACTCTAAATGTGAGGTATTTGCAAGAAATTGGGTACTTGGGAAGTACGAGCACCGCGAAAGCTTTCCCTGCGCGCTTTCGGAGAAGGGGTTAACGTCTTTCTAGGGAGACTCTCCCGCGCGCTGGTGGCTTCTGTTCATTCCGTTCATTCATGTGGTATTTTGCCTCGGTGCGGGTTCAGAAATCTGCAACGATATTAAGCCTGTCCAAGTTACACAATAACATGCGTAGAGGTTGAAATGAAAGGAGTCTGAAGGGACGAACTACACGGAGCAGATGATAGACACCTGAGGTATCAAAACTACTTCCAAGGCTGTTCATCTTTTACGGACAGTTGGGTTAAGTGAATAGACTGTTCCTCCTCGATTGGTGCTTCTGAGCTTGAAACAATCCTCATCCAGTCATAATAGAATAAATTCCAGTCTTCATTGGCCAATCTTGGAGGCTCCAGAGGTCGATCCAGTATCTATGCTGAGAGCTTGTGGTACATCTACTCAAATATATTTTGGTGGCTTTCATGTCTCAATGTCCAAGAACTGAAGCTATCAAACTGGAACAAGTCAAACGCCCGGGATGAATGAACTACCTACCTGGTAGAAAGAGAACATCCAAATAGCAAAAGTACCTAGGTAGCAAAAGTAGCAACCTTTCAGGGTGGACGGACTCCTTGCTGGGTCGCGTCACGCGTCGCGGCCTGAGGCCCTCAGATTTATTTGTCCGCTTCTCCCCTTCACTGCGCAACTGCACACCTCGCATTCAATAGGCATTGATCGTTCATCGCCCCTTGTCGGTCTCTCCACATTCGCCCTAGTCATTTATACCATGAAGGACCCTCGCGCATCGAAGCGCAGACGTGTCTCTGGAGACGCCGATGGAGACATTGAAATGGGCGACGAAAATGACGTATATTCTGGACCCTCATCACCCAACGACAGAACATCTCCGACGCCCGTCAAAAGCGCATCGCGGCGCCAGTCTACCCGCGCGAGCGATCTCACCGAGCCAGTGGATCAGAACGAGAAGCAGGAGCAACAAACGCCCGCGCGGGCAGGGACGCGGACAAGTGGACGGACACGCAAAACCCCCAAACGTTTTGAAGACGAAGCGGTGACGCCCTCAAGGAGAAAATCAACCACCACCCCTTCAAAAAGCGCCCGGACACCGCGAAGTGCAGCAAAGCCGAAGCAGTCACCCGCGGAAGACAAAGAGGGCATTCACGAAGAGGAAGCAGAGGACGAGGAGGATGATGAGCCTGAATTCAAAGACGAAGAGGAGGACGATGATGACGACGAGGACGAGGACGAGGACGACATGGACGTGGACGAGCCGTCTCCGGAGCCCGCTCGCCGCTCAGTCACCCGGACGAAGTCTAAGAGGAGTGTCGCAAAGCCAAAACCAAGGACCACCAGGAAGGCAGCGGAGCGGAAAAAAGAAAAATCACCCTCGCCCGAATATCAGGATGGCCTGGATGATCTTGTTGCGATGCAACTCCAACAGGGTCTTCCCCAAGCTGCGCTGGAGACGCACGAGGCACCTGAGGTCGCTGAGCCGCTCCCAGAATATGCCGAAAAGTTCCAATCGCTCTGCCAGGCGGGTCTAGGGGATGAAATTCGAGTTCTCTCGACCACCGTTCTTGAGAAGCTGTCGGGGAGTCGTCGGATTCCTATTCGCGGTCTCCAAGCTGAGTATCAAAAAGTCCACCAGCTCATCGAGCAAACGGTTTCAGTCGGCGAGGGAAATTCTATGCTCCTTCTTGGATCCAGAGGATGTGGAAAGACGGCAATTGTAGAATCCATCATTTCCTCCCTGAGAAAGGAGCATGATAACGAGTTCCACGTCGTCCGTCTCAACGGGTTTCTGCACACAGATGACCGCTTGGCTCTGCGTGAGATGTGGCGCCAGCTCGGTCGCGAGATGCACACCGAGGATGACGCAGCTAAGGTCAGCTCCTACGCGGATACCATGGCCACGCTTCTGGCATTGCTGTCTCACCCCGAGGAGCTATTTGGAAGCTCTGGAGACACAGGGTCAAAGACCGCTGCGAAATCTATTGTCATTCTGCTGGACGAGTTTGACCTATTCGTCACCCACCCGCGGCAAACCCTGCTGTACAACCTTTTCGATATTGCACAAGCTCGCAAGGCCCCCATTGCAGTCATTGGGTTAACAACCAAAGTCGATGTGACTGAGATGCTTGAGAAGCGTGTCAAGAGTCGTTTCAGTCATCGGTATACTTATGTCCCCTTACCACGGTCATTCGAGGACTTTGCAGAGATATGCCAAGGAAGCCTGGACCTCGACGACACCGAATTGGCGGATATTGCACATGAGCTGGGTGATGAGCGTGGTCTTGTAAAGTCTAGTCGATGGACAACGCTGCTCGCGGGATGGAAGGAGTACTTGGGTGTAAGTCACATTCTTACCTTGCCATATCTGTTTTCATGATATTGACCCCGGAAAATAGCACATGTGGAATGATCAAGAATTCCAATTCCACCTGAAGCAGATCTACCACCAAACCAAGTCTGTGAAGGAGTTCCTCGCCAGCGCCTTGCTACCAATGAGCGACTTCCTACACAGCGTGATGGAAGCAGATGCTGCAACCCCGAAGGTTCCGACGCCCAAATCGTTCTCCTCTCAAACCCTCTCGTGTCCCGACCCCCCGCCTCTCCCCTTCTCTACAACTATCACATCGTCTAGTCCCTCCTCGTTGCCCCTGGCCTTACTAGTAGCGGCGACGCGGTTGGCAGCGTTATTCGACCCCGGAAATGACGGGGTCCAGAACCAGAGCATGGGACCTCTTGCGCTCTCTTTCCCTGCCGCCTATGCCGAATATGTTCGCCTTCTGACTTCTGCCAAGACCTCTGCCTCGGTTTCCGGAGCCGCTGCCACCCCAGGTCGTGTCTGGGGTCGAGACGTCGCCCGCGAGTCCTGGGAGAAGCTCCTCAGCTGGGGACTTGTCACGCCAGTTGGCAGTGGCAACGGCACAGCCGATGGTCAAATGTTCCGCGTGGAAATCAGTTTCGAGGAGGTCATCGAAGTGGCCGGCTCGGGAGGTTCCCTAGGCCAATGGTGGCGGGAGTAACCTTTTCACGCGGCTCTTGGGACATAATATCAACTGCATTGCATCATGTAGCCCGTTTCTTTCACGCCGTATACATAGACTATAGCATGCCCATTTTCAACCATTCCCAAACCAAGCACCACATACTCTACGGGGCATATCTCGAACATTGGCAACCCGCGTGTTTCATGGCAAATCGCCCAGACAATCCAATCTCCAAACCATTCCCGTCTGATCCCAGCCCATCCCTCCATTCCGCGCCAGTACCCGGCATCGGATGTATCACACCCGCCTCCACGGACCTACGAACCACTGCACCCGCACACATGGGCCGAGCCCACATCCAACCCAAGCCCTTTGATACAGCTATTGGCAAACATGCGGGATCTCGTTCATGCCGATCGCCCCTTTAGCCGAATCCAATCGATTCAGTCGCCCTTACGTTGCCCATATCATGCACGCATCCGTGTCGAGGTGCTAGACAGGGGGTTGTGTTTGTTTGCCCCAGGCAAGCCAGAGCATCAATATCATATGATCGGCGTTCTTGTATAGCGTGGCCAGATCGGGGCTTTGTTGAATCGGAATCTCACCTAGGGGATTCGGAACCTGACTGGTGTATTCTTCATGTCATCAAGGAATAAAGGATTAAGCTTGCATGGGAGTTGGGGAGTTGGTATTTTTGCCTCCATGTGCTTGTGTACGGAGCCAATGTGGCAAGGGTTTCCTACCCTACACTCCCTACGAAGTCGACTGTGAAACATGTGATTGGCTAACAACCACAGGCCATGTGTCTTGACCTGTCGCATTCTCGTGCCATTGACCAGTCTGCTGCTACTGCATCTGTTACTGCATGAAGCCCATGTTCCACGGTGTGGAACGTGTCAACTTCCGTATTTGGTCAATAGCCTTATACTGCAGGACCATGTGGCCTGTGAGGTGTGCATCCAAACAAGTCCCAGTATTTGAAATATACATATTGACCTCGACTCGAGGATCAGCATGGTGGAGTCTGAGTCGACTCCACAGTGACTGTACTGCAGTAGGTGGTTTCTGTATCTCGTCTGAGCTCAAGCCGTTGAGAAATAATCCAACTAACTAATGCAACCTGCAGATCCATATTCTCGCTGCCGTCTCCAATGCATCAGTGCATCAAAACGGCATACGGAGTACATGAACATGTTTTATGCAGTGACATCCTGTCAGGTCTCTCTGCAAGGTTCCGAGCTCTCTTCCGGAGGACAGGTCTGATAGCTCTTGGGATCATGACTGGACTGTTTCGACTAGGAGACCTGGTTTCAGAGTGGATAAAGCCAGACCCGCCTGACACGACGAAAGACGGAACTGTGAAGATGGAGTTTTGTGCGACACCGATAGTGCTAAGCTAATGCCGGCGTTTGGTCTGGATTTAGGAGACTGCGTCAGATCAGCGGGCTGCATCCTTTGTGGATGTCTCGAAAAATCAGTAATTCAAACCGACCTGGAAACACACGATGCCGTACACCCGGAAAGGTAAGTCCAGGATCTTCCCGTCAACACACGCCACCGGCTTCATACTTACTTACTTAGGCTGCCGAAATGCATCTCAACCCCGCTTTAGCTCGATAGCATGATTCTTGGTTTTGTGATTTGATTTTTTCTCTTTGCACTGTGGCGCCACAATGCCAAGCCGGAAGACTAGGCCCATTTCCATACGCGAGGGTAACGGTGAGGGATCGGGCCATCTAGAATCGGAGAATTACATACACCTGCGAATGAGATGGAAATGATCCTTTCTGCAGGCTAAACAAGTCGATCAGTGAGCTCAGAGTACATATTATCGAGCGTGGCGCTTGTAAACAGCGTGGTGACGATCGGTCTCAATCAGGCAACCTCCGCTTCCCCCGCTGCAGCAGCGACGATCAGACATGACACCGTTATTTGACGATGGCGGAGATATTATCCTCTCGGAGCAAAAGGTAAAAAGTACGAAATACTAGACGAAGTACTGTACCTGTATAGATAGGGTCATTCCCTCACTTTGGAAGCCGAAGGAACTTGGAAGTTAGAGCCGATGAGTTAACCTTGGAAGTGATACGGTGTAGACTGGAGATATACTTGTGCAACTTAACTTAGCGCCGGTGGAGATTTTGTCAACATCGGATTTTCCTCGGTCTCCGAAGCCACACTCGTGCGAAGTACTGTCCTAGATGTACTAGTAGTATGCTTCTCGATTGCACAGGAGTGCAGAAATCTGATTCTGCGCGTCACCATACTACAGTATGTAGAAGAATCACTTCCGGGTCTTCCGAGCTCTCTTGAGCACCCGTGGACGAAATATTTCCAAAGTTTAGCTTCGGAATCATATCAGCTCCGCAAATGCGCATTATTGGAGCTCACAATCACCAATGGCCAAGCCCCGGGTGGGATGTTATTCCGATGGTCTACAGGACAATATACGTTTGTCATTCGGAAAATCACTTAGGCATCAACCTTGGAAGTACGGAGTCCGTACTCCGTAGACACCCGTATGAATGTAAACCACATGGACAGCTCCACCGCTGCAAGTCATTTGCGGAGGATCATAATTTCAGACGGGCACTAGCTGCATAGGAGCTTGTATCTTCGTACAGGTCGATCCGCCACGTGGTTCCTCTGTGCCGTGTGGAGTCCGCGACCGGAGGTTTTTCAGGCTCATTTTTGTGGTTTCGGTGTCGATCAGATACTTCTGTGCGAAGTAATTCTGTTTCTTCCTTTTCGGGTATGCTTTGTACAGTACAGTACTACCCACACCAGTGCCAAGGCCGGGAAAGTTTGGATCTCAGAATCAGGGTCAGGAACAAAGGAAAAAGGGGAACACGATGGAATAACCGTGACAAAAAAAAAGACACGAATAACGATAGTATGCCCCCCCTTAATTTGGAGGTAAAAAGGTGCATTATCCGTTTTGATCGGATGGCCCGCTGAACCGTGGATGATCCGAGACAAAGGCTTCTTAGTGGCTTCCAGAATGGTTCTGGAAGACTTCCCCTTTCGGATTCGCAACCCTTTCCGTTCTGAGTCGATGACGGTGGTCACGTGTGTATTGTATTCCGTTTTAAGGTTTTCTCGTTACTGTAAGGACAGGCATCCATGGTTCGACGACGGAGTACTCCGTACGACTCAGGCAAAGTGCATATGTATGTAGGTAATTACACTGTCTATCAGTCCAGTAGCATTGTTCTATCACTTTGAGGTACCTTGGGAAGTCACTAACATACGCCTTCTCTTGACATCCGATCAGGCTGGATCTTCTGCCGATCAAAAGTTATTTACGCGAAAGGGTCCACCAGTGGACAAGCATTAATCAATGTGGCCTGAGCCGAACATTCGTAATGCAAGCCACAAGTTTGACGATAGTTTCGGAAATAAACCCACGGCTACGGCGCCAGAAGGATTAGCTCCACGTCACAACAAGGTCCTGACACTTCCATCCATTCTAGGCAGTAGACGAGTCGAGTGAGGCTCTGTCCGCCATGCGCTACGTGCACGCTGGAGTCACTAGTGCTTTCGCTAGTCCAAAGAGAGTTTCTGACAGTTTAGGTTTGGGGATCCCTGCAAGGCGAACCCCGAGGGTGGTTGGTGCGGCTGAGTCACGGCAGAGGTCTGGCATTGGAGCAACGGCAGAGATACGAGATTGGCTGTGATTGCAGGGCTCGGCAAAGGACAGGCAGATCCGCGATGATTGTCGGTTCTAATTTCCACGTGGCGAGCTCAGCTAGAGTTCCCCCACATTCGTCCCGCCTTCAAGCTCTGAGATTGTGATATGTATACTTCCGGGATTTGGTCGCTCTAAACTCGATTCGTCTTGCGTGGACTGGGCAATGGCTGATAACTAGTTCCGGGGTGAAGATCGAGTCCACATGGAGGGTTGCCCAGAGACCGGTATTGACGACTTATCCCTTGGAGCAGAACGAGACCCATCTAGACCGTCAGCCAGTTGGTCCGAATGGGAATCCTTGACGCCGCACGAGAGCTGTACGCAGTGGTTTAGAGTTTGAGGGTGATCAGCCCGGGTCCAAGGAGCATCAGAGCATACCTAGGTTGGTTTGAATCCCAATAGCCCAAGCCACATTCCTACAGAAAAGCAAAACCGCTAGTCGGATGTTGGTTCCCTGGATTCCGTAGAGATCCGCATACAACCATGCAGTCCGGAGTATGTCAACCTGCTACATGCAGGGACCCTTAGCAGGTAAGGAGGCCAAGGGAAGTAACCTGCTGCCTGGGTTTTACGTACAACTTGAGGACTCTGACAGGTAAGGTATCCAGGGTCGAGGTCCACAAGCTTTGGCAGCGTGCGAACTTCCATAGTTGACTGCAGAGAGGAAGTAGTGTGTAGTCTTGGCGGCTGATAACTCCGGTCATGACTATTTTCGAGGCTACGAGGCTCCCATTTTGGCTTTGCATGACTCGCCGGGCTTGACATGGGATGGTTTGTTTTTTTCTTTTTCTTCCCATGGAAGTTTGGCCACGCGTTACTTCATGTACATGCACATATTTACCCCTGAATGATAGGTTCGAAACCTGCAGGAATTTCCCTCGCGTGGCAGTCAGGGATGTTGGAAAAAAAAAGAAGAAAAGTGATGGATGATAAATACCGGTACGAATGATACCAGTGGTAATGAATTACTTGTATCTGGTACTGGTAATGGGGGATACCCGATACAGTACCCTTCAACCATGTGCCAGGTTTAAACATGAAAATCACGGTCTTCACCGTTGAATATCTGACCGCAACTTAGTACTTTAAGAGGAAAACCTCCGTGAGCCAATCTGTTAGCGGGCCTCAAATTTGGAATACGTTCCCCACTCCCACCACTCCGGTCTCTTGCAACCACAGGTCCAGGCGGAATCAAGCGACCAGCGCGCTCAGTTCGGGCTAGCGCCAGTGATCTCGCGCAAATGGCTATCTGATGTGCAAACACTAATATGTAAGATGAACTTAGTTCGAGGAAAATTAATCTATCCTACAACTCATATTTTGTACCAAGGTTGTGGTTCTCAAAGTCATTTATTCGTAGTCCTAGCCCTCTCCGTCTCCTTTTCGTCAGTCGCCTCAGAGCCGCAGAAATCGAGATCGGCTTTGCTCGGACAGGGCTGAGCCAAGAAGTGGGCGAGAGTAAAGTTTGTAGACCCCTATTTGGCCCCCAACTTTGCCACATGGACTCTGCCCCTGGGACTAGACTGAAGTTACTCGGATATCCCATCTTATCCACGTGGTATCGTTTCAGATCGTGTCTCGTTGTGATCGGTTCAACTGGATAGATCTCAATGACGTGTCGCATCGAAGATTCCAAGGTTCTTTGTTGTTTCTTTTGTTCGACCTGTCTACTACGAGTCCAGTGCACAATGGCACTATCGATCTACGCCAACCTGACGTTTGCTTCATGCGGGGCAGCCGATCTCGTATTCCCCAACTGCCGAGACCATCACTGCTCGATTTGTCGCTATCACCGTGTCTGAGCGACCGTTCAAACCCTGATATGTATAGCTGTTGGCCAGACAAGGCCGCTCGGCCCTCGGCGGGCGAGATTTGCCCGGGTTCGCCCTCCCGCGTGACCTCTCCCGGGCGCTGTGGTTGGCTTTCTCACCTGCTGGAAGTGCCCCTCAGGAGGTGGCTTGCTGACGTGTATGACAGTTTGTCCCAGACAGAGTGTCCACCGACCATTCTCCTACTTCAGGTTGATAGCATGGTTCATGCACGGTGAGACTCTGCCGCTCTTGTGCCGCGTGTTGGGGCTGTCGCGACCGCTAGTTTGTCAAATGAGGCTCTCTGCCCGACCGTTTCTGGCAAGACCCCGACCGCACGGCTGTTGCGATCTTTGCCCCTGCGTCAACGGTCACAGAGCTCGTATTCGCAGAGGTCATAGAGCTGTCAAATCCTCCGATTGATGATGATTCATTATTCCGGGATCGAGCCAATGAGAACAATAGAGTGAGATGATTGGTGAAGGCGTGGGCGGAAAATTCCCCAACCCCCGTATTCTATGTAGATTCTGAAACGGCGAAAAGTTGAAACCGGTTGTCACCTTGGCAGAGGGTCATGCTGCAGCACGGAGTACAGCTCGCAGTACACCCACGCAAAGCCGTTTAAGTCCGCGCCTAGGATGATCGTGGGATATCTTAGCGAAAGCTCCCCCCAACAAGGTATACTAGTCGGATCCAGGGGAAAGATTTGCGAGGCTGCGCCCCCCTCTAAGCGCAAAGCAGTAAGAGAAGAGGTCAACGCTTAGCCGCTAAGCATCTCTCCCCCACGTGTGCCCACGTGGAACCACATGGATTATGCGCACGAAATCAAAAGAACACGCTTGGAACCGCCGTGGAAGGCCTTGATTACAGGGTATTTTTGGTGATTTCATGGCCCTCTTCTCAAGGTCCTCAAAGGAAATACCCCTCCCCCCACTCTTACATTGAACACAGATACTGAGAATTGTCTCTTCCGATCGGAAGCGCTAAAGCGGGTTTCAGGATGAGAGGCCTCATGCAATCGGACCAAAGGAGTCTAGCTTATATCCCCGAAACATAACAACCACAGTCTAGAAAACGGTCCCCACCATGAGACAATCGGTGTGAAGGTGAGAGGGGGTTTCTCCGAAGACGGGAAGTGTCCATATCCCGTCATTGGATTGTGTTCTCACTCAGGTAGGAGCCGCTAGTCTCGGCATCAAGCCGGTCGATAACGTTAATATAATTTCCGGTCCAATTTTCCGAGCATCACATCAGCCCGGAAATTCCAAGGTTTGACAGCCACGGTTCGAACATGGTGATTGTTCACTCATCCCCACGTGGGTGACTAGTGTGTTCTGAACATAAGGCGAGTATGACTCGTACACTACTGAGTACCACGAAGTAGTATTGCCTTCACATGCATCAGAATCGCCCGCGACCTCGGACTGGATACCCCCCGTTCTGGTTTGGAATAGAGTGTCTTTTTATAACTGTGATAATCCAGTTATAGTAGTAGATAAGCGCGACTGAAGATTCAGATCTAGGAAGCAATTGATACGCCATCTCGCAGGACAGGTAATACCAGTACCAAACGATCTGCCGGATGCGTTCGGTCTAACCCGAATGGGGATGAGTAATGAAATCATCGAGTGGAGTCGAAAGATTGGGTACGGCGTGGTACGAAGGGGCAATGTATTTAATTTCCTTGCGATTGATCGATGGGGAAAGTGGTGCTCCTACCTGGTCTGAGGTAAATAGAAATCAAGATCGAGATAGAGTCTCTGTACATACTATACTATACCTAGGTAGTATACTAGTAGGGTAGAAATATGTCTGTATGGTAATACAGACCCTCCGATCTTCCACGTTGGCGACCAAACTCCTTCCGGCCCTCACGCGTGGGCTGTGGGTCGGCCGTGACAGAACCGAATGGCTGTTCTTCAGATGCTCTCTCGGTTTTTGCCTGTTTCGCACTTTTCTTTCTTTTTTCAGCTCGCATTTTTTCCCTTTTGAATTTATTTTTGCATTTTACATTTTCCCAAGTCTAAATTGTTTAAATTATTCTTTTTTTTGGCTCCCTTTTTTCTTTTTTTCCTGTTTTTGAATTATATTTTGGGATTTCCTTTGATCCCGTTCTCTTCCCCTTAGGTCCCTCCCCCCCTCCTTTTCTCTATTGAAATTCCATTGAAATTAATTTTCAGAGAAAATCAGTATAATTTCCATCCCTTCCCTTTAGTCCTGGATCGACTGGAAAATTTCATGTTTTTTATTTCGGTATCAGGTGTTTGACCTAATCCAAAGTCTGGTTCACCCGAAGACTCAAAACCATTCAATGCCAACTCAACCCGGGAACCACTGCCGAGAAGATTCTCTCCCTTCACTTGATCCTCTACAAACCTTTACTGGTTCTGTTGTTGGCTCCATCTCTCGTCGCAATCGTCGCTCTTTTGCTGCTCTAGCTCAAAAGACATCCAACGCCCTTGCCAGTTTCTCTACTACTACGACCCTCCGCTCCTCAAACTCCTACGGTAGTTTGTCGAGAAAGCATTCCACCCCTTTGACCCCGCCAATCGACGAGACCTTCCTGCAATTGACGGAAACCTCGCGCCCTTGCTCCCCGGCCTTGGTCGATACCCTCCCCGCCAACCCGCAGAAGCGTCGCCTGACTCTTCAGCGCCTTCCCACACCTCCCCACGACAGTCGGTCGGAAGACCCTCCCAAGATGCATCAAACATCGTCAAGGTTATTGCGCATGACCGAGGATGAGCGCCCTTTCACCAAGGTAGGTTCCCAGAGAAAGATATAGAGAGAGTGGGGAAGCCTCCGAGGTCATAGAACGGCACTAATTTGCGCAGGATTTCATGGACTTGTTCTCGACCTTGATGGTCAGCTTGAAATTAGACACCCACCGTGTTCGTTTTACTCGATATGATCACACTTTCACCTCCGAAGAGGCGATCAACAACTTGGGTTCGCTCAAGTTCTCCCAGTCCAACCGCATGCCTGACCCCAAGGACCCCTCCCGCATCGTCACCACTACCACCACCACAACTTTCTCCATGGCCAAGGAAATGGCTCGATCCGTGTGCCAGCGTTTCGTCGATGCTCGGTTTATTGAATCCGTCGACGGCAAGGCGCTCCCGATCTTCCCGCTCAAGGGCGCGCTCTTCCAGCTCACCCCGAAGGGAATCAACATTCTCCAGCGATTCTGCCAGCGGAACGGTATTACCGCCCGTCACGTGATGGACGTGTTGGAGTCGCCGCGCAACACCATGCAGCTGGTGAACCTGGAGCGAGACACCGATACCGACAAGCTGTCTCACGATCGGGCCACCATCGAAGTCATTTTCCGCCGCTTTGCGGGCCAGGACGGCCCTAACGTGAAGAGCAGCATCTCAACCTCCGACTCCGACTCTCTCAGTGACTACACCAACGGTCTGGTCGGTGTGAAGGTGGCTCGGGAGCGCAAGCTTCAGGATGGCAAGATTTACAGCAACACTTTCACCGGAAAGGCATCAGTGGACTGGCTGATGGATTGTTCGACGACGATTGAGCGCCGCGAGACCTGTTTGATTGCCGAGCTTTTCCTCAAGTATGGCCTGATCACCATGATCCAGGACGATAAATCCTTCCCCGACGTTGGACCCACCGCACACTTCCAGCCCTCCAAGTGGGCCATCTACGGTATCACCGAACGTGGCCAGCGCGTATGTGGATGGATTGCTCGCGAGAAGGCCCGCGAAAACCCCATTCAATACGACAGCCGTGGTATGCCGAGGGACTCCAACAACGCCCGTCTGACCCACATCCTTCAAGACCCCGCCCTCCGTCTGCTATTCCGCGAGTTCCTCCGCTACTCGCTTTGCGAAGAAAACCTTTCCTTCTACCTCGATGTTTCCGAGTTCACTGCCAATTACCACAAGGCTGAGAAGATGGGCACATTCAACAAGGTTGACTCCGTGCGGGAAACCCTGGCCGCGGCTTACGGACTGTACAATGCTTTCTTGGCCCCCGGCTCCCCCTGTGAATTGAACATCGATCACGCTCTCCGCAACAGCCTGGCCAGCCGCATGACCAAGGCCGTGGGAGACGACGACTCCATGTTCAAGAGCTTGCAGGAAGTCGTCCACCTGTTTGAGCTTGCTCAAACCTCCGTCTTCAAGTTGATGTCCAGTGATTCCGTCCCCAAGTTCCTGCGTGACCCCAAGTACACCGTGGTGCTGCAAGAGCATGACGTGGACATCATGGGAGGCTCGCGCTCATACTCGCCCACTCCCGGCCCGCCCTCCATCCCAGAGCGCAGCATGAGCCGTTCTGCTCGTGCGTGACAACCACAGTCCACAAGCATTGATTTACCCCGCAACCCATTCGAAGATGATTCGTACCACTGCGATTCCGACTCCTCATGAGCATCAGTGATTCCAGCCGAAACATTCAACACCCGCGGTTGAGCATTCGAGCCCGCCCACTGTCGGATCCAACATGTATGCGTATTTACTCATGCTTGTGGCCCCCCAAAACAGACACCCTCCACACCGAGGGAACAAAACATCCGGTCGATTTTGGGACCCGATTTCATCCATCCCGTCATGATCGCTTCCGACCACGAAGTTCCTTACATTTCCCACACCACGCATGCAGTCCAGCACATCCCAATGGGCTGGCTGCCAATTTCTCAATTTCTCTTTAATCTACTCGTCACGAGATTCCCCCACTCCTCACGAAAGACGTTATGATCGATGGCTCATGTTATAGAGAAGGCCGGAACTGGAAAAAATCTTGTAATATTCGGATTGCATTTCTTATTTTCCTTACCTTTCTCTCCCTCATTCTCCTTCACTGTCTGGACTCCAGAGTCAGAGTATCCAGCAACACAAACCAAAACCGAAAAAGAAAAAAAAAAGAACACAATGTATGGAATACCGGGGGCTGTTCCTTTTCTCTTGAGCATCAGACACGGCGTTTTTTGCATGTCATTTCCTCTGTCTCCTATCTCATATGCCCTTCTCTATCTGTGCATCCGATATCACTCTATTTCCTTTCTTTCTTTCTTTCCTTTCCTTTCTTTTCCTAAGCACTTTGCATTTTTCTATCTGGGCACAGCGAGTGAGTTCTGGTCTACTTGTGTATGTCACTTAGTCAATTCTCATACGAATTGCAATGGACATGACTATTTCATATGATCATGCACCTGTAACCACTGATACAATAAAAGTCACGGTCTAGACGCCTGTGGACCTCAATTCATACATCGACATCTGCCCGAAGCTATCATCTCCAGAAACGCTAGTCAAACGCCGCAACTATAATTAGGCAGTCTATTTCAGCCGAGGAATGTCTGAAAGTACTGTACACAGTACTAGGTAAGATCATCAACATCTCTATTAGTGTCTTCTAAATTGAATCTAAATCTAAACCAGATAAGCCCAAACTCCAAATGAACCCACAATGTAGGATTATGCAGATCGCTTGGCATCAGCTGGCCAAAGCATGCGACGCGTACTAACACCATAGACGGTAGCCAAGCCCACGCCCAGCCAAACAGAGATCTGAAGAATCGTCAAGATCGAACCAACCCACTTGATCCCCTCAGACTCCAACACCTCTCCAATACTAATCGTAGCAATAACGAAACCAGTATTCGGGAATACCATACTCCAATAAGACATTGACATCGGGGCCGCACCAGGGCCGCCAAAGCATCGAAGCATGGAGAACATACTCAGAATGGCAACGCACATATGGAAGAAAGCCATGCACCACATGAAGATGGAAGTGAGCGAAGCGATGACCAGTGCGATCTCGCCCGTGCTGATTGAGACAGTCCCCGTGGACCCGGGCACAGCGTCGGAGATGATATACCTCGGCGGGAACTTCTCAATGGCATGCTTTGCCATTCCGATGAAAGCGAGGGCCGTGAAGCTCCACGGGCCAGCTGCGATGAACATCTTCGGACGCTGAGACGGCTCAGGCAATCCATGCTTGTTGAGGTAGTAATGGTATTCAGCGTAGATGAGAATGGACATCATGATACCGAAGCCTTGGAGAGTAAGGCCACCAACGATGATTGGGAGGGCGTGCTCGCGAGGCTGGTTCCCTGCAATGCTGGATGCGACTGTGCCGCAGAGCATGGTTGGGAAGGAGGGTAGGACTCTTGGTAGTGGGAAGTGTTGTTTGCGGCCCATGACCGTGCTGTAGAGGTACCAGTTGTGGAAGATGCCTACAGAGAGGGAGCAGGCGACGTAGATCCAGAAGACGATGCGGAGGGCAACCTGTAGCCAGGGACCGCAGACGTCTGTGCCGTAGGCTTCGGCGCCGAGGATGATGGTCGCGATGGCGAGAAGGAATGTAGGGAAGAAGTAGGTTTCTGTAGGGCGTTGGAAGGACTCTTTGATTTCTGCTGGTCTGTTGCAGAATCGAAGGGTCATGCAGCAGGAGATACCAGTGAATAGTACCAGATTGAGGATGTAGACGATTTTCCCGATGATGGTGATTCCATGGAATTGGTGAGGCGTTCTAGATAGAAGCACCGCGATGCCACCAGTAGCCACACACATTGAGTACCAGCTCCATGTGATTAGGCATAGTCGCTCCTTGAGGGACACTTTCGTATACAGACTCATTCCGGCGACAGTGAAGAGGTTGGCAACCTCGAGTCTGAGCCTGTACAGTATATGTACTCCGCACGCGCTGTGGAGGATGATTTTTTTCTCTCACACCAGGGCCAGGGCATATGGGGCTGTTCGGCGTTGAGAACAAATGACATGCGTCTGAGCATCATCCAGGTACGACAGACGGCTGTCTTTGTGTACACAGTTCCACTTGGCTCATATTAGATTCGGCCTTGGGGTTCTGCCATTGTCCATGCTCCAAATGACCCAGCACTAGTACTAGTTAGTATAGCACAGTAGACAATTAGCAGTACCCTGATCAACTCATGACATTCTCAAAAGATTATCACAATCGTGCCAACCGTGCCAGATCCAACGTGATCGGAATCTCTCCGAGGGAACGGCGTTATCAGGAAAATAGGGCTGTTTTAGAGTCGCAGAGTGGCGCTCCACTCGAAACCAATTGGCCTCCCGGTGAATCGCAGAGTTTGTCGGGTAGATCGGCTGAGCTTCCAAGCTTTCTCTTGGTATTTCTTGTTTACGCCAAGGTCAACTTAATTTGGATCTGTCGTATACTCCCAGAGTAGAGTACAGTACCAGTAGAGTCCTGGCACTCTTGTGCGGCCACTGCTCTTTTCAACAGCCTCGATTGCAACCCCTTTATTTGACATTCATGATGTCTTATGCAATATCCAATAGTCAAGTGGATTGTTAGGTGCTCAATCATCTGCATAACGGTGCCCACAAGTATAGTATCGCCGAATGGCCATGCTAGTGCTAGTATAGAGGGCCCTGTGGTTTCAGACACGCCGAATGACGATTTATGCAATATGGGGCCCCCAAATCCCCGCGGAGAAATACTTGATCCCCAGCAAAATCGACGAGGATCCCAGTATCCAACGGATGTGCAGTGTGTACAAAGTGCTCGGATATAAATCACGGCATGCCGAAGCGGGGCAGGGCACGGCAAGCCGAACGCCGAACACAGTCCACACATATACTACTCTCTACAATGCCTCGGCTTCTGCGAATTGACAGCTCACCGAGAGTACTAATGTGACTATCGTGTCTCAACAATTCATGCTCGAAATCCGGACCCTTTGCGGACTCTGGGAATGCAGCTGGCTGTTGGAGTTTGTGAATGTTCTTCCACAATGAAAAGTCAGAAGCCGTTGGAAATGCTGTAGAAATATGGTGACTGCCGCTCAGTTCAGTCACTGAATTTGTTCGGTTCGAGATGCAGTCCTTCCCGCCAAGCAATCTCACCGAACGTCAGATCGCCCAATACTTGATATTCGCTGAAACTCCGATCGGCGTTGAAAGTCTTCGGATAAAGTGCCAAGCGCCAGCAAAAGTAGATTGGAGGACACATTCAGTCTCCACTGATCTGCTGTGTTTCCCTCCCCAGCCTTGGAAGGCGTATGGAACTGTCAATCGAACACGAATTTATACGAGCATGGGATCAGGCCGATATCTGCCCAGTGCCCATTGTGAGAAAACGTCTATATCAATATTGAGATGCGGAGTATCCGTACCTAGGTATCACGATTGCCAATCTCCTGATAATTGCTGTCCCTGCGGAGCATGAAATGTTCGAACTCATCAGGTCCAGACCGGTTGGAGCTGCATAAGACTTCTAGATGAGCGACTGGTCTAGCACAACCCAAAAATGTGGCTCTCACTTTTCGACCGAGGTCTGTTGTCGCCGTTGAAGAAGAGTAGGTGATCAACCTGTTTGACAGCACTGGATTTCCACAAGGATCAAAACTGCCATCCCAAGAAGGCTTCCGTAGTATGGAAAATAACTCTTTCGCAAACACCACAGCAATGGCACAGCCTCTCCAACTGCTCTGACTTGTCTATCGAGAGGCAATTCCAACAATAGGCTCTCCAATCCATAGAACATGATTTGGGGACAAGGGGGATTGTTGGAACGACTTCTTGATAGAAAGTGAGAGCGGTTGAAGAAAGTGTTCCATTGGTGGAGTGTGAAAAAGAGCTAAGTCATACTACGGAAGGCTTCCTGGGATGTGTTGGAATGGCTATTCCATAGACAAGTGTTGAAGAGGTTGTTCCATTCTAGCAGTGCGGGAGGAAGAGAGAGCTATTTTATACCAGATGGCTGTTTGCTCGAGGGGTCAAACAGTCAAACTTCACAACAGGAATGTAGCAGTCTATAAATTGGTTTCTAAATTTGTGGTCCCTGTAGCTGGAAGTATATGGGCTTTCGGGACTGGCTTCTGGCTCAAAATGAAAAGACGCGTTGTGCTTGTCGGCCCGTCACCTTGAATGACTTACGCAGAACGACGTACCTAGGTAGGTTTCCATCTATGGATAAACCTACTGCCAAGTACCAGACCCGAATCTCATGTGCAGGAGTATCCGTGCATGAAACCTCTTCGACATCATGTCTAAGCAAGGTGCAATTCATATACAAGGAGGAATCTGAAATAGATTTTCGACTAGATCAAGCCATAAATACAAACAGGGTAGAAAGAAAGATAGAAAGACATCCACAACGCCTAGAACCACGCCTTGAATGCCGTTGGTCATCATATTCAACTTGGAAGAGGGTATTGAGAACAAGATGAGGGAAAGTAGCGAAGGAGACCAGACAAGAAACGTCTACTTGGAACCCCAACCACGAAGTCTCATGCCCTCCTCAATAGCAGACCAAATACCCTCGACCACCTCACGATCTCGCCAGCGCCCACCACCTTGCACACCATTCTTCTCGTCCCAGCGCTCGACGGCAAAGTTGTCCACGCCACGACCCCAGCCCTTGACCTGGCTAGGGACGTCTTCGCCGCGCCAGCCCACGTAGACGCCGGTAGCGTGTTTGAAGAGCTCAGGTGGAGAAGACCACTTGTATGACTTGAACTGCCATGTCTGGCCGGTAGTGAAGACAGCCACGAGACGGTTCCAGTACTCGGGCTTGAAGTTGGTTGTGCCATCGACGATGATAAATTTGGTAGGACGGGTGGGTTTTCCACCGGTGCGGGAACCAATTGCACTGGTGCTGGGGTTGGAAGGATCGCTGTTGATGCGGAGAGGACGCTCAAGCTTCACGAGATTGGCGTCCGTTGCGCTGGAGAGAGTGGGGTGGTCTGGTGGGACGAAGATGCCCTTTTCGAGGAATGTTTTGACGTTCGACATGCGGATGAGAGAGGATGCGGAGGGCGAGATCAGAATGATAGGGTCGGGTCGAGAGTGTGAGCTGGACTTGCGTGATGATGGCATCGAAAGTCCGGCCGAGGGCGCGGGCACACCGCTCTTGCTGCCTGGTTTGGCGCCCGGCTGGCCTGGACGGTTGCGGTTGCGGTCGAGGAATAGCTCGGCGCTCTTGCGGACGTGCGAAAAGTCCTAGTTGTAGTCGCGTTAGTTTCGTGACTCGATCTCGCTGGGTGGTGAAACTCACTGTTGGCTTGATTCCCCGAAGCACTGTGTTACGGTCACCGGTCTTGCGCTCTCCATTGTAGATCTCCTGTAGTCGAGGGTCGATCTGCTTTTGTGGGCGACCGCTTTGAGCTCCGGTCTGTGCTGCTCCTGTGGTTCCACTGGGGGCCGAGGCGACACCGCCAGTCGCACCGGCGGCGATTCCTGCCGCGTTCTCAGCCTGGGCTACGCCAGCAGCGGCCGCGGCAGCCTCGGCAGCGGCAGCTGCTCCCTCGAGAGGTTTGATGTGGTCGATCTCCTCGGCGGCGCCTTCTAGCCAGGTGATAAGATCCAAGCGCTCGACGAACACCAGAATTTGAACACTCTGCTCCTTTTCACCTTCTTGCGTGTGCTGCTTCAGCTCTTCGTTGAACTTTTCCGCTGAAGCAATGTATTCGGGAATGGCGACATCCTTGTTCTGCCAAGCGAACAGAATACTGCGCAGGTCGACCGCAGATTGGGTGGCCTCTGAGATGAATCGAGTGACTGTGGACAGGGGGATTGTTTGAGGGACGGGCTGAGAGAAATAGAGATGTGTGGCTTTGGCTAGATCCTCCGTGGCATGTTGATCGGAGAGCTCGGACGAGGTGGTTGGCGTTGGGAGATTGCCGGACGCAATCGCACGTCGGAGTGAGAGCAGCGGATCTTGCAGCGCAGCGTCGGTCGCCATTGTGTCCGGAAGAGCGCTGGTTGCGAGAGATGGAGGGAGATAGTTGTCGGTGCCGGGGATTGAAGAGCGCGCGCATTGGAATCGAAGCTCCGATCTGTCGCGTCACGTGATGCACTATTGGCGTCGCAACTATTCATCGACTTTTTCACAAAAACATCAATTGATATGCTGGACTTAATCCTGTTAATTGTGAAAAGACTCATTACATCTAATCCAGCTTTGCTTTTTACGCTATAAGATTCAAGAACTAACCAGGGTCAAGTAACTGGACAATATCAACCACAACGCAGCGCAGGTTTGATATACCTCCACATCCAACTCCATGCACCAAAGAATGCAGTGATACCAGTGAACACTATCAGCGCACCATACTTGGTATCATAGCCAGTGCTACCACTAAGACCGCCCGACTCACCCAAAGAGCCCGAGCGAAGTAAAGCCGTACTCAACGGACCACTGATCACATTCCCAATACCTCTCCCACCAGCAAGGAGACCAAAGACAAGTCCAGTCTCCAGAGACGGCGAAGAGTCACGCTTGATCTGTGTAATGACCCCAGACCAGGTGGAGCTGAACCCGCCTGCGAAAAAGCCATACGTGATAGAAAAGATTGTAAGAAGAGCAATGGCCGTCTGCGACGACTCTGAATCCGACGAGGCCATACCCCAGAAAAGGAAGACTGAGAATGCCGAACCAACTGATGATAGAAGCATGATGTTGGTTACCGAAAATCGGTCACAGAGTGCTCCGAAGGCTATCCCACCGAAGACGGATGTCGCATTGAAGAGAGAGACGAGCATTGTGCCGGTTGTCTGGGATAGCCCAATTGTTTCTGTAGAGTATGATGGGAGGTATGTACTTGGTAGGAAGTATCCAAAGCTTTGGATGATGTTGCCTGCCTGTAGCATCAAGAAAGTGCGTTGTTTCAGGAAGCTCAGGTCCAGAGGTCGGGCTGTAGCAGATGGTGAGATGGGGATGCGGGGTTTCATGAAAGGTAAAGCGATGAGAGTAGACAGCAACTGTTGGGTATTCGAAGATTCGTCAGTATTGAGACATCAGTAAGTGTCAAATTCCTTCCCAGGGGCATGTTTGCTAAGATATATCACGGTCACGACAAAGGGCAAGAAGCGAAACATACCGTGGTCACAGTCCAGGCTCTCAATGTAGTGCTAGATCCAAATCTTCCTAGACAAGCACTGGCAATAAACGGTAAGACGACGCCTGTTATACTTTTAGCAGCCCACATAATTCCAATCGCAAGACCCTTCCGCCGTAGGAACCATTGATCAAGATACAAGGATGACGGGCTGAACAACAACCCATTCCCAATGGCGCATATCACACCCTGCGTTGCAATGAGATGCCACACCTGCACCGAGAACGATGATAGCAGGGATCCCAGAACCGCAATCACCAAGCCAACTGGAGCACAGTAGTACTGCAGACGAGGGTATCGGGTTAGAAGAGTGAAGATGACTGGTGAAAGAAGATACAGAAGACCCTGTCGCGAATCAGCTCATGTACAATCAGAAAACGTCTTCTCAGGTACCGTACCGTCGAGGTAGTTCCAACGGTGGCTAAATCACCTTTACTTCCCTTCAAGACTTCATGCGTAGAGTAGTATTCTTGAAAGACACCAAACACAGTCGAGAATCCTAGAAGGGGTTAACTACCATCTGCCACGACTTATGTGGATCACAGACCCCAGACTGGTAGTTGAATGAGACAGGCGGAGGCCAGCATTAGCCATGCTGCCTTGCCCTCGTCTGCTGGGGCAAGAGCTGGCTGTTCAATCTCGGGGGCCACATCTACAGGTCTTGGATGTATCTCGTCCAAGCTGAGGTTTTGGTCGATATTGTCCTGGTTCATGATGCAAGCCGTTGGTAGAGAAACTTTGGAAAGATACGCGAAGAGGGAGCTGCGAAGAAGAGGGGTTGTATAGAGAACCGACTTGACTCAGCTTCAGAGTTCGACCTATCATAATGCTGAGCTACATATGGATGGTTATCAGTCAGACTGCTACTCAGGAAACAAAGTCCACGATCATAAATCATTCTCGTTGATATTCGTAGGCCTAAATTAAACCGAAAGCCCATGGCTAGCCCAGGGCAGAACCAAACACAAGTAGTAACCGCAAGAAAAAGGGGAATAGTATCTTGATAACCATACAAAGCGACACCGGCATGGAAGAAAGCGGCATCCAAAACCAAACCCAAGCAATCACCAAACCAAAAGACAACTTTTACCACTCAAGGGGCTCATTCGTGACCTCACCACGGTTAGTCTTAGGAACAGGAGCAGCCTGGACCATAGTCGCACCGCGACGATCACGACGAAGGTAACCGCTTCCATCCAACCAGGGAGTTTCCAGAGTACGCTTGGACTCGAAGGTGCGAATCTTCGACTCCATCTGGAGAGTGAGACCGATGTCATCGAGACCGTTGACGAGACAGTGCTTGCGGAAAGCGTCGACGTCGAAGGAGATGATCTTGGTGCCTTGGGCGTCCTTGATTTCCTGGTTGACGAGGTCGACTTCGACTTCGCGGCCGGCGTGGGCCTCTTCGGCGATCTTGGCGAGGGCGGCTTCGTCGGAGACGACGACGGGAAGCATGCCGTTCTTGAAGGTGTTGTTGAAGAAGATGTCGGCGAAGGAGGGGGCGATGATGCACTTGATGCCAAAGTCGAGGAGAGCCCAGGGGGCGTGCTCGCGGGAGCTACCGCAGCCGAAGTTGGGGCCGGTCACGACCAGGATCTTGGCGTTACGGTAGATACCTTGGTTCAGGATGAAGTCTGGGTTCTCCTTGTCGTCGGTGTAGCGAAGCTCGTAGAAGAGGGCAGTACCGAGACCGGTGCGCTTGATGGTCTTGAGGAACTGCTTGGGAATGATGGCGTCGGTGTCAACGTTGGAACGGTCCAGAGGAGCCGCGATACCCTTCAGAGTGGTGAAGGCGGGGAGACCGGTGCCGGACTTGGCGCCAGCGGGGGCGGTGGTGTTGGTGTGAGGCTCGTCATCGGCGGGCTGGTCGAGGACACGGTCGAGCTCATCCTCGGTCTCGGGGGAGTCGGCCACGGTTTGCTGAACGTCAATCTTGGGGGAGGCCTTACTGAGGACGGGGCTGGCCACGACGTGCTCGCGGACATCGGCGAGCTTACCGACAATGGCAGCCGTGGCGGCCATGGCGGGGGACATCAAGTGAGTCCGGCCCTGGGCACCCTGGCGACCCTCGAAGTTACGGTTGGAGGTACTGGCGCAGCGCTCCTTGGGGCTGAGAATATCAGGGTTCATACCCAGACACATGGAGCAACCAGCCTCACGCCATTCGAAGCCAGCGTCTTCGAAGATCTTGTCGAGACCCTCGTCTTCGGCCTGCTGCTTGACCAGTCCGGAGCCGGGAACAATCATAGCACGCTTGATGTTGTCCGCGATCTTACGACCGTTGACGACCTTGGCTGCCGCGCGCAGATCCTCAATACGGGCGTTGGTGCAAGAACCAATGAAGACCTTGTCAACCACGACCTCCTTCATAGGAGTACCGGAGACAAGACCCATGTACTCCAGGGCGCGCTTGCAAGCCAGCTTGCGGGCCTCATCTTCGAAGTCATCGGGGCTGGGAACAACACCGTTGATGGGGACGACATCCTGGGGAGAAGTACCCCAAGAGATAGTGGGGATGATGTCCTTGCCATCCAAGAAAATGTCGACATCGTACTGGGCGCCCTCATCGGACTTCAAGCTGGTCCAGTAGTTGACTGCCTTGTTCCACTCGGCGCTGCCGTACTTAGGAGCCAGGGGACGGCCCTTGAGGTATTCGAAAGTGATCTCGTCGGGGGCGATCATGCCGGCACGAGCACCACCCTCAATAGACATGTTACACATGGACATACGGGCTTCCATGCTGAGTCCCCGGATAACGGATCCGCAGAACTCAATGACAGCACCGGTACCACCAGCGGTACCAATCACACCGATGATGTGGAGGACCACATCCTTACTGGTAACACCGGCGGGCAGCTCGCCGTCGACTTGGATGCGCATGTTTTTGCTGCGGCGGGTGATGAGGGTCTGAGTGGCCAGGACGTGCTCGACTTCACTGGTTCCGATACCGAAGGCGAGGGAGCCGAAAGCACCGTGTGTGGAAGTGTGACTGTCACCGCAGACCACGGTGGTACCAGGCAGGGTGAAACCCTGCTCTGGGCCGATAATGTGGACAATTCCCTGACGCTTGTCACCCATGCCGAAGTAGGTGAGACCGAAGTCCTTCACGTTCTCCTCCAGAGTTGTGCATTGCAGACGCGAGTCGTTTTCCTTGATGAAATCGGCGGCGTTCTTGAAGCTTTTCCGAGAGGATGTGGGAATGTTCTAGCGAATTGGTTGTTAGGGAGATTCGGGATGGAAAGGGGATTGCACCTACGTGATCAACTGTAACCAGGGTGCAGTCCGGCCGGCGGACCTTGCGGCTGGCGTTCTTGAGACCCTCGAAGGCCTGGGGAGAGGTGACCTCGTGGACGAGGTGGCGGTCAATGTAGATCAAGCAAGTACCATCTTCTTGCTCATTGACAATGTGGTCCTGGAAGACCTTGTCGTACAGGGTCTGGGGTTTTGAAACGGCGGAAGGCATGGTGGGGTGTTGCAAAAGAGGAGTATATATAGAGAAATTCAAAAAGAACCAGGGTATCAAAGGTAGTTGAAGCTCCAGCGAAGAGCGAGTGAGTAATTACCAAGAGATCTGGGGAAGAATGACTATTATATTTTTCTGCTCTGCGGGATCCGCGATGTCGCTGGGAAGCTTCTCGAGGGGCAGCGCCGACCTCGGCCGGTCAGCGGCGAATGGTCGGCCTCTGATTGGCTGGCTCGGTGGTCGAGCGGAGGGCCGATGTCGGGGGTGTCTCAATGTAACGAGTCCCCGGTTAGGGGCGCTTGCTGGCGGGCAATAGGGGATTTGGTGACTGTCGGGGAGTATTATTCAACGTTGCATTAAGGACAGAGTACAAAGTAGACATATTGTAATGTTGAAATTAGATCTACTGTATAGTACTAGTACTAGTCTACTCCGTACATATTTTAGTGTCAGACTGGGCAAGTGACGTCAGGCACATAATAAAGAGTTACCCATTGGCCGAGCCCTCACCTCCGATCGGACCTGATGTACGGAGTATACACTGAGTCACATACTCATACGGAAGATCCAATTGCAAAGACATCTCAGATCTAGTATTGATTTTCCCAAACTCCACCCAAGTCTTAATATTTCATGAAAATGTGGCCAAATGACCACTCTATAAAGAGCCCAAATCCACCACAATTCGCTTCCCAGACACAGAGCCACTGCGCAGGGTCTCTAGTGCCGCATTGATACCCTCGAGTCCACCTTCAGCGTGGACAATCTCTGGCAATGTGAGCGTCGTAGACTGCAGAAGCTCCTCCAACCAGCAGACCATCGCCTCGCCCACCGCGGGAGCGGTGTGGAACAGCTTAATGGGAACGGTGTGATATTGGATGCCCGGGATCTGCTCCTTGGGAAGACCGGAGAGTCCCAGGAGGTGGGCGTGACCGTCTGGATTGAGTGTTCTTTCCAAGAGCGTTGCTGTTTCCCTCCCGACAATATCGATGGCATATCGTAGCTTGCCCTCCGTGACGCCTCGAATTACTTCCACGGCACGATCAGGGTCTTGTCGATCCACCAGAAGGTCAGCACCGGATTGAACAAGTTTGGCACCATGTCGTGCTGCGTCTGCGACGCAGATAACCCTTAGTCCTGCGAGCTTGGCTAGTTGAAGAGCAATCAGACCGGTGGTGGTGGAAGCTATCTGATATTAGCACGTTTCATACGTCTAGGATGTGATGAGTGTCTTACCTCCCCAGATAGCAACCCACTCTCCAGGCTGTGGCTTTTGGGAATCTAATAATGAAGCAAAGCACTCATCTCGGATATCCGACGGGATGTCGTTCTTATCAAGCGTGCTGACAATGCTGGGCAGGTCCGGTCCTGGCGACTGGGCGATGAGGGAGAAGTCCAGGCCAAACGAGACACCCAGAGCCAAGGCAGCAGCCACAAATGCAACGCCCACTGAGGCCGAGGCATGAATGGAAGCCGAAGATGGAATACGGGCGGCGTTAAAGTCGGTGGCGATGGCGTATTCTTGGAACGCGGCCTTTCTGATATCTCGGTAATCTGTGGATGGTACCAGGACGACGTCGCCGACACGAAGACGCGATGATCCCTGGGGGACTTGTAATACTAGGCCAGCCAAGTCACGCCCGTTGATCCATGGCAGGCTGGGGATACCAAAGTTGAATGCCCTAGAGATCTGGGTGAGCAAATCGCAACCAAAGGAATACAGCCGAGACAGCTGAAGCAGGCTAGACTTACGGTCCTTTCCAGTCGACAGGGTTGAGACCGATGGCAAGAACCTGAAGAAACCAAATCAATATCGTCCGGGCGCGAGGTGAGGTACAACCTGGGCAGTGGGAGCCTATCATACCTTGACAAGAATCTCTCCTTCATGCAAGACGGAAGGAATAGCATGATCATTCACCAGGGCATATTGCTCGCGAGCCCCCTTGAGCAGCAACACACGTTGCGTTGACTCTTCCGACCGCGGCGAAGCAGGTTCACTTTGCGGCCTTGACTCATTCGAATAATCTGACAGGGAACCCGAGAAGACCTCGTTGTGGAAAGTGGTGGGAGTCTTCTGGAACTCGTCCACCTGGACATATGTAGATGTAGTAGACATGATCGGGGCTAATAGTGGCATGACCTGAAGCTTGGGGGAATACAAATGAAACTACTCTATCTATATTGTCCTTCACAGTTTATACAATTTCTCGGGCGAGAAGGAAAAGGCAAAGCACGCTTGCCTCATTTTAGGGCGGGCCTGGATATCAAATCCATGAGCACGTAAGGTCGGGGAACCTCCACTCTTGGCTGCGGTACTCCTATGGAGGGATTTCGTCGTGCATTTGCGCAATAAGGGCTCCCCCGTGCTTCCGATCTCTATGGCCATTTCATTGCTCAAGGCGGGGCAGGAATGGCGTGATGAAGTTTGGACCGGGGGTAGATCATACCCTAGATGCTCCAGTTTGGCATCAACGTTCTGTTTGGGGGTTTAGTCTACTTACTCAGACGACATCATGGATTCTTTGTGTTTAAATCTGTAAGTGTAAATTGTTGAAGTATATCCTATGATCTTTGGCTAGAAATGAAAGAGAGTCGCAAACAAGGGGAAGTCCAATTTGCTGATTTCGACTCAATTTGATGTGATCCGGCCCTGCGATGACGAAACGTCCAACCGATGTACGTACATGGCCAAGCTCTATGCAGTGCACATAATTGATCTTATCTGAGGCTTCAGGACTAAAGCCTAGATTAAGAACTCGATAGGATTATATTATTTCGTTTTGTACGTAGTTTGTGAGCTTTGGAATACATAGTGCTTGCTGTGAAGGAGCGCATGTGATAGTGGGAGTGTAGAACGGCACAACCTTGAAGATACATAGCCCTTGGAGTCAATGATAGAATCTCAGTATGCCAACCTGAAAATCCTTCTCTGGTCGCTTTTCATATCTGAAGAGCACTACGTGGGGTCTGCAAATTCCAAGTCCCAACATGTTTATCCCTTGTCGACAACCTTGAACCTTGAAATGAACCTTTGCCTGTATGATTTGAACTTTTGATTCAATCCAGCTTTGAGCCTGTTTGTAATACTTGATCTGATCTCACAAGATTATAAATCTAATTTGCTCAAGCATATTCCATCCCAGTCGGGGTGTAACTACTGCGCCGCAAAGCAGCCGTGCGAGCACGTAATTCCTCCCAAGAACGACAACATTCCAAACAGTCCAGACTAGATCCTTTCGAAGCTAGACAAACCTGAGATAGGGAATTTTACGACGATGAAACCTTATATGCTGTCATTTCGCGGCAAAGGTCGTTTGAGGAAGTGAAACCGGAAGTTCCAAGCTTTATAGATCTCGCGCGTGGGCGCTATAATTATCAACTGTCAGAGCCCATGTCAGGAGAATTTGACACGGTACTTTGACCTTGGAAACCCAAAATGACAGCGTCCGAGAAAGATGTCACGCCAAATGATGATGAGGTCCACAGCACGGCCTCGTACATCTCGCGCACTGGGCCGCACAAAGGTGAGTTCGAAGTATTGCCCTACGAAGATCTCTAGCTAACAATTCAGTGAGCTTTTATCGATCAACCTTTTTCAATGCCTTTATTCTCGGGCTGTGCAATTTCCTTGCCCCCGGAATCTGGGGTGCGATGAACTCCTTGGGCGGAGGAGGTGAAGAAAAGCCCTATCTGGTCAACGCCGCCAACGCTCTAACTTTCGGGCTTATGGTCGTATCCTGTTTCCTGAGCAGTGTCATTGTGCGATTCATTGGGATTAAATGGACACTTATTATTGGAACAATGGGATACGCACCCTACGCAGCAGGGCTGTATGTGAACAACCGATTCGGGAACGAATGGCTTGTTCTCCTGGGTGCGGCGCTTTGTGGAATTTCCGCAGGTATATTCTGGATGGCAGAAGCTGCCATTGCTCTTTCGTACCCTGAGCCGTATAATCAGGGTCGTTTCCTGGGATTCTGGCTTGGATTCCGCGTTGGAGGACAGATCCTCGGAGGCGCTATCAACCTCGGTATCAATGCCGAACGATCCACGTCAGGGTCGGTGTCGTACACCGTCTATATCATCTTCATTGCTCTGCAGGCGCTTGGGCCTTTCGCGGGTCTGCTACTGAGTAGCCCATCCAAGGTCCAGCGTAAGGATGGAATTCCTGTCCGACTGGAAGTGACGAATAGCATTGGCTACGAGTTGAAAGCCACGGCGAAGCTTTGGATCAGCCGCAAGTTCCTACTCATTATTCCGTTCATCTGCCAAGCTGTTTACACCGAGGCTGTCATGTTCTCATATGAAGGGTTGTGGTTTTCCGTGCGTGCAAGAGCGCTCGGGTCATTCCTTTCTGGTGTAATTGCCTTGATCATCGGAAATGTTCTCGGGGCTTTCCTTGACTCGAAGCGGATATCCCTGGAGAAGAGAGCCCGTTATGCGTTCTTCTTTGTTGTTGCATGGCAAGGTATGTGCTGGATCTGGGCGACAGTGGTGACAACGAAGTTCCACAAGACGAACCCGGCATACGACTGGTCCTCTCCAGGCTTCGGAAGGGCTTTTGTCCTCTTCTTGTTCTGGGTTGCTGGCTTCCAGCTGAATTATATGTACCTGTAAGTTGGGATTCAACGTGATTGATGGGAAGTCTTCTAACTCGATGCGACCAGGTTCTTTTTGGTGGGCAATCTCGCGGAGGATCAGGAAGAGGTCGTACGAATCGCGGGCTTGTTGCGTGGAACCGAATCAGCTGCTCAGTGCGTCAGCGTAAGTATTCCACAGTCTGGGAGATATATCTTGTATACTAACGGAGTCTGCTTAGTATGGTCTGAGCAGTGTCAACATCATGGCGGCTGTGGGGAGCATTTACCTGAACTTTGGGCTGTGGGCCATCGCGATCCTGCCTGCTTGGCTGGTTGTCAAGCAGATTGGTGGCGTGTTTGGAGACAAAAAGATTGAAAGAGAATCCCGGGGCCTTCGCGAGGCCTCAGATCACGAGTGAATGATGTGTGAGCGAAAAATAATGGTCTTGGTAATATCCCGGGTGGGACTTTGGCTTCATTTCCTCTGTTCTGATATTTACATTGAAAATACGTTGCTTTTGAAACGGACATGCCAACGTGAGACTCGTAACAATGTCCCTTCCCAAGCTATGCGATGAACCCGAACTCCCTGTTGTCATGATCAAAGACGAGTAGCGCGAGGCGATGTCGCACAAAGAGACCCATGAGTCCACACACAGTTTGCACTGCGACCATGTGCCACGCCAGATGGTCTTCGCGCATGGGACCCATCCATACTAGCCAGAGGTTCAAAATAGTTAGATTCGTGGATTCAGTGATCCTGCCTTGCTCGTCCTTCTTGATATGCACTAGCCGCAATGCATGTAATATACGCAATGCAGCATCGATCATCGGTGATGGAGCATTTGTCCATTCTGTGACTGAAGCATCCAGAAGTCCAGTAGAGGCGCTGAACTTTGGCAATCGATGCCGCGGACAAGGAATGACCTTGAACAGTTGGGGAAGCGAGTAGACAAAGTTGAAAATCTGCGGAATGAACAGCAACAGCAGGGTTTTGCTGAAATGACCCAGGATGCCAACCACGGCAAAGACCATCCCTGCGAAATAGCAGTAGGTATCTCCGACAAACACTCTGGAGGGGTACCAGTTGTGGTACATCAGAGCTGCTGAAACTCCAATGAAAGGCAGCAAGAAGTAGATCGACAACAGGTGGGAGTCGGTAGCAGGGTGCGGATATGGCGTAATCGGCGCAAGATACATCGCATCATTGAACAGCAATTGAGTGGCGATCACCAGTGATTGGGCAACTTCGATTCCGTTAATCCCTGCCAGCATGTTGATGGCGTTGGGACAGAAGATGGCGACTGCTGCCATGTACAAATAGTACAACCATCCAAGGTCCACGGCGTCACCCAGGTAGGGTTGCAGCGGCACGGGGACGACGACTTGGGTGACACCAAAGTCGACAAAGTACACAATCAGCATGGGAATTGCCGAGAAGGCAGGGATCAGGACTTTGTGTCTCCAGCGGATATCGAATAGATCATCTCCGATTCCCAGTATGACAACTGATTGCAGTGACAAAAGACCGGAAAGGTAGGAGGCAAGCTATCCCATGTTCAAGTCAGCTCAATTTTATAGACAGCGATAAGCACAAGGTTAGAGCTCACCTTGCTATGCGGGAATCGGTGCAAGAATCGCCCGTTCTCGATGTGCTGCGATTCAATGACCACATCGCGGTTTCCGCCGCCGGAGGTGGCGGCCACGATATCTTTGTAGAATGCAAATGGGATGAACACGATGAGCGCCATCAAGTAGACCACGGCGCACACTGCACCCATGGTTTCAGGACTAGAATGCCAAGTTAGTGCATGACCGGACGAGGTGAGGATGTTATACACACATCTCGGGCCGACTTGGCTTGGCCATATCTTTGCCTTTGAGTCCCGCCTTTAAAAATACAGGTCCGAGCCATCGTATCAGACTGAAAGCCACCGCAAACACAATGGCACATATCGCAATGGAGGCAACAAGAGGCGCTCCATCGCCTTGAAATGTAGTATTGAGGATCGCTAACCCGGCACCTACCAGCGCCAAGAGACGCCAGGTTTCCGAGCGCGAAAGGGTACTCGGATGATGCATGGCTAAACGATCAAGGTTGCAGGAAAGAATTCCCCGATAAAACCCACGCACAAATTGACACTCCAGCAAAGTGGCCTCGACGCGCAATCTGTCACCAAATGGGCTGATAAGCTTATCGTGTTTCTGCTGGCAGTAGTTCACACCGCCCACATATGCGGTCAACACCATCCCGTAATGCTTGCGACCAAGAAAGGTAAGGCGACGACCATTTGTTTCATACCTCATACGTGCAGATGCATAAAATCCAAATCATTGGCCCTGTTGTCTAATTCGCCAATTCTAGAGTTCTGAGAGTTTCAATGGGGACAGTGGAGCGCCCCGAGATCACGGCTGGATTTGCCGACTTCGATGCTGGCCATCGCGATCTGGTCACCGTCACCAGGTTTAACTTCTATGGCAATCGCATTGTGACAGCCTCCTCCGACCACCGTATGAAAGTATGGGATCTCAAAGACGGGCAATGGCAATTGATAGACACATGGCGTGCCCATGATGCCGAGATTCGCGACGTAGGTCTCTAAACAGCCGATGCTATCGGAGAGCTTCCGCGTGTTTCACTTGCTGATCGTTTGTCGCAGGCAACATGGAACGGCCCGTTCACGGGCCAGCACATCGGCAGTGTCGGAGAGGACATGAAGTTAAAGATCTGGCAAGAAGACGTCACCCAGCCACCGAACTCGGGGCGGCGTTTCAGGTCGATCTTCCGCATGACCGCGCCGCATAGACATCCCTTTGTCTCACTGGACTTCCGCAATATTGACCTGGAATCCTGGCTCGCCGTAATCACGCGCGATGGCTACCTCATGATCATGGAGCCAGTCAGTCCAGATAGCCTCGCAGATTGGCAAGCCGTGGACCAGTTCCGTGTATGCACTGCCCCCGAGCGTGGCGAGGAAACAAGTTTCAAAGTCCAATTCCACCAGGACCCCACCGATATCACTCATACCATTCTGCCAGACACCGATCGGAAAAGTCTATCGCTGATCGTGGCCGCAATGGACACGGTCAAGATCTACCGCACAGATGCGAACCGGCGCTTCTACCATGCAATTGAACTAAACGGACACAGCGGGCTTGTCAGAGACATATCATGGGCTAATGGCTCCGTGCGCGGCTACGATCTCGTCGCCAGCGGAGGCAAAGACGGTTTGGTCCGTATTTTCGAGGTATACACTGCGCCAGCCGGTCAGGCATTCCACAACAACAACAATCGAAAAGCAGAGCGTCGTATACAGCCGCAATCCCCATCGCTTCGGTCAACGTCGCAGTCTGGGATTGGGTCTGCTTTGGCGAGTCGAGTACCAGAGTCGACAAATGACCGCCAAGCCAGCGGAGACGCTCAATTCCGGCACTCATTCAAACAGGTTGCTTGCATTGATAGCAAACATCTCGATGTATGGCAGGTTCAATTCTCGTTCTCTGGTGGGTGCCCCCTTTCTCCTTCAGTTTGATCCTATTCCTTTTCCTAACTTACTTGTAGGTGACGCATTGATCTCTTCGGGAGATGATGGAACGGTTCGATTTTGGAAACGCTCGCTGTCCGGGGAGTGGCTGGAGTACGCTGAAACCGACTTGGCTTCTCAATGAGCGGTAGCATTGTGGCCACTTCTGGAAGCCTAAACCTTTGCCAAACGGCGCTCGTTGAGTACGATTCCCGGGACCTTGGCCCGGGCAAATGCACGAGAATGTCTGGTATAGTATTGTGGCTTTGCGCCAACGCCTCGACCCTCAACTTAATCACTTTCAATTTTCATCAGAGATACCCTTCCGAATCAATGTTTGCATACTTCAAGATCCACCTGGTATTATGTAGCAACGAATACGAATTGCCAATCAGTTGTCCAAAATGACTGGTACCTCCTGTGAGGTGGGGAAAGAACGATGTCTGAAGGTAACATAGCTGGCCCGCTCGACAACAGTGAGAGCTGCCATATCCCATTCTTCCTTCGTTCCCTACCACTCATTATCTATATTCATTGTTAACCCACAATGGCTATCGGCCCGACACTTGGGACTGGCCTCTTCATCGGTGCTGGCCAGGCTCTCGCGGTTGGCGGACCCGGATCGCTACTCCTGTCATATATAATCCTCTCACTCCTCACCTATGCGATGACTGCAAGCGTTGCAGAAGTGTCTGCCCACATGCCGTCGCACCATGGAACCTTAGTCACGAATGGCTACCTCTACCTGTCCAGCAGTGTGGCATTCGCTTCGACCTACCTCCGATGGTACACTCTCGCTCTCTTCGTACCGTACGAAACGACAACCGCGATGGTAAACCTTGGTCTATGGAAACCAGGGGGGGCCGTTGGCTCCAGATTGGCCATCATCACGGCCATCATTATAGGAAGTAACTTCCTACCAGACAAAACCTTCAAGGCCTCTGAGAGGTTATTCACTTGGATCAAGATCGGGACAATGGTCACTCTGTTCGTCCTCACTATCGCTCTAGGACTTGGGGGTGTCGATGGACACACACCATGGGGGTTCAAATACTGGAAAACTCCGGGAGCCATGAATGTATACTTGGTCCGCGGGATTTGGGGACGAGTCTTGGCCTTCTTCCAGTGTCTGCTTGATGGCTCCATTGCTTTCACATTCGCGCCAGAGCTCATTGGACACCACGCTGAGCTGTCTCCGATACTCGGTGGGACGGCCATGCTGAGTGCGGAAATCCCTGGCAAAGTCACAGCTGATGTGCTTCAGACGGTCGTTCCCTACATCATGAGCTCCGTGGCAATGGGAGTCATGGCTCCATTCAACGAAACACGTTTGACGAACAATGGCACAGGCTCCGGTTTTTCACCTTACTTGATTGGCCTCAAGGACGCCCAAGTTGGGCTTATACCCACGATCGCAACCGTTGCGATCCTGCTCTCGTCGGTGGCCTCTGGGCGATCTTTCCTGTACCTGTCCTCAAACACATTGTGTGCCATGTCAGAGTTTGGCCACGCTCCTCCAATATTCTCCTCGCGCAATCGTTGGGATGTCCCCTACGTCGCTGTTGCGACCTCCAGTCTGTTTTCCGTTCTTGGCTTCATATCCGTCAAGCACTCGAGCTCCATCACGAACAACTATCTCCTTCGTCTTGTCTCCAGTGCAGGCTTCATTTCCTCGCTGGTTTCATGTGCAGTATACCGTCATTTTCGCGGACGCTTGAAGGCGAATCGAATCACCTGCCGGCACACCTTCTCTGTGCAACCATTCGGCACCTATTTTGGAATGTTCATCAGCGCTTTGCTACTGTTGGGCGGTGGTCTGTGGGGGGCGCCCAAAGGCAAAGCGAATGGGCCCCGCAGTATGCGATTTCTCACGTCCTACATCAACATTGGGCTTTTCGCCCTCTTGTTCCTGCTGCATCGATTCCGAGATATCGTGCCTATTGTCGAGGTTGAGAGGCCAATTGAGTTGGATCGGCGACGTTGGGCAGACCGTGATGAAGCTACGGAGAGCCGGCCCTCGAAGTCGCAATCACGTCGGCGTACTAAGCTCGATGCCATTCCTGAGAATGTCGGGGCGTTTGAGTTGACCCTTGGTCAGACGTTCGAAGGTGCTTGACTTTTCTGAACAGATTTGCTTGCCGTACTGAATAGAGGTTGAAATAGTTTGTGTGTTTGGATGTATATTATTATTCTGAATAGGATTGTCGTTCCTATGCCCCGTGTATGGATATAGATTGCCAGAGTGGAGTCTCGGAGCCTCACGATCTGAGCGAATCAGGGAAGTCATTGACCGTACAGTATTCGAATCAGGCATCGCATACAAAATGAGGTATTAATTCTGACTTAGCCCTGTCATCTTTCTCGTCCACACTGGCTTTTTTTTCCTGTGCTCGTGTACTCCGTACTCCGTGCAGTGGCAAATGGCTAAACTATTCTAAGCGGATCTAATCCCCCCCCTTTCGCAAATCACACTTCTTTCCATTTTTCTCTTCACGGCCTTTTGGGCCCGTCAATACCGACATGATCTACAAAGTGAAACCCTGTGCCAGGGCAGACCCCTCTCCAATTCTAACTCTTCACTATTCCCTCATCACTTCTTTATGCTCCATCTTAAATGTCCCCTAGCTGTGTTCTTCGGTTATATCATCCCCGTTGACTCCTTGCATCTCCCCCAGCCTTTCCCGAGCAAAATGTTCAACTTCGTTTCGTCTTCTAGAAACTCCCTTTATCACTTGAGCACCGTTCAGTCCCCGGTCCCCAGGATCCATCCAATACTCGGGTGTGGACCGGGTCTTACTCTGTACTAACCTCGCATTCCGCGGCTCTCGCTAGGGCTTGTCCAACTCCAACTGCCAGATGTCAGACAGTTGAGAGCCAAACTTCCAAAGATCCCACTAATATCTCTAGATGCTCACCTCCCCATCGCAGAAGCCCTGGAGGGTGTCTCTTGGCATCCCCCCGTGACCTGGCCACGCTAGGCCCAGAACAGCCTAGCGGCTGCTGAGAACGGCGTGACAATACGCGTACGGAACAGCGCTGTTACCGCACCTCGGGGTATTTTTGCATCGTTTTCAGGTTTCTAAGCCCCCCCGTTCCCATTTTTACACCCTTTGGTCGATGCCTTTTCTGCCTTAGGCCCACGTAGCCTCCTCGTTCGTTTCCAGTTCACAATCGCCCTCTTTTTCTCCTTTTCGCCCCTTCGCGCTGCCGTTCCTCACCTTCCTTCCTTTCGATAAACCCTTTTGTTTACTTGATCTGCTCCTCTCATCACTCCTCACCTTTGCGACCTCTCTCTTTCCCCCTCAACTTCGATTCCTCCCAGATCTCCCCTAGATCACCAAATCGCCGGCACTCTAGACTCGCCAATCCTTCATCGCTGCGAACACCACGACCATCGTCCTCTATCTCGCCAGCGCTGGGACATTGTCATCTGCGCAGCGTCACCGTTCAACTCCCCTGAGACCTCGCCCTCGACCGTCAAACGCGTCTACCGTCCCTCGAGAATCGCGTGGAAAGCCCTGCCACCCACCCGAAGACCTGATATGCGACGTGGATAGTGGCAGTTGGGGCAAACCTCTGTCAAGAGATCATCATTTTGTCTTCGCCTGAGAGGGGGTCATCTGTCGGCTATGACAGATACCTCCTCCCTCGCCATCACGCACGCCACAACGGATTCCTATCCGGTTCCCGCTTCTCGCGGGTCCCCCGCTGCCACCGATGGCGCCGTCTCTGACTCCGGTGCACCCGACGAAGAACCGTACACTATCAAGTGCATTTGCTCGTTCCAAGAGGATGATGGGAGTACGGTCTTTTGCGAACGGTGTGATACCTGGCAGCACATCTCATGCTACTATCCCGGGGCGAAAGTTCCCGAGGTACACAATTGTGTTGACTGCGAGCCACGGATCCTGGATGATCGGCGTGCACATGAGCGACAACGGCAGCGGCGGGTCCGAGAAAAGAGCGAGGACGGGGACCGGAAATCCAAGCGTCCGGGCAAGACACAGAAGCGGAAGACGAAAGAGACAGATGTGAACGAATCAAACCTAAAACGACACGACTCTAATGCTCGCGATCAGCCACCTACCAAAAAGCCCAAGGGCTCTCACCGGGCATCCGCCTCGGTCAGTGGCCCTCCAGGCGCTCCGGCTGAGCCGCGAAACCGTCGATCCTCCACCTCTGCTGCGATGAGCCCCACGAACTCCGACCCCTCCATCCCCCTCTACTCCACCGAATTCCTCCACCTCTATGATCACGACGAAGATTTTGTTGAAAATGAAAGCAACCTCCTCCCCACTGTCTCCTTTATTGATCAAATTATCGCATGGGTACGGGAGGAGGGCACTTTGAATCGGATAACCGAAGGCCTGCCCCCGGCAGACTTCGCGCGAAACTGCGTTGCGGCATTCGATGCTCCATGGCCGAAACTAACGACACACACTTTTACGGACTCAACGACAAAGATTGATGGGACGCATCCAACGTTCAAGACATTGAAAACTCAGGACCCGATACGCAAGAATGAAATTGTTGGTGAGATTTTTGGCGCGCTCAATGTAATCGAAAATTACAAGGCAGACCCCAACAACCGATGGGAGACGCTGCAACACCCTGCACCATTCGTCTTTTTCAGCTCGCAGCTTCCGATTTGCATCGACAGTCGCAAGGAAGGAAACCAACTCAGGTACATCCGGCGCTCGTGTGATGCCAATGTGATGCTGAAGATCTATATCACCCACGGTCAACAGTATCACTTCTGTTTCATTGCCAAGCAAGACATTCCGGCTGACTCAGAAATCACGACGATGTGGTATCTCGACCCGACTCTGGCCCTGGCACACACGCCCCCGTCCAAACAAGGGTCGGAGGCCTCATATAATAAATCCGAAATTGATTTCGCTGCCACCTGCATCAGCAACACTCTTTCCAACTACGGTGGATGTGCATGTGAACGGGGTCAGAATTGTCTCCTTGCCAACCTTGACCGTCGGTCCAAGCCAGCCAGCAGCAAACAGCCGAAAGCGCGGAACAAGGCCAAGACCAAGGTTAAGACGATAGCTTCTCCAATGGAGGCTGGCCGCGCATCCGCAAGTCGCGCCGGGAGTGAAACAACAAAGCATCCTGACGAAGACGATGCCGTGACCGATGCTCGTTCGACGTCCGGGTCTGCGCGGGACAGAGCTACGCACAGTCGCGATGTCAGCCCGACGTCTCACAATCAGCAATCATTACCAGAACTGTCCAGTCGAGAAAGACGCAAGATTGCGGATGCTGAAAAACAGTTCCAGCAGCTAGAAAAGGGATCGGCAGGCACCAAACGCAAGAAACGTGTCAGTGGCTTGCAATCAAATTCGGCGAGTGCGTACCCCAAAAACAAGGCTGAGTCCGACAAATTCGGGTTCGATGGTGAATCGCACTCGCCTACTGCCTATTCCCCAGCGACAACGGCACCTGGGCGGCATGCGAAATCGCGAAAATCCTCGAATCGACCTCCACCCGAGACGATTAACCGTTACCTACCATCTCCTTTCCGGCGCGTCGGTCCTTATGCCGATGCATCAACGCAGCTGTACCCCGATCAGGTCGAACATGAGGCCATCTGGGACGAACATACGAAGCGAGGTTACAGAGTTGGTGTTTTACCTCTCCAATTCATGAATCGGGCTCGGTTTATCTCCGGGTGCAATTACGAGCAGGACTTTGCTCAACAACGTGCATGGCTCTCTGGGGATAAAAGTGTCATTCCGTCTGGGGTGATCCCGTGGTGGTGTCCTTACTTCCCTTATCCTTTGGACGATAGGTCACATTATGAGTTACTGCCAGAGGATGCTGAGATTATGGGTATTCCGGCTGATCACGGGCCACTGGGATTGCCCTTGCGCTGGTCTTACCATCAGTCCAAGCAGCCAGTGAGGCCGATCAGCTATGGCAAAATCACCCTGGTCGGGGTGCCTCAGGCTCATCCCCAGACACAAGTGGCACAGGAGGACACTGTGATGCGCGAAGCTCCGTCGAACACCCAGCCCGAGCCATCAACAACTGCCAATGAGATCACCAAATTGGGAGACTCTGCTCCTTGGCCGTCTACCATTGCTCACAGCACCCCGATACTTAGGGCAGATAACCGCAGTGACCTCCGTCTGTCAATGCCACCGCCACATACTTCCAATGTCCAATCGGTGGTCAGTCCTGGATCAAACTCAGCGGGGAGCTCTTCATCTCCCCTCTTCAACGATAGCGCTTCCTCACTTCCTTTCGTGACAACCCCTACGCCTGCACCTGTTGCAACTCCAGCCAAGAAGAAACTCAGTCTTGGTGATTACTTGATGCGACGTGGAACGATGACCAACACTCCAACCTCGGAGAGGTCTCAAGCTGCAGCCCAGGAACGACCCGCGGATCCCGTCTGGGTCACCGGGCCCCAGCACTTCCTTGCGATCACCACACTTCCCGATGATTACGGACAGTCGCGCGCCCACACGGACGCAGACGCAGACAAGGGCGAGCCTTTCAGCTCTCGGGATGTGCCGATGGAGGATGCGCCGGAACCCGCGCCCACCAACACCCAGTCCGTTTCTTCATGAGACGAGCATTCCACATAGCAGTGGTGGGCTTGTGATAAAAGGAAAACAAAATCTTCAAGATTTAACGTTTCTTACGACTCCAAAATTTTCTTTTCTCGTGTGACTTCATTTCGATACCTTGCAGCGAGGGGGGGGGGGGGGGGGGCACAGGCGTTCGGGACTTCGTGTTTCATCTTTCGACTTTACTGTGCCGGCTTTTTTCTTTCTTTTCTCCGACTTTCGGACTCCGGATGGCGTATTGGCGTGGGAATTGGTTATTGGTTATGGGAAATACCATCGGTTGGGTCAGGGTCTTTTGAGAATCTGCTCTGCAGCACTTGATCATGCTTTGGATCTAGTTACTCTTCTTCTGCGGCCTGTGGGCTAAATAGCTTGTATGAACACTGTTGATTAATTACCATTCTTCCGTGTACTCTGTAGACCAATTGTAATTTGCCTTGGGCAGTCATTAGATATCATTACTTCTATTAATCACACATTCTATACAATATCTACACAATCACGAAGTCGCCACAGCCTTAAGCCTAGGTCCCTCCGGCGAACTCTCCAACCAAACATCCATCTTCCTCGACGTATCCTCCATCCCCTTCAACGTCGGATCCTTCTTGAAATTCCCATTCCCATCAACCCGCAGATCCGAAAACAGCAACGCCAACGGCGAAGATTTCCAAATATACTGCTTCCTCGTATGAATCACCACAATCACCAAGAACGCCAAACTCAACGCCACAAGCGCACAAGGCAATATCATCCACAGCCACCGCACCTCGACATACGACTGCGTTGTCCACGCCGTGCCATTCTTAGTCCCCTTGCACACCTTCGACCGCGCATGGATGGAGAGTGATGAGGCCAGCGATGAGAATACGGAATTGATCTCGCTGTAGTTGCCGTAGATGCCGTAGAGGGCTTCAGCAGTATCAGAGGACCAGGATGGTCTATTGCTGATGAAGCGGGAGCCGGAGCCTTTGAGGAGTGGGGAGAGGGAGTTGGACATGGAGAGGAGGCTTAGCCAATTTACTGTGTAAGTACAGTTTGGGCTGGAGGTGTTGTTGAGGCGGGTTCCGTTGAAGTAGCATGTTTCCGGCTTGACGGCGAAGTTCTGTAATGAAGTTGAGCCGGAGGAGTAGTTTGATGTTGCGACGTTGGAGGTGATGGTTTCGGTGAATTTGCCGCCGCTGACTTCTGTTTCGTAGGTGTCGACGCAGTAGTAGAGGGCGCATTCGGTGGCGCTGATTTGGGGAGTCATGCCGTAGTCGTCTGTGCTGATTGCTGTGAAGTTGAGGATCACGGCTAGGTCCTTGGTGTCGAGGTCTAGGAGGGGTTTGTTGGTTGTTGCATTCATGAGATAGTTCATGTTGCTGGCTGTGTGGAAGTAGAAGCCGTTCGGGAGGGTGTAGTTGTATGCGGACATGTAGGAGACCATGCCTGCTTGCTTTTTCTTGGTTAGGAAGCTGGTGATGTTGGAGCAGCGACTGCAGAATCCTAGGGATTGGTAGGGCGTGAATGTGCAGTTTCCGGTCGGGCAGTCCATGAGAGCGTTTTTGCTGTTGGGAGTTTGCTCTTGGAAGATGCCTGAGTAGATGGCGCCGAGGGTCGAGAGGGGCACTTTGTTCATCCCGGGTCCTGCACCCTCTGAATAGTCTGTGTAGATGTTGGAATCACAGATCTGCACAGATGATTTTCCAGGCGCGTGGATGGATCGTTCCTTAATTCCCATCACTTGCTGGACGAAAGGATCGGTGGCCGCTGCTATCACCAGCACCAGACATCCAAACGTGACCAAGTGGCTGTACCTATGTGAGTCGGACTGTTTGAAACAAATGATAGTGAAGCCACTGACCGAGGAACGAAGCGAAAGAGGGCAATGAAAGCCCCCGCCGGCCCACGACTAGCAGCATCTAGTAGCGCCAAGTCACTGAGCTTATTTCCCTTGCTAAACCAGGACCATTTGAGCTGGGATAAGCCCTCAGTGATGATGAAGACCATGGCCGCTTTCATGACAGTGGACAAAACAGACACCAGGGCGTTCAGTGTGATGCCATACGGCCAATCGGGCATAGGTTTCCCATCGTACATGCGCAGTACGACAATAATGGCCGCCAGGAAAATGACGGACATGAGACAACTAATGAATTCCAGGGTCCAGCTAGAACCCCAGAATATTGTCTGAGACTGCAGCACCGCCTGCTGCTCGGCCGTGGACAGTGGCCTCGGTTTGCTCTGGGGCAAGTCATCGTCGAGACGCACATAGCTCAACGGGTATTCATCCTTGTAGTGTGCCATGGCTGTCTCAATCTGAATTGGAGATGCATGCAGCGCCTTCAATTAAGAGGTAAACTGAAGAAATTGAGTGGGAATAGGGGAGAAGGCGATGATCCAACACATTTTCCTAGAGTAGTAGTGGAAGTGAAACTAGGGTCGAAAAGAATGGGGCTGATCCAAACCTTTCTTCAGGCACAGGCGTGCATCTATTCCCTGTCGAGCCTTAGTCTCGGTTATGGGGCAACTAGTTGATCTTCCTGTCCTAACGGCGCTCTTGATTCCGGGTTTTGTGGGCCTTCAATGATCGCCTAAGACATTGGGGCGTTGGTCTTTGGAACATGGAGTTGGACTATTCCCTATTGTTGGTTTTAATTGGATCGGAATCTCCGGTCAAGTGGTAGAAGTAACATATCAAGCTTCCTAAATGTGTCAGTGACGGAGTGTTGGGCTCAATTTTGCGTTGTGTAGATCTTCTCGGCCGTCGGCATGTTCAGTATAAGGATCGACTAGCGGTGTTTAATTAGGATACAGTACAGTACTACGGATTAGCGTGAGTCTGAGGTCCGCACTGAGCATTGAAGTATCAGTCCTATCTGTATACTAGTACTTCTATACTCCGCAGTAAGCAGGGGCTCGTGTCGAGGCTGTGAAGCGGATGGATGCTCGGCACATAATATAAACTGCGGACATTCGTCCAACTCATATCCCGAAGTCCGACAGTGGACTTCCAAGGGTTGGAATGAAAGAAAATGAAGGCAAACTGCGAAAGAAAGTGGATTGATCTATACTTCCAGGTTGTACAACGGTATTTGCAACCTTGGAATCGGGTGGCCTAATGATTGTGTAATATATATCGAAGAGTGGCAGAAGACACCAAATTAAACCTTGGAAATGATCAAAAGCACATGTTATTTGACCTCATTTATATTAACAGCTTATATACAGCCACAGTCCGGGGTCTGTACGCGATACTCCAGGGCTGCTGTGAGCCGCAGCATAGCCACATCTCGAGGTCGGGCGCAAACCCCCCAACTGACGGACAACTTCTGACCGACGTTCATTTCACAATGATCCGAAAACCAATTCGACGGAATTGCGATCATATTCCGATCTTCTAATATGGAAAACATCTGGAATACATGGATCTACTTGACCACCCTGGAGTGGACAGAGCGAGTCCAGCACAACTGCAAATTTTGCGACCAGTCGAACTTTGCCAGTATTGTCTATGAGGTGAGGTCCAAAAGAACCCATCGAAAGGACCGTTATCTCACTTAACCAGGACGATCAAATCATTGCAGTGGACAACATTCGACTCGCCGGGCAATTTCACTGGCTGATCATGCCCAAGAAACACATTGCGCGGGATATAGAAGGTCTCAGCGAGGACCATCTTGGCCTCTGTGAGTCTCTGTGAAGCCACTGGACATTTAGTACATGGAACTAATCCGAGCCATTCCCATCGCCAGTGCAGGCCATGGATGAGGTGAAGTGCGGTCTCCTTCAGTCTCATTGTCCTGATATACCTCCCGCAGCCGTTCATTCGGGCTATCACCGGGGGCGAAGACCGTTGATAGGGAAAGTATACTATCCAGACATCATATCCATTCATCATCTGCATCTCCATGTCATTGTCAATCCCTCGTGGTTTGGATGGCTTCTCAAATACCCGGTATGGTTGCCTTTGATGTGGAAGTCAGATTGTCAAGTCCTCCATGAGGTTGAGCATCGAAACAAAAGATCATGACGGTGAGAAGAAATGCAGTTTGGCATCGAACTGGGCTGGGCTCTACACACTAACAATTCACTCGCATCTCGCTGGACTCGCAGAGACTGGATCTTGTTTCCCTAGTTATTCGGACGGTATCCGTGGATGCTTAGGTAGAGCTCATGCCCCTTGCTCATGTTTATTTTCGCTTTCCAAATACCCCGTACTAGTATTTGCCTACACAATATGATACTGTCCGAATAATGCGAATGCACCGCCATGTCGATCACCGATAAGGCTTGGATACGCCGTACGCCGCACAGTGGGTCATGATCCACTCAGACAGCACTGCGACACTTTGAGATATGGCCTTGACAGATGAGAGTGCTCTAGCGATGCTCAAACTCCGTACTTCATAGAAAGCTGAGAGTTGAGGCGAGAGTCGCGGTGAGAGGTGAGGGATGCAGGTACAACGCTGCCTGAAACGAGATAGATCGACCCGGATCACGTGCAGAGGCGTCATCAAGTGACGGTCTCCAAGCCTTCTCCTCACCTCCAACTCCCTTCTTGTTCTTGACTGAGATTCCTGCATATAGAACACAGTCTGCTATTTCTCGACAATCGTTTCTGTCATGAAGTTCTCTCCTGCTACCCTCCTGGTGCTGGCGGCTCCGCTCGTCAATGCAGCCGCTTTCTCCATGTTCGACCCCACGCAGGTTAGCCTCAAGGCTGGGACCACTGAGGATTTCCCAGTCGAAGGCGACAACCCTTTAAACTACTGCGCCAAACCAGACGGTTACAAACTCAACATTAAGTCGGTGGATCTGTCACCGAACCCACCTGCTGCGTATGTTACCCGGCAATATCTCCCTTGATGAACTCGACACCGACAACTAACACAATGCTGCTTTGCTCACAGGGGAACCAAACTGACCATCTCCGCTGAGGGTACCCTGCTTGAGCGGATCGACAAGGGTGCCACCGTGAACTTGGAGGTCAAATGGGGCCTTATCACCTTGATCAGACAGACCGTCGACCTCTGCGACGAGCTCAAGAACGTGGACCTTGAGTGCCCGCTGGAGAAGGGCAAGATGGTCCTGACCAAGGAGGTCGATTTACCCAAGCAGATTCCACCAGTATGTCTTTGTCTGGACCCGAATTTCAAACCCAACCGCTGACGTTACTCACAGGGCTCGTACTCCGTCCTCGCTGATGTCTACAACCAAAATGAGGAGCAGGTCACTTGCCTTACGGCGACTAACATCAAGTTCCACATCTGATTTCCCTGAGCTTACGCATTGCTTCGCATCCATCCGCCGGATGGCAACCTCTGCTTGATTACCAACGTCTTGAGCTGTATGATCTGTGAACCTCAACTGCTCCTATAACTGTCACACGCCCCTCTCATGACCCTTTGCTTTTACCGTCTATCTTTTCGGGTTTGCGCTTTACGGTGCACTTTGATATGATTGTGCCCTTACTCGTCTTTACTATGGCCCTTGCATGTACTGCTTTTGATATTTTTGTTTCAGGTTCAAGACACGCTAAATCGAATTGTAAATCCAACAGGTCTAGATAGGACCATAATATACACCGCGGGAGTTCTGACCACAAAGAAACCGCATTTGAGTCTTGCGACAGCGACGAAGAATTGTAGGCAAATGTATGTGAATGGTTTAGGTGCAGACCTAGTATAACCACGCTGGGTATCTTTCCTATCCAATAAATCCACGACTGAACCAATCCAAATCGCAGATGTAGCCGGTCTACTGCCCCGAGCTTCGAGTATGCCAGAGCTGATATTGCACGGATCTCCTAAATGCAGTGGTCCGGCCCAACAGCGTAGTTCCTAGCTCAATGACCAAAATGAGAGATGTCGTCACATCTACTCTCCGAACAGGCGGCGCACGCGCTTGAGAACGCTGTCCTTCTCGGGGTCGTAAGGGTGGTCCTTGCTGGGGATTTCGAGGATGGCGGGGAAAGGATCGGTGAAGGCATCAACCCGGTGACGAATGCGCTCGGCGATCTATGTTTGACACGCACGGTTAGCGATGATCTACTCGACTCGACTTGCAAACATAGTCTCGCGCAATGACACTTTTCCCACTTACATGCTGGTTGATCAACAAGACAGCAATGTCCTTTCGGTCCTGTGTGAACTTCTGGAAATGTTCCTCGATCTTTGATGTTTCAGTCGTTGAGTCGACGACCAGGAAGTTCTTATCCGCATCTGGTCCGTCGCTGACATGCTAGAGAAGGCCTGAATGAGTATATGTCGGTGCGACAAGGATAGCCCGTAATTGAGCGGGGGGTAGTCATACCCCGATACCTGCGAGCAAAAGACCGGTGACAGAGCTGCGTAGAGAACGTGGTTAGCTTCACGATCTTTCCCATGTGCATAACCGTCGAGTAAGGAGTCTGTACTCTTCATCGCCAATAACGGCGAGGAATTGCCGGTCCTGGAGCGCAATGGGTTAGCATTGCTGTGGGGTTATCGGGTCGAGGTGAGATACCTTGGATGATGCGGCCGACGCCGCCATGATGAAGGAGAGAGGGTAGATAAAGATCTGAAAGAGAAAGGATCTCAGATCAGACCGGGATGAATCAAGCAGACATCTGCCCAGGTGTTCTGGAGCTGATCAAGTCGGGGTTATCGGGCAATTACATAAGCTGATGCAATTTCAAGGTTTCAATGTTTACTTTGTTTCTCTTTGATGCCTCGACGTCTCTTGCAGCTCCGGTGGAAAAGCTGTTGTCCTCCACCATGCCGCGCCTTGTACGCAGACGCCCTCTCCGTGAGCGCATACTCACCTACTTGAATCCATATGACTTCTTGCTCTGGCTTTCCGAGGAGTTTGAAGGGGGCGACTGGGACCAGCTGGAAGAGAACTGGTCATTACCGATTGGATTCGGGCTCAATTTGGTGTTTTTGATCGCACGCGCGAATAGCAGGTCTGGCAGCAGCGCGGCCTTCGACGATGTTTTTGGCGACGACGACGGTACTTCCATTCGTGGTTGGTTGGTATGCTTGAACTTCTTTTTGATGCGCCTGAAAGTCCTCTCAGAAAGCTAACATGGCGACTAGGCCTCGTTTTTGGTTCATTTTATGGCCTTCGCGTCCATCGTCAATGCGATCTATACCTTTACCAAGAAGCGACACTATCGCTTGTTCGAGAACTCGATCGACAACAACCCGGCAACACCCTCTGCGCAACGTGTCCGTGTTGACTCGAGCCCTATGATGCCCTCTCCGCTGCGATACATCGCCAAAGCCCTCTCCACGGAGTCGGCTCGCTCGAGAGCGCATCCCGATGCGCAGCGCGACGTATGGGAACTTGCGATTTGGGACCCCTCACCACTATGCCTCCGTCTGTTCTGCTTGTTCAGCCCTGGACACGTTCTGGTATACTGGCTCTTCCTGCCAACTCAGCTATCCGACCCACGCCCGAGTGTGACGATTGTGACGACCATCGTTTTGACCGCTCTACTATCCGTTCAAATGTCGTTCATTTCTTCGTCATACAAACAACAAGCCAAGGATCAGAAAGTGGTGCACAAGGAGGTTTTCAAGGAGTATGACACCAAATACGTGCAGCCACGGACACACCCATTGATGAGAGATGTCGGAACACAATTCTCGGACTCTCACGTTGAACACCCTAAGAGTGAAGATGATCTCAACAGAGTTGAGACTTACACGCCGACTGTAATCATCAACCGCGGCTTCAAGACTAGCCCGAATCCGAATTATTTGAAGCATGTGGACCCGGAAGGATTTACCCCAGTCCGCCAAACGACCACATCCACTCCAGTCTCATCCATCTTCCAGGGTCCGCCAACAATTTCCCGAGATGGATCGCCATTGGCTCGGGGCAACAGCCGGACAACAATGCGCCAGCCACAGTTCCGATCTACTGGAACAACCCCAGGCGATGGAGGCAGCCTTGGCATTTACAGCCACGCCAATTCTCCCCTGAAGAAATCAGCCACAACATCTTTCGATCGCCGACTGCAACACAACGGAGACTTTGTTTACAAAGAGCGAGGCACGACCCCTCTGATGAGAAGCTCCAGCCCGCTCAAGAAAAGTATTGTCCCGGGACCTAGCACTCCCAGCGGGCTGGCTCCCATCAATAGATCAGATACCCTCAATTCTCGGAGAGAGTCAGGGCGGTTCTAAAACAAATTCTAGATATCCTTTTATTTTATTTTTTTTCGAACTTCAAACAACCTCCCGGTCCGACCTATTGCCTGAAACGCGGTCTATGCCATCCACCTGATTACATCACTGGAAGCGCCCTTCGTACATTTTACTAAACCCAGCTGGGCTCATTGCAGCTTATTCTGGCAGTGGGGCATGGGGTTATTCACGTTTGCCACGCTGAGGAATGCGAGGTCAAGACCCAATGCGGGGACCAGGATACACCAAATAGGATGTTCTGCTCTATATCCAGCCTGAATGAACCTTTGATCGACTGAAATAAAGGATATGTCTTTGTTCAAGCAATATGTGGTTGGTTGGACGATGTGTTAGGGCTAATATTTGCACCGCGGTTTCCACCGCAGCGTTCAGCGCAACTTCCCCGGAGAAAACGATGATGCAAATCGAATCTGCAATGTGACGGGAACCGGCAAGCGCCATTCCAGATGGCGGCGGGCCATTTCATAGGGCATTCCGTCGTGGGGGCTGGCATTCCGCATCGCCAACCCTAGCATTCCAACGGTGCAATATCCTTACGCGCTGAGAGTACTTCTCAAGATAATCAGCTCTACCACCTTCCTACCGCCTCGATTGCTCTTCGACCCCGTCTCATGTCTTGCTCAACAGCCGCCTGACAGGGTCCAATATCTACAGCATCAATATTTATACAGCACATCCAGTTCAAGCAAGCGATTCAACCCACCCTTACGACAGGGAGAGCAACATCCCATTCATGTGGAACCGTCGTTGCGTCCCATTGCAACCCAGCTTCATCCAAAATGGCTGCCACTCGCGTCGAATTGCCTGATGGACACCTCGTGAACCTCTCGCCTCGACCAGTCCGGGCACAATATCAAGCATACCGAGCCGACTACAAGGCCTCGCCGACAGAGCTCTCAGCCATCACGCCACCCCGGTATACGCCAATCGCAAAGCCGAATGAACAAGTCACACATGCGAATGCATCTAGCACAGCCCAACAGAAGCCGAAAAACACAAAGCTGCCTGTCCCTAAGTCATCCGCCAACAGCCCAAGCCATGAGTCCAGACAGACACCAAGTCCTACTGGCCTTCCAAAACCAACCACGCCTAAACATACAGGACAACGTGCCCAAGGGGTCTCAGCCGGAAATCGTGATCAATACATGCAGAAGTTGCGAGATCGGTTCGAAAAAGATTCTCCTCTTTCTGAAAGAAGCGATAGAAGCAAAAACAGTGATAGCGAGCAATCTCCGAACGCACGGAAATCCTACCATCGACCAAGACCGCCGACCGGAAATCGCCCACAGCAAGCACAAACTCGGGGAGCCAATGCACGTTCAGCGATCCCAAGTCCCAGTACGGCGAAGAGCAGCCCCGCAAGTGCCTCGGCGCGCAGGGTTGCTGCTTCACAGCCCGTTGATAGCAAGAACAAGTGGCGCAAACAGGGTGACCAGTGGATCAACATGGACGTCCCCGATAATACGCCTCAGAAATCGGAAAAGACAGAGACAACGTCCGCGTCCACCCCGCAAACTCAGTCTTCTGTCTCACCACTGTCAGCCGAAGACAGTTCTATCACTGACTGTGACTGGGAAGACCGGTTCGTGGTAAACATGCCATCCGCAAAAGATCCGAACCCGCCCACCATGACAGCGCAACAGATCAGCGAGTACCAGAAGAGCATTGAGAAGGTATATCAAGCCGGTGGGAAGATGGCCCACCCAGACTCGCTGCCGAGTCGTAACGCTTCCCCAGAAAGCAAATCGAGTCTCAGGGGATACGGAGAGCAGACACCGCCGAGATTCATGGCATATGACGGTGCGTATGAGGAGAGGCAACTGCCGAAACCGTTGTCGCTCGAACATCGCGAAATTGCACCCCAAAAACAAGACCAGCCTCAGTCTCCACAACGCCCTCAACCCCAGGCGCAACCTCCAATGCAGACAAAGGTCCAGTCTACGGTGGTATCTCAGCGCCAAACAGCCAATAACTATTACAGCCCCGATGAGATTGGCCATACCCGCATTAGCACTATATGGGAAGAGTCGCCCACGAAGATCAAGGAAAAGCGCCACCCCCAAAACGCCGACGGTTCTTTTTTAGGGTGCAGGGAAATATCTGGGGAGAAGAATCCGGACGAAATTCTCATGTTCACACCCCCAGACGATGCCAACTTGCATCCCCGCCCATTGGCTTTGGTCTCGAAGAACATGCACAGGGGATTGAAGAATGTCAAGAAGGGTGGTGCTCGCAAAACTGCGCAGATTGTGCCAGAGGCTACGATCATACAAGACGAGCCCCAGCAGTCTGCTCCGAGTTCGATACCTACCCAATGCCCCAAGTCGTCGACGACGAGCCGCGACCAACCTCAGCCTGCGGACCCTACGCCCGTTTCGAGGAAGGGGTCCCAAGACTCTGGCAAGGAGAACTCTTACCTTCCCAGCAGCCCCATCGAACGGTCCGAGAGCCTAGGGGAATCACGGAGCGACGACGATGTGTTCATTATCACACCCACTATCACACGCACCATGCTTCCCGCCCCCGACAAGAAACCCTCTGCGCCAAAGCCGCAAGGCTTGCGACGCGCTGGTGGCGCAAGTCAGCCCGTCACCGCAGAAGCCACCCGAGCCATCAGGGCCAAGGCTCAAATAATCTCCACGCCGTCAGGCCTGCGACCCGGAGGGTTAAATTCGAAAGTCAAACCGACAGGGTCCACCCTGACAGCATCTCAGACCTTTCCATCCAGCGCACTCTCAAGCACGGGAAACGACCAAGGCCCCGTGGACCGAGGCCAGCAAGATCGGACACAAGAACCAATTTCAGACAAAACCGCCGCCACAGCATCCAGTACTATCCGTGGCTTCATCCGTACCTCCGGGCTGGCCAGGTCGTCCGGGTTGGTTAGGTCGCCGACAGATAGCCTTGCCGCGATTTTGCGCAGCGGCACGGAATCTCTTCGCAACCGAGCGGAATCGCTGCGAAATGGATCGGGATCCCTCCAGCGCTCGAACCGGAAGATAACGCCTAGCCAGCCGTCGACAATTCCACAAAGAGACAATTCGGAGTCATCTCGATCCGCGAAATCGCTTCACTCATTCCAGTCATTCGATACCGCAAAAGAGCAACCTGGTGTCCCGGAAGAAGCCCCTCCATCCCCCAAGCCAGTGAAAACTGAGGAGAAACCCCAAGAGCCGAGTTCCCCTCCCAGGAAGTCTGCTGCACCAAGCAAGCCCGCGAGCAGGAAGCTCACCTTGTCGGAAGATCCACCGTCCAAGGTCAAGTTGGAAAAACCTCCTACCTCGACCAGAAGGATCTCCGCATTGGCGAAGCCATCCAAGCTGGAGAAAACGTCCAAAGCCTCGAAGACTCCAGCACCTGAGAAGCCCTCACCACCTAAGGTTGAGGCTGCACCCAAGAAGGAAAGCCCGCCAAGAAAAGATGAGAAACAACGTACCAAAACTTTGCCTCGCCTCAGCACATCCAGCAGGGTCACGGACGTTGCCGAGCTTGACGGTCTTCAGCTCGTCAGTCCAAAGGAATCTGTTCAGCCCCATCTCAATAATCTTCATTCCGACCTGGGTGACACGCCTGGCCCAAATAACGCCGGATCCGACAACAACGATTTCAACCCTCTTGCCCTCTCCCTTGTCTTCCACATCCTAGTCGTTGCCATTACCCAGGTCAATCGATTCGTTCGAATGGGCACCGACAGCTCCTACGCCAAATTCGTCCTGAACAACACCCTCAGCATGACCGGCCATTGCTTCAATGTCTTCAGCTGCATCTATGGAGCCTTCCGCGACTACCAAGCCACAGGCTCTTGGCCAAAACCTCAAAGCGACAAAGCTATCAGTCGATTCATGATGGATCTCCTACAAGCAGTCGTCTACCTTTTCATTCTTGGATTCGCTGCAACGTTAGTAGGTCGTGTGGCGGGCTACGTTGTTCTAGTCAGCAGTTGGATCGTCTGGGTCGCTAAGCCCTTTGCTTGGGTATTCCAATTTGTTGGTCGTGTTTTGATAGCGAATTAGCCGGGTGATTTTCTCTTTTCAAGATTGTGTTTTTGGGAATGGGTGTTTACTAGCGTGTCCTGTCTTTCTGTATTTTTGATCTGATGCCCGGGGGTGGGTGGTTTGTTTGCTCCCAGCTGTATTCCTAGACTATACCTAAATACGTGAATAATTCAAATATCTTTATGACTTCTATCTATCAACTTGCCGTAAACCAACTGGTGAAACCGATGTCTTAAAGCTGACCAAGTTCAAAATCTGAACATGGGCAGCATTCCAAGGAGTGCTATGCCCGGACGGTGTGTTCGGATGGAGGGACTGGGCGAACTGGTATGCAAGTCATGGCATAGGACGGAAGTCCCATTTGGTATTTCACGATCCTCTATGCTGGCTCGGACGACAGTATTCTAACCAGCAAAGCGAAGCGAAGCAGGTATGGGCCAGGAACCCAGAGTCGGAGTTCGCGTTTAATGCGTTAAGGGCACGGGGTGATCAGGGTACTGAGCACGGAGTACTGGTTGCTACCCCTGGCGAACGAATTAAACCCGGAAGTGGAACTGTGTTGAATACCTGAAACCAACACAAAGGCAAGAAAGAAGAGAGGAGACGTTAAATTTATGATAAAAAAACAGGAGAGAAAACGCGTGTGCTAGACAAGATGAGTCAATGCCATTAGAACCGCGGCGAGTTCGATGTATAGGAAAGAGGTAATGAAAAAGCCACCAGGCATGATTATGTTGAAATTTTTTTCTTCTTCTTTCAATCTTTTGTTCTTCTGGACTGCGCTAGACCAACAAGAAAGAAAAAACACGAGAAGGTCCAGAAGAGACACCGGCACCGGGCCTGGAGAAGGATCCGAGAAAGAAAAAGAGAATCCGATCGCGGAAGCGCCATTGTTAAAAGAGACGGGGTATCGGTACATTATGTTGAAATGAAAACGCTGTGGAAGAAATCGTTGAGAGGTCTTCAGTCGTGACGCCATAAGACATTGCAGGGTGAGCCCGAGATGTGTTGGAGTAAGTGTTTGTGTGGGCTGTAGTATCGTTGAGATGAGTGATGTTGAATTAGGTGTTAAAGGTGCAAAGATGGCATGGGACCAAAGGGTTGTTGGGGTCCTTAGTGAGGGTGGAAGTGCCAAAAGTTTCCAAGAGTTCCAAAAGTTGAGGGGGAACGTTTTTAGTTGGCGGCGACGCCGTTGGCTTCGGTGGTGCCGTTGGTCGAGGGCTTTCCGGGCACCTCGACGTTGAGATCCTTGATCTCGAGACCGTCGAACAATCCGAAGACGGCGTTGGATCGGTGGAAGTCGTTGTCGACAATGTTGACCAGGTACCAGTCATCCATAACTTGTTGGATCAGCTTACGACTGGGGCTGGCGGCATCGTGACACTTGGACCAATGCTCGCCGAGCAAGAAGGCTTCGTCCTTCCAGGCCAGGAAACTGACGGTCTCGACGATGGTGGGTTGAATGATCTCACGTCCCGCGAAGATACCCCATGTGAGGGCATTGGGGCTGTCACGGGTGTTGGTCTTGAGCTCGCCCTTCTTGTTGGTGGCGTGGTATGTGAGGTCGTCGTTCTTCTCGATGCGAGTGATGAGCTCGTCAATCAAGTTTGAAGGCACCAAGAGTTCCAGGTAAGCCTTCTGGTAAACGAAACCGTTCTTGGGACCCCAACCGTAGACAGGGTGAGAGGACTTGACTCCATTGACGGCAGGCTGAGAGTTGATGGTCAGGAAACCGCGCTCGTTGAGCTTGAGCAGGTCGGACTCAATCTCCTGAGCCTCAGTGGTGATTGGCGAGTCACTCCATGGCAGACGGTCCAGTTTACCAGTCAAGAATCGAACGAAGATATCGGAAAGATCCTTGATCGACTTGGGCTCGCCCCACAGCTTGATGTTCTGCTCGTTGGTGCCCTTCAGACCGACACCATATGCGTCAAGCTCACCAAACGCAGGAGAGCGAGAATCGGTCCAACGACCGTTGGGGAATTCGTCCCATGTCTGGGTACGAGCCACGTATGAAGAGTTTCGGTTGCGCCAGAACACAGGCCGCACGTCCTCTGAGCGGCGGCCAAGGGCCAGGGAGGGCCGCCAAGGCAGGGCACGTTGAATGGGAGCCTCGTCCGAGGGGCAAAGGTCGAGCTCCTCCAGAACCAAGCGAGTGGCCTGAGCCAGGTTCATGGTGTAGAAGTGCAAGTGGTTGATGCCGGCAGCCATCAGCTGTCGGCACATCTCGGCGATCAGGGTCTTTCCGATGTCTCGGACCGCGGAATCGTCATTCTTCACGGGCTCAAGAGCCTCCATCCACTGCGGAGGAACTCGAATCTTGGTCCAGTTTGACCGACGAATGAACGCGGCGTATGTCTGAATAGGCATGATACCAGGGATGATGGGCACATTGATGCCCTTGGCGCGGCACTTGTTCACCCACCCGATGAAGTTCTCCACGTCGTAGAACATTTGAGTGACCACGAAAGTGCTGCCTGCATCCACCTTCTCCTTCAGGTGATCGATCAGTTGATCCACATCGGAGTTGTCATCGGCACCCTCAGGGTAGCCACCCACGCCAATGTCGAAGTGGTTGCCGTACTTGTCCCGGATATATTTCACCAAATCCTTCGCGTAACGGAACCCATTGTCGGTGGCTTCCCATGTTTCCTTGTCTCGGGGTGGGTCTCCGCGGAGAGCCAGAATGTTGGTGCAGCCCGCCTTGTAAGCCGACTGGAGCGCCTGATCGACCTTCTCAATGGGCATATCCGTACAAGTCAAGTGCATGCATGTTTCCAATCCATATACTGACTGTGCAACGCTGACCATCTCGCAGGTCAGATCCGATAAGCGACCGCCCGCACCCCAGGTGATGTCGATGAAGGATGGGCCCATTCCATGCATACGGTCCATTCGGTCATAGAGGTTCTGCACACCCTGGGCGGTCTTGGGGGGAAAGAACTCGAATGAGATTCCAGTCTTTCCCTCCGCCTCATTCTTCGCCAGCTTCTCCCGGATATGCATGATGCCGGTTCAATCTATCGTCCGTCAGCACCAGTACGACTTGGAGCCTATCAGAGCCAATGGGCTGCCAATGGGCTGTTCTTTCCACTTGTAAACATACCGAGGAGGAGATAAATAGGCCAGTGGTTTGTGAGACTCGAGCACCTGTGCAGCTGAGACAGGCGATTTCTCACGTATAGGGAACCTGAGCACCTGTGCGCAGGACACTATTGAACAAGACAAAAAAACAAGAATTAGGACACAGAAAGAAAGGAAAAATTTGGCCGAAAAAGAAAAGAAAAGGGAAAAAAAGGCGAAGAGGCTCAACGAGGAGTGAGGAAAGGAGGGAAGCCGGTGAGCGGAACTTCTGGGCACAACAATTTGGCGGGGAAGGCCGCCATCGGAGGCACGTGTTTTGCTCGGTTTGGGGCTCTGCGCAGGAGATGAGAGGAAATAGCTGGAGGAGAAGTGTCTTTGGCTTATTTCAACCCTATTCTATCTTTAAAGACTTCAATTTTCCTCATAATGCACCTTCAATGGGCCAAAAGGCGATGAGTGAGCCCATACCGCCCTTACCCCTCCGTCCCAATCGGGAAATGGCAAAATTTTCGTTATCAGCGGGCGGTTGGACTGTTGGACTCTTGACATCTGCTTCGTTCCCTCGCATCTCACAATGTCTGCCGTGCCTCCTCCAACCGCTGACCAGGACTACAAGTCCACCCTGCTCCCTCTCCTCATCTCCAACAATGTCCTCTCCTTCGGCTCCTACACCTTGAAGTCCGGCCGCGACTCGCCCTACTTCTTCACCTCGTCCCTCCTGCACACGGCACCCCTCCTGCGCGCCACCTCGGCCGCCTACGCCAGTGTCCTGTCCGCCGAGCCCTTTGTGAGCACCAGCGCGGACGGCACCGCCACCCCCAACTTCGACATCATCTTCGGCCCCGCATACAAGGGCATTCCCATCTGCGGCTCTGTCACCAACGAGCTGGCCGTGCGGGACTCTCTGTCTGGAAAGAATACCTGGGACAACGTCAGCTACTCTTTCAACCGCAAGGAGGCCAAGGCCCATGGCGAGGGTGGTAACATCGTCGGTGCCCCTCTGAAGGGCAAGCGCGTTGTCATTGTTGACGATGTCATCACTGCTGGTACCGCCATCCGCGAGGCTGTCAGCATCATCGAGAAGGAGGGTGGCATTGTCTCCGGTATTGTCGTCCTGCTGGATCGGGAGGAGCGTGTGAGCGACACTGAGGTCAAGAGTGCCATCGGCGTTGCCCAGCGTGATCTCGGCGGCAAGATCCCCATCCGCTCCGTCATTGGTCTGCACGATCTGATTGAGAAACTGGGTGATAAGATTGGCGAGGAGAACATTCAGCGTCTGAAGGACTACCGTGAGCGCTACGGTGCTCAGTAGATAGTTATAGTCTTGTGGATTGCGATGAAGCTACGATCTATGAGCAAATACAAAATAAAAAGGGTGGATATCAGGATACCTTGGAGTTTGGTCTCAAATTACTTGATACATCCAACGTCGTCCAGTCTTAAACTGGACAGGGGCTATACCCTGGTGTTTCTGCTTGGTGATAGCAGTAGAAATATCGTGAAATAGTGCAAGGCGCATCATCCTTGGATTCGGCAGTAGTTCTCAGCTCCTGCTCGCGAATTCCCCAGCTGTTATGAGAAACTCCATTCCTCAATTCCAAGGTCTGTGAAAGTCTTTTACACTGCTTGTCTACTTTTATTTTGCTCGCATGGTCCAATCGGGATATATGGACTTCGTGGTTTCACTTTTGTCCTTCACCACTAGCGAGAGTGGTGCGGATATACACACTGGTATCATGAGATTTTGATTCCCAGCTCAGGTCGACTCCTAGTGCAACATCCAGAAATGTTTTCGAGGCTTCGAGTGTGTGTGTGTGTGTGTTTTTATTTACGTCTTTCTTTTTCCGGACGTAAATAACAGCACACACACACACACACACACACACACACACACACACACACACACACACACACTCGAAGCCTTGAAGCACTTCTGGATGTTGCACTGGGAGCCCGGAATCCCTTGTGTGCGGAACCATGTTTCACATGAAATTGTTCATAATTTGGTGGTGAGCTTGAGAGCTATTTTGGGCCAATGATTGTCTACGCTCACAGCCTTGGAAGCTCTTGCGCGGCTAGCGGCTAGGAGCACAGCATGCTGTGGTTAGAGGGGCATGCCAGCTTCGCTCAGACCCTAATCAGGCATGTTACCTAGGTAGGTACCGGTTGCCAGAAAACATGAGTGAAGACATTGCCAGGTATCGAGATGCCGGGGCCGGAGTGTGCGCTCGGACAGTTGTATAAGTCGACCTGATAACTGAATCAGTACAAGGTGAGACATAGGGGTGGTGGTCACGACAGCTTATTTAACCTTCCAAGGCCCCAAGGTTGGAAACCACAAGACGTTGAATTAAGGAATGGAGGATCCGGTGAACAATGAACCCTAGAAATAACATCACATTTGCCCAGCCGCATTCGTTTCAATCTGAAGTGCTTCTAATCTGCGAACTAGATTGAATCTCAATCATTTTACAATGCTTGTATGTCTATATCTTGAATTCCTCCCGGGTGGGCCGTTGAGCATGATAATGGTGATACATTCAAGATGTTGTACTCTCCGGCAGAATCCTAGTGGTGGATCAAGTTGCACAGAACATGCAAGCCCGGTAACAGGGGTTTGAATATGGGCTATGTAGATGATCCGGGACTATTTGGTGGTGGATAGTCCAGCCGTTGAATATATGAACTTCGATGTGGCAATGACCTTGGGAGAAGTAGGAAGCAACAATTGGGATGTCAGAATGTGCAAAGTAAACATGTCTCTTACAGGTTCAATAAGCTGAGCCTGACGCCCGTTGGACGCAATTAGACCTGCATATCGAGAGGGCATCAATCCAGTCTACAATACCCATGATGTCCCAAAAGGCAAGGTTACATCCAGATGTCGGTGATGTGAAGATATAACTGTCTATTTAGATTATGAAGCGCTCAATACTTTCATGGGTTTCGAGGCTGATGATCTGCTACGGTGATTCACCTGTCTCGCCCTAAATGAAATATTCGGAAGTTCAGAGGCCAAAAAAAGAACATCTGATCCGGAATCAAGGAGGTACAGGGAATTTCGGATCTGGTATATGTACTCCGTAAATACTGGCATGCAGGCGAGATGGAAACATTGGCAGCCTACGATGTATACACGACCTCCAGGGCTGAGACATTGAGCACGTTCGTAACAGTAGGCACTTCGCTGAATGAAACCAGATACCATTCTCTTGGCCTGAGAAGAAGTGTCTTGGGTTTTACATGTCGGATAGCAATGTCACTGCAACAGTAAATTGTCATCGAGAGAAAGATTTAAGAGGTCATTGGGTACTTGAGGCCGAGTAAAGGAAGGCAAACCAGGCTCTTTCGACCATTTTGTATCGATGAACTGAGATGTATGTTTCTTTGTAGCCAATTGAGCTGATATCATATGATGGATACACAATGTACCATTGCCTCATTCACTTCTAGGTATTCCTCTCATCTAGTATCACACTACTTTGTGATACCTGGAATGCATGGATCGCTTGATTGTTGTCGGCAAGCCAGGTTACTTCCACAAGAACCGTTCGCCATGCAGAAAGCTATGGATATTGCTAGAAAGATGAAAAAATTTCGACTCCTCGTGAAACATTTGCTCCCAGTGATTCAGCCCGATTTTCTCTATAGATAGAACAAAGAGGTCACTTGGATGTCAATCAAAGCGCAAGCAGGTCTATGTGTACTCTAGTCTGATTGCCTCCTATCAGCTGCGGCTGTGTCCGTTACCGTTGATTCCGGGCTCCTGGCAAAGTGTCGAGGCTTCTCACTTCCAGTTCCAGGAACTGCAAGAGACATCATGGGACTTAGCCAGTGCGAGTAGAGTGGGAGAAAGCTTATGTTCTTCTTGAGATTTGCCGGAGGATCTTACCACAGTGGAAGAGGGCTTGGGGCTCCTCATATTTCCCTAGGCTTCCTTCGTTCTTAATGAGAAAGCTCTTGGTTTCTTGGTTCCTTTTCCCCCTGCTCCTTTCTAGAGAGCCCCGATAGATTGGAAGGGCATTAGTCAAGCTCTATCAGGGTCGAAATGTTCGATGTCCCTTCTTGATAGTCGTGATTTATATCATTTTCTTCTCTACCTCATCGAGAATTCCCGTGGCCTTTTGAAAAGCAAGTGATTGGTCCTTGGTATTTTTCGTGATTTGTTTCATTATCCACCCCTCTACTGAAGCCCAGGAGCCTTCCCGAATACCTAGTATAGGTAGGTATCTGCACATATATAGATGGCTGAGTCTCTATGATTGTTCTTCTAGCTAACGTGTGGACGGTAAAACACAGTTGAAATTTGCTTTTGCGGCCTCACACCCCATTGAAGACCGGACTTCAACACATGTTCCAAATTTGAGGTTTGGAAGAGGCCCACGTATTAGCCATGAGAATGTACTGGGGATATACCATCGCAAGTGTCGCTCTGTTTGCAGTGAACGGCAAATGTTGGCCCTACGATGAGACCCTCACAGACTATAACATCAACGAGAACCAAACCGCGACGAATCCATTGGATTATTGGGGAGAATGGCCCGACCACACATACTTTCCCTCACCGGATAACTGGCGCTTTCCTGTATATACGCTCTTCCTTGATCGATTTGTGAACGGCGATCCCACAAACGACAACATCAATGGAACACTGTTTGAACATGACATTAGTTCGAATCAGATGCGGCATGGTGGTGACGTGGCTGGTCTTCTCGACACTTTGGATTATCTACAGGGGATGGGAATCAAGGTTGGTCTCTTCATTGAGTCACTATGTTTAGTGAATTCATGCTAACAGGAGTCTAGGGCATTTTTCTTGCAGGATTGGTGTTGATGAACCAGCCGTGGGGATCTGATGGTTACTCTGCGCTCGACACGACATTGCTAGATCAACATTTCGGGACTATCGAAACTTGGAGATCTGCCATCACGGAGATTCATGACCGGGGGATGTATGTTATATTCGACAACACGGTGTCAACGTAAGTTCTCATGGCATCAATTGATCTTTGGGTGCAACATTCAGTCAATGGCAGGAGCTAATCCCCTGACAGCATGGGAGACCTCATTGGTTTCGAAGGATACCTGAATACAACCACACCATTTTCGACCAAGGAGCACAAGGCATCTTGGAAGTCTGGTCGTCGCTATGTGGACTTTGAGTATGGCAACAATTATAATGAAACATGCGATTATCCTCGATTCTGGAATGAGACGGGATACCCAGTTGACGATTACGTCTACGACGAATTGAGCGGATGCTATGACAGCGACTTTGATCAATACGGCGATATTGAGGCATTTGGTGTGTTTCCAGACTGGCAAAGAGAGCTCGCCAAATTTGCATCCGTACAGGATCGTCTACGTGAATGGGTGCCTAGCGTGAGAGAGCGAATCATTCGTCACTCCTGCATGATAATCACATCCTTCGATATTGATGGGTTCCGCTACGATAAGGCAACGCAAGCCACCGTAGACGCTCTTGGGGACATCTCTGGTGCATATCGTGACTGTGCTAGAAGTGTGGGAAAAGAGAATTTCTTCCTCCCCGGTGAGATCACTAGCGGGAATACATTGGGATCTATCTTTCATGGAAGAGGTAGACAGCCTGACATGAAGCCCGAAACTCTGGAGGAAGCATTTCAATTGACCAATTCGTCGGATATTGCTTTCTTCCTTCGAGATCAGAATCAGCAAGCAACAGATGCGGCTGCCTTCCATTATTCTGTCTATCGCTCACTCACGCGATTCCTGGGAATGGATGGTAATCTGGCTGCTGGGTATGATATTCCTGTCAATTGGACCGAAGCGTGGTACCAGATGGTTCTCACGAATGATATGATCAATGCCAACACCGGCAAATTTGATCCACGCCACATGTACGGAGCAACCAACCAAGACGTGTTCCGCTGGCCAGCTGTTGAGTTCGGGATCGAAAGGCAGTTGTTGGCACTCTTCATCACCACGTTGCACCTACCGGGCATTCCGTTGCTGTTATGGGGCGAGGAACAGGCATTCTATATTCTCGATGCCTCAGCTGCAAACTATATTTACGGTCGTCAAGCAATGTCGCCAGCTACTGCTTGGAAAAACCACGGATGCTTCCAGTTGAATTCCACTCAATATTTCGAGTGGCCGATCAAATCAGGAAGATTAGGATGCCACGATGAGACTGTCTCCTACGACCATCGTGATCCTGCTCACCCCGTGCGAAATATCATCAAACACATGTATCAGATGCGACAGGACTATGGTGCCTTGAATGACGGGTGGTGGATTCAGCTTCTCTCGAATCGAACACATAACATATATCTGCCAGGCTCCAACGGGGTGCCGACTGAGACGGGGATTTGGTCTGTTCTGCGCAGTCCCTACTATCAGATGCAGGATTTAGGGGAGATGGGAAATCAAACAGTGTGGTTTGTTTACCACAACGACAACAAGACAGTGGATTATGAGTTTGACTGCTCCGATCCCAATGCCGCCATCATCGCTGCTTTCGATGCCAATACCACCGTTAAGAATCTCTTCTATCCACACGACGAGTTGGATTTGCAAGAAGGTCCAGTCAAGCTGGGCTTGAACGGCTCTGAGAATCACAATGGCTGTGTCAACCTGATCAGCCTTGCCCCATACGAGTTCAGGGCCTATATCCCAAAGGACAAATTCATCCCACCGCGTCCCATGATAACCAAGTTCTTGCCAGGGCATGATGTTCCATTGCTCTCTTCCGTCGCCCCCGATAAAAGCGAGTCTGTGGAAATTGGGCTATTCTTCTCCACTGAGATGAGCTGCTCGATGGTGACAGACTCCATATCCCTGCAATCCACGACCGAATCTGGAAAAATACCATCATTGGACCGTGATAGCGTCAGTTGCGAGAGTATGTTGCCCGAGACTACGTCGTGGTCCGGCCATATTCCTTCCACCTGGGCTTGGAGAGCAACTTTGACAGGAGTGTACAACGGTGTACATAAGTTGACTGTGAAGAATGCGACAAGCACTGATGGAAGAAGCACCGACGCGGTCGATCACTTCCTCATTCGGATCGGACAGCACGACAATCCGATCGTGTTTACTTCCGCAAACTATTCGAGAAGCTTACTCCATGAGACTACGAATGGGTCCCTATTCATTTCGCAGCATGCAGCTGGAGCCGACAAATATCGATATTCCACTAACTGGGGCAGCTCATTTTCCGAGTGGCTTCCCTATGAAGGGGGAAATCATACCATCACGGAGTCGCCTTGGGCAGGGACAAAGAAGCAGAGATGGGATGGGAAACATGTTCGGATGGAATACTGGAGTCGCCTTACGGGAAGCAGTGACTATGTTCAAGAAGGTGATGGTGTTGATTGGAATCCTAATCGCCGTCGCCGCTTTCCTAATCTCTTCTTCAACGGACCATTCAACCAGTATGGCTACGATGCCGGCTTGGATAACGTTGTGAGACAGGATAGTGATGGAATATGGAAGTTCCGCTTCATGGCGGAATGGCCGGCCCAGGGTCAACTGAATGTCTGGGGAATCAATCCTGACAATCAGCCAGACCAAAGCTATATCTATGGTGACTCGAATGGAGACTCGATCCTCGATCGTCTTCCACCTTCATCGCTCAGTGTGACATCGATCAATATAACCAACCACCCGCCTGATCCCCATCTGGCATGGAGACTTCATCTTGATGACTCAAATTTACAATTCAAATTGGTGCCAACAGGATCCAAGTATGTTCAAATGGCTCTATTCGTCTTACTCTGGATCGTGCCGGCCATCTCGGCATGCATTTGCGCGTTCGTGTTCATGAAGACGTTCTATCGGATCAAGTTCAATCAGACTGGCGTGAGCGAAAAGAGAACACTCGTCTCTGAGGAGCTCATCAACAAATTCAAACTTGGTAATATCGAAGAAGGCCAGTCGAGAAACCCCCTGGTGCGCTTTTCCAATAAGTCCAGATTTCTTCAAAGCAGCTCGGCATTTGGCAATCGAACCACCCACCGGCGAAAGGTGCTAATCGCCACCATGGAGTACGAAATCGACGACTGGGCCATTAAAATCAAGATTGGTGGCCTTGGCGTGATGGCTCAGTTGATGGGCAAACAGCTCGGCCATGAAGACATCATCTGGGTTATACCCTGCGTCGGTGAAGTTGCCTATCCGGTGGACAAACATGCCGAATCGATGTTTGTGATGATTCTAGGAAACTCTTATGAGATCAAAGTCCAGTATCATCAGTCGAGAAACATCACGTACGTTCTGTTGGATGCGCCGGTGTTCCGCCAGCAATCTGCTTCACAGCCATATCCAGCTCGCATGGATGACATGGACAGCGCGATCTATTATTCTGCCTGGAATCAGTGCATTGCTCAGGCTATGAAGCGCTTTCCAGTGGATCTGTATCATGTGAATGACTACCATGGCGCAGTTGCTCCGTTGTATATCTTACCGGAAACGATCCCAATTTGCTTGTCGCTTCATAATGCTGAATTCCAGGGCCTCTGGCCTATGAGGACACAGAAAGAGAAGACAGAGGTGTGCTCAGTGTTCAACCTCGACATGGATGTGGTTACTCGCTATGTTCAATTCGGAGAAGTCTTCAATCTGCTGCACGCCGGTGCGAGCTATCTCCGCCTCCATCAGCAAGGGTTCGGCGCTGTTGGGGTGTCCAAGAAGTATGGAAAACGCTCATATGCCCGATATCCCATCTTTTGGGGATTGCGGAAAATTGGCAATTTACCGAATCCTGACCCCTCTGATACCGCGGAATGGAATCGGGCTCTACCCAAAGAGCGCGACATTGATATTGATGAAGAGTTTGAGATGAGGAGGGCAGATTTGAAGCGTCAAGCTCAAGAATGGGCTGGTCTGACACAAAGACCTGACGCTGAGCTGTTGGTCTTCGTGGGCCGATGGTCAATGCAAAAAGGAATAGACCTAATCGCTGATGTGCTACCCGGTGTCCTGGAAGCTCGACCCAATGTCCAACTGATATGCATCGGGCCTCTCATTGATCTATACGGCAAGTTTGCCGCATTGAAACTGGATCGAATGATGAAAATCTACCCGGGACGTGTCTGTTCAAAACCCCAGTTCACGGTCCTACCACAGTTCGTCTTCTCTGGGGCTGACTTTGCGTTAATACCGTCGCGTGATGAGCCATTTGGCCTCGTTGCCGTCGAATTTGGAAGAAAAGGGGCTCTTGGGATTGGTGCGAGAGTGGGAGGCCTCGGTCAGATGCCTGGCTGGTGGTACACGGTTGAATCGACGACCACTTCTCATTTGTTGAAGCAATTCAAGCTCGCAATTGACAGTGCCCTCAATTCCAAAGATGATATCCGAGCAACCATGCGGGCAAGATCTGCGAAGCAGCGATTCCCGGTCGCCCAGTGGGTTGAAGACCTGGAGATCTTACAGTCCACGTCGATTCGAGTCCACCAGAAGGAGCGAGCCAAGACCCAGAGCCATTCCGCGGCCGCTGGGGCGTACAACGCAATATATGGGATGATGACACCGCAGTCCCCATCGAACAGGTCCGGGACTTTAACGCCGCCGTTGTTTGCCTCGAGTCGTCCGGGCACCATGGGGTCCCTCCAGCGAAGCTCCATAGTGTATAGTCGCGACCCCAGCCCCGGCGGTGATGGCAGACCCAAATCAGGACCTGGACGCCCGATGTCGTCCGATGTTCGACCGATATCTGCCAGTATGGATCCCCGCGGTCGGCGTGATTTTGGCCGCAGCGGTGGTGTAGACGATGAAAGTGCTGGCGACAGGGCGCCCACCGAAGCGGAGGAAGACAGTGATGAGGAGCTGATGTCAACCTGCTTTGGAGATGATGATTATTCCATATCAACGGAGGGTGTAGATTCAGTTCGACCACAGAATCCTCAGCCTGGTGGTGCACTCACTCGAGAAGCCCTCTCTGCTCAACGCGCAAGCCAAGGCTCTTTGCTCGCTCGATATAGCAACACGCCCTCCAGCTCAGCAGCACCAAGTACCGTGGGCACCGAAGATACCCTGGTCCCCCCTTCGCGTCCTTGGACTGAGCCCGGAAATCGGCTCAGCAGCGCATCCGTGTTGTCCGTCGATTCAGTGGTGGGAGAGAAGAAGGATTTCAAGCTTCAAAAAGTAGACCCATTCTTCACGGACAGCAATGGAGAGTATTACAAGGTTTTTGAGAAGAGGCTCGAAGATCTCAACGGCGCAAATTCGGACACGCAGCTCTGTATTGAGCAGTACCTCGAGAAGAGCGAAAAGAAATGGTTCAACAAATTCCGCGACGCGCGCCTCGGCCGGAATCAAGGATCGCCATCTAGCTCTGTTTATCGAGGCAGAGGGGGCCCTTCGCCTGATGGATCTGTCACCAACGATGACGCGATATCTCGCGACTCTGGCCCTGAGAGGAAGGCAGGTCCGCACGATGAGTTCCTGCTTGGAGACGACTACATCCCACCGACGGGACTGAGGAAGTGGATGCAGATTCGCATTGGGGAATGGCCTGTTTACTCCCTGTTCCTGGGACTGGGTCAAATCATCGCGGCGAATTCATACCAGATCACTCTCCTTACTGGAGAGGTCGGTCAAACCGCTGAGAAGCTATATGGGATTGCCACGGTCTACCTGATCACCTCAATCCTCTGGTGGTTCTTCTTCCGATACTGCAAATCTGTGCTTGTCCTCAGTGTTCCCTGGTTTTTATACGGCACCGCGTTCCTGATCATCGGCATGGCACACTTCGAGTCCAATCCTTACAATCGCGGTTGGATCCAGAATATCGGAAGTGGTCTCTATGCCGCTGCTTCGTCCAGCGGCTCCATATTTTTCGCGTTGAACTTCGGAGATGAAAGTGGCGCGCCGGTTAAGCAATGGGTCTTCCGTGCCTGTCTGATCCAGGGCACACAACAGGCATATGTCATCGCTCTGTGGTATTGGGGGTCGACTTTGACCAAGGCCAGCAATGCAGGAATCGCAAATCTGCAGGGTGGCATTTCTAACACATGGAGAATGACGTGCGTCGATCTAACTTGTACCTGTCGCTGAGAGTCTCTGCTAACCTGAATACAGAGCGATATGTACGCCCATCACACTCTTCCTTTGGGCAGTTGGCCTTGTCATCTACTTCGGCCTGCCAAACTACTACCGTCAGACCCCAGGCAAGGTCCCGTCGTTCTACACATCGGTCTTTCGGCGCAAGATAGTGCTTTGGAACTGGGTGGTGGTCATCATCCAGAACTTCTTTTTGAGTGCACCTTATGGTCGGAACTGGAACTGTGAGTCGCATTCTTTTTGCTCGTTCTGTGTGATGGACATGGATATCCTGACACTGCGTCCTCAGTCCTTTGGATAACACAGCACGCCACTGGCTGGCAAATACTCCTCCTCTGCCTGGCATTCTTTGGGCTTGCCTGGATCGCAATTCTCTTCCTGCTAGCCAGACTATCGAAATCTCACAGCTGGATCCTCCCCGTCATCGCCTGCGGCCTAGGAGCCCCGCGATGGGCTCAGATATGGTGGGCAACATCCGGATCAGGTCTGTTCCTACCCTGGGCTGGGAGTTACACTGCTGGAGCTCTCCTTTCCCGCAGCTTGTGGCTCTGGCTCGGTGTCTTGGATGCGTTGCAGGGTGTTGGATTTGGCATGATCCTCCTGCAGACACTGACCCGTATGCATATCTGCTTCACCCTACTTGTATCCCAAGTCCTGGGATCACTCGCAACGATATGTGCCAGGGCGTTTGCACCAAATAATATCGGCCCTGGACCCATCTCGCCTGACATCACAGCTGGGGCGGGTGCGCTTGCAAATGCTTGGTTTTGGATTGCTCTAATTCTACAACTCGCGATATGGTATGTCCTCTCTCATCACCTGTCTTGGATCTCACTGATTGTTGAATTCAGTGGCGGCTTCCTGCTTTTCTTCCGAAGAGAGCAACTCTCTAAGCCTTGAATTAGCCATTGGCATTGGGGGACCCTGATCAGATTGAATTGGGACCTGCATCTAGTGGAATCACCACTATTCCCGTGCACATCATGATGTGCAGCCGCTCGTTTGTTGGTGCATGCTTCTACACAAAAGTAGCCTTCATTTACGGTTTATCTAATGTATTGAAACTCAATGGATGAAACAGTAATTCGTTATTTCTGAACAATCATGGGCAATGTCGCCGATGTGAAGTTACATTGTAGCTCTTGATGAGGTTGCACAGCTGCTACCTAGTATATTCCAACCATATCTCAGCTTATGGTTTGGCTGGATTCTTGGGACGGTGGCAGATCTGGAACTGACTCGAGCATGAATAGGTCGTAGTAGATGTCTCGTCTTCTGGCTTGGCTTCCAGCTTGTCTTCGGTCATCTTTTTGGAGCACATATCTTTAGGACAACCTTGTGTGCAGTTCTTCTTGCCAGCGTCAGGCTTTTCTTTGCTTCGCGGGACTTTCAAATTTCGGTTGGAGAGAGTGTGATCTTTGGATTGCAAGGTTAGCAATTGATCCGTACGCGCTGAGGGAAGATCGGTCATACCTTGGGCCTTTCGCTTTCGGACTCGTGTGGTTTGATCGGTGTTGATGTTTCGATTGAAGGTGCGAAGGCGACCTTCCGGTTGCCTCCAGGGCTGCGAAAAGGAACATCAATGAGTATTCCAATGTAAAATGTCCAAATATCAAAATATTGAGTGAGATCAGGATCCTCCAAATCCGCTCAGGTATCTCCCCGAGACTTCAATTCCTGATCCTGCAGCCCAGAGACTTCGGAATAGGTTGAGTACCTGGAGATATCTTAGGATCATAGCAAGATAAAGCATACTTACAAATTTGAGGCGTCGACGGCGCTGGATTTGCCAGATCATGGTGTTGTTGTGTGTACGTGACTAGGCATCTGGGTGTCTAGGTGATCTCACCTGGGCAGATTAGCGAGAGCTGTGATCTGGCGAAAGAGGAAGGAGCAATTCAGAGGAGCTCCCAGATCAGACAGTCCCAAATAGGAAGGCACGAAAGGTAGATAAGGAGGCCTTCTCCCCCAACTTCTTCTTCCCTCCTTCACATCTCTCTCTCTTCTCTTCTTTTCCTCCCCCATTTTCCCAGGTCATCGCCTGCGGTCACCTGTCACCCTTGACCCATTGGGGTTTGGTCTTTCCTTTTTTATTTCTTCCATCATGGGGACCTCATTACCTCTTGCCTTCTCATGGCATCATCAATACACATCAGGATGATGATCATCTTATGGCCTGTCTGTCATCTCATTCCACCTTGACCTTGCTGTCTTCTTGTTACCTCATGGTGAGTAACATCTATTCCTATCCCCTCTGGGGAATCCCGCTACACACACACTCCTCTACACACGACCCTCTCACCAGTCACATGGCTGACAGCAGATGCTTTTTTCTCGCTGTTCTTAAGGTCCCTACTCAACCTCACTGCCCTCGCGGTTCACTGCCTTCATGGCTCACTGCCCGACTGGGTCTATCCATCAGAAATTCCAAGTGAGTAACGTCTATTCTTATCTATGCCCCGTTTGGGGAAGTCCCTGCACCTCCGTGCACGGCACCCTCACCAGTCCCAAGGCTGACAGCAGATGCTTTTTTCTCGCTGTTCTTAAGGTCCCTACTCAATCTCGCTGCTCTCATGGCTCGCTGCCCTCATGGGCCTATCCACCAAACATTCCAAGTGAGTAACGTCTATTCTTATCTATGCCCCGTTTGGGGAAGTCCCTGCACCTCCGTGCACGGCACCCTCACCAGTCCCAAGGCTGACAGCAGATGCTTTTTTTCTTCTGTCTCTGAAGACAGCCCTCCGCTTTCGTCGTCTTCCATCGTCACTTTACATTGTCGCCTTCCATCGTCGTCTTCCATACTCCTTGATCGTTGTTCCATCACCCTTATTTGCAACGACCAAAGGAATGAGGGAAAAAACAAAATCGAAAAAACAAGAAAAAACCAACAAGAAAAAGAAAAAAAAAAGAAAAAAAAAACAGAAAAGACAAAAAAAAAAACAAAAACAAAAACAAAAAGGATGAATACTCTTATGCTTCATCCAAGCATTGCTTCTGTCATGAGTGTTGCATCTGTCACTGGCGTTGGACCTTTCTGCTGTTGTGTCTGTCTCTCGTGTCTGTCTGATGTTGTTACCCCTGTCGCTTCTGTCTGCTGTTGTGTGCGTCTGCTGTTCCTTCTGTTGCTTCTGTTCCTTCTGTTGCTTCTGTTGCTTCTGTTGCTTCTGTTGCTTCTGTTGCTTCTGTTGCTTCTGTTGCTTCTGTTGCTTCTGTTGCTTCTGTTCTGTTGCTTCTGTTGCTTCTGTTGCTTCTGTTGCTTCTGTTGCTTCTGTTGCTTCTGTTGCTTCTGTTGCTTCTGCCTGCTGACCTGCCTGTCATTTGTTCAATCATTTAGTTCAAAATCCACGCGAAAGGAAGCGGTCTCACAAAAAGGGTCTCCGCCGTGAGAACCTCTCGAGGGGGCTGCTCAAGGAAGAGGCGAATCGACATGGGCGCCCATTACTTAGGAGACTTGAGACCGTTTGCCTTTGTGGTTTCGACTTTCGACTTTCGACTTTCGACTCTTGATTCTTGGCTTTCCCGGATATCTACTGGTTCGACTTTGTGTTTCTTCTCAACAACCCACGCGAAAGGAAACGGTCTCGCAAAAAGGGTCTCCGCCGTGAGAGCCTCTCGAGGGGGCTGCTCAAGAAAGAGGCGAATCGACATGGGCGCCCATTACTTAGGAGACTTGAGACTGTTTGCCTTTGTGGTTCTCGACTATCGACCTTTGACCTTCGACTTTCGGTTTTCAACTTGGAACCATGCTGCATATCTGCACGCAGCTCCCACACTCAACTTCTCAACTCATCTGTCGACGCAAAACCTGTGAATGAACTATGCCGTGGCGGGCCTTTTGGCTTCAGGTCAATTGGCATAGTTCTATTCACTTGAAAATCGATCTCATTCCTTGTGTCAAATCCTTATGGGCTACTCAGTAGTCTCTCATAATTGTTCGTGATGAACATTGTTCTTCTTGTGTCAAAATCCGGCCTTTCAAGGTTGATACGTATTCTGTGATTGAAAATTCATTGACACTTCTTCTCTCACTCGTGCATTGTAAACTGCAAAACAATGGGAAATCTTTAACCTTGAATCAAGTAGATATGAAGAAGTAGGTGAGAAGTGGCAATGATCACCCTGGGGAGCAATCCACAGATGCCAGGTGTTTCAAGGCTGAGAATCCTCCAGAGTCGGTGCTCTTGACCTCGGGAGCATACGTATATAGCGGATGAAATATATATTGACAGGAAATTTTGAATCCGCGAGAGGTTCATAGATACCTAGTATGCATTCAACCTTAGTCGTCCCCAGTCCAGTTCCAGGGCTCCTTCGAGTTGACCCTGAGAAAATATATAATTGCATGTCAAACCAATTCCCGGGTTCCCCAGTCCTAATGTTTGAATGAATCTCTAAATCCACCTCGGCACAGTATTGGGCGTCATGGTGTCCCTGTTGACAAGATAAATACACAGTTACGCTCATTTGCCGTTGAAGAGTACCGGGTGGAGAAGTGAATATATGACGCACATGTTCGAGTCTGGGAACTTCCCTCCGTACTACACCATGAATCTGCCCAGCCGTCAAACAGCGACCTACTTCAAGCCCGACAACCATGAAGTCAAGCTAGACTACCATCTACCCGCCGCGACGGGATGCCTGCCAGCGATCGTCTATTACCATGGCGGGGGGATGACCGCGGGCTCACGGCGGACCGACCCCTACCCCACCTGGCTGCATGGTGAGCATTGAAAGGCCGCAGGCAAAGCAGTGCTGACCTTTCCCAGACCACTGCCAAGCAAGGGGCTACATCTTCATTTCTGCCGACTATCGTCTATGTCATCCGACTACCGCTCTGGATCAGATTGACGATGCCAAGGCGTTGTTCAAGTTCCTTGCCGGGGACTTCACCCGCCAGCTGCCCCAGTCCGTGACTCTGGACACTGCTTGCATTGCCGTCAGCGGTTTCTCGGCGGGCGCGTACTCGGCCCGAGCTGCGTGCGTGTACGCTGACCCCAAGCCGGCCGTACTCCTGTCCGTGTATGGTCTTGGCGGGGACTTGTTGCTGGATCACTGGACTGGCAGTCGACCACCAACATCCATTGCCAAATTTGCCAATCTGGACGAATATCCTCGCTTGATTGCCGATAGGAGTGTTATCAGTGATGATAATATCGGAGGCACGGGGGTTTCGAATCGCTTCGCGCTAACGGTACAGTGGGAGTTGCAAGGGAAGATGCTGGATGGGTGCTTTGGCGCGCCCGGTCTGGGAGCCAAGTTGAACGCTCTGGACTATTCGTCGCGAGAGGCGGCTGTTCCGGAGCACTTGAAGCCTGGGGTCTTGCAGTCTTTGGTCACTGAGAATTACCCTCCGTCTGTTTTTGTGCATGGCACAGCCGACGATGTTGTGCCGGATCAAGAGAGCATCCATCACCATGAGCAGCTTGTCCAGCTTGGTGTCAAGTCCAAGCTTTTGCTGGTGAAGGATGCGCCTCACGGGCTGGGAGACCTCGCTCCTGTTGACGCCGAGATGGCGACCAGGACGGCAGCGGCCTACAAAGATGCTCTTGAGTTTTTAGACAGCGTGTTTGCCGCAGTCTAGGTATTCTGACTAGACTCAAGATTTTTCTCTCTATTTAGTTCTTCTTTATTCTGAATGCACACTATTTACAAAGTCGAAAATGCCTGCGATGCTTAGAGCTTGGCCTTTCCGCTCTCGATCTCCGACCAACTTTGCTCCCCCAGCTTCACATATCTGGTGCCATCGAGCCAATACAAGATGTCACCAGCGCAATCCTTCCGAGGATCCCAACCCTTCTTCACCAGGTCTCCCTTAGCTTGCTTGAACGTGACACCCGTTGCGACCTTCTCAGTGAGACGGACAAGCCGAGGGAAGGCGTACGACGGCACACCCTTCTTCTTGAGCTCATCGTACAGGATAGACATCACCTCATTCTCGACCGCGGGCGACTCGAGTGTGATACCGGCAGCGCCAGCTTGGCCATCATAACTAAAATGGGTCAGCAAGGTGAGCTATAAGGGAATGCGAATTGACGTACCTGCTCAGTTTCACTCCATACACCACAGCGTCGTGCACACCTTCGATGCGACAGATATGATCCCGGATCTCACCGGCACTGACATTCTCTCCCTTCCAACGGAAGGTATCACCAACTCGATCTTGGAACCTCACCCAGCCAGATTGATCCTGCACAACCAGATCACCAGTCCTCTGGAACAAGTCTCCCTTCACAAACACGTCCCGAAGAAGCTTCGCCTCAGTCGCGCCTTCATTGCCCAGATACTCAATGAGCAGACCGCGATCACGCACTCGACCAATCGCCTCGCCCTCCTGTCCCAGACCAGACCGAACACAGAACCCAGTTACTGGATCCCGCCACGGCATCTCAGTATCAGTGTCATACTTCACGATGAAAGTATCATCCTCCATGAACCGCCGAATAGGTCCCGAGAATCCAACCTTTCCAGCACCAAACGCACCAACACCATGATTATCGAACTTGGCAACACCCTCAGTTGAGCGATAGAACTCACGGATCTCAGGCACATTGAAGCGCGAGCGGAACTTCTCCCAAATCTCACCACGCAACCCGTTCCCCGTCGCCACGATGCAGTTGTGATCCTGGTCATATGGAGATGCAGGGGTAGAGAGGAGATACCGACACAACTCGCCGATGTATAAGATGCGCGTGGCACCGGAGTCGTGTACATCTTTCCAGAATTGGGAGGCGGAGAACTTGCGACGGAGACAGAGTGTTCCTCTGTTACCGACTGCGCCGCAGAGGCCTGTGAAGAATGCCGTGCCGTGGAATAGAGGGAGTGAGGAGTATATGCGCATGGGGTAGTACTTTGAGGGATTGTTGGCGTCTGAGGAAAGGGGTGTTGAGGTGATCAGAGTGAGCATGTTGCGAATTGCGCATGCTTTGGGCTTTCCTGTTGTTCCTGATGTGTAGATCAGGACGGCTAGATCCTTTGGTGTACGTTTGGCTGCTGGTAGGCCTGAGGGAGAGAATTGCTGCAATGTCTCCAGAGTGAGGAGCTCTACTGGGCCGGTTTCGACACCTCCGAAGGATGAGATATTTAATGTGAGATGGGGTAGGTCCACGCAGACATTTTGGGCCAGATCGGCAGTGGAAATGATTGATTTGGAGCCTGATACGTTCAGGCAGTGGGTGAAGGTGTCGTCTAATGGCTGCGTCAACGATTGATCTCAATTAGAGATCTGGGGAGGACATACCTCGCAGATTGGTGTTGATCATAGCAGACACCGAACCCAGCTTTGAGAGAGCATATAGAATGACCACCATTTCTGGTGAGTTGGAGGCGAATACGCCCACTGTGTCGCCGGCATTGATATCACGGCCCTTCAAGAGGGCGGCCATTCTATCAACGACTGCAAGCGCGGTCAGCAATGCATAGCGCAAATCAGTTCCCGGGGGGAAGGCAACACGTACGGTCCTTGAGTTTACTATATGACCATGTGTTCTGCTCGAACCAGAGCGCATCTGTCGCGCCCAGGCCATCGACCTCCACGACTCGCTCGAGCATCTTATAGATCGTTGTTGAGCCATCAAGCTTAGCGATGCGCTCGCCTACTCGCTTGACGAACGCCTTGTCCTTGGAAATTGTTGCCAAATCCGTGGAAATCGCGAGCTTTGCATTCAGGTACGCCCCAGCGGCAACGGACAAAGCTGATGCCATGGCCAACGTGGGCGCACCGATTTCGGAGAGAACGTCCATTGCGATGAGTTGTCTCCGTTCCCAATCCAGGCTGACAGACTTCAATTGATATAACGTCCGGTGGCTGAACTCGAAATCAGTCAGACGGCAGATTTAAAGACGCCATAGACAATAAGTACGGAAGCTAAGCAGACTAGATCTGCCGTGGGCGAACGGAGCTAGTCCCTCGTCTTACACCAGGGATACCTGACGTACTCAACCCCCGACGCTGTCGTGGCAGTGGAGCTCTTCATTACGGAAACATCGTGTATTCGGCTTGTCCCCGCTGGGTGGGATCTTCCCCAGACTTTGCGGCTCGCATCTTTTCCGAGTTCTACCCCGTGTCTCACGGTTAAAGACGACCCTGAGGTTGTTATTATCGGTACTCGTGTGCCTGGGATCCCTGCAGGGTCGTGTTGTGTTGATCGCTGTTCTGTCTGTGGGTCACCGAAACACCTCCAATGCATGATTCTGACCAGTCACATCACTCAATTACGGCCGAGGAGTCCAGAATTACGGTATCATACCAGCCTGGGCTGCCGAAACACCGGCAGCTCCGTCGGGGGGAATCTGCGGTTTGCATCGTTTGCACTGAGCATTCGGCTCGGACTGAGAGACAAGCCGCGGTCCATCTGATCGACCCACAGCGCGACGATCGTCGGGAGAAATAAAACTGTGAGAGATCTTCCCTTTGCTCTCATCTGTATACTCATATTCATCATGTCGTCAGCACAGCAACGTTTGAACTCTGTCGCCAACCAGCTCGCGGCTCCTGGCTCGGCCCGCCAGAAGATCCTCGCTAAGAATGCCGACGACATTGTATGTCCCGATCCAATTGAGATCTGGCACTCCACTAACAACGCGACAGGTCATCACCTACCTCGCCCGCACACCCCTGACCAAGGCCCGCAAGGGTGGTCTGAAGGACACACCCGTGGATGAGCTTCTGGTCTCCCTTCTGACCGTAGGTATTCCACCGAGAACGACCCGGAGCTAGCTAACCCCAACCAGAGCGTGCGTGAGAACTCCAAGCTCGACCCCAGCCTCGTCGAGGATGTCTGCGTCGGCAACGTCCTCTGCCCCGGCAACGCCTACGTCGTCCGCTCCGCCGTGCTGGCCGCCGGATACCCCGTCACTGCTGCTGCTTCGGTTGCCAACCGCTTCTGCTCCTCCGGCCTCCTGGCCGTCCAGAACATCGCCAACCAGATCATTGCCGGATCGATTGATGTCGGTGTCGCCGTGGGCGCCGAGAGCATGAGCCAGAACGCCGACGGTGGTGCCCCCGAGATGTCCGAGTCCATCACCAAGCACCCCATCGCCTCCCAAAACTCCCAGCCCATGGGCCAGACCTCCGAGAACGTCGCCAACCAGTTCGGTATCACCCGCGAGCAGCACGACGCGTTCGCCGCCAAGAGCTTCCAGAAGGCCGAGCGTGCCCAGAAGGCTGGCTGGCTCAACGACGAGATTGTCCCCGTCAAGACTCAGATTAAGGACCCCAAGACCGGCGAGGTCAAGAGCGTCGTCGTCGACCGTGACGATGGTGTCCGTTACGGAACCACCCCTGAGTCTCTGGCTAAGGTCCGCGCTGCTTTCCCCCAGTGGGCCCCTAGTGCTACTACCGGCGGTAACGCCAGTCAGATCACCGATGGTGCTGCTGCGCTCGTTCTGATGAAGCGCTCCCGCGCCGAGGAGCTTGGTCAGCCCATCGTTGCTAAGTTCTGCGGTGCTACCGTTACTGGTCTCGAGCCTCGCATCATGGGTATTGGACCATCTCTGGCTATCCCTAAGATCCTTGGCAAGTTCAACTTGAGCAAGGATGACATTGATATTTTCGAGATTAACGAGGCCTTCTCCTCAATGGTAAGTTTGCCAGACTCGACTCTAGATGCCCGGATCTAACTGTGTCTACTATAGGGTGTCTACTGTGTCAACAAGCTTGCTCTGGATGAGTCCAAGGTCAACCCCCGTGGTGGTGCCATGTGAGTATACCCTGGAATTTGTCATCTTCATCTTATGCTAATATCTGATAGTGCCTTCGGTCACCCTCTGGGTGCCACCGGTGCGCGCCAGGTCGTCACTGCTCTCTCCGAGCTGCGCCGCCAAGACAAGCGGGTCGCCGTGACCTCTATGTGTGTTGGAACTGTAAGGATCCCCATGACTGTCATCTGAATTGCAGTATACTAATCATTTTCGACAGGGCATGGGCATGGCCGGTATCTTCGTTTCTGAGCACTAAATGCTCGCAATACCTATATTTTCAAGTGGAGGACTACGCTGAATATGTAATTATATGTCCTTTGCTACGCACTGAACACGACTGATAACGAGGATTGGACCTCGCTTGATATTTCGGTACTCAAATCTTCTTAATATACTCTATGCCTCTGGCCAACCAGCAGCCAATCGTGAGCCCATTCACAGCATTGTTCTCGTCTCTGTGGAAGTTCACAGTCCAGTCGCCTGGGGCTGGGGCATCCAGCCCACGCGGACATGTCAACACCCACACATCTCCCCCGAGGTATTTCATGGGCGTCGCATGCCCCTGGCCCAGATACCCGTCAAAGGCACCGTAGAAGGTTCCCGCCTCGCCGATACAATGGAAAGTAGACTCAATCTCGGCGCAATGGTAGACCCCCTGGAACGGAATCTTCTTCAGGATGGATTCATCAGGGACGATGCGGTGCGCGCGGAGTCTCCGATTGTCTTCCACGCGATGAATATCCAACGAGTCGCCATCAATTGTTGCAACCATGGCGTCGTTCTTCCCATGATTTGGCTCCGACAAGGTGATATTCTCAACTTCGCCAGCATAACTTATGGCAACCTCACCCTCGCGCGCACCCTTCGAGACAACAATCGCCAACTGTGTATCTTGATCCATGAAAGCACCAAACCAATCGTCAACAGGCTTGACAACACTCAGCGCCGGCTTGGGAATATCCAAAACCTCTCTGATGATCTCAGCACCGGGTTCTGAGGAATCGGCATCACTATTCAAAAGAACGACAACAGACAACCGTTCCGTCGGCACATGTCTCCTCTCCAACCGATACCCTCGCAAAGCACCACCATGCCCAACAGTCTTCACACCTCCAATATGCCCATGACTCAACCCAAACCTGTACGGCGCAGGCGTACCATCCCCAAACACCGGCCCCTCAATCGCCTCCCGGTACCAGCTCTCTGAATCCGCATAGCACCGATCCAAATACTTTTCGTACGCAATCATATCCGCCAACGAAGCCACCAACCCCGCATCACCAGCCCATTCCATCCGATTCACAGCCGGCATGAATCCACCCCTCTCATCCCCTTCATACCCCACACACGGCGCAGGATGTTCTGCCGTATTCGGACACAAGAACGCAGTCTCCATACCAGCCGGGCGGAGTATCCGCTCCTGCAACAACTCATCAAGCGACTTACCCGTAACACGCTCCAGTGCCCGGCCAAGAATATAAAAGTTCAAATTACAGTACGAGAACTCAGACCCAGGTTTGAAATGCACCGATTTCGCCCGTACAGTCATACCAGGACCATCCCGTTCAATCAGGAATTCGTCATCCGGCTTCGCGCCCAGTAGCGTAGTCATAGCCCAATAATCACGTAGACCGGATTGCATATGGCAGAGGTGGTCGATGGTTATTTCATCCGAGAGCTCGGGGAGTATCTCGGATAACTGGGCTGAGAGCTGAGAGCGGATGGAAGGTCCTGGTAGTGGGGTACGCTCTAGATCGAGGATCAGGGCGCAGATGAATTGCTTGGTTATGGAGCAGATGGGGAGTTGGGTTCGTGGGCTTAGTGGGATGCGTTGGGATAGGTCTGCGAAACCCCAGACGCGTTGGGCGAGGAGTTCGCCGTCTTTTAGGACGGCTATTGCGCCTCCTGGGCCTCTGTTGCGGCGGGCGATGGAGTCGAGGACTTCGTTGATGTGTTCTTTTGTGGCTGGCATGCTTGTGCTTGTTGTCTCCAACCTTGAAGTTGTTGTTTGGGGTGAGGTGAGCTTGGTGGTGAGGTTACCCCACTTTGACATTGGTTGGATCCTTGTTCATTATTGACTACCCCAGGTGCTTAATAGGATAGCGATTTTTGTTGAGCCGTGTATCTCATTGTGTCTGTATTTCGAGGTCATCTTCAAGGTTGCAGGTCACTGGGAAAATTGCAAGCACTGTCACGCGACAATATATACATGCAAAAAGTCAGGATCAATTGAGTTCCGTTGATGAAATAGAGACGGGCCATTTGCACTATTCTACCTAGGTAGACCACTTGGGGTGTACTCAGCGCTCTATTTTAATCTGACGCCGTGAAGCTCTCGGTCATAATATGTACCTAGTATGACTTTGGACCTCGGGATGCACCACATGGCGCGCCCCTCAGGAACGAAGTATGCAATTCAACCTGTCATCAACCGTGGGAAGGGCAAGCCACAGGGGCCACAAAGCTTGACACGAAGAACAAGAGCGGGTCCCTGACAAAGGGCATCAATGGCTTTCACGCCGGGGCCGGCGACCCATACGTTTTCGGTAGACACCCAACGCAACGTGGGGACCTCTACTGCTCCATACGTGTAAATGCACAGTAACTGCGACACTTCTACAAATGATGCGATCGAGAAAAATTCCCAAAAGAAATCATTTGAGCTCAGGAGTGTGCTCAGGTGCACGGGTAGAAATGTAGATGTGATGGGTGAATTGTCACTTCCGCTTTCGGAATGACGCCTCGGCCCAAATTCAACGAGCCACTTGGGCATTTTCCGATGATTGAAGGTATTTCAAAACAAAGTCCTAAACATTTGAATAGGATCTACAAAGAATAATACACACCATGATGTGCGGCCTGAAGACCTGGTCGGGCACCTGGGCACTTATGGTTCAGGCCGTGTCTTAAAGCCAAATTGAGTTGACACTGCAATTAGCGACGCACTACGGAGTCGACCCGCACCACAAACCCCATCTGTAAATGGCGACAGGTCATCACGGTGGATTATCTCTGTTGGCGTTCTGCCCCATTCATCGGGATGCAGAAGTTTCCGGGGACAATGTCGTATGTAGTACCACCAGGGCAGCGTACCTGCAGCATGTTGCTTGCTTTTGATTGGACATTTTCGAACAGTTCGGAGCCGGCCGTTGCATTCCAGGTTGTCAGCCGTATCTCCAATTCACGTGGCATTGGATAAACATTCCAGGCTGCCACACAATGACACGCCCTGATTGACAGAGTAACAGTCTACCGTATTGCATGCGGGTGTGTTGGAGGAATTATCTCAAAGTAACCACCTGAACTTCGATGTTCACTTCAAATGATGGCTCGAATTGATGGATCCAATGTACTCCGTAGGCTAAGCGAAAATAAGACTAATGCCGGGAACTCCGCCATCCGAAAACAGGGTTTGGGCTGGAGTTCCAAGTTTCCAGACTGACCAGATGCCAAGAATAACCGTTGATCATTCAATGTCAAGTCTATGGAATTATTTGGGTTAATGCTGCACCTTGAAAACTCTCAGCTCAAGGGGTAGACAGTAGGTTGAATACGACCGAAATTAAAAAGGATATGCTCCGAGACATGGCTACACGAAATTGAGTTGGAGGCAGGTCATCGAGCAGGAGTGCCGAATGCAATAGTTATACACAGTCAATGGGTCGAGAGGCGATTCGGCCCACTTCGGGACAAATAATTGGTGAGACCCCATCTCGAGGGCTTGGACTCCGTACCTTGCAGGAGACTAATGTCTGTCCCCCTTTCTGCCGATCCAGAGACACAATGCTTACGAGAAAGGGGGCTCTAAGAATAGACAGTAATATATGGGAAATTAGTAAACCCCTGATGCAGAGTGTGAGTCCACTCAGCCCTGAAGTCCCTGTCAGTGTGTGCACTAGTTGTTGCTCGATCACACTCCACCTCAGGGACTACTGGGGTAAGGATTGTCCCTCGCTGACGGAGAAAAAGAACAGAAGCGGATGGAAATATCCGGGGAGATCGAGCAAATCATCGCCGGCGACGTCGACCAGGATCCACCGCCTGCATATTTTTGGAATCAATCGATTGGTGGCTCCGCCAATCGGCTGCCGCCAAATTGAGTTAAAGTGGGCGGGCAAACGTGTCGTGACCCACGGGATCCGCCCGAGTGCACAGTGGCGGAATCTAGACCGATTTTTGGTGTCTGGAACACTTCAAAGGTGTGATTCTTCTCGCTTTCCGTTTGCATTTTCACTTTCACCTCTACCCATCTTCCTGGCTACGCTCTTTTATTCCAGGCTTTCCTTTTTTTTTCATTCAGCCAATTTCACTACTCACACTCGCTTTACATTCGCTTTCCATTCAAGATGCGTGCCACTCAGTTCCTCGCTCTGGCTATGGCCGTCGCCACCTCTGAGGCTGTCTCTCAGGGTTTCAACTACGGTGCCACCAAGGGTGACGGCAGCGTCAAGACCCAGGCCGACTTCGAGACCGAGTTCAGCACCGCCAAGAACCTCGTCGGCACCGAGCATGCCTTCACCAGTGCCCGTCTCTACACCATGATCCAGGGCGGCACCACCAACGGCCCCATCGAGGCCATCCCCGCCGCCATCAAGCAGAAGACCGAGCTTCTCCTCGGTCTCTGGGCCTCCGGTGGCACCATGGCCAACGAGATCGCCGCTCTCAAGACCGCCATCGACACCTACGGCGAGGAGTTCACCAAGCTCGTCGTCGGTATCTCCGTCGGTAGCGAAGATCTCTACCGCAACTCCGCCATTGGCTCCGGCTCCTCCGCCGGTCCCGGTCTCGAGGCCTCCGAGCTCGTCGACTACATCAACCAGGTCCGCTCCGCCATCTCCGGCACCACTCTGAGCGGCGCTTCCATCGGTCACGTCGACACCTGGAACGCCTGGACCAACGGCTCCAACGCCGCTGCCATCGAGGCTGTCGACTGGCTCGGTTTCGACGGTTACCCTTACTTCGAGAACACCAAGCCCAACTCCATCGATGATGCCGAGGGTCTCTTCCAGACTGGTGTCAACAACCTGAAGGCCGCTGCCGCTGGCAAGGAGGTCTGGATCACCGAGACCGGTTGGCCCGTTACCGGCGACAAGCAGGGTGAGGCTGTCGCCAGCGTTGAGAACGCTAAGCAGTACTGGGATGAGGTCGCTTGCCCTCTCTTCGGCAACACCAACACCTGGTGGTACATCCTCGCCGATGCTGGTGCTTCCCCCAGCTTCGGTATCTCCAGCTCTGAGTCTAACACTACCCCTCTGTTCGACCTGAGCTGCAAGAACGCCACCAGCTCTGCTGCTTTCGCTTCCGGTACCCCCACCGCCTCTGCCGGTGAGAAGTCTGGCGGCGCCGCCGCTACCGCTACCGGTACTTCCGGCTCTTCCTCTGGCTCTGGCTCTTCCGGCTCTGGCTCTGATGCCTCCGCCTCCGGCTCTGGTTCCAGCTCCGGCTCCGGATCTAGCTCTGGCTCTTCCACCGGCTCCTCTGGCTCCGGCTCCGGCGCCGGTGCCGCTGGCTCTTCCGCCGCCCACTCCTTCACCGCCGTGCCCAGCGGAACCCGCCCCTCCACCACCCCCAAGGCCAAGAGCTCCTCTGCCTCCGTCTCTGCCTCCGCCACCGGCTCCGCCTCCACTGGCTCCGGTTCTTCCGGCTCTGGCTCTGGCTCCGGCTCCAGCTCCTCCGGCTCTGGCAGCGGTGCTTCCGGCTCCGGCTCCGGCTCCGACTCCGGCTCTGGCACCTCTTCTTCCACCACTGCCTCCTCTACTCCTGAGTTCAACTCCGCTGGCCGTGTCACTGGCTCTGCCTTCGGTGCTCTGATTGGTGCCCTTGCTCTTGCTTTCACTTTCTAAGCAACATTCGTTTCGTTGGGCGATTAGGAGTGATTGGTTGGCTTCTGGCCTGTCGTTTTGATGGTGACCTTTTAGATTATGTATTATTTTCTTGATTTTCTTTACATATTCCTTACAAAATGGATTTATTCACTTCGATGAACGGGCTCGACCCAGCCAACTATAATGTTTTGTGCATCAATGTACTGGATTCTTAATTTCTACAACCAAATTTGCTTTCAGAGTCTCCAAGTCTACACTGCAAAAACCAATCTGCATGTCATTGTGTCATAGACCGTAGATCCACATGCAGGTACCCTTCATCCGACATCGATTTCCAACGCAGATTGACATACAATCTGACCAATGAACAAGCTTTCACAAGTGGTTGACCCGAAGCCTTAGCAGATTCTCAACCTGAGCATTCGCCCGTTCCCAATTCTCATTGAACTCCATGGCTTGATCCCACGTTCAAAATTTCTGATGGCATGCTCCTACCACCCCATCTACTTGTTCTCGTGCACCGCCTTCAAACGGTTCCGAACTAAGCCTTGTCAGCCCGTTTCTTTCGGTAGGACATACTCCTGGAAATCATACTACCAGTGAGTATATACACCGGGCACTCGGCCATTTACCACAGCATAGAACCAAGGCCCTCTTTTCGAAGCTGGATATCCCTCTCCTGTGCGGTCTTCTCTGGGGTTTTCTACCCCGTTTGTCTTCATATACGAGCGTGCTTCCTCGAGTGTATCGAAGGCTTCCCAGTTTGGGTTAGAATCGTGAGTCACGCGAGGGTGTGCGACGGCCCTAGAAGTGTTAGCGTAGCCTGTTGGGGTTGTTTTTGGAATATAGAGAACGTTGCCCACCATGACCAGTAGATCGTGGGCTCTTTGTTACCCCGTCCTTTAATGACTGCATAGTACTTCATTCTCGGAATGCTTTGAACTTGTATAGAAGAAGATCGCACGTCTGAATCAGAAGTAAGTATGTGGACTCAAGAGGCGAGGAAGCTTCTGAGGGAAAAGAGGATTCGGGCACAGGAGGCAATTTATCACCCAGCGTAGTCGCCCAGCGCGTGTCAGACGCAAAGGAACCTTGTCATATTGTTGGTCGCGGAAAACTGATTATTGGTGCCCGTATTCCCTGTTGGTGGTTATGCGAAGCGTCGCAGGAGATTTCACTAGGCACCACTGGGGCTGAGCGCGTAGCAACCAGAGCACGCGTCGCGATTCATGTCCAAGGAACTCAGCCCAAGGCTGACGTGACAAGAGACTTGTCCAGGATGGCCAAGTCACTGGTCGAGTGCTGTTTGCCTCGCCTTGGAACCTTGCAAGGTACTTATAGAACAGCGTGATATAGGGTGTCTGTTATATAGTCGAGGGGTCCGAGGTCACACCAGACCTGGGGGTACTTTCTAGGGTTTTCTTGTATCACACCGGTCGGCTCAAAAGTAAGCCCATGTATGTTGGAGAATAGACAGAAATACCATAGATTAGGGCTGTGTCCAACCCTGAAGACTTTAAGTTCATAGTTCAGGGCCGGTAGAATACATTGCCTTTTTTCAATGCTCCTCGGCCTCATGCTCGAAGTGAAAATAGTGCCTTTGCGAAGTCTGACCCTTTGTGCTCCTAGACAAACGAGCGACGTTTGGGTCATTGAGTCACCATGCAAACGGGCACCCCAAAGGCGTAGGATAAAATAGCTCTCTTTCCCCTTACTTATTTGAACACGCTCTTCAATAATTATCTATCGGATAGCCTATCCAACAGGCTATGAGATCCCTCTTTTGCTTCGTGACACAATATCACTGAAAAGAAGCTGCTTCCTCCGCCCCGGCTTGCTGGAAAGATGGCCGACCCGGACGTCCCCACCAACTGGTCAGACGCCCTTCGTATCAGATACAGAACGACGGCGACCACTGCCCAAGACGTGGGCCTTCCTGCGCTGGATTCTATACGGTTATATCCTATCAAACAACTTCAGAAGGAAGATAAAAACTTCGAAGGGTGGCATTGTGCGGTCATAAAAGCTCTTCAGGCCAACAAGCTCCACAGACTCGTCGAAATTCAGTGCCCGCGACCGGCAATTGACGAAAACTGGGAAACCAGCGCCTGGTTGCAACTGTCGCTATTGGTCAAAACATGGATAGGCCAATGCATGGAACAGGATCTGCTGAATACAATCAACCATCATTCTGAGGAGTCGGACTTCGCTGACATCTTCATGGATGATCTCCGCAAGGAATTTCGTGGTGAGGGTATTGTCGCCCAGCTGGCGGCACATAATGCTCTCTTGGATATACGACGGGTTGACTATAGTTCAACCGAGGAATACCTCCACCGTGTTCATGAATGCTACACACAAGCAGAGATTCATGGTTGGAAGGTAGATGCTTGTGCAATTCTGGGCAGAGTCGTTGTTCAACTTGGCTCTATGCCGCATCTCAACAATATCATGCAAGTGCTGATAATGCGGATTCCTAACGACGTGAGATCTGACATCGTCGGTTCGTTGACCAAATGGGAATTTCACAAATTGATGGACAAATGGAAGAATGTCATCAAACCCTTGGAGCACAAGCAGACTTCACAAAGTGAAACCGTAGCTTACATGCAGTTGTCAAAATGAGAATAGCCATCGCGGTGTATCAGCGATATTGAAATTTCTTCCGATGTCGAAAGTACATGAAAAACCGGCAGTTGAAGGCAAATCACGAAGGATAAAAGTGAAAAGCGACACTCCTATAGGAAGATAAGCCCAGGGAACTAGGCCCAAGAGGAAATAGTGTGGGTCGAATGCAGGTTTACGGCGACGATCGAAAGTAACGCGATGGGGGACGTTTTTGGCAGGCTAAGCGGGCTAAGCGGGGTGTGCCCTTATTTCCCTTTTTTTCTCTTCTTCCTTTCCTCTTTTCGTTTTCTCTTTGGTTCATTCTGATGAATTGAAGAAATCAGTCATGTCAATGCAGGATCAGCACAAAGACCCAGCCAACTCCACTGTGGAGGTGGACCAAGTCAAGTCCGAGCCCACGGCCCCCGATCAATTCGACGAGCGATACCGCACGACCCGGAAGGAGATCTGGGCATACTATGCGTGCGTGAATTGCTGATTGACCCCGGTGTCGAAACTAAACCCCTGTAGCTATTATATCGGGAATAACGGGCTATCGCTGTTCAGTGGGTATCTGCAAATTCCATTTCGTCACCATTCCTGACTTTTTTCAGATTTTGCGCCAACGGCTTTTCAGAACCTGCTGTACCAAGCCGCGCCTGAAAGTGGACTGCTAGACTTCATAGGTCATCCAAGAACTGTGAATAGCATCGTGCTCCTCTCAAATGGAATTTCCTTCGCGATCCAGGTCGTGGTATTCCTGGTTATTGGCAGTTTTGCCGATTTCGGCTACTGGCGGCCTAATATCTTGATCGCGCTTTCAATCATCGCTTATGCCATCGGCTTTGGCTGGTTGGGTGTACACACTTCGGAAAAATGGCACATCGGTGTAGGCTTGTACATGGTCGGTCTGATTGCCTACCAGACCACACTGACTTTCTGGACGGCTGCATTCCCCGGATTGGCGCGCAATACCGCCGAGTTGAAAGATAAGGCCGATGCATATGTTGCTGGGACAATTACACGAGAAGAATATGACTACGCGGATACGATGATGCGGAGTAAATTGGCCAATGTCGCTTTTTACGTCCAGTCCGTGGCGGAGATTTTCATCCTCGCTATCATTGTTGGAATCATGTTCGGACTGAAGGTCAATGAAAGCGAGAGCAACAACAATTGGGGATTGAGTGTGTTGATCGCATTCGTTTCTGGGGTATGGTTACTCGTCTCGATTCCGTGGTTTGTTCTTGAGAAGAGGCGTCCTGGTCAGGATCCTGGGAGACGATCCATTCTGCTGGCGGGTATTTGGCAACTATGGTATGCCGTGAAGCAGATCTGGCATTTGAAGCAGAGTCTCATTTATCTCATCGGTGAGTTTGGGCCAAGATTGCTGCGTTCATCGGGGGTTGTTGCTAACCATCAATGTTACAACAGGCTATTTCCTTTTGGGAGACTCTCTCAATACGACCGTCACTGTCATTGCAACGCTGCAAAATAGTATTGTTGCTTACAACACGCTGGAATTAACATACCTTCTTATTGTTGGAATCGCCGCGCAGGTAAGTTGGGCATACTCATCAGCCACCTCCCATGCTAATGAAGCCTGTTTAGGCGGTTGGCATATATACATTTTGGCAAGTACAGCAAAGATTCCGACTAGGAACCAAGACTATGTTCAATACAATTGCCGTGGGCATCATTCTCTTGGACGGTTGGGGCATGATTGGCATTTGGACAGACAAATTCGGCTTCCACAATGCATGGGAAGTCTGGGTATGTTTAACACGGAAGATGCATAAAAGCGCGACGCTCATCTAACTCTGATACAGGTATACCAAGCCTTCTACGGTCTTTTCATCTGTCCTTGGTACAGTTACTCCCAAATCATGATCTCGGAGGTAACCCCTCGCGGCCACGAGTTCCTGTTTTTCAGTTTGTTCAGCATCATCGGAAAAACATCATCCTTCATCGGACCCATTGTCTCAAGCGCCATCATCGATGCAAGCCCGACTGGAAACGTCTCAACGCCATTCTACTTTTTGTTTGCGCTGAGTCTCGTGAGCTTTTTGATTCTCTTCCTGGGTGTGGATTTGAAGAAGAGCCAGGAGGAGCAGGAGAAGTTCTTGTTGGATAAGTTGCGGAAGTTGAACGCGAGTGATTCTTCGTCGGATGAACGAATCTCGACGCCGGTCTGAACTACTTTCTTCGGACTTGAGACTTCATATGAGCAACTTGAACGTCTCAACTTTCTACTTCTTATGGCTCTTAGTTTGATGAATATTGCATGACTACCATTTCCCAGAGAAACGCCCAGGGTTGTCATTCCGGAGTCTTCCACATGATCCTTTCTCTGAAGTACACTAGGCTAATAAAGCGAGCTCATTTTCACTTGAACATGCTCAGAATGATGCGCGGCTCGTGTAGTGCACTTAGCACTGCTTGTGGCATTCGGGGATCGACTGTCCTCTTCCAAGGCTCTACAAGAACCTAGCCAGCATTGATAATGAAAGTCCCTAAACATTCGACCTCGAGATGAGCTTGATCAACTTCAAGGTTGGAATTTTGGAATAAATCTATGTCTCCACCAAATCCCAATTTCCTAGGTATTGATCGATTCATGAAGATCCTGAAGCCTTCGATGGCGTCTTTTGTACTCTGCATTTTCCGAATAATAATCAGGCACTAGCTGGATGGCTTTTTCAATAGCCTCAATCGACTGACTCAGGTATTCTTTGACGTGTGTCTCTTCGTAAAGGGATTCCAATACCAGAGACAGATTTCTGTACACTGTAGACGCATGAGGGTTGCCAGATGTAAGCATATCAGTCGCAGTGTTGTATGCTGCTTTCGAAGCTTCGAGATCTTCCAAATTATGACACAATTCCCACCGATATTCGAAAGAAGATCCAAGAAGATTATGACCCGCTGCTTGGTAGCCCCTGTAGCCATCCAACATCTCTATCGCAGATTCCGCGAGCTCAATCGATTTTTCCAAGCCGCTGATTCGGCGCAATCTTTCGGCTTGCAGCTGCAGAGCCTCCGAGCGGTTCAGAACATAGAACCCGAGGTCTGGAAGAGCGATTCCGGTCACCGATGTGGTGACCTTTTGGCCAATTAGAATCGCCCTGTCGAGGTCACTTATCTCCAACGTCCCTTTGTATCGTTCTAGTAAGGCTTGTACATAGTGGTCCAAAACAAAGAAATGATCAGGGTGGCCGTCCGGGGCTTGCTCGAACGCAGCCCTTGCCAGTTGCATGCCTTGTGTTTCAACTTCGAGGTTTCCTCGTGCCTCAACTCTCTGTGCGTGCCCTTCAGCGAGAACTGCAATTATTCGGGGTTTCTTCGAGTAGTGTTCCGCGGTCGTCTCCACTATCTCCTCGGCAAGCTCTATGGCAAATAGCAGATTGGGGAAGCCCCCTGTGTGTCAATAACTCTCAATCAAGCTGCTGCATAGCGCCACCTTGATATCATCGCGCCCAGGATATACCGTCGGTAAGAGCTGGAGAAAAGATTCCATTTCAGTATCATCGGGCAATCCGGAGCAGCAGAAAAGAGCAATGGCGAAATCGAGTGACCATCCCGGCTGGTTGGGCTTGATCAATTCTTGCATCTCGATTAGACTTTGTGCGTTCTCGAAAGCCCCCTGGAAATGGTACACCCAGTAGCGCATCCCGTAATCCCCAAATAGATAATCTCGACACAGTTGGTGGTGGCCACTCTGAGAAACGGCTCCAACGCTCAAGTATTGATCGACAGTCATGAAGCGAGAGTCGTTTTGAACAACACCCCAAGACAAGTAGTTCATACAAATCTTGCCCATTTCTCGATGACAGGATTCCAAGTCGATGCGATCTAGCCAAGTGTGCTGCTCTGCGGAGGAGAGAAGATAGTCCTTGACGGTTTGGTGAACGAAGTAAACGTAGTTCCCGATAGGCTGAAAGAGGAAGTTACAAGAAGTCCGAAGAAGATTACCAAAGGTTTCCGAATCCCTGAGCCGGGCTTGTTGGAGACGGGTGCATTTCTCCAGAGACTTGGTACGCAGCCCAACCGCGATGTTGATCTCATCCACAGTCAAAGGACGAGCTGCTGCGAGCATAATCTGAATGATAAGTTGAATCATTTTGTGATCGTGCGGGTCGACAGTCTCCAGCAGTTTGGTATAACTCCCTTCCACATTTTCCGGCATCGAGGCGAAGATTTCCTCCCAGTCTACCTCGAAACTTTTCCGTAGTTTTGGTTCCAGGTATTTCAAGCACAGCTGGGCGAAGATGTAATTCTGTTGGTTGTATTTCTTCAGTCTGCTTGAAAGGGTGGCATTTTGCTCTTCGCTCATGAACTCGAAGTCTCTTTGGAAATCCTCGAGCTTTTGCTGGGTCACCTTGCCTATGTCCTCTTCTAGGTTTCGAAGACATGCTTCGTCCTTTTCGACTTCCAGAATGAAATGCTTCGAGGAATCTTTCCAGATGTTAGAAGAAGGTCGTGTGGTACACATGATCCTCAGTCTCGCTGATAGAAACTTTGCACCGAATTCGCTCAGATGCCGAGAAAGATTGTCTCTTGTCTCTGGGTCCGCTTCGTCAAGTGCATCAAAGATGAAAGTCACACTCGGAACACCTGGAAGACTGCTGGCCAAGCCAAGCACTTTCCAAAACTCATCCGAGTTCAATTGAATCTTTTCTTTGCTAAGGAATTTGAGATCCGATGATGCCATCTTGATTAGATTTGGATTTGAACGCTGCAGCTGTTGCAAAAGATCGTACATCATCTTGCACAAGGCGATCCTCGGAGACGTCTGATTCTTGGTCTGATCCTTGAAGAAGAAGGAGCAGACGATCTGCTTTTCCTCAAGGAGAGTATCTTGGACGTGTTTTGCCAGGACAGATTTGCCTGTTCCCGGCCCTGCAGCTAGAACCAAAAGCCCGTTCTGACTTTCCATCCAATTGGTGAAGATTGCGTGGTCCAAAACACCGCGGCCAGTTTCAGACTCTAGTTTGGCAATGTTATTGGCGTACCGGTAGTAGATGGTCCCGTCCAGTTCCTCTGGGTTGAGCCTGTACTCATTGATCATTCTTTGTATCTCCGCATCGTCTGTTGCATCGGCGATGCGTTCCAATACAACCAGTTGTCTTTCCAAGGATTCGGAAAGAATGATATTCGTTTGCTGGCTGTGGACTAGCAGATTTTTGAATTTATTCTGCAATTCCGCTATGTTGCAAGTCTCTGTGTCGCGCCTCAGTTGCTTCTCGAGTTCTTTGATGGTTTCCATTCTGCCCTTCCAGTCATTCCAGTTGATTGACTGCTTGACCACGTGTGCGATGGCGTATGTTCCAATGCCAAAGCTTCTCAGTTGGTATTCAACCAAAAGCTTGTAGAGCTTCTGGATCTGCTGGCGTATGTACTCTCTCATTTTTCCGAATTTGTTTGCATCGGTCCAGTTGTCAGATTTGAGGAGCTCGATCTGCTCATTATACCACGGTAGGCGGGATACAACGTACACGAGACCGCTTTGATTCTCCTGGCTCTCGCTGTTGTATTGAGTGACCTTGCAACGTTAATCAACTTTCTCGTGGTATAAGCTGGCATAGAGCATTGGGAACTCACAGGCACAATCAGTAAACAGGTTACTGTCCAGGCAATTGACGCCGCGAGGCAAGAAGATAGTGCCTGTCCCACAGTCGCTTTGATCTTGTCGACGAATTCCAACACCTTTGGAATGCATGTCTTCCCAACTGACGCCTCAAGCTTTTCAATGTGCTGGTTGGCTAGTTTGTCCATGAAATCACCCAGAAGCGTTGAATCAAAGCCTGCAAATTTTGAAATAAGGTCGCTTGAGTCAAGAGTATCTTCCGGTGGAAACATTTGGGAGAGTTTGGATCGAAGAAGATCTTCGTATGCGATGACCAGGGCGTGCGTAGAATCATCTCCTCGAAGTTCCTCGTAGGCTGATCGCCAAACACCCTGTGCTGTGAATGAATACCCATCACTCGGATTTGCAGTCGGCTGGGCTTCATTCTCTATTCTTGAGGGTGGCGGCGAAGCTGTCGGCTTCACCGGTGCAGTAGTCGGGCGGTTGGGGGTTTGAGCTTCTTCTGAAGCGCCCGCTGCCGTGTCCCCTTCTTTCGCTCCCCCAAAGCATGGGAGGCAGTCTCGTAATCCCATTGACTGCGAGTTGGGGTTGACCTGCCAGACGGGCGAACACGATACTCTCAAAGGGGCAAAAGAGGAAATCACGACGTGACCCTACCACGGCCTCATGTTTGCTTTTTCTTCTCCGCTGACCCCAATGGATGGCTTGGCCAGGTGTCTGGCTATTTCTCGCTCAGCCCCCACCTGCCTGCATTAGGGCGAATCTGCAGCGCCACGTCCGCCTATCACATACTCCGTAGTCAATACTCGAATGCGAGCCAAGACGATGAGGACTCGCAGACAACGATACGAAGATCAGCGTGGCATCGACAAACTGCGAATGAAGAAATACAGATCTGTTGCTCCAGAAATGTTCGTATGGAGTGTCCAGGGATTGTGCTGTTTACCGATGTCGCTTCGCCCTCCATGGCTGGTCGCGCGGGACAAAAGTACGGTATGGAGTGCTAGTACATGTCGCGCTGTATCTGATCGATCGGCAGTGTGACGGAAGAGTTTGCATCTCACATAGAGGCTCAACCATGTGGCGAATACTAGTAGAAAAGGAGTACGAAGTACGGAGTAGATGTGGAGAATCCCAATGGGAAAACATCAGTTGAGCCCTGGGGAGTCACGTCGCGGGATTCACGTGACTTGCAGCATTCTCCATCATTGCCTTTCGACTGGTATAGGGTATCTACCGAGTAGAATTCGAGGATTAGCCCTTTACCACACGCCATGAGACCGGCAGCCGGAAGAAGGGATCAGCGCACTGGGGAAAGGTCAGGCCACGGAGGCTGAGAGCCATCCGAGCCCCACCAAACAGGATAATACACATTTGCCTGTCTGTGATTGGCGGGGATGTATACATATGGTACGTTCAATCTAGAACATTAGGGTTGAACAGGAACATGCGTACGGTATAGAGACTACATGGTATATAATCCTCTCTCCTTTCTTTTTGCCCTTGATGAGATACTCTTCTTCTCTCAGCCTTTGCTTCTCTCTTCTTCCACATCAGGACGTGGAACCACAATGTCTGTATCTCCTTTTTGTTGCAACCCTGATGGTTGAATGACACTCCTTGGTGCAATTTGTTGCATACTGACCCTTTCTTAGGAATTCGACCGTGCTACCCCCCAGCACCTATTGGGGCCAATATCAGGATACCACGAAATTCAACCCCCAGCTGAGCGTGGCGGAGAGATTGTGGGTTGCGTGGTATGCGTGGATGCAGAATGATGTCCTGGCCACCGGTATCATGTCCTTTGTTATCCACGAGGTCTTCTACTTTGGCCGATCTCTTCCCTGGATCTTTATCGATAGTCTGGGTCTCTTCAAGAGATACAAGATTCAAAGTGTAAGTGGCAACCCTAACTTTGAAATCCTGGCAGTAGCCTGAATCAACCCAATTCCGGCCGCCATCGAAACTAACAGTCTGCTTCAGGGCAAAGTACCTTCATTACGCGAGCAGTGGGATTGCGCCAAGTTTGTGCTCCTGAGTCACTTCACCGTCGAACTTCCTCAAATCTGGTATGTTCCTGCCCTCGGCGGAGTAGGATTCTCTCCGACTTTGCCTCTTTTACCTCTCGATCTCGAAGGAGTCCAGAATACTAACAACTTCTTTAGGCTCTTCCACCCAATGGCACAGTACTTCGGTCTATCAACATCGATCCCCTTCCCGTCTCCCTGGACCATGGCATATCAGATTGCACTATTCTTCGTGATGGAAGACACTTGGCATTACTTCTGTCACCGAGCCATGCACTGGGGTCCGCTCTACAAGTCCATTCACAAAATCCACCATCAGTATTCCGCCCCATTCGGCTTGGCCGCCGAATACGCTTCTCCGATTGAAGTAATGATCCTCGGCTTCGGGACCGTCAGCTCCCCAATCCTCTGGTGTGCTCTCACCGGTAACCTGCATATTCTCACCATGTATATCTGGATTGTGTTGCGGTTGTTCCAGGCTATCGATGCCCACAGCGGCTACGAGTTCCCCTACAGTCTTCACCATTTCTTGCCTTTCTGGGCTGGTGCTGATCATCATGACCTACACCATGAGAAGTTCATTGGGAACTACGCAAGCAGCTTCCGCTGGTGGGATTACCTCCTCGACACTGAGTACACCCCGGATGCCCTGAAGCGCCGAAGAGAGAGAAAGGTTACGGCAAAGACACAATAATTTGGACATCTGCAGTGAAGCGCTGCCTATTTTTTCTCCGATTCGGGTATTGGCTCACTGTGGAGCTATTTACTCGATGGAAGATCGCCCCCAAGACTCTCTTTCGGTACTACAATGACTAGACCTAGCTATCATTGAAACTAATTCATCTTCATATATCGCTTAACTCATAGCGTAGCGGAGAAATTCATCTCAAAAGATGAAGCGTGCTGTCTCGATTAATATAACATTCGTAGCTCCGTGATGAGAACCCTGGAACTCTTCGAACAATTTGAGGAGACCATTTATGCCGCGTTCATGGGTGATAGAATATGATTGGTCTTCAGCCACTCCTTGCTCTTTGGAGAAGCATAAACTCCTATAGTAGGATTGCAGCACATATATGCCAGCTCAACACAATTTTGAATATAAATCAATGGCGCACTTCGTTTATCGATTTCGTTACCTTCAACATTCGGCTTTAGGTCAATGGACATCAAGAAGGATGTCAGCAACTTCGTCAAATTAGACTCGTTCAACCGCTCCCGCTGCCGTTCCCGCACCACGCAAATATAGAAACCTTGGAACACAAATGACAACTGTGACCTCTTGTTATCACAAACAAAACCTCAGAATTTCAGCATTTTGCTTCCGCCTTCACTCAAAGATAACATATCCGTGCACGGAGTAGCATATTCACGCTGCCGGCCAAGGCAATGTGGCAGTGACCACCTGGGCAGGGAAGGTGCTCCCATGTATCTCAACCATGGATCGTGTGTCTCATTGGGATGGTATGATCTGTATTCTATTTGCAACGAGTCCTTGATCTTGCAATTAGTCTAGAGCTGATAATTCTGAATTTGACAAATTGAGGTATCGAGTAGGTTACTACTCATTAACCCACTTCAGGAATGCACGTTTATCACTGGCGCGCGCAAGATCAATTGCTTTGAGTCGGTATGGATCATACTCTATACCAAGCACGTATTGGATCACCAACTCAAAATGCCGTGCAAGACATAGCTTCCCTCGAAGTATAAAAGCATGAGGGATCTCACTGATTGTAAGAAATCCAACTATTCTCTTTTTTCTTTCTACCATGGCTGCATTACCAGGTAGAACTTGCACAACTTTTGTCTCTGTCATCTCCTCCTCCGCTGTCTCCGGAGGCGGAGGAGACAGTACCGTAACCACCACCACCACGACATGCACGGGACTGGACGACAAAGTCGTCCTTGTGATCATAATTGCCGTGGTCCTGATCGTGGTGGCAGTGATGATTGTTGGCCTTGTCGTCTGGTATAGAAGGCACAAGGCGTAAGTCATTCTACCATTCTCACACTCTCGCTCCTGATTGAATGACCATCCTTTAGGAAACGGACCTCCGATGAGGTTTTAATGCGGGTCGTGACATCCCTCCCTCCCTTCGAGTCGACCTTCGGTTCCCCTCGCAACGGCCATCGAGTGGTGGATAACATCCCACTGCAGATTTTGGTCGAAAGCCCGAGCGGAAGAGTCGTTTGGAGACCGAGTGAGGATGTACGGGTGTCGCCTTCCAGCGTCCGAACTCCTTCCCCGGTCTATACCAACTCGCCTCCACCGGCCTATGCCAACTATACCTCCATGTGAGGTGTCCAAGTCAGCTGGAACCGAACGGGCCCGCATCAGGGTGGACTCACCTATCGAATCCTCTCTCAATGAAAATTGACCGATTCGCAGCATCGCCTATGGGATGCTCCTCATCTATAGATGAATCAACAGCGACGAGCTTGGGTCTCTTTTCTGCACTCATTGCCATGCAAATGGCCATTTTGTTGAACATTGCTGGCATATGCGCAACCAAGTCGCTTTGTTCCGGTTTCTGTGTGCTCATCCTTCCACCTGCGGTAAGATTGATACCTCTCTTTTTAATGAGAAACATTGGATTGATCTAACATGTTGTCACAGCACAAGATCCATCGGAGTGAGTCGAAGAAGTGAGATTCTAATCGAGGAAGCTCTCTGCTGATTGTTTGCAAATTTTCTGTACGTTCTGTCATGGCCACGGACATACTGTGGAAAATTGCTGGACAATCCGGCACCAGGCGGCTCTTGTCCGCCAGCTCACCCTCCCGCCTCCCCTCCCCCATCCCCAGGTAAGATTTATCCCTCTCCTTTCCATGAGAAATATCGGATTGGCCTAACATATTGTCCCAGCGGAAGATCACCCGCCGTGGGACTAAGGGTCGAGGTATGTTACGCTACGACCGGAATCACAGCACGGACAGATGGCTAACGTATTCACAGCGAGGCGCCTAACCAAGGGTGTGTATATCAATGCACATAACAAATCTCTGGGATAATCAGATCAAATACTAACTTGAATCAGCGCAACGCCTGGCCCTTGGCCCCGGTAGGGTTTCTTCCTCGTCGCTCCCCCTCCGCCTTTGCGACGTCCCTCAGGCCACCTGGGATGGAAAAGCTCTTACTCTGGCGGGTAGGTCTAGTACTCAGCGCTATATTATATAATATATACTAACAAGAATCCAGTTAACTGCCCAAATGTGGTTCCAGGGCATTGCGTCCCGCCACCTCTCCTGTCACCTGGGCACTCTCTTTGTCAAATGTAAGCCTCTATTACCCTTGTCTGAACCATAATAGCTGTCAGTGGAGCGCAATACGGGGCATTGTGATTAACTTCTCACCAGGGAGCGAGGCGAAGGCCGCGAAGGGGAACGGGGAGGATCAGTAGTAGCCTTGGTTGTGCCCAGGTGTTGCGCTCCTGTTTGTAATTCTTCTTAAAGAAACAGCGCACCCCCAGCCCCACACACAAAAAAAAAAAAAACATAGTCGAGTGGGCTTCGGCCCCGTTCTTCAATTAATTGTGCACTCCACCTGGGTAGCTCTAGGGCTTAACATAATTCTTAAATTCCTGGCTGCTTCGTCGACTGTACGTGCTGACTATCGGCATCGAATTTGGAGCTTGAGATATCTTTTCAATGGCCTCATTTGTCTGGCGAGCTTCACCTACAACATACTCTACCTAGTTAATGTGTGCTCGGGTGTCAAAAGCTTCCGAGGTGGGAAAGAGTACCTGGTACAGTGGGGAAACAGCGCCAATAATACATATCCTGAGGCATCAGCCTAGGTCGTAGGCATACATCAGATCTCAGATCTACGGTCGGAGGCAGCTAAGCAATTTAGACACTCTTTCATGAATCAGCTCCTCTTTCCAAATATGGCACTGTAGGTCATAGACGTCGACCGCCACTACCCTAGGGGTCATGCTCATACCATCGTCCTGTCTGCGGCCTAAAACCGCCATTGCGCTGTTTCTGTTTCGCTAAGTGGATAGCTCATGATTGAACCTCGGAAATGTGATTTGTCAAGGTGCTACTTACCTGGCAGGTATGAGCTAGTCAGCGATTGTTCACCTGGGTACATTTTCATGATCAGTCGCTCTTTTTTGACTCCTGCCTAGGTGGGTATGGTTTATTTTGAACCTAAGTTCCAAGTTGGAAGCCTACCTACCTATGTACCTTTCATTGTTTTATAGTTTATAATGTACGACTCGGGAGGGAGAGAATAACTGTCAATGAGTTTTCAATCACAGAATACATATCAACCTTGAAAGGCCGGATTTCAACACAACAAGAACAAAGTTAATCGCAAACAATCATGAGAGACTGCTGAGTAGCCCAGGAAGAACTCGACACAATAAGTTCGCACACAAGGAATGAGAACGATTTTTAAGTGAATAGAACCATGCCGATTGACCTGAAGTCAAAAGGCCCGGCACGGCATGGTTCATTCACAGTTGTTGCATAGAGAAATTGGTTGAGGAGTTGGGTGTGGGAGCTGCGTGCAGAGACCTAATTACCTAGGTATGCAGCATGGTGGAAGGTGGAGGTAATCAACTCTGCCAGAGAGATCCAGGGAAGGATGGTGAATAGTCGAAAAGCACCAAGCGAAACGGTCTCAAGGTTCTTCAACAATGGGCGCCCATATCGATTCGCCATCTTCCTTGAGCAGCCCCCTCGAAAGGCTCTTCTAACTCGCAGCGATAGATCTTACGCTATGCCAATATGCTAGGTCAATCCAATGTTTCAACCTGAAAATAGAGATATCAATCTTACCTCGGGTGAGGATAGGCTAATAGACCCTGGATGAAAGTGGCTTGGTTCTGTATATGCAAGCATGTGTCGACAGTGTGGCCACTTCCGTGGCAAAAGGTGCAGAACAGCTACAAATAATCAGCATGGTGCTCCGACAGTATGGGCACAGAATATGGATCTCGGAAGACTCCAACATGCAACAGGAAATGGCTTTATTGACTTACACGAGGTACAGGTTGCTCTGACACTGTAAATGTAACAGTGGAGGATAGTGTGGCGCCGGGTTTATAACAGTTACCAGAGTCTTTGGGTCTATGATATTTAATCATAACCTATGAAAATATGTTAGCCCAGTTCGATGTTTGGCATTGAAAAGAGGGGTATCAATCTAACCCCCAGGGGAGCAGGGGTAGGGGCACACACGTGCCGGAAAAAAACGTCTTGGTTTCGTACATGTCAGCATGTCTCGACAATTTTTCCGGTGCCGTGGCAGAAGGTGCAGAGGGGCATATAGGTGCCGGGAAAAGGTGGCTTGGTTTCTGACGTGCCAGCATGTCTCAACAGTGTGGCCATTTCTGTGGCAAAGGGTGCAAAACAGCTGCAACAAATCAGCATGAAGCTTAGTCTATTAGAACTGTTGAGGCTACTGAAACGCCAAGAGAGAGAGAGAGCAGAAAGCTCGATTCAGCTAACCGTGGAGAGAGAGAGAAGGAAACTACTGAGGGGCAACTTAGAGCTAGAAAGCACCAGGGTCATGTACCCAGCCTTAAGGCCATGACTCACGACAAGAACCTGACTTCTTTGACAGCAGCGAGAGTGTGAGAGTGGTAAAATGACTTACACCTTGTGCCTTCTATACCAGACGACAAGGCCGACAAACTGGAAAGAGGGATCACCACAAAAGGTCAGGCAAAGGCTCGCAGGCCACTTGGTTCTTGATATGTAAGAATTGCTCTATAGCGCGGCCACTTGTGTGGCATTAGGTGCAAGAGAGCTGTAAATAATCAGCATAAGGCTCTCCCTAGCTTTAGAAAAGGGAGTGATTAAACTTACCACACCAAAAAAGGAGCCCGCAGGCCACTTGGTGGCGGAATCTCCAACACGTCTCGACTGTATGCCCGGAGGCATGGCAGACCACTTGGTGGCTCATTCTCCGGCAGGTTTCGACAGTATGCCCGGAGACATGGCAGTATGTCCGGAGGCATGGCAAGCTACTTGGTGGCGGAATCTCCAACAAGTCTCGACTGTATGCCCGGAGGAATGGCAGTATGCCCGGAGGCATGGCAGGCCACTTGGTGGCGGAATCTCCAACAAGTCTCGACTGTATGCCCGGAGGAATGGCAGTATGCCCGGAGACATGGCAGTATGCCCGGAGGCGTGGCAAGCCACTTGGTGGCGGAATCTCCAACAAGTCTCGACTGTATGCCCGGAGAAATGGCAGGCCACTTGGTGGCGGAATCTCCAACAAGTCTCGACTGTATGCCCGGAGGAATGGCAGGCCACTTGGTGGCGGAATATCCAACACGTCTCGACCGTATGCCCGGAGAAATGGCAGGCCACTTGGTGGCGGAATCTCCAACACGTCTCGACTGTATGCCCGGAGGAATAGTAGTATGCCCGGAGGCATAGCAAGCCACTTGGTGGCGGAATCTCCAACAAGTCTCGACTGTATGCCCGGAGGCATGGCAGGCCACTTGGTGGCTCATTCTCCAGCAGGTTCCCACGGTATGGCCGGAGCCATAACAGAAAGTACCAAAAATCTGCAAACAATCAGTATGAAGCTCACCATATCGTCAGCCTGTATCCACGGTCAGGGATATGCTGAGTCGTCGAACTATTCATCCAAGCAGTGTGCTCTGGTGGTCCGACAGCATGCAGAATGCGGGCATCGGAATGCTCCGAGGGACGGACAACAGGAACAGGACATGGATTTCATGACTTACACGGGGCGGGCGTGCTTCTGCCATGACTTTCTTGTAGATGGTCTTCTCTGCATGGCAGTGTTTGCCCTTTCGACTTATGGCTCGGGATCTTGTCCTGAGATAATATCTCAAATCAGTCTAATGTTTTTCGTTGCAAGGAGGGATCTCAATCATACCACCGTAGAGCGTATGGCCGCGAAGATATTTTGCGGATATGCCAGAAGTTTTCAAGGCTGTGGTCCGGCCACGGGTCGGGTCCGCCGTGCATGGCACTGTATATCGTGCTCTTTTGAGCCAGGGAGTTGGATCTTGCCCTGTGACATGTTAGGATGATCTGGTGTTTCTCATGGCAAAAGGGGGACTCAAACTTACCACATCGGAAGAAGGGGCCGCCACGAGCTGTTGTTCTTTGGACGAAGGCAGCTTGGTTTCTTAAGTGCCAGCAGCGGTCAAAGATGTGGGCATGAGCATTGCGATATGTGGAGAAAATCTGCTAATATTCAGCTTGAGGCTCACTCTGTCGTCCATCTCAGAGATAAATAACAGGGCATGGGTTTTTTTGGCTTACCCGTGGAGGTTTTCTCTCGATGATTGCTAACACCACCATCGTCGTGTTTTGGAGGAGCGTTGTGAAAGAGGAAAGTCTTTATGGGAGTTGTTTTCTTTTTGGTGGCGCGTTCCTTCATTCTGCAGACCCCGATGGGCCCTTCCTATTTGAGACGTCGCGACGACGTACCGAGGCCAAAAGTTGACTTAATCATGACGATACTAGTTACCCTCTGAGACCATCTAGCAGTAGAATAGTCACCATAACTCCTTGGGCTATAGATGTAAATATCGTAAAGCCAAGGCTCATAGCAAGGATTACAGCAGTCCACAATCTGATATTTGCCTGTTTAGGGACGTTGGTACCTTTTAGGTTGTGTCGGGGACGCACGAATATCTGCCCAGGTGATTCCCTTCCCTTAGCTTGATCCTGCGTGCGCGGCAAAGCTTGCAGGCGGTTGAGTGCCTTCCACTGAACACCATAATACAGTCAATAGATTTTGTAAATATACTTCCGGGTAGTGGGTGAAAGTATTGAGGCTATAACAAGCGTGGAAGCCTGAATGAGACTGATGGGATGTATTTAGGGCACAGAACCTTGCAATGAATCCTCCAGAATTGGCTATTGGTTCCAAGAAACATACTACAGAGGGTGATGTGACCATTACCTGTTGTCCAGGAATTAACTCTTGATTACAACTTAGAGCCCTGGGTCCCAGGCCCCTCCCAACCCCGATGCCATGCAAACTTGGATTGAAAGTAATCCAACCCGATCGAGGGGCGGCTTTCTTCCCTCACTTTGGTCGCACTCCGTTTTCCGTTCTCCTTCCGGAATTTCTGGATTTCTGAACTTCACTCTCTTTTCTACAATGGCACACCCGAGGTGCATGGGTAAAATGCTCCGGCATTTCGACTGCCGTCGTCTGTTCGAAAAGAATCTGAGACTCTTCCCCAACGCGTATTATGGTCAACCTTACACCAAAGACGAAAGACACGTACCTCGAATTTGCGTTCTCTATTACCGGACAGGCGCTAACCAACTTTACTACGAGATCGAAGTCTTCGTCGATATTCTCCTGGCTGAATACTGCTTGCGTGAAATTATTCAACGGGAGAAACTCCTCAAATCCAAGATTGTGCTTGCGGAGAGGAATGGATACAAAGAAGCAGGATGTCATGAAGAGCTTGTTCAGCTTTTCCGTCACTATAGCAAGGCTGAGTATGATCTTTACGTTGCGGAATCAAGGCTTCCCATTGGACCTTTGCACAAATCATATCATACTCTGCGACAAAATCCAGTTTGGTTTCTCCGCCCAGAACTAGTTGAAGACTGCAAAGCGAGGGGCGGCTGCTGTGGCCGACCTTGTGGCTGCTGTCGGACTCGTCACGAACAAATGACAAGACCGAAAGGCCTTGGACACTGCACTCCGAGCTGTGAATGTTGCATCAATGAGCGCGGATTTGAATACTCACCGGAAGAGATTACTTCCTTTGCCGAGGACTTCAAAAATCAACTTCAGGATGATAATCCAGCTTATATTGTTCAAATGGCGAATATTTCCTTCTTATTGCCATTGGCGACGAAGGGAGATAAGTCATCGCGACAGAACCAACAACAGGGAGAGAATTTCAATCGGCGCAGGGGTATCTTCAGGAGAAGATGAGCGGGAGTGTATTATTTTCGATGGTCATGTTGCTTCATTTCAGTGTTTCTTATGCGAGTCGCTTGCTGAAAACTGCTCTTGCTCAAGACGCCTCGGGACCCGAGACAGAGTTGTGTCATCGAGGGATCCCTCCAGGACTCCAGTGTTCCCAGGCTCGTATTATTTGGATTATCTGATGCTCAGTATGCCCCACCTTTCTTCCTGCCCAGGTGCCTCTTTTAATCTCGGTGTAAGACAGGGGCCCAAAATTCAGGTAGTTATGCAGGCACCTGGGAATACTGTTTGCTTCCACTGTTATTGCTAGAGAAGGAAGGTGCTCACACCCATGGACCCATGGATTTGAAAATACCGTGTGCCTTATTAGGATGGTCTGATATGTGTCCTATGCGCAACCAAAACTTGATCCTGCAATGAATTTGGATTTCATGATTATGAAATGCGTAAATTGAAGTATTGACTACGTGACTATTAATCAAGCTACTTCAAAACTATACTTTTCTGAATCAGCCATGATAAGATCAACTACTTTAAGTCGGTATGGATCATACTCCATATAAAATACGTATCGGATCACGAACTTTAAATATTGGTGATCTGGAGTGGATATGATGGCTTGCCTTTGATATAAAAGGTGGAAGGATTTTAGTGGTTATGATCACTTCAACTACTTTTTTTGTCTCTATACTGTCTATCATGGCTCCAGGCTTTGGTAGAAAGTGCACAACAATTGTTTCTGTTTTGAATTTCCCCGCCCCCTCCACCGTCCTCCCCTCCGCCTCCTCCTCCTCCTCCTCCGCCCTCCCCTCCGCCTCCGCCGTCCTCCCGTTCCTCCCTACCGCGGTCTTCCCTACCGCGGTCTTCCCTACCGCGGTCCTCCCTCCCGTCGTCCTCCACTCCGCCGTCCCTCCCACCTCACCTCTCCCCACCCCCTCCGGTGCCGGCAACAGCACCATAACTACCACCGTTGTCTGCACAGGCTTGGATGACACAGCCGTTTATGGGATCATAGGCGGCGTGTCCCTTGCCGTGGTGGTGGCAATGATCGTTGGCCTTGTCTGCTGGAAGATAAGGCATAAGTCGTAAGTCAATATCATGTTCTGACTCTCACTCCTAACCATGACTATTCTTTAGGAAGCGGCCCTCAGATGAGGTCCTTATGCAGGTTGCAGCTAACCCAAATATGGCTGGGACCTTTGTCTGGCTGCGACAAAAGCTGTCCGAAAAGGAAAGTAAAGTCCCTTTCCTCTCCATGAAGAACGCTAAAAAAGCATTCTTGTTTCTCTGGAGGATGGTAGGGCTGAAAGTCCCGGAGGAGATCGCCCAGCCCTCTGGAAACGCCGAAGCCGCTGTGGAGAATATCGGACTTCACATTTTGGTTGAAAACCCGGACGGCATAGTGCGGGAGCGCACTGAGGATACAGGACCGCATCCCGAGGATACAGGACCGCATCCCGAGAATACAGGACCGCCTCCCGTGGCTACAGGATCAAGTACCCAGGTCACAGGATCACGTACCCAGGATACCGGATCCCATGTACACGTCCATCATCTTGACCCCGGATATAGGATTCCTCCTTGCGAGGCACCCCGGCCCGTTGCAGCTCAACAGGCTGCTCTTGGACTGGGTTCATTGGTGAGATCCTTCCTCCCCACTTAATTGAGGGGATGAGAAAATCCAAAAAATCAGAAAAAATCAGAAAAAAAAAAAAAAAGAAAAAAAAAAAAGGAAAATCTGAGCTCTTGCATGGGATGCTGGAAATTCTGAGCTCCTTATGGGATGCTGGAAGATCTGAGCTCTCGATGGGATGCTGGAAATTCCGAGCTCCTAATGGGAGCTCCTCATCGAAAGATGGGTCAACAGCGACGAGCTTGGGCCTCTGCGTGGCGCTGTTGACTAGTAGCTCCGACATGGAGTGAAGCTAACACAAGCTCAATTTGTACATAATCATGATTCGTACTGCATGCAGTTATGATACAAATGAATAAAAGGATTCAAATACCTAGGTATTGGTTCTCAGGTGTGTTACTGCGTATCTTCGGGTGCATAGTTAGGGCTTGTTCACCCCTAAGCCGAGTAAAAACATCCTCATTAAACACGGGAGTCGAGCAGCTCGGCTCGAGCTAACAGGCCATTTATTCATCACAGGCACAATGAGCTCGAAGCGACCGTCATGGGTGGCTTTCTCGGTGTGCTTTCAATTGTTTTGTCTTCTCTTGAAACTCCAGCTGAGCATGAATGATGAGCAAGAGAATCGGTGTCCGATTCCAGCACAGATCCGACAGAAGACAGGGCACTCTTTTGTGACATCTGAGCACGGTTTATTCCAAGACTAGGTCCGCGTAAATTCCAGCCAAATCTGAGACGTGTGCCTAAGACAGTTGACATCTGACGACGTACTGGCATTGACTGAAATGGTCGGAGTCACGGGTGGTGAGATCAGGTGCCAATCCGGGAAAAGTGGGACTTTGTGGCTTTGCTCCAGGCATGATGATCAATCAAACAGTCGTAGTAGCAAGTCTGGACTGACCCGGCGTCAAATTTAGTGATGATGGAGATGTGCCGTGAGCAATGAGGCTTTGTGGTCCACGGGTCCGGGAGCGGGTGCAGCTGGATTCAACCAACTAATGAGAAGAGCAGAAAAAAACCCTGGTTAATTCGAATCACGGGTTGCCGGACAGAGGCGCTTATAATCCGAGGACAGGTGCCAACTCCAGTTGGCGCATCCTATAGAATTGGTAAGTGATCCGAACAACGGAAACTGCGTCGACCTTCGGACTTACAGGTCCTCTTGGGCTTTACTATCGCTAATATTCCTTCCTCTTCCAGGTCATGTTTGAAGCCGCTTCGGGGATCGTTGGCTTGGGTAGGGCCCGAAGGGGTGGCGTCAACGTCACCCACATTGTCATCATCTCCGTTCTGGATTTTCAATGAGGGAGGGCGATTGTTGGGACACATAGAAAAGGCAAGGATCTAAAACGCAGCTGTTGTCCAGCATACAAAGACAGGAAAGACCGAGGGCGTGGTAAAGTAGAGTCACGTGGCCCGTACTTCTGCCAGCTAATTATATACCCAAGGTACATCGACATCGGGGTGCGGACCGGAGGTAGAACTCTATGGGTTACTAGGTACGGACTACGCCTGTGTATTCCCCCTGTTTGCAGGCTCAAAATTATGTCTTTAGTAGGGTGGTTATTCTGGCCCTGTAAGTCAGGTACTAACCTTCTACTGGTTACCTAGAGGGTCATGGTAGGAGGCTGGAGGGGTGTGGAACGATCAGATCCACAAATAAAACCGATCTGGTATAAGAAGTGCCGGCTTCATACAATGGAGAAACAGATCGCTAGAGATACGTAAACGAGCGATTCAGGCATAAGCTTCCAGGTCAGAAATTGCAATGGAATGGAAGACCCCACAACCTTGGAACCTTGGAAGATTCCATGAATGCATGTGATGTACAGGGCAACTTTCAAGGCCTCCAGATCATCTGTTGGATATGTAGGAAATCATGATTGTTATACTGTACGGAGTAGATCGTTACACAAGTCGTAGGCCTCGAGGCCTATCATATTGCCCAGTTACAACCCTAAGAAGCACAGTGCATACGACTAGTAGAAGGGTACATCTTCACTGAACCTTCTTACTTCTGCAACAATTAGCTGTTGAAGTTTTTGAACTATATGGAGACCTCTACGGAGTAGTGATACATCAACTGATGGATCAGTACGGAGTAATTCGGTTACGAAAGCCTTCTTTAGTTCCAAGGTTCTTGCTGGGCTGACAGGCCTCACACCTGAACGCGTATCCCTGTTACAATTCCTCATTCAACCTGCAATGCGTGGAGAATCCCATCTGATTACTCCGTACGGAGTAAACACAGCAAAATTAGATTGGCGCATGGAGTGTCGCTGCCAAGGCGTTTCCTATACTTGATTGACTTCTGTCAATTCCACGAGTGGACCTACAGTGCAATTTTGAAATTCTAATAGGCTTCCAAGATTCCCACTGAATGGCAATCTCAACTTTGAAACGGTGACGGTAATCTTTTGGTCTCAATGGAGTTGGTGATATGGACTTTTCATGTGCTACGAAGCCGGTGTATACCTACAAGGAGAGAGGTTTTTTTTTCAATTCAAGAGCAGAAGTGCCCCCCCTTTTTTTTTTTTTTTTTTTTTTAAAAAAAATACAAACAACGGGGCTTTCTTACTCCGCGCGATCGCCACCCTCCCCCTCGCCCGCCGCGGCGTCTGACTCGCCCCCTGGTGAGAAGTTAGCCAAGAGTCCATGATTTCACTTTCACTCCGTGCTGAGAGCTATCATGACATAACACATCGACAAGGCCAATACCAAGCAACCCAGTACAAAATAACTAATATCACAGGAAAGGTGATAAAGGATAAAGAGGACTTACTATTGACAGGGGGGGAGCGAGCCGAGAACGACGCGACGGAACGAGGGGGACTGGCCGGAGGCGAGGGAGACAGAACCATCCGGCCAGTACGGGTGGCGATGCTGGGCGAGGGGGGGGCGGCCTCGCCAGTGGGTCGGATGGGGGAGGAGGCGGACTGCGGTGCCCTGGATCCACACCGGGGGGGCTCGACTAGATTCTCGTTAGTAATCTGTTAACATAGACCTGAATACTGGACTTACCCGCCGGAGCGGGAGCTTTCTCGCCCCGGGTGGAGGCAGGAGCACCGCAGGAGGAGGAGGTGGGGGGGGTGGGCGAAGACAAGCCCCCGCCGGGGCCAAGGGCCGAACCGCGCGCTGTTGTAAGTCAGTATCCTGTCCGATCATCCTAGAAAAGCCGTGTGTATTGATGTGCATACCTCTTGCGAGCCGCTTTGCTATAAATATGTTAGCAATCTATGTGCGTTTTGATTCCGGGGCGTCGTCGTAGCGTAACATACCTCGACCCTTGGTCCCGCGGCGGGTGATCTTTCGCTGTGACAATATGTCAGCCCAGTTCGATGTTTCCCATTGAAAAGAGGGGCATCAATCTTACCTCCGGGGGAGCAGGGGCAGCGGCAGGGCCAGAGCCAGGGGCAAGCATGTGGCGGAAGAACACCGCCTGGTTTCTGATGCGCCAGCAGTTTTCCACGGTGTGGCCACTTGCGTGGCACCATGTGCAAAAAAGCTGCAAATAATCAGCATGGTGGTCCGAGAGTACGGGCACAGAATGGGGGCCTCGGAATACTCCGACGGACAACAGGGTATTGACTTACACGAGGGGGGCGCGAGTCTGCCATTTCACAATTGAGGATGGTCTTGGGGAAGAGGAAAGTCATCGTGGCAGAGTTGTTTTCTTTTTGGCGTTGCGTTCCTTCCACAGACCCCAGTTGCTCCTTCCCATTGACATAGTGGCTTCGTGGACCGTGGGCTGGCGTCACCATTGCAATACTGTCTACTCCTGTCTACTCAAGATAATTGAGCATACAGTCGCTCGGAATTCGTCTGGCTCACCTCATGGACCCTTTCTATGATACCGGTGAGGTTCCTGGAAGTCAAGGAACCAGAGTCTGGTCGGATCACTAAGCTGGCATCGATCCCGATTGTCAGGTAGCATCCACCTGGGCACTGTCTATGGCCTGGCATTGGCGAAGACTTCATCAGGACAATTCGCCGAAATTTCGACCTAGTGCCATCCCCGGGGGCACCGTCGTCCACCCTGAACTTTCCCACTGGATATTCATTCCTCGGCCCGACTTGGCCATGGTCTTACACCCGATAATTTATGTCGAGTACTGAGAGATCCCGAGGTCAGACTTCCGTGTATCCTCATTGCTACCTACTTACCTAGGTAGGTAGTAAGTTATCCTGAATCAAAGTAGAAGAATCAAATCATGTATCGAGATATCAAGTGATATCCACATAATCAAGACCTCGGGAATATTTGAAGTAATCAAGATGGAATTGTCACGTTTGCCCTCCTGTGTTCCCTCTCTGATGCTTCCTAGCTAGCTCACAATATGATCATCTCTACTACTCACTACGTTCCAAGTGCTAAATCTGGTAGCATGTCCGAGTTTTTAAGATCGGACTGGCAATTGCGGAGCGTTTCGCTCCAATACATAATATGAACGCCAGCATCGAAGGTAGACAAACCATTTTGGAAGCGCAGAAACAAACGCTCCTACTCATAGGTGGGGGTGGCGCGAACTCGCTGGTGAGGTCGATAAGTATGGTCCTGGCAGATATCTCACTCCCCCGACTCGCCGATTTAGTCATCGAGCATATAGTGTAGCATTTGAAGTCGATGGTGCCGGCCTAGGCCATCCGATACTGCGTTAGCCCCCGTGACAGTATGGACCCTGTTTAGGATCGCTTGTATCGCGGGGTCCAAGGGAGCATGGAAAGCAGCGAGTCACGCGAGGCACTGGTTGATTTCAGAATCGGAGCCCTGCCCTAATTCCATAACCGCTAGTGCCGTATCACCGTTCACGATCACGGCTCTTCGGGTCTCCAGTCGCGCAACGGCTTGGTGTAACGCAGGGAAGGTAGGGCCACCCGTATAGCTTTGGTTCCTGCTGCGATCTGGAACTGCTGAGATATCTGCGACTGTGGAATATCAGAGATCGGTTGCGTTAATGTGGCAGTCCGAGTTGAGGTAGGAGCAGCGTGCGAAACTGGGCGAGGCAGAGTTGGTATAAGATGAGAAACTTCGCAAGCCTGCGCTGGTGCGGGTTGAGGAATGGGCTAATTCTGGGATGTTGCAGATTTGATAGCTCTGTTTCAACCTGGAAATGACCTTGGGGTCACTGAGTGTTTGTGTTGAGAATCAGATGACTTCATCAGATGACTCTATGGTTTACCCGTGGACGTACATAGATCTCAGACCTAGCTTCTTCCTTTGCCCTCTTCAGTCAATACAAGAAGTCTTTTTGTATATCTCTTTCTTTATCAATTTGAGACTGAAAGTTCATCTTCGCCCAAAGGCATAACACGTACGGTCCGCGCTTGTTACAGAAAGCACCTTGAATGGCGCACTTAGCGTTCTCTGCTTCTCTCTCTTCTTTCATGGTAAGTTGAAAGCCACTTTTCCTTCCATGCTAGTGTATTCAGAAGTTAATTTCCGAAGTTGTGGCTTATGATGCAGTTCGGTCTCTGCAGGATAGATGTTAAGGCCCCCCACTGTCCACATTGTTCTTCTGAAAGACAAAATCTCCAAAAGATCGGATTCACTTGAATAGTTTGTTCTCCGTCTTTATACATGAGCTTTACTTAAATAAGAGTATTAGGGGGAATATTATGCAGGGTGGCCAAGCGCACGATATCTACCGAGCCGGTCAAAAATATCCTTCATTTGACCTTGATGAGAGAGGTCATCAAGGATGCGCTCAACAAAAGGCATAGTGCTTCATGCTCCTAGTAAACATTCGAAGGTGTGCACGAAGAGTGAGGAGAGTGTGAACAGAGGAAAAAGAAGGAGAAGGAGAAGATTTAGCTATGTCATCTGCACAAAGTGATCCCGTCTCCGGCGTAATGCGTCTACACAGACATCAATCAGTCTCAAGTGGCAGTTGAGCATTTATAGGGCTGTTCAATTTATAGTAGAAGTTATCTTCGTAAGAGATTCTTGCGATCAAATCGGTAAGATCTTCACATCAAGTCTCCATAAGTTCTGCCCTCCGCCTCCATTTCCTCATCCTTCTTCATGTAGTCCTTAAACTTGTCCATCTCGCTTTCCTTCTTTGGTTCGCTCTCATGCTGAGGCTCGTTCTCATCCTTATCTTCGGTAAGATGCTGTTTCTCGTCGTGATGACCTGGATGCAGAATGCGGTCCATCAAGCCTCCGAAGCTTCCCTTGCGGTGCTTGGGCTCTGCAGGAGTCATTAGCCTATCTCGATCCGATGACATAGCTCAGTCCATGTTCATACGGTCAGACATGTTGGTATTTGGCGTGAGGGTTGATATAATGTCAATATGTGTAAAGGTTCATTCAAGAGCCGAAGTTGCTCGAATTCGGGGGCGCATTGCCGTACTTAAAGCTATCAGTAACCTCGCAGAGACGTCATTTCGAGCAACTTCAAAGCTAATGTAAACCAATACAATGGTCATTCTGTTTCCCCACAAAAAGGATGAGCAAAAATGAGCGCGTCATCGATGTTGCTCCTATGGTTTGCTGGAAGTCTAAAAGCTTATCATGAAATTGTTCCACGGTTCGGATCTCGATAGACTGCATGCACTCTGGTGAGTCTATTCCAAGGCCTCACATCCGTAGGGGGACGATAAATCCTGGCTTCCGCGTATCCCATAGGATCAACACGAGTCGTCACGCGGTGTATCATGGTTTGAACCGTCTCCACGTAGATTCATTGCCGCTCATTTATTCCACAAGGCGAAAGCCACTGGGTCTGTGGGAATAACACAATAGATCTACGTTTACAAATGCATCAGGGGTATTGAGAAGAAGAGGCATGATCGAGGTCCTCTTGCCCCAGGGCTTCCAATCTAAGCTTCACAATGATCTATCCGCCTCCTCTTCAACTACTCCTTTCTTTCCATTCTACATTTTCGATGTGATTTCAGTATGGTGCTTTTTCTTCATTGACCACAGCTAGCATCATGATACTGGCGCATCCTCCAAGCTCTCTGGTTTGCGCACCCCCTCTTCTATCTCCTCAAGGAGCTTCTGAGATTTGATTCGGTCCGGGTGCTCCGCGTCAAGTGTTCTCTCTTCAACCGAGACCACATGCTTGATGAGCTCAAGAGCCTGCCTGGTCTGGCCGTTGACTGCATATGCCTGCGCGAGTGAATGCTGAGAAATCAGTCGATTGGGATCTTCCTCGTCAAGTATTCTCCCCTCCACCAGAACCACATGCTCAAATAGCTCTATAGCCTCTTTGGTCTGCCCATTCTTCAAATATGCCCGCGCGAGAGAATGCTGAGATAACAGTCGACTAGGATCTTCCTCGTCAAGCATTTCCTTCTTTGCAACCACACGCTCAAATAGCTCTATGGCCTCTTTGGTCTGCCCATTCTTCAAATATGCCCGCGCGAGAGAATGCTGATATAACAGTCGACTAGGATCTTCCTCGTCAAGTATTTCCCCCCATATCGCAACCACATGCTCAAATAGCTCTATAGCCTGTTTGGTTTGTCCATTATTCGAATAAACCCACGCGAGAGAATGCTGAGCCGCCAGTCGATTAGGATCTTCCTCGTCATACATTTCCTGCTTTGCAACCACATGCTCAAATAGCTCTATGGCCTGTTTGGTTTGTCCATTGTCCAAATATGCCCGTGCGAGGTCATGCTGAGACCACAGTCGACTAGAATCTTCCTCGTCAAGTATTCTCCCCTCTATCGCAACCACATGCTCAAATAGCTCTATGGCCTCTTTGGTCTGCCCATTGTTCAAATAAACCTTTGCGAGAGAATGCTGAGCCACCAGTCGATTAGGATGTTCCTCGTCAAGCATTTCGTGCTTTGCAAACACATGCTCAAATAGCTCTATGGCCTGTTTGGTTTGTCCATTTTTCAAATATGCCCGTGCAAGCTCGTGCTGAGATGCCAGTAGATCATGATGGTCCTCGTCAAGCAGTCTTTCTCTTAATGCGACCACATGTACAAGCAGCTCCAGGCCCTGTTTGATCTGCCTATTGTCTAGATATGCAGATGCGAGGTCATGCTGAGAACGCAGTCGACTAGGGTGTTCTTGTTCATGTTGACTCTCGTACCACGTGCACGCATTTTTCATAGCAGTGACAGCATCTCTGGATCGGCCATCTGCCTGAAGACACATTCCAATCTTCGAGAGTAAGCTATACCTATCCTCTGCACATCCAAGCTCCACTCCATTGAGAATCAACTTAGTGTGCGGTAGGTATGCTCTCCATGTCTCCCTATTTGGGAAATCATCGGATGGAAAACAATGATTCATGTGTTGAGTCACAGTTTCAATGACTTGCTGTGTAATCCCTGCCTCAGCTACCCATACTCGTGTGGATAGATGTATGAGGCTATGTATGTCGAACATTTCTGCGTTGCCTCTTTTTGTCAGAAAGCCATAACCGCACAGTGTGCCAATTGCAAATTCTTGTTCCTCTTCTGAGCCAACGGAAGGAAGAATGGATTTCGGGATTGCTTTGGGCTCAAAGCAAGATATGAATCCCAGCAAATCAGCAGCGGGTGGGTCGGAGTTTTGGATTTGTTTGAATGAAATCAACCATGTTTTGACCACTGCGTTTGGCATCTTGCGATAGCGAGTGGTATCGTGGAACTCCCTGCTCACTAGACGCATCCGTTCTTCCTCGGATTTGTGCATCAGCTCGAGGTACCGTCCGATCGTGCCATCATTTCGTCTGATATAGTACGCCGCCTGCGCAATAGCTAGAGGTAGGAAATTCAACTCCTCCAGAAGTTGCGATGTTGAATTAGGATCGTCAATCACATCATTTCCGAGAATCTTGGTGAGAAAGTCAATCCCTTCTGCTGCTTTCATGTTTTGGAGTTCCAATATATCCCTCCCGGCGAAGGAAATGGCCACCTCTCTGGAACGAGTGGTGAGCAAAGTCACGCCGGCTTCGCTGACCGGAAAGAACCGATCAAGCTCATTGAAAGTCAATTCAGCGTCATCGGCATTGTCAACAATGAAAAGCCACTTTCCTGCATCATCATCGCTCAGCTCTCGATGGACCAATTCCATCGCACTTTCGTTTTCTGCATCCTGATGGGGTTGTAGCTTTTTCGCGATTTGCAAACACGTCTGCTCAAAGCTCTCAACACTGAGCGCGGACGCCCAAAAGATCGAGCGGTCTGGTTCATGCGCTTTCACCCAGCGGGCGAGCTGGAGCGCAAGTTGGGTTTTGCCGATCCCACCCAGTCCAAATAGAGCCAGTCTTTCGGTGCTCGCCTTTAGAAACAACCTTTGCTTCAGCTCATCTAGTGCGGAATCGCGGCCAGTGAAGTAGCGGCTTTCCATGGATGGGATCACATAGTGGGCTCGCGGGCGACCTTTCAAGGTTGGGAAAGATAAGCAAATCTGACATACTGCTGTTTTCGGCCGACTTACTCCGATAAACGAGCTCTTTTGGCTGTTGAACGGACGTCTGGAAGTAGTTGTTGACCGAGCCGTAGTTCACACCCATCTGGGACCCCGGATTTGGCCCCGCAAACGTTGTCGCCGATGGCGCGGGCGGCATGTTCGGCATGTTCGGGCGCTGGGGATCAGGTTCCATGGCTCAGTGGGCATATTCCCAGGTGAAAGACAACCTGGGATATGTCGCCGTTGCGGTTGTGGGAGCAGAGGCGTGTATCTCGGGCGGGAGGGGTACGGGGATGATTGCGACCGCAGAGGCGCATCACGCTCTAAGCGCCCATCTTCAAACTACTCCAATCTTGGGACTCCAGCGCTTCAGGGCTGAGTCTAGCGCTTACGTGAATCCATGTCCAGCCCGGAAGATTCCAAAGGTCATCTCAGTACCTAAGTAAATTATCATATCGTGAAGTCATGAGAATTCGCTGCTGGTCCTATTCATCGCTTCCCACCAGCCATAGCCATTTTTGAATCGTTTCGGTTTTCTCCTCTTCCTCTGTTTTTGTCGCCTACCAAGTGTAGTGAGGGAACCGCGTTGCAGACATACTACAACCTTGGAAAGGCTCCGAGGTTCATTCGGGGACGGTATAATTCACCGTGAATCATTCTGTAGAGTAATAGCTGGATGCAATTATGCTTATCCAAGCGATCAATCTTGGAATCATCGTCGAATACGTCCCGAGTTTGTTGTCCGAGGAACCCATGGACAACTCACCTGAGCATGGAATGGCCAAGAAATCCAAACAAGTCTCTAGGGCTACAACAACCGACAGCCCAACCTTCAAAAGCCGGAGATTACCGACGCCCAAAAAGATCGCAAATCGCGAAGCCACGTCGGTTCGGAAGAATGCCATGACGCAACAAGTACTCATGCACGACATTCTGCAAACAGCCTCAAACAATCTAGATCATCGTAGATTTTTTTGAATTTTCCCGAGATCCCAGGGCGCAAACGCATGGCCCCGAATGTCGGTGACAACTGTCACAAATGCGGGGGTCACAAGTGTCCGCGAATACCTGTCTCATGTCTTGGAATGTGAAGTTCAACGTTTTCTAGGTTCGACACCGCTATTTCGTTTGGTGGCGATGGGATGTGTTAGATTCTGGACACGCCCATTCTTCCGAACCTTGGAATTGACTGGGAAGGCCCGTTGCGCGATGTGTCCAAGGCCCGGGTTGGAATACCCCTCCGGTCTAGGTCTTTGATTTCAGGATTATGCAGGATTCTGCGTGACGGTTCCAGGCCCTGGCTTTACTATCTAGTATCAACGTATGTATGATTGATCGCTGGCTATACAACTGGGGACATAAGATTAGATGCGGTTGGGTACGGAATTGAACTGCAGTCATTGAGTAGTGGTGATCGGCGCTGAAATGCCTGAATTGCGAGGCTGTTGCAGCGACACTGCAAAGTGTGGTCTGATAGACTGTGTCTTGCAGATGTGAAATTACGGTTGGATGATCATTTACGCAATCTAGAGTCTGGGAGCGGATCTGGCATGAAAGTCAAATTCGATTGAGTTGACAAATTCCGTGATTGTAGCTGAGTATAGCAAACATCCTCGCGTGGAAAGACAGCCACAAGTCTATATACGAAAGCAAAACGAGTTCCTACCACCAAGCTCAGAATGAAAGATTATAGAAAGAGTGACAGTTTGAGATTGTAAACATAGTCCATGTATGAAGACATGTGGCTGAGGGAGTGAAGAGCCATGGAGAATTGAAGGCTATAATCGACAGGGGGGGTATGAAGTGTCATGAGAGGTCGTGAAATGGTTGCTGAATAACAGAAGTAACAAAGGCGTGTTCGAGGGCGTAATCGCAATGAAAAACATAGAAATAGAAGAAAAGGCTTCTCGTGACAGTGGAAGAGGCTCAGACCCAGGGGTCAGATTGCGCGTAGGTGTGAGGGTTGACAGGGCCGATGAGCTTGATTTGCGATTTCAGCTGCTCTCGTCTTCGATCCTCTTTTGATTCGGCGATCTTTCTCTTCGCTCCCATGAATACTCCGCGGGTGTTTTGCTGTAGCTGCTTTAGCTGCGGCGACGAGGATGCATTGGCGAATGATAGCTCCGGAGCCGAAGATGAAGAGGGTTCGGTCGGCGATGAACGATTGGGAGATTGAACACTCTTGGATTTCTTGGGTGATTCCCAGATCGCAGGGCCATGTTTCTGGTACGGCGACAGTGGCACAGCCAGCTGCTTCTGACGCGGCGTGGTAGGAGACTTATCCGAGACCGGGGAGGGTGGGAATGTGGAGAAGGTAGGTGAGATAGGCGTTTGGAGATGGAACATCTGTTTAGTGTAATCGTAGTGGGCACCTGGAGATGTCGATACAGATACGCGCATGGCAGCATCTGTATCCAAGGCCAGAGACTGTTGATGTGGCTCCCAGCCTTTCGGGCCTAGAACACTAGACGCATCGCTGAGATGGTGGTCCATGGGGGCCGTTTCAGGGCGGGAGATTTCCCGTTTAGGCTCCCCGTCCCGGGAGAGGGTGCGGTGCACATAGGTTTTGATCGAATCGCGCACTCCATTCAAACCACCCCGATCGAGGGAATGCCATCTGTATTTGCCCTTGGCAATCTCTAATGCGGAACCCTTCTTGCGGGACTTGGGGGCATTCATGTTCGCGGTTACTGTCGACGGGGCCAACTCGGGGAAATAGTCCCACTTCTTTTCGCGGAAGTAGTGGTTTGCGCCCGTCCGTTGCTGAGCCCAGTAGGCCGGCGGGTCGGGCGAGTCGAAAGACGAGGCGATGGGGATGGAGTCGTCGATGACGATGTCTATCGCGTCCGTGCACTTGAGTGGAGGCAGTGGAGTGAGATCGGCGGCCTGATCCGTCAAGTCGAAATCGCCAACGAAGATAGGGTAACTGTCGGCGGAGTTGCGGGGTTCACTGGGAAAACTGTCGGTTGCACTGTCGCTGTCACTCCACATCGCCGACTCTTCGGGTCTGGCGGGGAGAGGCTTATTGAGGCCGAGGTGGTGAGGTGGTACAACGCGCTCGAGTCCGTCGAGTGAGCGTGAAGGGCGGACAGGCGGCGCCGGACTATATGAGAAGGCCATGACAAAGAGCAGGGACTCTAGGTTGCCAGAACAGAAAGGAAATTCAGAGTCCGAGACAAAGGTCGAAGACAAAGAGGCGGATTATATGCCACGCACGGACATGCAAGGAGGCCCGAATGAAAAACAGCAGAACAGAGAGTTATTGCCAACGGAACTAGAGCTGTAGGACGCCGGATCGTCCCTTGCTCCGCTTAAGCGACCCTGCCATTGGCCTGCACTTCATTCTAGCTAAGTTTGGCTGCCTTCTCCATCGTCTGGCGGGTCAATTGATCCGAGGGCTTACGAACGGCGCTCAATCGCCCTAGGCGGCGCAGCTTGGCGATCATCTCCTCATCCCCAAAGTGGCTGTTATGCTCGAAGTCCGGTTCCTGCGCATATCCCAGCCGAGCTGCATCGACGAGGATGCGAGCCGTCATGCCGAAGATGCGATATACTTCCGTGGCTGTCGCGGTCTTTTGCCGAACAAAGAACTGGTGCACTGTGGCGTCGTCAGGCCTGGGATTCCAATAGAAATCGAAATCGAAATCGAAAATAGAAGGAAATGAGAAACAAAGACGCCATGGTGTGACAATCCATGTGTTCATCTCCACTCTATACTCCTTCACAAACCCAAGAATAAACAAAAATAAAACAAAAATCACACAATTAACAAAATAAAAAATAAACTTACTCCTCCAGTCCTCACTATGCCACAAACTCCAAGCTCCCCGATACCACTCCTCCCTCCCCAGCCGACTCTTCAAAAAGCCCCCCAGCGGCGCCGTAAACACCGCCGCGACCTCGCGCGCATCCAAAGTAGGAATTAGCGACTCCGGATCCGCACTCAGCCCGGTGCCAGGATCATAACCGTGCAGCAGCGCGACGCAGGGACGCACCACCAGCTCCGTTTTGGCAAGATTGGCCGGCAGCTCGCAGAGGTGCTCCACGCGGAAGGGGGGTGGGAGGGTCGCGGTATCGGGGAGACCGATTTCCTCGTATGCTTCGCGGCGGGCGGTTTGGAAGGCGCTTTCGGATTCTGTATCTGCTCGGCCTGTTGAGGTTAGATGATATTCCATGTCTGAGGCTATCTACTAGTAGTATCGTGTTGGTATGTTGTTTTTACTTCTGGGGCTAGTCTCTTTGCTTTTTTTCTTCTTGTTTCCTTTTTCATTTCTTTTTCTTGTTTCCCTCTTTTCTTGCTTGCCTTTCCTCGTTCGGATTGATCTATTGCCATTTGAGGAATAGGGGTGGCTCTTACCTCCGGGCAAAGCTGCATCTCCTGCATCTAGACAGGGTTAGCTTGCCTCTCCAGGGTCCATGTCGAGAAACAACTTACACGAACTCAGTGTTTTAGCCCGTATCGTAACAACCACCCTGAGCTCTCCCTTGGCATCCCCGTACAGGAGTATGAGCACAGCCGCCCGCCTGCTCAGCGGGACTGACTCGTACGCTGTTGGCGGGGGGACATAATTCCGCAGTCTGGTGATTGCCTCCTATAACACGCGTTAGCGGATCACAGGTGATACTCTTTCCGCGTTGGGCATGGGGAATTGGGGGCTGAAATCGGGGGTTGGGTTTCAACGGCGGGATGGTCATCCACGGGGACCACCTGGGCAGCCTTGGAGAAGAACCGGTGAAGGGTGTCTCTTTCTCTCTGTCTCTGTTTCGACTGAGACGAAACCTTGAGCTTGTTAAGCTTGTAGGGTCTCAGTCTCAGAGTCTTCCGGAAAGAAAGAATGTTCCATGGTGTATCACATCATGTAAGACTTGAGCTGAAACTCAAATGGTTCATGGCCCCCGTTTTTCTGACTCGCGATGCGGTGCGATTCTGAAAAAAGCAAATGCAATGTCCCCTGATACAGCCTTGGAAAGGTCCTCTGTAATTTGAGGTCCGTGGGGACAAACAAGGGCAAGAAGGAAAGGGTAGGGATCGTCTGCGTGGCAGGATGGATAGAGCAGGTTTGCGGATTGCCGCTGGCAACACGCGGTCTTCGCGGAAAGCTGCAGATGCTCGGTTACACGTACCTGGGAGGCGTCATTTAGGGGCGCCATTAGCTCGGAGGTTCGGGGCGTGGGTTTGGCGTGGCTGAGGGTGAACAGTTTGGGTTCAGAGTGTCTTTGTTTCAGGGTGAGAGTGCTGAATCGACGGATGAGCTGTCTCCTCATGACTGGACTGGGGTTTATAGATATTGTCGGGGTATACTCCGTATGAACGGACGTTGCTTGTCCCGCATGATCTAGCCGAGGTAAATCGGTGACTAAGGAACATTGACTGCCCACCCTGGAGGTGCTTGGGTGCTTGGGTGCATACGGAGTGTGATATCGAATATTACAGGCAGTTCCATTTCATATATCTCACATGGTAATGGTATCGGGAATAAAGTAGGGATTGAGTCTATCGACATAGGGGAGAGAATTAACACAGGATGAGAAAGAAGGGTAATCAGACAAGCAAAAAAAGCAACCATCTATAGAACACATGTAACCCAGGTGGGAATAATAAATCAAATCGCCAACGTATTCATATCAACCTAAGAGCTCTCGCTCTTCTTCTCCTTGGACTCCGTCTTCGCAGCCTGCTCACCCTCAGCAATAGCCTCATTCGCCTCCTGAGACTGCTTAGACTCGTTCGAGACAGGCTCCTGCTTAGTCTCCTCCTTCTCGTCGATGTCCTCAGTATCCTTGGGCGCAGCAACACCAGTGCCCTCGTTCTCGCTGTTCTCCTCCTCGATCAGCTCCTCCTGCTCCTTGATAACCTCAAGACGCTGCTTGTTGGTAGCAGCACCCTCGGCATTGTGCACCTCGAGCTCGATCTCGTGGAAGAGTTCCTCGGGAATGCTGGAAAGGACGGACTTGAGAGCATCAATCTGGGAAGCCATCTCGGACTCCTTGCCACCCTGTGTGTAGAGGTAGGCATTGCTCAGAACGAGCAGAGTGGAGGGAACGCCCTGCTTCAAACGGAGCTCGAGCCACATGCCGAGATCCTCGCGCAGGCGCGCGGGAGACACACCGTGTGTGCGGATTCCGCGGGAAGCGCTGGCCATCTGCAGCTCGGGGACGGAGAGGGAGTCAACGCCCTCGTAGAAGATCGCGCGGTCATCGCGCTTGATCTGGCGCATGCGGTGACGGATCGTGTAGCGGATCATGGCGTCAGTGCCGAATGTGTTCAGGTTCATGTAACGGCAGATGCCGACCAGCTGGGGCCGGGACAGGTTGTCGAGGGTGAGGTCATCCTTGAAGATTTTGCAGACCTTGATAACATCCTCGGTGGAAGGGGATTCTCCGGTGGTGCGGATCTTGCGGAAGAAGTCCGCGAACTCGTCGTTCTTGACTGTCGCGGCGTTCAGAGGCAGACCGGTTTCGCGCAGAGTGTTGCGCAGGAAGCCGGAAACTTCCTTGCGGGTGGAGCTGAGGTTCAATGCTTTGGCATCGCGGGCCTTCTGGCCTTCGTAGGTGCTGGGGAGCATGTTGGGGAAGATCTTGAGGGCGACGGGAAGGAGGAGTTCGGCGAAGGGAACGATGAGGAACATCGAGAAGGGGACCAGGCGTCCCAAATCTTTGGTGGTGCGTTGAAGCTGTGGTCAAAGGCATGTCAGTAAAGTTCCGGGGATCCTACTGCCTTAGGTCGGAGATACTGACCTGACGGTGCTCTCGGCGACTGAGCTCGTAACCACCGGCCATCTTCAATGCTAACCGTGAACTAATCTTAACCTCTGTGGCCAGAAGCTTTGTGCCATCCCAGTAGTGTTGCGCCTCCTTCTTGATCTTCTGTCCAAGGGTCAACTTCTTGGCGGTCTTCTTCTCGACGATCTTGTGGTCGTCCGAGGCCTTGGCGACGGTTCCAGACTGCGCCTTCTGGATTTCCGCCTCAGCGGTGGTCTGAGTCTTGGAAACGGTTTGTTGCGCTTGCGCAGTCTGATCCTGGGGGATTGGCTTCTTGGCTTGCTCGGCATTGAAGCCGGGAGGAGGGTAATTCTGAGAGGAGTTGGAAGTAGACTGCTCGGTCGAGTAACCGCGCTGAGGGATCAGGATGGCAAGCGCGGACATCTGAGATGGAAGATCGCGGCCATTTCGGAGGAGGTTGCGGGCTGCCACGGAGGCCGGGCTCAAGGCACTGGACCGATTACGGGCTGTATGAAGGGGAAAGGGTCAGCGGGGTTTCAGCATTGATATTCTTGGAACACCGGATCAATTACCAAGAAGTGCGGACCGGAAAGCAGGCGTTCCGCGGACCAACCCGGTCGATCTCATCGTGGCGGACATTTAGGGAAATGTTGAGGAAAAAAAGTAAACGGGTGAGGCGACGAGCGATATAGGCGCCACAACAATGGAATGAACAATGGAACCGAAGGCGCACGGGATGAAAAAGACAATTTCCCGTAACGAAGTGATGGATACAAAAAGTTGGAATGTCCTGGAACCGGTTCCGATGAGATGTTGTGATGTACGGCCGCAGTCATCTTACACGTGACCTCCGATACCGTATCGGGCATTGCTCGGGGTTAAACAGACATCCGGGCCTAGAACTGCGTGGAAGGTATTTTTAGGCCCCGAGGGTCGGCCCGACGAACATCGGGTTTCGATTGTATCAATTTGATGCTAAGAGCTGGCTATGTAAAGCCACCCAACTACGGAGTATATTCGACGATATTGGCCAAAGGTTTCAACAAATAGGGTATAGAGAAAAAGAGAGACATCAAGGGAATGAAATGGAAGCAACATGCATCCTGGCAGGGGTATCAAAACGAGAGAAACGAGAGAGCGATCGGGTCTTCAAGTGCGCTCTCGGAGAGCGGAGTTCTTATCCGCCCCAGTCTCCGAGACGGCAGTGGAGGTGGCATCAGCAGTATCCAGTAGGGGAATCCGATCAACGCTGGTACGCTTCTCCCCGCTCGCGGCATTGATTGCTTCGCTGAGCGGGCTCGGCTCAGCAACAAGAATCGGACTAGTTGTCCCTTCTGGGGATTGCTGCCAACGCGCAACGTCCGCCTTGAGTTGCTCCAGCTCTTTCTGGAAGCGCTTACCGAAGACATCGATGTAATAAGTGGCTCCGTTGTGAATGCTCCAAACAAACAAGGCGGACAAAAAGATTCCGCTGCCCCATTTGGACCAGAACCAAATCGGACAGGGAATCATGGTGGACAGAGCGAATCCATATTGAATGCACATGAAACACGGTTCTTGCAAGGACTCTGGGAGGCTGAGTACGAAGCGCCCAATCCAGGCCTTGGAATAAGACTTGCGCAGCCATGTAAAGCTGGTGGGCCGGCCAGCGGCGATCTGTTCACGGCGGCGCACGGTGATCAGGAAGTGGTAAAGGAGCTGCCACACTAGGTATGGGGCTGTGGACCAAAGGATCATTGCACCGAGGCCATAGTGCTCGGGGTCTGAAGGTTGACTGAATTTGATGCTGTACACTGCAGGGAATCGTTCTTTGAGCTGCTCAACCGGCGTCAGGTGCACGATACAATGCAATGCAACCGGAGGCATGATATGGATGAAAAGGCTACACAGCAAGATCAGCGAGAGCTCATTGGGGACATGTTAGTCGAACATACCTGACAACTTTGTCCATGCTGTGGAAAACCATCGAGTTCCGCCACATGGCAATGGCGGCTGCGTTGTTTCCAAACGTCAGGCAGAAGGTGCTGATGAAGAGCCGTTTCGAGTTCGGGAATACCCATATAGTCAACATGCAAAGCAAGTTGACAAAGTAGCAGAGGTCGGCCAGGAAATAGTGATAACCCTTAGCATGGTAGGTGAAGTAGCGGATAGGCATGAAATAGGCCAGTTGGACACTGAACCAGATGTGGAAGTTCTCCGGACAAGCACCGACCAAGTAACCGCTGATGAAGATGTTCAACACACCGGCGATGAAGGACATCTTCTCTCGGAGAGTGACAGTCGCTGTCTTATTCCATTGCTTGCCCAAACGTTCCACGCCTTGGTTCATCCGTTGGCGATACTTCTCCAGCTTCTCATCGGCAGTCGGGGCCCGGCGCTTCCACTCGTCCACCACGCGTTCTTTCGCGTTCAAAGATGAGGACTTCAACTTCTCCCGCTGCTTGCGCACCTTATCCTTCTGCATGGCGATAGTTTGCTGCCACTTCTCCAGACGCTGGGAGAGCTGGAAGTTATCGAGGAGGTCGAAGATCGTAAGCTTGTCCAACGGTGGGAATGTTTCCCAGTCTTCCTGGTATGAGCTGCTGTTGGAGAAAGAGCCGTTGCGCGACAATCTGCCGGGGGAAGCGGGGGGAGAGTAGAAGCCATCGTTGTCGGCATAGTCATCCGCAGGGAAGGGCGCATCGATCTCCTCCAAGCCAGGTGTGGAGGCTATGGACTCGGCTGACATGATATCGGATCTTCTTCGCGAGCCACCACTCTCAGCCAGGAACTGCTGCTGGAAGAAGACTATTGTCGGACCGTCCCGAGTATTGGGATACGGTCGGCTAAGGAAGCGGTTGAATGTTAGCATTCCCAAATAATCGCAATGAGCTCGATGAGTCTGTGAATGGGGATAGATTCAGACGCTCAGCGAGCACCCCATTTCGGGTTTTAACCTCGAAGACGAGGTCACGAAACTTACCAGAGAGCTGTGGTTGGTGACCCAGTAAACAAAGATCACGCACACGAAAACGGCCAACGAGGTACCTGCTTTGGGGTGAATAACGGGGGATGGTGTGAAGCTGAAGAGCCAGCGAGAAAGCAGGAATCGCTGTGTGCTTGTGATGTGGCTGATGGTTGGTTGGTGAGCTGTGCTGGGGGATCGTCGTATTGGGCCCAATCAAGGACGCGCCTGGGCCCAGGTGGGATGTCTGCCTCAGGCACGTCTGTATAGATCGGTTTACTCTACACGATCACCTACATAGTTATCCTCACTACATTGGGAAGTTCGCAATATACAATTTGCCATTTTCATTTTAATCCGGCACCGTGCTCCAACCTGTTTGTATGTAAATTTGAACGTGTTCACATGAACCACATCTCCCCGCTTAACGCTCATGAACTCCGAATTAAACCCCAGTAAAATATAGTCACAAAGGCCTCAGTACCCATACTGAGACACAGAATTGGTATGAGGCCAGAAGGCCGGCCCTTTCTCAGAGACAAAAGGCTGTGTGTAATACCCGTTCATATAGGCCGGGTCAGGATGCATAGGCTTGGAAACATTCGGCGACTCATGGGGAGGAATGACCTGCACCGATGGTGGCATGACCATGCCGTATCCATATCCACTAGTCGGGCTCTGAGGGCCGCTGGACTCACTGGTGGTGGGTGAGAGGGGCAGGCCGTGCGAGCGCTGTGGCTTGGAGTCTTCTTCCAGCTTGGGGATCCGTAGGTCATCACTTGCCTCGCGCACATCACTGTCTGTCTCAAGTGACGGCCCTGTTGATGGTGCTGCGTGAGCAAGGGAGGAGATATCGCCGCGGTCTTGGAAGATCGCTTCTGGGAGATGGGTCTGAGTCACTTGGATCATGGTGTTGGCGTCTGTAGTGCAAATAGAGTTCTTAGCGGGATTGCTCAAGTCTTTACTAGGATGTGGTGTTACATACCGATCTCGCCGTCTAGGTACCTCTCTTCCATGTGTCGTACATAGTAGATCTCATCGAGCACGCGCAGCCGGTGAGCGGGTGTAATCTGGCGTCTCACGTCTTGGCCTGCATCTCGCAGTTTCTCTGTTGTCACTCCATGGCTATCTTTCAGCTCACAGAGGATGTGGACGAGGAGTCGGAGGCGATCTTGTTGCAATCAGTACTTTGTCCAATGAGCAGGGATGGTCTGAGGCTCTCACCTGGCTTGAGCAGATGATCGGGCTCCTTGTGAACGACCCCAGCGGGCCACCATCCGGGCTTGGTTTGCTCGGGATTGTCGGTCTGCGCAACACCAGCAATGGATCGACGTCCATTGTATGGGTAATGAACTTGTTTCCTAGGCTCGACGAGCTTGATGTATGACTTTGCGATGGCTCGGCAATTGAGCTGCTGGAAGTCTTCAAAGGCTTTTTCGTAGTACCGTCGCAGTAGGGCTCGGTTTCCTACTCGCAGCACAGTTCGTCCTGGTGGTGGTGTGGTGGGTGGGGGAGAGGTGGACTTTGGTCGAGACTTGACGATGCCCCCGGATCGCTTCGTCTTCTTTCGACTTTGACTTGTTGTCAGTTCGCATGGGATCATATCGACCCGTCTTTGGGGAGGACCCCATGTGGACTGTACACCCCAAGAGTGGGGTTCTCGTGCTGAGGGGCCTAGAGAGGTACATCAGGTCAACGATGTGCATTCTGGACCGAATATTTGATGACTCACTGGAGAATTGCGAATCGACCTGGCCACTTTGGCCGGTCAATTCCATGAATCGGTTGGTCACATCTGGTGTGAAGATTGTGCCTTCGCAGCCGGCGAACGATGCAGAGGTATCATAGTGTACCTGGCCATTGTGGTCTGTGTAGACCATGAAGTAGTGTGGGGGTGGGTTTTGATATTCAGTACTTTGTTGCGAAGTGATCGGCTGTAGTAGATGTCAGCAACGATCCCAGCCCCGAGGTCGTGACTCCTGCTTGAGGGTTTCTTTACCATGGCCATTGGCTGCTGGGGAATGCAAGTATCCGAATGTCTCCGTTCGAGGCCCTCGACGGGGAATTGGAAACCACGAGTGGTGTCCATGATGAGAAGTAGATGATTTGGGAGTATAGTGGCACAGCGAACACCTAGTAGAGACGGTCCGCAAGATAATACAGCGAGGGTCCAGGGATCTCGAGCATCGGGCGTGTACACGTATTTCACAGATCAGGTTCAATTGACAGGGGTGAACGCAGGTTGCCGAAGGATACTTTATCCGACTGCATTTGACTACAGGGGAGGAACTACGGAGTACAAGTACAAGTAGATATATGCCATTTATGCTGCATGATCCCCCAAGCCAAATCCCGAGTATTGATACGGAGATCCCCACATGACATCGGTGTCCCCTGAAAGTACGAGTCGGCCGTGCTAATGCAAGGAAAAAAGAAATAGCTGCAAAGCAGAGCGTGTGGCAATACGACCGCTTCCGTGTCACTTCTTGCGTCTGCCCCCTTTACCAGCGAATTGGTTGGGTCGAGTCCGGTCTGCGCATTGACATTGTAGTCGGGGGATCCGAGATCCCAAAACGAACGTCTCAACTTTCGATCGCCGCGGTTTCGTAAATCTAATCTCTCGATTTGGCTCCACCCCGAAGCCCTGTGCAAACGGTGTATCGATTCTCTCAGTTCAACCCTCGAGTCCTCTAGAAGTCAAGTCGACCTGACAGTCGTACAGTACATAGTAGGAAATGTGCTTAATCGATAGCCCAATAGCGTGCGTATGCGGAAAGGTTTGGGGGGCCAATCATCGCTTGGGCGATCGGCGATCTCTTTGGCCACATCACTCCCCACAGTACTCCGTATGTAGAATGGAAAGAAAAAAGAAACACGAAAAAAGAAAAGAAACCATCCTTGGCGCACCTGACATCATCGTATGCAAGCCACTGAATCCCAAGCCATTGACTAATCCGAATCTCCAGGGCTCTCCAGGGCCCTGATCTATGCCGTGCTATGGAGAACTTGTCCGCCCTGCAACGGCGGCTCCGGTTGGAGTTTTTATAACATCTTTCTTTTCCCCTTCTACAGTATTGTTTATTAAATTCGATGTATTATACTCGGCCGAACTGCCCAACCGCACAGACGAGAGTAGATAGGTAGCAAGAGGTTTCTCCCCACTGTCTGTGCGGTCAACCTAATCTGAAACGGGCCTGAAGGACCTGGAGATGCACTTGGGTCGTCGACTGCTGCTTCCAGGGGTCTGATTGGCAGGCTCAACATCCGTCAGATGGATCTATTCCAACCATCGAATCTTGAGCTTATTTCCAAGACAAGGCTGTGATCTCCAATATTGATTTTAAGGGGTTCGCTTTGATCTTCTCACGTTCGCCTTGTGTGCTTCGCAGCCACTAGTTGGAAGGTATTTGCATCCCACTAGTTTGGTTACAATCCACGAGTATTCCAAATGCTGTCGGAGTCTTGCTCGGACCGCGGGTGCAATCCGTATTTCTCGAACGCTCGGGACAGTCAGAGGGGCTTGGATCTTCGTCCGGCTTCAACCACCATTAGGATCAACTCCCTGCTCCCGGATCGACGATGTGGTGCCAGGAGCGGGGACGGATGATCCTAGCCCGAGCTGATCACTGCAACTCCGATCATTTCAACGTCGAATTTGATGACCGTCGCCTTTCCCGAGTCCTGAAACTGTTCCCAATCCACCGGGTCCATATACTTTCTTACTGGTATTCGAGGTCGTTCACAAAAGCCCTCGGGACAGCCTGAGTCGCTGGTGCCGCCCTAATACTCGGCCCGCAGTGGTGGCAGACTCCGTGGCTGCAGCTGTGTATGTAGTAAGGCCCGATTTAATCAATTGTTGCTGGGATCCTCCACCGTTCTTTAGATTCATTTTATTTTTCTACGGAGTAGTCCGTATGCGGTCGGGTGAAATCTTGGAACTGTTGCTTTTTCGCAGAAAAATGCCAATAATAGAGGTCTAGAGTTCGTTCCCTATTACGATCTGGACTGGGACCGGGATCCTCAAGGTTGTCGCAAACGGAAAATTCAACCGCCGCTTGCCATACGCTCTCATTTCGCCTGGGAAGCCGCGGTGGCGTATCTGTGCAGCATACCTTTGGAGTGCAATGCTCATTCGCGTCCCCGTCACAGAGCGGATCCTACAGCCCTGGAGGGCCGAAAAGCAAAACCGAGAGTATTCCAGATGGCCCCCTGAGGGCTCCGTCTGACAGCTGTAAGAATATATCGCGCAGGTGCATTCTTGGCGAATGTTTCTATTTGGGCCTCAATCTCTTGACTCGATAAGGCTCAAAGTCAACATCGCTAGTTAGGCAGCCTCAATATGCTTGGCCACTGCGGACACGAAAAAGAAAAGAAAGATAAAAATAAGAATTCGGACGAAAATAGGCAAAGACCAAAACGGAAATGGCGAGGATTATCTTCGCTCTGATTCTTAGTTCCACGCAATCGATACAAGGTACAATGCACGTATAGAAGAGGTCGAAAACAAACAAATATTGACAGTACGAGTTCATGAGGCGCACTGGCCCCGAAGTTCGAACCTTGTAACACCAACAGAAGCCCATTCCCCACAGACCACGGAACGAAAAGCCTTCGCAGTCAGTGGCTTGGAGGAGGGCAAGCATCCCTTGCGTGTGTGACTGTGTGTAGGTGCGGGGCGAAGCAGCGCAACAGAGCCGATCAACGGGATACTCATACAGAGTCGCAATGGACATGAGACAGAATATTACTCTTCTAAGTCTTGGCTGCATTATGAACACAAACGATTTACCCTGGCGCACTCCGTATGGCTAGCTGCTCTCGTACGTACTCTCGTTGCACAAGAAAAGATTCCACATTCGAACGCATCCCTTGACTTCCCCGCTGACAGCGAGTCTAGGGATCTCATTGTGCATGTAGATGTAACTTCATGTGCATTTCCGCAGAAAGCACTTCCGTATCCGCCGCGTTTTGACATTCCGTTGCGGAGTGCTCAGTAGAACTGGGTGATGGCAAATCCCTGGTACCAGGATACAGGTGCAGCATGCGTGCATTATTGATACTAGAAGCTCAGCTTCCCTGGCACCTGAGCTGCTCGTTATATTCGCCACGGGTCTGTTCGGGGCCCATTTACCTGGTGGCGGTGACCATGACCTGGACTTACCTGTCGACCTGGTCTTCTCTCACCGTACTCCGTCCGCCATGCTCTGCTGGGGGTATATCCTTCGGGGTTGGACCTAGGCTTTTTCTTTTCCTTTCGTCCTTTTGTCTTCGATGCTTCCCTCACTTCCGCTCCTCGGGTGCGCCATGTTATCCACCAAGCGCCCATTCGGGTGTCGCCACCACCAAGATAGCCAAGGAGTGATCTAGGTTCATTTGACACTATCTTTCTATCTTTACCGCTACATGGGCATACAAATGAAAAGACATTCACGAATCAGGAAAACAAAGTACGAGGTGGGGTCACTCTGATAATCCCTGTTTATCGTCAATAGAACTCGAAGACATGACTCAATCTAGATCCTCCCCCCTCCCCCTTCCTAAGCTTTCCATGCCTTTGATCCATTTGACCCACCAGGGAACATTACCACTAGCGTGCGGATGGGCCCGGGCAGGATTCCCGCTATTGCAAATCACAGACAGCGCCACTGTCGGAACCTCAATCTCAAATTCCCCTTTCTTGACCATCGCCGATGCACCAATGACTCCGGTCGGATAGGCTTCCCTTGAGATCATGATTATATGACGGGACCATCCGTACCAGGGGGTCCCTGTCGTGGCATCGCTACCATCTGCCATCAGTCGCTCCGATATCCCAGTAATACCCGGTCAATTCGAAGGGCAGTTGGTGCCACCGAGGGTTGTGGTGACTCCCGTCGTGAGCCTCCTGGCCCGATGAGGAATTCTGCCACCTTTGTGAGGCATCAACTCTTGTCTTTCTGTCCACCTTGGCACAACAAATGCATTCAGTGCTTCTATCAACAATATCAGCACTGATCTAGAAAACAGGTGACTCGGGTCATCTTCGCTATCCTACTCCTTCCTACTACTTACTTCATGTCAAGTCAACTTCGCAATTCTGACCTGGATATCTTCCGAGGGATCACCAACTTGGAATGCTCCTGATACCAACCATTTTTCATTATTCCCAACACTTTCTGGGTCAGTTTTTTTGGCCATTCTCCATTAACATCCAACATCAGAGCGCCTCAACCTAGATCATTGATGCCCTATTCGACATATTGAGTGCCCTTGTGTTGAACCACGTGCTTCAGGCGGACCTCGGGAGCTATTCGTTGTATTTCGTAGGTGTAACTTTCAAATGTAGTACAGCATAGGAAGAAAGTCAGGGTGTCTGAAATAAGTGGCATGAGACTTCCTAATCAGGTCAGGGGTTGCCATGGCCTTGTCTTGGTGGCTTTAACTGACCTCGGGATTACATCCAATACAAATGGTATGGGCCATGGTTTCCCTCTTGAAATAAGAACCTCATATATATGACAGGCTGGCCTCGTTTGAGGATGACGTTCGTTATTTCATTATGTTGGAAGTCACGCGACTCACATGTTTACCTCGAGGGCCAGCTCTATAGATCAACTTCCCTCCCTCTTCCAAGATATCTACGAATGCTATGCACTTTGCCGCTATTCCCTACGGTCTCTACCACAGAGTCCATCATATTCAAAACGCTGATTTGAATGAGCTTGCCCCGTGTACGGATGCCACTCTTCACGTGGTTGGAAGTGAACTTAGTCTCCCTAGCCTTTTCAACAAACACCTAGGTATATCTCCGATCTCGCCTTTTCCAAGGTTTGGCGTCCAAGTCTTCCAGGTCCCCTTTGCATTCCGGCCATCGGTGAGCTGTGCCTTCTTCGACCAACGTGATTGCTGACCTCGTCCTTCTTCAAACTGGTCAACAGTTGAAGTCATTCTACCAATCGAGCTAAAGACGCTTTGTTTCAACTGATGTTGATGTGCTTGACATCGACCTCACTCACTATATTCTCTCCACGAATTAAGCCTCCAATTCCTGGCATTCTTGATCATCGAAGATTGAACTATACCTAGGTACTTTCCTACTCTATAGTCTCCAGGGCTGTGGATATGATTACTCTACATATATAGTTACTTGATCTGTGGTTTCACTCTTCCTCTCCCTTCTTTCTTTCTCTTCTTCCTTCATTTTCTTCCTTCCGATTTTCTCTCTCCTCTATTTTCCAGGGTTCTCTCTTCGCTCTCCCTCTCCCTTCACTCCTTTCTTCCTCTTCTTTGCTTCTGTTTCCAGAAGTTTCTTTCTCTTCTCTTTTGAGAACTATATACATCTTGGTCACCAATGAAAGTGAAATTGAGATTCATCGCGATTTCCCGAGTCGACGGGGATATGACTGGTATCGAGAGCAAGGTTCGAAGCCACCGTTCCACTCTCTCACGTTCGAGGTCCAACCTTGGAAGCTAACTGTTATCTAGATACCCCTATGGGCATAGGTATTCGCATGACATCAGACCCAAGAACCTTGGAGTCATTTTCAAGTTTCGGACTTCAAAACATACGCCCTAGTTCTTTCATACTTGACCAGGTGTGCGGTACCTTTCCCCTAGGTGGTCTGTCAACCTTTCTAATGTTTCTTCACAGATGGTCTCGAGCCATGGCCATCCAGTACTTGAGAAAACCCTACTGGCCATCACAGACTAGAACAAGTCTTTTTGCGACATATCCAGATTACCATTCGGCTCCCGAATGGTACCGGATACATACTGCAGGGAAAGATGCAGCAGCTCTCGGCGGAGATGAAACACCAACGGTAACCCGGTGAATTTGCGAGCTTGCCTATCTATGAGATCATGATACACTCCCCAATAGCGTCGTCGAACGCGCAGTGCGACGAAACCTTGGAACAGATCTCAGAATCATACTTTGGTGGATGGAGTCTGTCTCAACTGCCGGAAACAGGATAGTGGGGAGGAAGTGCATCTCTTCAGTGCTGCGAATAACACGCTGCCAGATGAGATGCCCACCGAGCTGCCAGAACTCACCCAGGTTGAAGATATCCTCATCTCCCGCGTGCATGTGTTTCTCGGGGTGCGGCTGGTGCGTGGCCAGCAGTATAGATACCAGGGCCATGTCGTCCACTTTTTACGCGACATCGGTCGTGTATACGATCAGCTGCCGCTCCTCCCCGCAGAATTGGATATAATTCTGCTCCGCCCTACCGACGCTGACGAGAATCCCAGGATGCGCCGTCAGTTCACCCAGGATTTCCGCGTACGTCGCCGTGCTATTATCCAATGGCTTGATTTCCTCCGGCAAAACCATAGCGGATATCGGGATATCCAAGATCAGATCATGGGAAGTCTAGGTCCTGATATTTTCAATTTGACAGAGATGTGGTCGATGGCGGGTCAACCACCTGATGTTGAATTGCTTGAGATCCTGCAAGATTCGAATATCCCGCAAGATCAGCAGAAAGTCGGATTTCTCATGAAATCCATAAATGGGCTAAAGCAAGCGCCTGGGGAATGGTATTCATTGCTTCATGATGTGCTCACATCTATGGGCTTTATCCGCGCAGAAGGAGATCATTTGCGATTCGTCAAGAAAGGGGATCCCCCGATCTATGGGCTGATCTACGTCGACGATATCCTGATCCTATCTCCATCTGAAGATATGATTGCTTCATTCAAGAAGGAATTCTCAAAACATTTTGAGATTACGGATAAGATGGAAGTGAAGAGATTCTTAGGCTGACTAGGGCACTGGGAGGATATAGAGCACACTCCGACCTCGGAAGTAGCTCCCTCCTACACATAGCAGAAATAGCAGGGAAGGGTATGCAATTACAGAACACAACTGAAAATTGCTATTTGATTGATGCTGTGTCATTGATTACTCATGGGTTGCTTTCTCCTGTTTTCCGAAGGAAGATGTATTCTGGTCTGGCTGAGCTTGTTGAGTGTCCTTCTGAGGCGGAACTTCATGCTCGATGGGTGGGCAAAGCCACTGTCTTAGAGAATTCATTTCTTACTCACTTTGTCTATGTTTCTCTCTCTTCACGCTCTCTTCTTCATGATGTCCACGCAGGTTTATATAATTTCCCATCCGCATCTTCTCCTCTTCGACCTACTTTCCTCCATTCACTCAATATCCACAGAGCCTCGAGAGCCTTTCACATCCTCACTTCGAATTCGACGCAACGATGGCGAGTACCGGACTCAAACCTGAGCGTATGGGAGTCCTCAGGCGCAAGACGACATATTTGAATATTCGGGCAATCGAAAGACTCATCAAAAACTACGAAGAGCAGACAATCGCTGATAACCTGTTCTCTTTGGTCTGTTCGCTACTGACCTTTGCCTTCGACCCAAAGGACAACTGGGTCTCCGAATACCGCCGGGACGAGAAAAAGAACCACCTCAACGTTTTTCTTGTGAAGATTGACAAAAACGGGAACGAAGGCAATGAAGACAGTGGATTCCTGCATACTATGGTCAAGGTCATTTTCAATTCTAAAGATCCTTTCCCGGAAGAGTTGAATTGTGCCATGGCGCGCCTGGATCAGGCCCCAATGTCTGGAAATCGCTGCTGGGGCATTCTCATTCGTGGCCTCGAACTCAGACTGATAGAATATCACCGGGATCAGAGACCGGGATTGCGAGAAATCCCCTGCGACTTCGTTATCGACGGAAAGGTCACTGAGACTGTCCATATCCGCAACAACCCTCGTGAGGTTCACAACATCCTTACCCGTCTGCCTGGTCAATGGCCACAGCCACTCAGTGATAGTGAGCGTAGGAGCCTGATGGATCGGCGTGGGGCTCCTCGATTTGAAAGCTCTCGCGACTGGCGCAACCAAAGGGCACGACAATGAAGCCTAAAAGTGGAGATGGGTCTGATCTCCAGATGTCCTACATCACATGGGAGGTAATAGGAACATATTGGGCAAGCGGCCTACACAGTAAATGGCTGGCGAACTTCCCCACCTTCAGACACCATTTAGCTCTGGCCATTTCATCTATTACCACAGAGTTTTCATCGCGAAAAGGTTTATAACGCCCCGATCAATGCCAAGGTTGCTTAAAGTCATGTTCGAAGACGAAACTGGTATCAATTAACAGCCTCGGCGATAAAAGTGAACTGGCTGAGCTAGAAAGTTCCATATGGCATGCAACTCACATACCCAGCTAGACTAAATAATCTACAAAAATGAAGACAGAGCAAGTACAAACAAAGGTCGTCATAGAATCCGCGTAAGCCCCACTGAAAGCAACTAGGTGTATTTTCGGAGCTGTTGAGGATGGTCAGCATGACTAAATAAAAACGGGTGCAAGGCTCAGGGAACTCACATCAAGAGTCAGCGATTTGCTGCTGTTCTCAACCTGGTCACGGTAGATACCGACCAGCGCCTCACTGTTTTGGAACAGGCCTGTCTTCAGACTGATCACAATAAATTGCATGCCAGGGGCGGCGTGGTCATGAATATAGTTCGCAATGCGGGCGACGTTGGTGTTGTCGAGGGCTGCGTCCACCTCGTCCAACACGAAGAATGGCGATGGCTGGTATGAGTGGATGGCAAACAGCAGAGCGAGGGCGGCCATGGTCTTTTCACCACCGGAGAGGTGCTCCATATCTCTGAAACGCTTGAGGGGAGGCATGGCGTGATACTTGATACCGTCCAGGTAGGGCTCGTCCGAGTCCTCGATGTCCAGGTATCTGTGCAGTGTTAGTGGATAGCTTAGCTGTAGACCAGGGGGAGCTTACGCTTGTCCTCCGAGGGGGTAATTGGCGCTGCGTGTGAGCTCACGGTAGATAGGGCCGATGTGCTCAGAGATGTGGGTGAATGCTTTGTTGAAGAGGTCGGATCGAGTCTTCATCACGGCTTCGAACTCGTCCTTGGCCTTTCTTGCAGACTTGCGAGCATCCTCAAAGTCTTTTTCGGTGCTGCGGAGTTTGTTTTCGACACTCTCGAGTCGGTCCATGGCGCGGGAGTTAGGTGCCATCTTGTCAAGTTCATTGTTCAGCACGCGAACCTTCTCGAGGAGCTCGTCCTCAAGCTTATCATCCGCCTCCTGTGAAATAATTAGCATCAGAAAGAGAGTACGGATTCGGTTTAACAAACCTCTTTCAATGTTTCGCCGAGAGCATCAAAGTCAACCTCGATACCATAGTCGTGTACCACAGGGCCCTCATCGAGTCCATCTCCCTCATCCACATCCATTGCATCGGGATCTGCGGCTTGCATGAGATCATCGATGGGGAGCTTATCGAGGCCGTTGGAAGAATCAAGCAAAGGAATATCAATATCTTCAAGCTTGCAACGACGCAGAAGAGTATAACGGCTGGAGGAGTTCTTTTGAATCTCAGCCTCCAGGGCACTAACATTCTTCAAAGCAGTCTCGACGTGCCTGCTGCGCTTCTGGAGTTCACGACGTTGTTCAGCCAGGGTCTCTGCTGACTGTGCATAGACCTCCTTCTGCTTTTCAAGTGCCTCGCGAAGAAGCTCAAGTTCGGCTTCGAACTGATCAAGTTGAGTCCGGATCTCTTCTTGTTGGTTTTGCAGCTCCTCGATCTGACTATTATCACGCTCAAGTCGGGCTTTGAGGGCGTTGATTCGGTCGTCGGTTGCTTGAATGCGCTGCTTCTCAAAGCTAAGCTGATTTTCGATGCGGCTCTTCTGTGTCGTGAATTCGAGCTTTTTCTGGGCAGCTTCTTCTTGTAGAGACCCTTGCTGGGCTTCGTATTCCCGGATATCATCATAGCCCAGGCGCTTGCAGAATTTGCGGTAGACGTCGTCCTCCACAGTGCTGACTGAGGCCTGCAATTCCTCAATCTTTTCGTCAAGTTCGTCGAGAGTTTCTTTGCGCTCAGTGTATTTAGGACGCAGGTCTTCCATCTGCTGACCGACAAATTGCAGCTCGCTGCGCTTGCTCTCGAGGTTTCTCTCGAGAGCCTTGAGCTCATCGCGGGAATAACTCAGACGCTGCTCCAACCCAACGAGTTCGCCTTGAAGCGTCTCCTCTTCTGAGCCGCGACGGTGGCTCTTTGGCAGGTTTGTCAGGTCGTGCATAAGTTTTTCCTTCAACTTGTACAGGTTCTCAACCTCAGAGTCCTCCCATCGCTTGGAGTTGTTCTGTTGAGGACCACGTCCACCAGTCATAAGACCACCCTTGTGAATGACAGTTCCATCGAGTGTGACCGCCTTCGCATCCACGTTACGTTCATAGCAGAGATACTTGGCCGTCGCGAGATCGTCACAAACAATCGAGTTTCCACATGCGTAGCTGATAGCGCGAGCAACCGAGTCATCGTAGTCCACAGTCTCGATGGCAGGTCGCATGCCCTTGTGCATACCCTTCAGGTTTGAGTTGAAAGCCTTCACCTGAATGGTCTCCAAGGGGATGAAAGTAGCTTGGCCCGCTCGTTGGTCACGGAGATGCTGAATGCACTCCTTGGCGGTCTTCTCATTGTCGACCACGATGGCATCGAAGTGTCTACCAAGCACTGTGCTCACTGCATCTGAGTACTTCTTCTGCTTCGGCCGACAAAGGTCACTGACACGACCCTTGACGCCTGGGAAGATACGCTTCAGAGTTGAGATCAACTCCTTCGCCCGTAGCTCACGTTCGGTCTGCTTCTTGCCATCGTCAGCTTCAAGGAGCTTGCGCAGCACGACCTGAAGCTTTTCTTCTAATTCAGTGCGCATTTGTGACACCTTTAAGCGCTCCGATGTTAATGCGTTCAGCTCCTTCTTCTTATGATCGATATCCTTGGAAGTTGACTTGTTCGTGCCATTGAGAGAAGACTTGCGCTCGCCCATGCTTTGGACGTCGGACTCCACGGACTTGAGCTGACGCTCAGTGCTTTCGAATCTGTCCTTCAAACTGTTCACCGCTTCGGCCTCGGTCTTTCGCTGTCGGCGAAGATTGTCAAGATTAAGAGAGTCGGCAGATGAGCGGAGGTTCACTTCCTCGCGGAGCTTATGGTACTCTTGTTGATCCGCGTCGCTCAGTTGACCACCCTTCTTATTTTTGAGCTTCTGCCATTCGGCTTCCCATTGAGCCTGGGCTTTTTCGACGAGCTTTAAATCCTTTTCTAGCTGCTTTCCATTGTTCGATTGGGATGTGCGCTCCTTGTCAATCTCGTTAATCCTTGAAGTGAATCTCTCAACGTTTCTCTGCGTGACGTCGATTTTCTCGTCAACAGGTACAAGGGAGTTGTTGAGTTCTTCGATCTCTTTCTCTTTCCTGGTGATGTTCTTCTCGGCTTTGCCGACGTCCCTGCCAACTCGAGCATGGTCCTTCTTGGCCTCTTCGACATTCTTTTCGTACTTGTCAACGCCACGGCGATACTCCTTTAGTTCGTCGTGGTATTTCTGAATGTCTGCACTGGAGTCGTCAATCAACCGTTGGAAGTGGAACAGTTTCCATAGAATATGCGTGATGATAGCTTGGTCGCGTTCGTCGGCCTTCTTCGCATAGTTCTCCGCCTCTCGCTTTTGTTCCTGGTATTGCTTGACTTCGGAGTTGATGCCTCGTCGGCGATTGAGTTGGACGGTCTGTTGCTCTGCGGCTTCCTCTGCCTCAGCCTTGAACTTTTCGTAGTCAGCCTTGTGCTCCAGACTGCCGGAGATCTGCTCAATGAGGCGAGTGAGGTCTTTGGGTGACTGGGACGCAATAGCCTCGACATCACCCTGGAACACAAGGAAATTTCGAGCCTTGATCAAGATGTTTTCCTCCTCGAGGGCTTGGTTGTACTGTTGAGCTGTGACGATGCGGTTGTTGATGCGGTACTCGCTGACACCTTGGCTAGTGATTGATCGACTCCACTGCTGCTCCTCACCAGCATCGTCCTCATAGACTGCCATCACCCAAGCGGACTTGGGGTCATTTCCAGCGGCGTCTTGGGAGGCATCAATGGTCTCCGGTTCCTCTTGTTCACCATCCTGTCCATTGCCTTCAGGCTCTCCGTCGACCTTTGAAGTGCGCAAGACACGGCCACGGTAAACTAGATCGCGAAGATTGGTTGATCGCAGGTGAGATGACTTGATTCCCAGTACGAAGGAAATAGCATCCATCCTGATGCGCGTTAGGCTGGTGCATTATTTGGTCGCGAGGCAAACGGGGGACTCACGAATTCGACTTGCCAGAGCCGTTCGGCCCGATGATCGAGGTAAAGTATGCATCTCCGAAGAGCAGAGTATGGTGTCCCTTATAGGATTTGAAGTCTGCTCAAAGTTAGCGAATGTACTCCGCACGCACGGAATCGCAACATACTGAAAAGCTCCAGACGAATGAGTTTCCCCATATTGACAGCTGCTTCCCCGAGGGAGCAACGCGCCTAGAAATTCGAGGGCCCTGTAAATTAAAGACTGGAGGTGTGGGCAAGATGCGTGGGGGGCGCGATAGCGGGAACACCGCGTTGATTCAAGACGCGCCTGGCCATCACGTGGCCGATGCGAAAAACGTCTCGGGTTGGAGTACTATACTTCTTTGTCTGACTTTGTTTTTTCTAATCCTTGAGGTCTCAAAATCAGAGTATATGCAGGTCAAATATTTGATTGGTTCGCTTCTTTTGCTAGTATTACAAGTGCTGTGCTGCCCAACGAGGCCAAAATGATGTACATAGACGGGTTAAACTAATGCATCCAACCAATTCCCTTGACGGATTCATTGCTCAATCTCTGAAAGGCATCTTCATATTCACCATGCGACCAAAGTGCAGGAGATCATCCGATACGTATCCATTGGAGTCCAGTCGATATTGAGCCTTGCGCCCAGCCAGCTGAACGATGATGAAGTCTTCATTTGTGAAGACTTGGCGCATGGCCTGGAAAGTTCTCCAGAGCTTGTAGCTAAGTGCACTGACGGGAGACTTGAAGAACTGCGGGGGTTCCTGCAAGCCTCCACCGATCCTCCTGTTGTCCAGTTCATACCGCTTCGCGGTCTCTGGAGACACGGTCAATCTGCGCTTGAAGGAGATATCTCCCGGTGCGACCTCAACCTGGTATGGCTTCTTGAACGGCATGAAGCTTCTCACTGAAAACAGTACGCGCATGCGCCCGTCGGAGTTCACGGCCTTGATGTTTTTCACTAGGAACCCAGTTCGGGTAATGAACAAGGTTCCCATGACACTCATCACCACACAGATTCCACCAAAGAGAGACTTTTGCCACATTGGGATTTGAACAATGGGATCCACGAAGGTCGCATTGGAATTGTAAAGAGAGTAGGCGAAGCAGAACCCGGACAGGCCGAACGCGGTTAGGACGTAGGCGCGGTGGGAAGGAGCCTTGAAGAGCAGAACTTCGCCTCCATGGAGGACTTTGGTTTGGAGCTTTGCAAGCGCCCGGGGATTCTTGTTGCCCTGAGGGCCCGAAGCCTGCCAGGCAGGATCGATGGTTCGGGGCACGCCTTTGGCTTTGCTGTGAGGCGCACTAGAGTTGAAGTACCGCCATGATGTTTTCAAATTCTGCTGGAAACCAGTCCGAGCGGGTGTTCCCAGGCATTGGCGCCAGAATATCCGAAGGGTGGGTAGTTGAGCGGACATTGTTGTGCTGGTCCTATCCTCGAGTTAGTAAATTGACCAATGCCATGACGCGCAGCGGGTCAAAGCCCATAGACACGCAGTATACATGTGCGCGGAAAAGCATCCACGACACCTCCAGGGAGTTTCAAGAAACTTACCAGGAATCCTATGAATTCACCGTGTTCTCCTCGGAAAGCGCCGACAGATCGAAAGCAAGCAATGCGGCAGAAAAATGTTCCCGTCCCGGCCGCCGGTGAAAGCTCCCAACGCCCTCAACACCTCCGACAGTTGCCTCGAAGGACCTCAAACGCACCCCAAAACGAATTGAACTTGGATATTTGCGCGTCTCGACGTGGTGTGGTGGGCTCTTCGTTGATCCTGCTCGTTTCTCCCGATTCCCAGCTTCCGCGGCGAGTTGCGACACCGGCCGAAGATCTCCATCGGCAGCGCATCTCCACCTTACAAAAACTCCAATCTCACCCTATACGCAATGGCCGCCAAAATCTCCGTCGGTCAGGTCCCGGCCATGTTTGCCCGGCGACAGCAGCAGGTATTCGGTGTCGGAAGACGTGAGTTCAGCCCGTGGTCATGGCAAGCAACCTTCCGCAAACCAGAACCCGCTCCGTTGAGTCCGGCCTTTGACAGAGGGTCTGGGCTATAAAATGGAAAAAAACAGTCTATCTAACACAATTGCTTGATCTAGGCCTGCAGTCCACCTCTTCTCAGACCCAGAACCCCGCCTACCCGCTCTACCCCTCTGTCGCCCAGCTCCTCCGTGAGAAGGGCATCCCCAAGACCGATGTCTCCAAGATCCCAGCCTCCGGTCCCAAGGGCCGTCTTCTCAAGGGAGATGTCCTCGCATACATCGGCCAGATCGCCTCCGACTACCCGGCCACCCAGGCCGCCACTCTGGCCAAGCTCGCCCACCTGGACTTGAGCAACATCAAGATCGCCCCGGCCTCGGCCCCGGCCGCACCGGCCGCAGTCGAGGAGAAGCCCGTCGCAACTCCTCCTCCCATGACCTCAGTCGCCATTTCCATCTCCCTGTCTGCCGTGCTCTCCGCCCAGAAGAAGCTCCAGGACAACCTTGGCGTCACTGTTCCTCTGTCCCGATTCTTGGCCGTCGCCACAGACATCGCCAACGAGGATCTGCCCCGTCTGGCCAGCTACAAGCCCTCCGCCGATGAGCTCTTCGATGAGGTCCTCGGTGCTGAGCCCGTCGACTCATCCCGTGGTGACTACCTGCCTGAGCTGAATGCTTTCGAGGCCCCTCAGACTGTGCGCTCCAAGCCTGTCACTGAGGACCTCATTGATTTCCTCAGCGCTAAGCCTTCCAAGAAGGCTGCCCCTGCAGCACACGTTGAGTCAGCACCCGGTGCTGCTTCTAACGTCTTCAGCTTGACCGTCCCTGTCGATGAGCAGTCCCGCGCCAAGGAGTTCCTGGAGCGCATCAAGACTCTCCTCTCCGTTGAGCCGGCTCGATTGGTCCTTTAGATTTCTTTCGTCATACACTCCCCCTGTTCCAACTTTTTTTTATAGTTTTTTCCAAGTCATTTGAGCCAAGATCGTCAGTCGAAGCTCATTCATGAATGTATTCAATGTAGCATAGTTAATTGGGATTTGCCTTGAAATGGATTACTTCACTCAACACGATTCACGTAGTACAAAGAACTCATACAATATTGGACAGTACAGCAAATCCCTAATCATACTTGACTGACGATTGTCTGGTCTCATTTCTGGCATGGCATAAATTCCACCGGTGATGGCGCTAAATTCTATGAGATCAGATCGAAGGCAGAACAGAGTGCCGCAAAAGAAAAAAGGGTCATCTCATCATGAAAACCAAAGCCCTGCAGTATGCGTTGCAAAAAAAAAAGCCCCGCCGCAAAACGCCATAAACCGTGATAAAGAAACACCAAGCGCCGCCGCTGAAAGCCTCCGAAGAAGTGGCTCTGGATCTGTCCAGGGAGTTCTGAAGTGGCTGGCCAGTGATTAGCGTTGCAAAACAGTCTCCCAATGAACAAGGGGAAGAGCCCGAGGCAGGACTGATGAAAGTAAAGCGCAAGGTAGAAAAGAATGGGAAAGCAAAATAAAAGCAAGCAAGGTGGCCCATATTTGAGACCAAAGAGCGCCGAACGTCCAGCCGGAAAATGCTCTGAACCCCGTGAGAAAGATGCAATAGATCCCCAACGCATGAGATGGTTAAAATCGGAATCCCTCTCAGACCATGCAATGTATGCCCCAGTAAGTAATCCGTGGAACGCAAAACTCCGTGTCAAATGCAAATTAAGAGAGAAGGGGTGGGAATAGATGTTGAAATCAGCAGTGCTAACGAATGATGCCCCATTCGGAAAGCTTACTGCCTTCGCGGCGGTTGTCTCGAGCGCCACGCTTGTCGAAGATTTTCCAGAATCTCAGTGTTTCGTCGCCGGCTCCTGTGACGACAGTCTGACCGTCAGGGCTCATGGCGAGATAGAGAACACGGAAGGTGTGACCCGTCAAGGACACAATCTGTTCCATGCGAGGATACTTCCAAATGACGATTTGGTTCTGGCTATACCCATGTGTGCTGATGATCTCGTCTGAGTTTTTGGACCAGGAGAGGTTGCAAACCTGGCTACCGGTGTCAACCTCTTTGATCAAGGACCCGGTCGATGTGTTCCAGAATTTGATGGTGCGATCAGCTGTACCTCCGCCTGAGGCAAGGAGATGATGTTGGTGGGGAGACCACGCAATGGCCTTGACTGCAGCGTTGTGGTCTGAGAATCGGAAGAGTGGAGTTTCGTTAAGCTTGTCCCAGACCATCAACTTGTTGTCGTTACCGCCAGATGCCAGTTGACCGTCTTCGGTGTTCCACTTCAGCCCACACACTTCCTGTTTGTGTCCAGAAAGCCTCCTGATATACTGGTCGGGGGAGCGAACATCACGATGGTAGATCAAGCGATCTCTAGATCCTGATGTGAGAATATGGTCATTCCAAGCTAAAGCACCAACTCGGTTCGTATGTCCAATCATGGTGCGCAGGCGACGACAATGCTCCGCGTCCCAAATCTGAACCAGACCTTTGCCCGTGCCAATTGCGAGATGGGTTCCCTGCTTGGTACGTCAGCAACATGTCTTCAGCGCTGGTGTCTAACAGCTTCTTACCCGTTGAATCCAATTCACACTGGTCACTGTATCATCCTTGAGGTCGCACAGCTTGGTGACTCGCCCTGACTGTGAGTTCCACATATAAACAGAATTGGCCAACCCCACACCGAGGACATTGCTGCTGCCCCAGTCAACCAGATTGAGGTAAAAGTCATCTTGTAGTTCTGGTGCGTCCAAGACCTTGAAAGGGACCTTGTTTACAAAACGTGCCTGCTTGCGTGGTGTTTCAAGGATACGCTGGCTGTCATATCGAATTGGAGAGAGGCTGTAGAGTTCCGATCGAACATCTAAGTTGGGGCCGTGGAGACTGCGAGGGGTTTTTGAAGGTGTCGGATGTCCAGATCCAGGCCTGGAGGCTCCATAGTTAAAGAGGTTTTTGTGAGGGGTGGAGGGGGTGATGCTGGCTGGGGGTAGGTTGGAAGCGATATGGGCAGGAGGTGTATGCGATCGAGTCTTGTCATTGATTCCATTGGTGAAGCCGTGTAACGGGTCGGTTGGTGTGGCGCTCACGTCGGCCTGCGGAACTGTGTTTCCAAACAACTCACTGCGCAAAACCCTAGAAAACGTACGATTGGCTTCATCCGCTAGATTTCAAAGTCAGTAAGTTGTAGGTTTTTAGGGTTTCAGGCTGTGCATACTCTTCTGGAAATGCAACTCAGAATGGGGACCCCGTTTCTTGGCTTTTGAAGGGGTTGAAGGGCACCCATCTTCGTGCAGTAAACTGTAGGTCGCTTGGAGATCTTGACCCTCACGGTTGGGGATGAACCTGATTTTGTGTCAGCTGTGCGCCCACATCAAGCTTGTCATTGTGTTCCAAGTTGCCTCGAAACACCAGGCAATTGAAGGTGCCACATACCGATCGCCATACACCCGTTGTCGCTTGCGGCATGGACTTGATACCGGGGTTCGCTCCCGCCGCCCGCCCGCAGTCTCATAGTCCTTTAGCGCTCTTGCTAACGCACTGGGATCGACTGGTTCCACTCCTTCTTGTCGACGGTTACCAGAATTGTCTGGAAAATACATTGTTCGCTTGTTCGGCATGGTCGGCGGTGTCTTGGACCCTGGTGGCGATACTATGCTGGAGATGTTGGATGATTGCGCTTTAGCCGCCGTCTCGCCCGCCTTGCCTGATTTCCGCGGTCTGTCTGCCATTGCGATGGTCTGTCTGGGCCTCAGAGACAAGATACAGCCAGTCAAGCAGTGATTTCCGGTTGCATAAGATGGATCCGACCGGGTTTCCACTGATTCCTGGGTTCGGTTCTGGGGGTGATTGTATTTGAAGGGCGGGATTCACAGGTCTGTTGTTGTTTCAACGGAGTATCAATGCGGGCCCCTCAATAACGGTCGGAGTGAGTATTAGGAGATATCAGACACCAGCAGACCCTGATTCACCAAGCAGATCAACAAAGGGGTGTTTGAAGACCTGCGGCATATGAATGGATGGGGTGTCTCTGTCAAGGGAGTGACGGAGTTGCGCAGGGCGACTCTCTGGGTCACGCGTCGGGAACGCTAGTCCTAATTGGGACAGTATTGGCCAAACACACTCTTCACTTCGAACACCGTTTCACACACCATACACTCACTTAGTGAAATGTCGATCAGAGTCCCGCAGTGGATCGTTGATTCTTTATGCCGGGTCTCATATGGTCGCCAAGCAATTTGGGGCTATCTCATAGAGTTTATAGTACTAATGTCAGCTTTGTTTAGATTGAGACCAACTGAAAGGAAACGCGCCTAATGCCTACATAATTGCCCTGGGAAGTGGGGGATGCTCTGAACGCGAGATCACTTACTTCGTTCAGAGCTTAACGCGACTGGACGCGACGCGGTGAAGCTTGGGCCATGGCAACGAGATTCTGTCGCTGCGCATTCTAGAGACGTTAAGTGGGACCACACTATTATCAATTATTATCTACGGAGTAATATAACTAGTCCATATGAGGTTATAGTCAACTACAGTAGTCTAGCGATCAAAGACGATTTCATAGATTTATCCGTGGGGCTAAGGTGGTACCCGTCACCGCCAAGTTCGCCCGCCAAACTTCTTTCTCTATACACATTGCTATGGTCTTCAGGCGCCTCGGTCCTAAACTGCTTGGCCTTACTCAATACTCCACAATGGCTTCCAAACAATCTGCCCTGGACTTCCTGTCCTTTGTCAATGCTGCTCCTACCCGTATGTGGATCCATTGAATGACAGGCAATGTCGCTGATCTGGTTTCGCCTCTAGCCTTCCATGCCGTCCATGAAGCCAAAGAACTTCTGGCCAAGGCAGGATTCCAGGAAATTAAGGTTAGTCTCATTCCTATCGCTTACCTTTGTAATACTTGGTCTCATACATTTTGACAGGAGAAAGACTCCTGGGCGTCGACCTGCAAGCCCGGAGGCAAATATTACTTGACTCGCAATACCACTACCCTGGTGGCTTTTGCGATCGGCAAGCAATGGCAGGTATGTAGTGATCCCAAGTCAATAGCCTCTGAAAATCTGGCTGATGGTGGGGATAGCCCGGTAACTCGATCTCGATGATCGGTGCTCATACTGACTCTCCCGTCTTGAGGGTCAAGCCCGTGAGCAAGAAGAGCGGGGAAGGCTTCGTGCAAGTCGGTGTCGAGACCTACGGTGGAGGCATCTGGCACACCTGTACGTGCAACATCATTGCCACCGTGCTCTCGCTAATTCCATCTAGGGTTTGATCGTGATCTCGGTGTTGCTGGCCGTGTGATGACTCGGGCAAGCGACGGATCTATTGTGCAGAAGCTCGTCAAGATTGACCGTCCTAGTATGTTTAATCGTTCAGCTTGATACGTGCACCTCACTAAGATTTTAGTTCTGCGCATTCCGACTCTGGCAATCCACTTGGACCGCCAGGAGAACTTCTCCTTCAACAAGGAGACTCAGCTGTTCCCCATTGCCGGCCTCATTGCCGCTGAGCTGAACCGCACTGGAGAGGCCACGGCCCCAGAGGCGAGCAACGATGCTGACTTCTCGCCTCTCAAGTCCATGACCGAGCGTCACCACCCTTACTTCGTGGAGCTGATTGCTTCCGAGGCCGGCGTTAAGCCCACCGATATCTTGGACTTCGAAATGATCCTGTTTGATACTCACAAGTCATGCCTTGGTGGTATGCTGGAAGAATTCATCTTCTCCCCTCGCTTGGACAACCTGAACAGCACTTTCTGTGCCACCGTTGGCCTGATTGATTCTGTTGCTGAGCCCTCCGCTCTGGACAACGAAGATGCAATCCGCCTGATTGCTCTCTTCGATCACGAGGAGATTGGCAGCCGCACAGCACAGGGTGCGGACTCGAACATTCTTCCGTCGATCATCCGCCGTCTGTCTGTCCTTCCATCCTCCTCCTCTAAGGACGCCGATCTTTCCACCGCTTATGAGCAGACCTTGTCCACTTCATTCCTCGTCTCTGCTGACATGGCTCACTCGATCAACCCCAACTACTCGGGCAAGTACGAGCCCGATCACAAGCCGGAGATCAACAAGGGCCCCGTGATCAAGATCAACGCCAACGCCCGTTATGCTACCAACTCCCCTGGCATTGTCTTGCTGGAGGAGATTGCGCGCAAGACCACCAAGGATACCGGTGTGCACGTCCCTTTGCAGCTGTTCGTCGTTCGCAACGACTCGAGCTGTGGCAGCACTATTGGTCCCATGCTGTCTGCTGCTCTGGGCGCACGTACTTTGGATCTGGGTAACCCTCAATTGAGCATGCACAGCATCCGTGAGACTGGAGGTACTCACGATGTTGCCCATGCCATTCGTCTCTTCACAGGCTTCTTCAAGCATTACTCGGAGTTGTCGAAGAATATTTTGGTGGATTAAGTCCTCAGATATGTATTCGCAGGCATGACAAACATGACAAACCATACATATGAATCAAGTTAAGCATATATTCATCAGATAAGTCCATTAGAGAACATTCGAAGTAAGAAGCAAAGAGCGAAGAGAAAAAGTACCTTGATAGATATAGCACGTGGTCCGGACCGAGGAAAGTCCGCCCCCATGTCTCCAACCGGCGGGAGCGCTGATCAATACCCAGCCAACCCACGGGGAGTCCTCACCTCGACTCCTTCTCCACTGCTTTTGGATACCTTCCAAGCCCTCATGATCCTCTATGACAGACGTCGATGCCTTTCGGGACGCGGAATACATCGCTGACGTGTCCGGCATATCCTATGACGATGAGGAGCCACCAAGGCCAACAGGCACGCTCAGCAGCCAAAACCGCTGCGTGAAGAAAGTCCACTCCGCTGCCAAAGTAGCCTTCATTGACAGGTTGATGCGCGATCTTGACATATTCATTTATTGTCAACTTTCCGCCCTATATTACATGGAGTGAGCTCAACCCCGGATTGTTGCATGATGCATCATCTCCGTCCCCTCATTCCGCCACAGCTTCCTAACCGGCTATCGTTATCTAGCTGCTCGATATTACTCTTTGCATTACGCGCCCTAGTCCAATTGATCTTATTCACCCCAAAAGCGCCTCCCTTTGAACCTACCCGAAACCACCCTTTCATTGGCGGCATCATCGTCAGTAATCTGATATGCGTGATCTTCCATGCCTTCTTCATTCGTCCCGAAGCCGGCGAGGAAACTCGTGGCTATCTGCATGGGGGTCTGTTCATCGATTTCATCGGACAAACACCCGTTTCCATCTCGCGGCTTCTAGCATTCGACCTTCTAATCTTCCTCGTCGATATCGTACTGTTGGCTCTGACCATCGAGCGGGTCAACACCATCGGAACCCCTACTCCAACTCCTACAGGTCCGCCCCCAGCTCCAAATCTAGATACAAACCAAGAGACAACGGGATCCGAGCCACAAGACCATGATGCCGAAGAGCGCGGAGTCTTGCGGCAGGAAGACGGCCATGAAGTACCACCCTCTGCCGACAGCACAGAATCGCCTCACAGTAGCAGTGTCGATGAGGAAGTTGAAGAGGAGCGCACAAGTCTCCTGGCGGATCCGACGGAGGGCCAGTCTCCAATTGCTGCTCGAGGGGGTCACCCGACGGATACATTTGCATCTGGCGAGGTCATCATCGCCAACGTTCCTCTTTGGGGTACTCTTAGAGATCAGCAGCGTTATTACAAGGACCTTACTACACGGCAGGCATCTGGCTTCACTCCGACGGCAGAGACAGCGAGTTTCCTTCGTCAACGTTTCGGTCTCCAGGTTGGGACTGACGGTCGCATTGAACGTGTCAATACATGATATTTGGAACATATACCCATGCCTTTTTTGCTTCATTTTGGTAGCCCTTGCTGTATTTTCCGTGTTCCAAGATCCGCGTGGGTATACATTTCTTGAGAAAGAATTCTACAGCCCTCGTCTGTAGCTTCCAAGTTGTATATATTTCCGGGCCTGCCCTGCCACTTATGCGTCCGACCTGGTCCGAGTTCTCATTCGGTCCCAAATATCATGCTACCTAGGTAGGAGCCCAAAAAAACCCCAGGAGTAAAAGCACCTTGAGTAGAACCATGGACAATTTTCATATTAACATAGAGCTCTACAAAATACCTCGGTACTAAATGTAGTTAGCAAGGGCTTTCAGTCAAGCAGCCTCGCCGGCCCAAGGTCTGATACAAATCGACCCCCAAACCGAACTGCCCTTAGACAGTAGGAGGTTTAGACTCCTCGCCCGAGTCCTTCTGGACCCGACGATCCAGAATCTCGTCAATAACTCCCAGATCCAAAGCCTCCTTCGCACCCATGAAGTAATCTCTCTCCATGATCTTCTCAATCTCTTCGAGAGACAATTCTCGCTTTCCAGTAAGATGTCGTTGGTAGATCTGGTTGAGCTGATGGCGCACACGTAGAATCTCCTTCGCGTGGATGGCGATGTCGCTCGCCTGTCCGATGTAGCCGCCCGAGGGCTGGTGGACCATGATCGAGGAGTGCGGGAGACAGTAGCGCTTGCCGGGGTGTCCACCGGCGAGGAGGAGGGATCCCATTGAGGCAGCTTGGCCGACACAGATTGTACTGACGGGTGCGGAGATATATGTCATTGTGTCGTAGATTGCGAGGCCTGCGTGTGTTAGATTGTATTGGTATATATTGGGGCTGGGGCAGATAGATCAGTAGAGCTGGGCACCGCGTGACGTACCTGCTGTCACTGAGCCTCCTGGGGAGTTGATATATAGGTGGATAGGCTTTGCGGGGTTATCGGCTTCGAGGAAGAGGAGCTGGGCAACAATTGAGGCGGAGAGGGTGTCGTCGACCTCGCCGTTGAGGCAGATAATGCGTTCCTGGGGTTTGGTCAGTAGATGTCCTAGTATAGAGAAGGCCTCTCAGTCAGATCTTACCTTCATCAACCGGGAAAAGATATCATCTGCGATACGCGACACATGTCAGATGGGTCAACTTGCTTCATGCGGTGTGCAAGCGTCGCTGTTATATTTCGATCGCACAACTTACAAGTATGCCAGCCGCCTCCCTGTACAACGATATTAGCAACATGATTCATAGGTCCAAGCTTTTATGACCAAGTCAAACATACCACTGTCTCTGTGACGAACGGTGTCGGGGTCCAGCTCCGCGGAGGCTGCGCGAGCGAGGGGCCTTGGGTCGAAAAGCATCGTGTGAAGCCAGGTGCCGTCCGGGCAATTGGCACACGGGTCTGGACAGAGCGTCCTAGTCGGAGAGGGATTCTGGACATGTTGGTGAGTGGTCGCAAGCATGAACAGAGCCGGCAGACGATGAGCCGAATCGATAAGGATGCGCGCTAAGATAAGGAGCTCTGGGGTGACGAACTCCAACGTTGCAAGGTTGGCATCCCAGACCATTGGCTGAGTCTCGGAAGCCGTTGACTTCTAAGGTCATTTTCAAGCTTCATACCTCCCAATTTACTCGGTTTCATTCCTCATTGGACCTGTTGTTCAGCTGAATCACCAACTCCGCATATAAGGGGCTCCGATTGGCTCACACAGCTCCGAGATCATCTTTTCCACTCTCCCGTTGGACTTGCCCCCATCTTCACATCCACCAAAACACAACGATGGAGTGTCTTAGCGCCAGAGTCCCTTATGCGAAATGGCGCCTCAATGCATTCCGACAGTTACTTGTGACCTCCCAGCCTTTGACTGCCCATACAGTCAAGCGCATCTCGACCTCCCGACAGAACAAGATGGATGAGAGCGCATCAAAAACATCGACAGAGACAAATGACCATGTTTCAATTCCCGACTCGATCCCGCCATCTCAACGCCTCCCACAATCGCCGCTGATTGCACACCCTCGCCCCGCGCACGACAAGAGTCGCAAAAAGCGCCCATCGCCAGGGGATGCATCGCCGCTAAGCAAGAATCCTTGGGCAGTCGCACTGGCATCACCGATTCGCATGTGTACGATAACTGGCGCAAGGCTTCCATCAGAACTCCTTGGCACTTGGGGCCTTGTGCGAGAGCCTGGCACCGACTTGTCATATATGTTGCCCGTGGGCTTGATGCAGGATTCATTGACGAGCAACAAAAACCAAGCCCCCAATGCCAGCGGAACAGAACAGCCCCCGGCACCTCAAATACATCCGCAGACGGCGGCGACAAAGCCCCGAATCCCAGAGGACGGGTCCGAGGCTCCTGAATTCACGCCGCCGCCGATCCGAAACAACCGGCCTGGGCGTCAACTCGTCATTCGGATGACTGAACTGCTCCCGACTATCCAGGCCATCACAGCTCCTCTGTCTAAAAAGGGCGGGAAGAAACCACCGGTTATGAGACTGGTACCATTCCGATGGAAGCATCCTCAAGGACCCGTGAAGCCAAGCCAAGAAAAGGACCTCCTTTGGCTTGAGAATACCCCAGACATTCTAGTACGCAGCATGCGCAACGATGTGTGCAAAAAGCTAGGCGCAATTCTTGCAAAGTACAAACGTGTCGGTACTCCCAATGGTGTCTGGAGAGCTCTTGATATCCCACAGTACTCGAATGCTGCGCTTGAGGAAGCTTTGGGAAAATTGGAACCCGTTGAGCGCATGGGTGATGGCTGTGTGCTGTTGCTGGATGCAGAGAGTGCCCACGCAGAAAGACCTGTTGACTCGGTCGCTCTTTCACAGACGGGATCCAAGGTTCCGGTGTTCGATTTGTCGGTCCTCCTTGCAGACACTGATTTGAGCTCTCTGCGTGCGAGTCATGCCCAGTTTGAACAGAATGCTTTGTTTTTCAGACCTGAAGAAACACTGGGCGTCACTGCGATGATAGCTCTTTGGAAGATGAAACGTCTTCTTGCTGGGGCTGAGTTATAGGATATAAAAACTCCATATAGAAGCTTGGTAGCTGCGAGATCAATTACGTGCTGTTCATGTTCCAAACGAACAAGATCATGTTTGGTCAATGATCTAATTCAATTGGATATATCCATGGATGATATGACTGTTCCTAGCTTCGACATTTTTGAAATGAAAATAGTGCTGCAACTTGGGAGGGTTCTCTTTCCTTCCCGACTCTTTCCCAATTCCATCTTCCTCTGTCGTCAGAAGTGCTCCTCTGAGCCCATGGAGTTACTGTGCCATTTGCAGGTGGATGGCCTACATCTCAAATTTTGGACCAAAGGGCTCGAGGGATTCCCAGCTTGGATCATTTTCGCTAACCTCTTTGACCGTTACAATCGCCATGATCATGTGAAACCTCGGGATACATCCGAGGTCTCAATGAGGACGTCCCAATACTGTACAGCCCATTGTCCAACAATCTTGGACTTTCGTTACACATATACCATTAGCACAAAACATCGGCATGTTACTGGAATCGATCCTTGTTCAACGGCAAAGCGACTTGGATAGGCTTTCGGCAAGGCTCCACCTATGATGTCGATTTTCAGACCGGCGAGATGGTTCCCCCGAGCGAAGTATTAAGTCTACCGTCGGCCACTAAAAGGTAACACACATCTTCATTGTATATTCAAAATGGCTGCATTCCTGACGGCCTTCGTGAACCCGTTCAATTATGTTGGCGGCGTGAGCTTTTCTCCCGAAACTGATATCCCAGACTTGGCCGAGAAGGTTATACTGGTCACGGGAGGTACGTGGGATCTGATGCGACGGCACATAATGTAAAACTAACATAATCCAGGAAATGCCGGCCTGGGCAAAGAGTCCATTCTCCAACTAGCCAAACACAACCCGAAGAAAATTTTCCTCGGAGCGCGCTCTGAGTCAAAAGCACAGGAAGCTATCAAGTCTGTGAAATCATCGGTTCCAAACGATGTCGAAATTACATGGGTTCCATTGGACCTCATGTCGGGTGAATCTGTCAAGAAAGCCGCCGAACAGGTCAACGCCCAGACCGATCGACTCGATATCTTAATCCTCAATGCAGGCGTGATGGCTCTGCCTCCCGGAGAGACGGAACTCGGCCATGAGATTCAGCTAGGAACAAACCATACCGGCCATTTCCATCTCACCAAGCTTCTTCTGCCGACATTGCTCAAGACGGCTGAGCAGCCTGACTCGGATGTTCGAGTTGTTTCGCTTTCGTCGATTGGACATAACTTCGCTCCAGCATTTGAAACATTCTTGGACCAAGATAAGCTGAAGAGCGTTAATACCAATGCTCGGTATGGTGCGTCAAAGGCCGCCAATATCCTCTTCGCCGCGGAGCTCGGCAGGCGCTATCCGTCGATCACGTCCGTTTCGGTTCACCCGGGCGTTATCATGACGGATCTGTACGGAGCTATGAATGAGCGCTCTTCTATTGCTTCTATGGGACACAAGGTCATGGGCTGTATTGGGACATCGGTGTCTCAGGGTGCGTACAATCAGCTGTGGGCTGCTGCTGGTGCGAAGAAGGAGGAGCTTACGAATGGCGCGTACTACGTCCCTGTTGGTAATTTGAAGCCCCATAACAGATTCTCGAGTAGTGAGGATATGGGGAAGCGCTTGTGGGAGTGGACTGAGGCTGAGTTGCACAAAGCCAATTTGTGATTGACTGGTGCCCAGTGTCGACATTGTGTTGGGATCGATTCATTTTTACTCGTCTTGTGAGTTAGGGATTTATCGGTGTTGGATCTCTTTTGTACGTTTCAAGTCTACTTGAGGCCACTTAGATGGCTCTATAGGTTTGGGTCCTTGCTTTCTTCTCAATCTAGCCATTTCTTGTTTGTGTAACACAGACGCATCATTTCATCTGCACCGTTGAACCAAAGGATTTTACTTGCGAATATCTGCGATAAACTGATGACATTCAATTAATTAAACCGTCCCCATAGGAACATTGTTCCCACAGCATTGAAAATACAATTACACTATGATACATCTTGCCATTGACAAAGAGCCCTGAAGGCTCTCATTCCTGCGCAACTCTGATAACCACCTTACCAAGTCCTCCCTTTCCGCTATAAACGATCTGACACGCATCTTGCACCGCCTTGATATCCGAAAGAGGCACAGTAGTTCCAACAACAGTTCTCAGCCTACCCTCTTCGACATGTCCTCTCAACTCATCTAGGTCCTCGCCGGTCGACTCCAGGAACATGTAAGAATATTCCACGCCGTACCGCCGCGCCCGTAACTTGCGGACGCAATCCATCGCATTGAGCGCTGTTCGGGGGACAAATGGTATCGTCGGTTTATGCGGCAGATCCATGATCGACGAGTCTTGCAGCTGTGAGCCTGATGGCATAGTGGAGACTGATATGATGCAGCCGGTTTGAGGCTTCATCAGGCTCAGGAACTCCATAGAGGAGCCGATCGTATCGAAGAGGAAATCCACTGATCCGGCTTGTATCACCTCTCGTGGATCGGATTTGGTATAGTCGATGACTGCAAGATTTAGTGATCTGGTTCATCAAGGGATGTTTAGATAGTTACCCTCATCGACGGTGGTTTCGCCCAAAAGTTCCTTCACTTTGGGAATCTTTGAAGTCGAAACTGTGGTGATGACTTTGCCTGCATGGAATACATTTTTGGCCAGTTGACATGCAAAAAGCCCGGTTCCGCTCACTTTCGTCTTATTAGAGGTATTCTCAGTTGGGACGGTGGGAGAACATACAGCCAGCAGGCACGAAGACCGTTTTCCCGGTGAGGTCGCCACGATACTTTCGCAGTGCTTGGAGCGCGGTCATTGCAGCGAGTGGAATTGAGGCGGCATCCTCAAATGAAATGGATGGCTTTAGGCCAATGTGTTGCTCGGCACATTTGACAAATTCACTGCACGAGCCTGGTCACCAGGTCAGTCAATCAATTCGATATTTGCGCAAGATATTTGGATATCAATTACCGCGCGATACTTCTGGCAGCCTGGTATAGACTTCATCTCCAACCTTCACGCGGGTAACTTCCGAGCCAATCTCCGTGACTACACCAGCACAGTCATAGCCAATTTTGTACGGAAAGCTATTCTATCAGCAGCCATTTGGAATCGAAGAAAGGTAACTCACTTGTCTTTGACAGCCATCTTGAGCATGCCATCCGCCTTTTTGACATCAATTGGATTGATACTTGCTGCATAGACTTTGATGATCACATCTTTGGGGTCGTTGAGCTCAGGCTTGGGCAGGTCAGAGAGCTGGTATCCAGAGGGATCCGAGTATGTCGGGGTATTGAGTGACAACATTTTGAGTCTTACAGCGCTGTGGATGGCAGTGATGTGAGTATAAAAGGCTGTATGTCGACGTCAAGAGGCAAGACTGGTACGGGACCCACACGGGGGAACCATCTGTCCGAGACTGAACATTCCACTTGGTGAGCGTAGGGGTTCTTCTATTGAACGCAATTCTCTTATGATTTTAACCTAGGTAAGGAATAATTCATTACTCAACATGAATTATCTTGCGACTGGTGTACTAGTACATAGATAGTTCAACCGGCCCAGGTGGGCCCACAAACGGCTTAAAGTCATGAGTCGGGACAACAGTCCTCCCGCTCTAGGCTGGTGGCGATGAGCTTTTTCAATAGAATGCTCCAACTTGCGAGGCTCTAGACACAATGTTTATTCGGTGTCACAGCTCAAGAACTGAAAAGTCACCTCCATGGCTTCCGAGATCCCATGATCGGTTTTTTTGTCATTCAGTTGATGTTCCAAGTTTCTGTTCAACACCTCGCCGGTATATATATTTCTAGCAGAGCGGGAAATACACATCCAAAGTTCTACTAGGTACCTGGGCATCTGTTTACCACGCCAAGAACAACCTTGAAGCCGCCCTGAGATTATTGACTAGGTTTTGTGAGTCTCATATACCGTGCACTTTGGAATCTTGGAACCGAGTCTTCAGACTTCGATTAATCAATTCTACAGTGCAACATACTCCGCACGCTGTCAAAAACCAGAGGGGTAATACAAATTAAAGGACCCACTAAAGAGCCCGACAGAGACTGTCGCTTGAAAAAACCAAGACATCCACACAGAGTAATATTCATGGGTGCTGCAGCATCGGAGAACAACCTCCCAAGGTTTTTTCCATGGCACACTACAACCCCTCTCCTAAATGAACAACGGATATACTACTGTACTCCGTAGACTTTGAATATACATCCATGCATTCTGACCAATGAATGCCATTCCCTGCCCACCTGGGCAGATCCATGGATGTCCCGTACGTTTGGTCAACTTTGCCTAGTCTGTAGTCTCATGCATGCAGGATGGGCCTTACTACGAGCATTTGTCCCGACCGCGCCAGAGACGTGTCAACATAAGCGAACAAGACGAGTTGACTATACAGTAAAATATCCGTCTGTAGTATCAATTGATCAACCTGGGACCAGAGCTGTACTAGTATGATGTCACATACTCCCTGCTCGTTGACAGGAGAAAAGGGGCTGGGAACGTAGGATCCTCAGGGGCTGGCGGCAGAACCGTCGGGCTGATCGTTATAACTTTAAAAGAACAGCAAGGTCTAGTCAATATGGCGAATGCTGATCATGGGAGCGAGGGGAAGACGAGCTTGTATGCGCTCATATATTGGCATCGGCCGCGCCGGAGTGGGGCGGCGTTTCGAATCGGGAGTATCGCATCGGGGATTTTGAAGTTATTCTGCATTCCAGCCAAGGGCCTGTTCTTCACGCGGCCTATGTGTTCTTACTATTGAATCTTGAAATACGGAGTAATTTTCGGCCCACTAAGATTATGTCGGGCATCTCCGCAATATAATTCAAAAACATGTTTCACCCGTATTTGAGACACTTGAGACAAGAAGCTCGATTTTGGGAGGTGGTCTACCTGGAGCAGCGACTCGGAATAATGCTATTTCTAGCACTACTCGTAACAGTAGTATTCAAATGAGGTGTTTGGTTTATTATTAGCCTTGTGTGTACGGAGTGTTCAATAGTGCATCGTGCGGTGCTCAGCCACAGCCACACTCACAGCCACAACTGTTCACGATCTCGGACATCCCAGTACCAAAACGGCACACACGCAAAACGTGGAGACAACATTTCTCCGTCGTGTTGGAAACAAATTTTCCGACAACTCCGGGTGCTAGACGAAGTTACTATCCCTTGGCACTGACGGGCTATACTGTCCTGAGCGCAGATAGCCGATAGCATTCTAATCAATTCTACGGAGTATATCACCGCTTGAAATGCGTCGTATCAATGCAGGCCATCGGTGGTCTCGGGCATGCGAATATTGCAGCAATGATCACGGGTTCTGAGGTTTGCGCTGGCATCGACTTAGATCCTTGATCTCGCAATCTCCGATACGAAATGGATTTTAAAAGAATGGTTGAGTTTACAACGGGAATCCTGAAGCGAAGATGAAGACAACGAGGAATGGATGGGTAGATTTGACTGATCCTACGGCGTTGAGCTGCAGATCTTAGCTTCGGAAGTCCGAAGGCAGATTTGCGATGAGCTGAGCATAAATAAAGTAAATTTTCGTAAGTTGGCCAAGCCAGTGCTTTGTTTGCTAGTACTGTAGTAGGGCTGACATGGTATAGAATAGAGAGGTCAGATTTACAACAATTCACCTTCTCTTGTAGGTTAGAGACCCTTGGGCTCAAAGAACGGCGCTTCACCGAAGTTCATCTTGCAAACGCCCCATAGATCGGGCATTGACGTAATTTCGTTGGTTTCAGCCCCGATCAAAATCGCTAATATTCCAGCCACGACAGTCCAATTGTGTCCGGAGTGTATGCTGTACGAGTCTCCGTACTGGATGTGGTTAAGGTGGTGCGGTGGGAGGCGGGCAGAACCTACAGTCTCGCCTCGGTTATTCGAACAACACATTGCATCTTGATGGCCCCACTCAAATTGCCTCTTGCTGGATTCGACAATTGGCAAAGTAAAGTACTACTGCTCCGCAGTACTTTGTACTGTACTTCATGTATGCAGGCTGTCACTACGCGCCCGTCATCCGAGATACGAGCTGCATAATCACGTTAAACCGAAATTCAGGCACCAGGGGCAGACTCAGGAACGCTGAAGATCGAAACTTCAGCCACTCGGGGAAGAGCAAGGAAAAACGAAGTTTGCCCTCGCAGTCCCACATGGATGATCGCAACCCACACGGGGCCAATCATCATCTCCTGGGGGTGATGAACGCCCAGCTCAGGGGGCCAAGCAAAATCGCTCACAGGGGGCTCAATGAGGTCTGAAACACGCCAATCGCTCTGCTTCCAAGTGACTGGGCCCCTTCTCGGGGTTTCGTCCCTTACAGTACTGCGCTACTGCGCGAGGGCCCTCCGCCAGCCCGTCACTGGGCCACTTTTTCAGCCACCGCTGAACATAATTCGATTCCGCTGCGGGCCTCGACTGATCAATCTACAAAAAGGGAATGGGGTCAAGGGCACACTGAGTACATATACTTTTGAAAGTCCCATTCCTCTTTTCCTCGTGCAAGCAGGGCTTCGTCCATCAACATCGCTTATTCTTCGTCGTTTTTCACTCCCTCTCTCACAATGTACCTTCCTTCATTGGTATGTCTATACTTCGGGGTTCCCACTGGTTTACCCCGATGGCCCACATACCCACTCTCGCGAACCATTGTTAATATAGCTTCAGATCTTGGCTGCTGGCAGCCTGCCAACTCTCATTGCCGCCATTCCCCATGGCGCGCAGTCCCACCACAACTTGCACCGTCGCGCCTCTGCCGCGTATGCCGTTATGGGTGGTAACGGCGAAACCTCTGATGGATGGCCCTCGATGAAGCAGTGGAAGTCCTTCGAGACTCTGTGAGTCAACCTAACCCGGCGCATGGTCACGGGCTAATCAATATCTAGTTGGGGCCTCAACCAAATCCTGATCTCCGCTTCTTGCGACAACACCGACGAGGAAACCTCCAACATCAAAGACAGCATCGAATCAATTGCCGACGAAACTGGTGTCGACTCAAGATTCATCCTTGCCATTGTTATGCAGGAAAGCAAGGGTTGTGTTCGCGTTCACTCCACCAACAATGGTGTCCAGAACACCGGTCTCATGCAGAGCCATGACGGCAAGGGCTCCTGCAACGACGGCACCTCCAAGACGACTCCTTGCCCCGCCGACACGATCAGATTGATGATCAAGGACGGAACCGCAGGTACCGACGCCGGTGACGGTCTCCAGCAGTGCTACGAGGCCCAGTCCGGCGAGGATGCCACCAAGTACTACCGGGCTGCCCGTACCTACAACTCCGGCTCCGTTGACTCTTCCGGTAACCTTGGCCAGGGTATTGCCACCCACTGCTATGCCTCTGATATCGCCAACCGTGTGGGCGGCTGGGCCGGCGACGTGACCGAGTGTGTTGAGTCCACCATTGGTTCTCTCACCAAGGGTGTCGCAGACGCTTTCGGAATTGGCTCCGACTCAAGCGACGACTCTAGCTCCGACTCCAGCTCCAGCTCTTCTTCCGCTGCCGCGCAGCCCACCGAATCTGCTGAGCCTGAGACTTCCGCCGCCCCCGTTGAAACCGCCCAGCCCTCATCCAGCGCTCAAGCCTGGACCCCCGAGCCCGCTGCTTCCTCCGCTGCTCCCACCGAGGCCGCTTCCGAGGCCCCGGTCCCTACTCAGACCCCCAAGATCAACATGGCCGCGCAGGCCTCCACCCCCACCCCAGCCTGGACCACCAAGTCAGCCCCGGCTCCCACCGCTGAGGTCACTTCATCTGACTCCTCAGCCCCCATTTACCCCCAGGCTGCCTCATCTTGCCAGAAGTACGTCACCGTTGCCAGCGGTGACTTCTGCAACAAGGTTGTTGAGGCTGCCGGAATCACATTCTCTGATCTCCGCAGCTTGAACCCCGGCCTTGATGAGACTTGCTCCGACCTTTGGCTCGGATACCAGTACTGCATCAAGGCTTAGATCACGATCTTTGACTGATCTATCTGTTTCTATTTGTTTGCTCCTGTTTTGACACCCAAGATCATCTGATCTAGCATTTTTCATTTCTTCACTGTCCATCAGGCAGTGCCTCTTGTACATAGTGGGAGCTTGCTCCCCAAAAACCGGCCATGTCTGGATCTGGTATTCTTCATTGGCCGGGCTTTTACGACGAACGACATAAGCGAAGCATTTTCCAACCCAACCTGTTGTCAATGTGCCCGTAAATCTGTAATCGTAAATATGTGGTTTTGAAACCGGGGATGCGAAAGCTAGATGAGCATGAAACATCCATGGAATAAGAAGATAAGTTTTGAGTCAAGTTTCAAAAATGAGCAACCGATTTATTCGTTTTCGCTCAATATTAGTTGAGGCTCCAAATTTACCCCGGACAGCGGAACCGTGGAACAGAACTCTGACCCATGGACCCGGGCCCGAGCATAAATCAGGCCCTAGGATATTCGATGGGTCAAATATTTGCGCCGTGAATAATATCTCGTCACTAGTAATGTCATATCATGCGAGTTATTCGCGGTCGACACTGCTCGTGTTGCTTTTGTTGCTCTTCAAGATCATTTCATCATCACGTTGAGCTCCTTTGTTTTCGTTTCCTTGCACTCAGTTGAGGTGCATGAAAGGTCCATCTCAATCAATATCGACCAGGCGAATGTGGGCTTAGCACATTTATTGTTCATTAAGAATCTCTTTGTTCCTCTCTAATAAGCGAACATAGACATGAAAGCCATTGAAAACGATACTTAAACAACACAATACTCCGGCAAGTTCTTGCCAGTCCCTCTCCTATTCCACAATCATCTCACCATCTCGAAAAGAACACCAGATACTAAAATGTATGCCCCACGCACTGAGTCTCGATCGAGCATATTCAAAAACTGTCAAAGTGGTCAGCATATCCCGGACTATGAGACTAGACACGAACCCGAATACTACGTGAACGTGAAGTTTCCTCCCCGCAGTAAAGGCATGGACAGTGAGTATTTGATACACTATATGATCAGGTGTATTGAACAGGGGAAAGCTTCTGTGACAAAGACACCTTTGCATAGCATGCACCCACGGCATATCTCATTACCAGTCTATGATTTTTATAGAGCGACGATTCCTCGGGTAATTGCTAGCGCAATTCATCTTGCAAAGAAGCGCTTGAGGGAAATCAAGGCGGGAGTCATTGAGGTAGACATGGCGTGGCTGTATCTGAGCTTGTAGGATGAGTCCTACCACTGCAACTCACGCCTTGTTAGCAGCCCTGGAGGTCCGATACCTAGTACGGAGATGTAATCGAAAAATATTGTGACCTTGGTTCAATTTCCCCGAGATCTTTACTTGTATTGAACTTTAGCTTTTGAAAATCGACACCGCTATCCACCCAAAGAAAGGAGATTGTTTATTTTAACTGCAGCTCTCCTCCTTCAACCACTAGCCGGATAGTTTCTTTGTTCAATCCTTCCCAATTAGTGCGTCCTTTAACGAACCAATGCACAACAGCGAATAGCGTAGTAGCACCGAATATAGGCGCTGCATAGTTCATGTTTGAACCGGTCACTGGCAATGTCGAAGGAAAGGCTAGCCACACCGTAGCCCAAGCAGTGTAAACCAATGCAAAAACATTGACAGGAAGACCCAAACGTCCCATATTCCAATTTCCAAATGTTGCAGCATCGACTTGAAAGCGATTGTGGACCATGCAACCAATGGCAATGAAATAAGAAACAAAAAGACCAATGGATCCGAGCGCAACAAACGCACCGAAGGCTGCCGAGCTTGCGATATTCAAGCATGCTAGAACCATGACGACAAGCACCGGGAGCCAAACAGCACGTATTGGGACATTATGTTTTCGATCAATCTGCCACTTTTGTCAACGTATGATCTCGATTCATACTACAGGTAGGACCCACAAATGCGAACCATTGCGGTAGAGCTCCATCACGAGCCCATGCCCAGGTGAGTCGCGAAACAGAAGCGATACTGGCGAGATTCACCGAAAGCGAAATGACAAGCAGACCGCTCACCATTGCTGTAGCAGCTTTGACTGAGCCGGTTGCCTGACGACAGATTTCGATAATGGGGAAGCTTGACTTCTGCGCCTCTTCTACCGAGCCCATTGTGAACAGCATGCAGACTACCATTGCATAGGCAAGAACACCATTTGTGACGACAGTGTAGAAGATCGATCGAGGAACGGCCTGTTTTGCTCGTCTTACTTCTTCACTCATGTGAACGGCGCCATCAAAACCTAGGAAAGTTAGCGATATCTCCATGTTCAAGCCAGGGTAGTCCTCACCAACGAAACCCCAGACAGGGGTTAATAGTCCAATATTCCATGCCGGGAAAGGTGTCCAGCCAGAGCTACTCTGCGTTCTTAAAAAGACAAATTCCGGTGTATGACGAGGCGCCAGGCATGTAAAGACCACCAGGAAAACAACAAGAAGGCATATGTGCAAGATACCAGCGAGCATCTCAATCCATGGGATGAGCCAAAATGTATACATGTTCATCAGGGCTTCAACGACAAGCATACCGATGATTATCAGAGTGAGGTGCCACTGCTTTGGCTCATAGCCAGGGTAGTTCACACTTGCTAGCCCTTGGATCATTGTCGCTGTGGTATTAGCCACACCGGCAAGTGTGGATATCCATGCAAACCAGGTTATCCATCCTTGGATAATGTTAGCAACACAACTGCAACGACCAAAAGCAGAACACACCTTGCATCCATGTGATAAACCTTTTCTGATTGGGTGGCGCCAGATAATGTGTCCAGTGATATTGAGCCCCGGCAACTGGCTGCATGGAGGCCATCTCGGCCAGAGATGCCGATTGAGCCATTGCGCCACATACCACGATCAAAATTCCCCAGGCCAGAGCCTCGGGGCCTCCATTTGTGAGAACCGCACTTAAGTTTCTGAGAAAGGGTTAGTGATAATACCATAGAGTAGAAAGGAGGCTCACCCACAGGGCCTGGGTCTCCCAGCTCGACAAATAAGTAAGTGAAAAGAAGAATATTTGAGTAAAATTGAAAAGCCGCTGCATGTAGTCAGTCTTGCACCCGGAATCGACCCTCAAAGAGTACCTTGGGCTTCGCCGCCTCCGTGGAACCACTCTTACTCAGACGCCCATAGGCATTTGAGACATTCACAACTGTATCTGGAGTATCTTTTCTCGTGCGCTCATTCCCTTTCAAGGGGTGCATTTCGTGGCGCTCCATAGTGTGCGAGAAAGTAAATGGGTATTGACGAAGACTGAATGCTTCCACAAGGTTGATCGAAAGGCTCGGAACGGAGAAAACAAAAAGCAAAAATATCGACAAGACTTTCTAGTGGAAAGAAGCCCAACAGGAATCATGCAGAAATCATGTGTGACGGAGATATGTTGGCTCGGCTCGAGGAGATCGACATACGCTGCAGCACTAGTTTTTAGCCTGGACATTCAAGACGGGGCCGTGGCATACACGGTTGTGAAACTTTAGATCAACCGGGATCAGTGGCCAGAAATCATCCTGCTCGTGTGCCCATGACGCGAGAGATCTAATGATCGGCCCCTTTAGGCGAGATGTCGGGTACCTAGTATCGAGTATATCTGAACCATCTTGCCTGTATGTTATCAAGTCATGTACCCCGTCCATCTTTGATCAGCATCTCTGACAACAGTATAATGTCGACCAGCGGGGAGGTTCTCTTGTCGCCACTCCTGCCTGTCACTGTGGATGATCATGGTGCGTGGGTTATAGTCGTGAGTACGATTCTGCTTATAATTACTGCTCTCGCGACAACGGTTACTTTCATATCACGTATTCGCATTCTTCGAAAACTATCTTGGAGTGATTCGGCTGTCTTTTTGAGCTTGGTACATTAGACTCCCATTTCATCCACTCCTGTCTCGCTAACAGCTCAGTTCTTCTTCATTCCTCAGACCGCGTGTATCAATATTGCCAGTTTCCATGGAATCGGAAAACATCGACACGCATTGAGCGATCCCTCGTTTGAAGTCTACAGCAAAGTAAGCCACGGTCTCTGAACTATTGGGAGTTATGTTTCTAACAAATAATATGAAGACCGTGTTCGCTAGTCAACTTCTCGCTGTCGTCGTACTCAGTTGCTCCAAAACCGCCGTCGTTCTCCTGGTGCTATCCTTGCAGCCATTCGAGAAAATCACGTTTGCATGCAAGTCAATTTTGGGCATGATTGCTGCATGGACCCTGGCTTCACTCGTCGCACTCGGAACACAATGCAACCACCCGCGGCCGTGGATTTCCAGCCCCGATAGATGTGTCAACCAATATGCGCTTTACATCAGCCTAGGGGCTATTCATATGATCCTGGATTTGAGTATTATCGCATTACCAATGACGCTTCTTCATCAAGTCCAGATTATACAATGGAAACGCCATCAGATCTCGGCCCTCTTTGCAACGCGCATCCTGTGAGTGAAATTTCCCGAAAGATACCATCCACAACAAGCTAACTGGAAGCAGAGTGATGGCTCTGACTATTGCCGGCCTACGATCCCTCCATCCAATTTTCAAATCAAAACACCCAGATCGACCATGGCACATGGTCATGCAGGCAATCTGGCTCCAACTCATACTGAGCTCGTCAATTCTGTGCACATGCATTCCAACTCTGAAACGCGTCCTCGCGGATCTACAAACAGGCATGATGGCAGGCGCCGTATCCGAGTTTTTCGAACAATCCGTCTCAGGCCATACCAATACGGGATCTCACTCGGGTTCAAAATCTGATAGTGGCATTGGACAGGGATCTGCGAGTTCAACACCCCACTCGCGACCCCGGAGAGATTCCACTGGCGTGGAGCGTGTGGACAGTCAGGCGATCCTGCGTGATCATGCAATCGTGCAGACTATCGACTACGAGGTTCGCTACGATGGTAAGCCGACTAGGGTTTCCAGTCACTATGAAAGTGATTCAAGTATACACATGGACTCAGACACCCGCTGATTGACGTGCGAGTGTAGAGCGATTAGATTGATACGGGAAGTTTAGATTGAATTTAGTCTTTGAGCATAATGAGATACCCAATCAGCGAATTTAGTCCATCGGCAGTCGCGCATTTTTCGTTTTTGGGATCTTCAACCCATCAAGCCCTAAATTCCCGACTATCTCGTTTACTTGGAGGCCTTATTGGACCATTGCTTTTCCCCTGCACAAGCTTACAATGTGGCGCGTCGATCGGATCCCGAGCATTTGGCCCCTCGTTTCATCCGTTCACCTGGCCTCCAGGATCTACGTGGCCGACATCGGGGCTTGGGAGTATCTGGTTCGATACCTCACGTTCAGCTTCACTGTATAGTTACTCGTTCTCATTTGCGCAGACTATTCGCATAGTGCTTACATCTGGAGCTGTGAATGGGATCGGCAACCCACCGTGGAGCTGACGCTGAGCCCTGGGTTCCAATGATCGGGCACCATCTCGGAACCTGGCCGTCGGGACTCTGGTCATTGGGAAAGACGTCAAATCCCGGTGACAATGTGAGGAAAATCGCATCTGATTACTGAACGCACGGCAGAATTAGGTTGTCGCATGGAGGGTCGCTGCCAAGGCCGTTCTCATACTTGGCGCCTGTCAGGTCCACAAGTGGATCTACGCTGAATCTTCACGTCGACTCTCCATGAACATTGGTATCCGGAAAAAAAGCCTGCTCAATGTCAAAGACAAAAAGACATGATCTTTCAGGTCCATTGGACTCCCGGATTCAGCGACGTCCAAATTGACGTGAACAATCGTGAACAATCGTGACTCACGGTGACTGGTGGGGCATCGGTTGCTTCCGCCCCAACGCGACGTTATATCAACGCTGGTTTTTCAATGTTGTCCTCTCAAGGAAATTCAAGATGTCAGGAGAACTCGACATTTTCGGCCAAGTCCCTGGGATGTACAAACTGTACACCCAGCTATGCTCTATCTATCCCGCCGATACGACCTCGGATGCCACCTGCATCAACACGTTGACCAACGGACTTGACCGCTTAGCACAGAGCTTCCCATGGCTTACCGGTCACGTTGTCAACGAGGGAGCAGGGGACGGTTGCACGGGTGTCTTCCGAATCATTCCACTGCACAACATTCAGCTCGTGGTCAAGGACCTGCGATCTGACCCCTCGGCACCGACAATGGATGGCCTCCGTCGGGCCAAGTACCCTTTCACCATGCTCGACGAGAATGTCATTGCTCCTTGTCCAACACTCAATCTACCGGGCAACCCACCAAACATCACCTCGGAGTCAGCATTGGTATTTTGTGTTCAGGCGAATTTCATTGACGGCGGTCTGATGCTCACCACCGTCACCCAGCATAATGTCATGGACATGACAGGCCATGACTTCGTGTTGAAACTGCTGTCCAAAGCATGCAAGAATGAGCCATTCACCAGTGAGGACCTGGCTCTGGGAAACATGGACCGGAGTGGTGCTATCCCCCTACTGGACACTTCCTACACCCCGGGCCCTGAGCTCGCCGGCCACATTGTGAAACCCAGCCTTAATGAGACCTCGGCTCCAGCCAAGTCAACCTGGGCCTACATCGAGTTCTCCGAGACACAGCTCGCTGCTCTCAAAGTGCTCGCTTCCAGCTCACTTCCACCGTCCACAAGCTTTGTCTCCACAGATGACGCCGTCAGCGCCTTCGTTTGGCAGTGCATTGCCCGGGCTCGCGCCTCGCGCCTCGGAGCGAATTCCAATTCGATGCTTGCGCGCGCCGTTGATCCCCGTACATTACTCGATATGCCAAAGGAATATCCGGGCCTGGTGCAATGTATGGCCCACAGCACCGACACAATTCAAAAACTATCAGACGAGCCTCTGGGGGTCATTGCTGCACAGCTTCGGTCCCAACTCGATCCTAAGGAGAACGACCTGGCTTTTAAGACGCGTGCGCTTGCGACGTACATGAGTCGATCGGAAGACAAATCTCGGGCTTCAGTCACTGCTTCCGTCGATGTCTCGTCGGATTTCATGCTCAGTTCGTGGTCGAGAACTCAGTCTTATGAGCAAGATTTCGGACTAGAATTAGGAAAGCCAGAGGCTGTTCGCAGGCCGCATTTCACACCGTTTGAAGGATTGGGGTATCTGATGCCTCGATCGCCGGCTGGTGAGTTGCCTGTTGCTATTTGTCTGAGAGATGAGGATTGGGCGCGACTCAGGACAGATCCGGAGTTTTTGAGATTTGCTACATATATTGGATAGCTGATCCTGCTCTAAATAAGTATATACCTAGGTAGTATATCCAAATGTATATAGGATGAAGACACAGGGTTGAATGACATAGGTTGCATCCGCATCACGCCGATCATTTCTCCGCATTCCTTGGAGAATCTCCCCTTCACCTCTGCAACTCTCATTCTTCCAAGATTCAGCTTCTCAGTTCTCCAGCTCAGAACCTGACGTCTACCCAAAGCTCTAAAGCTCTGGGCCTTGCACACTGCATACCACATACTCGACTTAGCCGATCATGGGTGGGGAACTTCCATTTCGCCCCGCTCCCCCAGCTTTACCCCAGCTAGCGGAGCGCCCGGTCGGCCAACGCATCAACAAGCTCTATACCGATCGTCTCAAGCAGTTCACTTCCGAGGGCCAGTACGAGGGCCAGAACCTCATCTCAAAGTACTACGAAGCCACAAACTCGGACGAAGAGCATGTCAAGCTCTCTGTGTACTCCGTCCCGAACCTGGAGCGACCGACCTTCGAAGATGCGATCTCCCAAGAATTCAAGCCAACCCACATCGGCGCCTCGTTCGGCCCCAGCTGGTCGACGCATTGGTTCCGGATCCATCTCACGGTTCCCGAGGATATGCTGAAGCGCGAACACCTGGAGTTCCACTGGGATGCCAATAATGAGGGCCTGGTGTGGACGGAGGACGGTCGACCACTGCAGGGTCTGACTGGCGGCGGAGAGAGAACGGAGTTTATCCTCCCGAAAGAGTGGCTGGATGGCAAGGAGCACACGTTCTACATCGAAATGGCTTGCAATGGGATGTTTGGCAATGCCCCGGGCGGGGATTCAATCCAACCACCAAATCCCGACAAGTATTTCACGCTTAGCACTGCGCGCATCACAGCGGTCAATCTTGCAGCAAGAGCGCTCTTCTACGACTTTTGGATCATTGGGGATGCTGCTCGAGAATTCCCCGGCGAGTCGTGGGAGGCGCACGAAGCTAACGTCGTGGCGAATTCGATGATCGATGCCTTCATTGCCGGCAATGGAAGTAACGAGTCTATCAACGAGACACGCAAGCTTGCAAAGAAGTATCTCGGAGATAAGGTTGACTCGGCGGATGTCTATGACACAGACACGCAGCCAATTGTCTATGCAATCGGCCATTGTCATATCGACACATGCTGGCTGTGGCCGTGGGCTGAAACGAAGAGAAAAGTGGCGCGCTCATGGTCAAATCAGTGTGATTTGATGGAGCGCTACCCGGAGCATCGCTTTGCATGCTCGCAGGCCCAGCAGTTCAAATGGCTGAAGCAGTACTACCCTTCCGTCTTTGATCGCGTGAAGCGCTGGGTGAAGAAAGGCAACTTCCAGCCAATCGGTGGAAGCTGGGTCGAGCACGATACCAACATGCCGAGTGGTGAGTCCCTTGTTCGACAATTCTTGTACGGGCAGCGGTTCTTCGAAGCCAACTTCGGTAAACGAAGCACCACTTTCTGGTTGCCTGATACCTTTGGGTACTCCACACAGATTCCCCAGATCTCTCGTCTAGCTGGGATGCCGCGCTTCTTCACCCAGAAGCTCAGCTGGAACAACATCAACAATTTCCCGCACACTACGTTCCAATGGGTGGCCCTTGATGGCAGTCAAGTGATGTGCCACATGGCGCCTTCGGAGACCTACACAGCCGAGGCACACTTCGGTGATGTTAAGCGCAGCGTAACCCAGCACAAGTCGCTGGATACGGAAAAGTCATCCCTACTAGTCTTCGGCAAAGGAGACGGAGGTGGTGGCCCGACGTTCGGCCATCTCGAGAAGCTCCGCCGATGCCGTGGTCTCAGTGATCAGGTCGGCTCACTTCCCCGAGTGAAGATGGGCGAGTCAGTCGACGACTTCTTCGCAAAGCTCGAAGCTAAGGCTGCCTCCGGTACGGAATTCGCTACCTGGTATGGTGAACTCTACTTCGAGCTGCATCGAGGCACATACACAACACAGGCAAACAACAAGCGCAATAACCGCAAGTCTGAATTCCTTCTGCGTGAAATTGAGCTTCTTGCTACCTTCGCTACTCTACAAACCGCTGGGAAATATAAGTACCCTAAGAAGGAAATTGATCAAATGTGGGAAGGGACTCTCCTGTGTCAATTCCATGATTGCTTGCCAGGAAGCTCCATCGAGATGTGCTATGATGACTCGGACAAGCTGTATGCCGAAATCTTTGAGATCGGTACCAAGCTACGACGCAATGCCCTCGAGGCTTTGGGGATCACAAGCCGAGGCGCTGATGATAGCCTTGTTGCACTCAACACCTTGCCGTGGCCTCGATCTGAGATCGTCCGCATGCCTTCAACTCGGTCTGCTTCACCTGCGCCCAGATATTTCATAGCGGATGGAGCGACTGGGGTGATGCAATGTCGCCAGGTTGACTTTAAGACCACTCAGGCAGTTACCGTATCCGAGGTACAGTCTGGTGTCTTCCGTCTTGATAATGGCAAGCTCAGAGTCGATGTTGAGAATGGAGTCATTACATCTCTGTACGATGCGGATGCCGATAGAGAGGTCGTTGCGAAAGGCCGCAAGGCGGGACAACTGGTCATCTTCGATGATAAGCCTCTCTACTGGCAAGCCTGGGATGTTGAAGTCTTCCATCTCGAGTCTCGGAAGGAGCTTCCTAGCGGCAAGACCACGATCCTGGAGAATGATCCTCACCGCGTGAGTGTTCAGACTTTGACAAAGATCAGTGACAAGAGTTGGATCAAGACCACAATCAGTTTGTCGGCATCTACATCCAATGAGCCATCGTATGTTGATTTAGAGAGCGAGGTTGAATGGCAGGAGACTATGAAATTCCTCAAGGTTGAGTTCCCTGTTGATATCGTCAACACCGAAGCATCCTACGAAACGCAATATGGTATCATCAAGCGTCCAACCCACTACAACACAAGGTATGTACCCCGAATCATGAATTAACACTCCAAACTAAATATGTTCTAGCTGGGACATGGCCAAATTCGAAGTCTGCTGCCACAAATGGGCAGACCTCTCGGAGAATGGATACGGAGTCTCAATTCTAAACGACTCCAAGTATGGCTTTGCGACATGTGGTAATCTCATGCGTCTCTCACTCCTGCGCGCTCCGAAGGCTCCCGATGCCCACGCGGATATGGGCCGCCACAACATTCGCTATGCCATCCTTCCTCACTCCGGCCCTCTTGATGACCGGACCGTTCGTGCTGGATACAACTTCAACAACCCTCTTGTTGCTGAAAAGGCCGGCCCGAAGGCAGTGGCTTCTAATGCTTTGTTCAAGGCCTTGGCTATTAAGGGTGCACCATCTTTGATCCTCGATGTCATCAAGCGCGGCGAGGATGATGTTGATGTTTCATACGACGGGGTTGCGACTCGTCCTGGCAGAAGTGTCATTCTCCGAATCTATGAGTCCTTAGGTGGCAAGGCTCGTGGCTCTATCGAGACCTCTCTACCAGTCAAAAAGGCTTTCAAGTGCAACATTCTTGAAGACGATGAGCATCCTGACCTCGACATTAAGTCTACTGATGGCGGTTCGTCCATCAAGATTGAATTGAGGGCTTTCGAGGTCGCTACTTTCCGACTGCAACTGTGAATGCCCAGGTGTGCGGTATGTGTTATGAAACTCAACCCCATTCTATATCATTTAAGTATCGTCAGGACTTCAAACGTGCCTAGTTCAATACGGGGCGCAGTATATCATTATGGAAATCAAAACCAGTCCCACGTTCAGTCAAGTCAGACAAAATTTATATGCGCCCGTTGCTGTAATCTGTATAAAATCGTGATGTACATGATATCTCATCAGGGGGAAAGCTTTATGTTCCCGTTCCATTTTCCTTTGGCGCCCATGACTCCCATGTGAAAAGACAGACCAACTAACTCCAAAATCCGAAAGAGCAATGCATAGGCACAACGGCACGCTGACGAGCCAGAATCCAGGATCGAAATTCAATCCCTCCCGTAGCTGATTTTCAATCGCTTAACCGAAGGTTTGTCGTCGTCTAAGAACCTGTCAGTATTTTGTTCCTGGTTTCATTGATCCACCAAAATGTTGAGCCTCGTCGAATCCAAATTCGAAGACTTTATTCCGCGCCGAAAAGCAACGTAGATAGGGGTGCGTACCGTTCTTCATTGATAGGCCTCCGCCCGGCGTTGATGCCGGCGTTGCAGCGTGCGAGGGTGTGGTTTGAGCAGACGAAGGTCCAGGTGAGTCCTGTGTAAAGAGTATGGTCAGCTTCATATTCCATAATGCATAATGCCTATCATCGCTGTCGCCAACCACACATACCATCATGAAACTGGCGGAGCTCCGTGAGAAAACTCGGTCGGACTCTGTAACTGCAGCCTTTCGTCTTGATCCTGCCACGCCGCCACCGATTCCTAGTCCCGAAGCACCGAGACTAGACCCGCTTGATGAGCCTTTAATGTAGTTGTCAAAGCCTTTGATGATGTTTCCGGCGGTGGTTTCTTCGAGGTAGGATTGTTCGAAGCGGAAAATCTGATCCTCAAGTTGAGCCTGTGGATATCATTAGCCATGATCCAAGAGCGTTTCCAATGCGCTGAAGTGTCTTTAAATGCTCGCGCAGAGAATCGAGTCGGATGCAGCGAGGAAGTCAATGACGTGACTCACCATGCTCTTGTCCATCAGACGCTTTTTCTGCAGCGTATCCCTTAGCTCTCGTCGTAGCTTTTCATAGTATGGCAGTCCGCGACTTGCTGCGTTCTGGTCGGCGGGCGCATTCGGGGCTCCTGCTGTTGCGCTGGGTGTGGGTGCGGCTCCATTCGCGGGTGCCGCTGTCTGAGCCGGTGCGGTGTCGGCCATTTCGGAGGGATTCTTGGGGTTTGCAGCGGATCTCAAGAGCTGGTGGACGAGTGCATGCACAGATTGGACGAATGAGTGCTGTGGAAGCTCGATGAGGAAGCGCGTTTGGAGATGAAAGTCGATCTTATCTAAGTTTGCAGTGTTTGCATTCCCCTCTTTGTCGTCACTTGTTTGTTGACTTGCGTACCTTCGCTTCAGACTTAACCTCCGAGGCATACGAACATCTTTTTACGCTCTTTGCGACCTGTTTTATTCCTCATCTTAAATATGGACCACTCCATGCATATGGCCATGGGCCACGGTGATATGGGCCATGGTGGTATGGACCACGGTGACATGGATATGGGAGGCCAGTGCAGCATGAATGTGAGCTATGGCCTACAACTCCGAATCTGCTAGCTGTGCTAATCGAGATGCGTCGAACAGATGCTTTTCAACTGGTCCTCGGAAAACCTTTGCATTATCTTCCGCAGCTGGCGAATCACCGGCCCTATCTCCTTCTTCTTTTCCCTCGTGGCTATTGTGATCCTTACAGCTGGCTATGAAGGAATACGATCAGCAACTCGGAAGTACGAGGCTGCCCACGCACAGCGCCTGGGCACTTTCGTAGGTTCTGTCAACACAGGTGGTAAGTGATCCCTGTTTCATGGCTTGGATGAACATCAAGGATGCCACATCTCCAGTGATACCTGGGATGTTGGTGACTTGATATGAACTTGATAGGAGGGTGGTTTACTCTGGCCGAGCAAGCTTCTCATTGATGCCTCGGCTCGCTGCAGACACTGAGACTGCCGACCCTATCAGTACCAACGGCCTGGCGAACGTTCTCCCTCGCACTCACAACGAAGGCTCACCACTGCTTGCAGGAAGGGACAACAAGGCGGCATTGGCACGCAAGGGAAAATTGACCATGGCGGCTTTATATGCCATTCAGGTCTTTTATAGTTTCTTCATCATGTTCGTGATTTTTTCCTAATCTCTTGGACATGGCCAGGCTTGCTGACTTGCTATAGGCTTCTCTTCATGACATACAACGGCCCCGTCATGATTGCGGTTGCAGTGGGTGCTTTCGTTGGATACCTCGCTTTCTCCGAGGGACTCCCAGCCAGCAAGACGATCGCCTGTCACTGAAGACTTTGGTCTTGGATGTGTTGATCTGCAGAGCGCAGAAGAGGACCCGGGATCTGATCTCATAGTGAAGTGCCTTTGAATTTGCAATAGTCGGCATTGAATGTCTTTGCAGTGATGAGACCGCCCATTCGTAGGCCGCTAGCTCCGGGATCATTCGGTTCCTCCGGGTTCCTCTATTTTCGAACCAGCTCATGGGACTTCAACATCGCTTCCGTCATCTCCAAATCCAAAGCTGAACCCACCCGTAGTGTCTTGTCCGTCGGCTGCATCGTCTGTGCTCCCGTGGACAATGTCCTCCCACTTGCGCTTTTTGCCTTCGTTTTTCTGCTGTAACTCCTGCCAAGCTTGTTCCAGCAGGTCAGGGTAAGACTCGCGCATGCCAGTCATGAATCTATCCAGTGGGTTGGCCACATTTTTCCTGAACCCAGAGACTTGATCAGGTTTGTTGGACAAGAAATCCAGCGCGGCACCCAAGTGACCCCGGGGAATGAAGTTCTGGGTGATGGCGATAGACGGTTCCAGGTTGACTACCAAATGCCACCATCCAGAGGGGACATGCAGAATCTCACCCTCGCCGCAGATTCCTTCGACGCAACCAGCGGTCCTCCTCGCCTCGGCATGGAATCCAAGCAGCCATTCGGCAATACTGAGCGGGGAGGTTACTTCGCTCTGATCGTCCGACACAAACACACCTGGAGGAGGGGGCTGCTTGGTGCTTGAAGGGAACATGATCCAATATTTCGGACCCCGCAGCACAGCGTTCCAGGCGCTGGTCGCATTGGGGTCTTTGTGGAATTTACTACCAGACCTCTCGGGTCCGATAATCAGCCACTGGTGGTCTGGGCGATCGTCACCAAGGACCGAGAAGAAATCTTCGGCGAAGCAGGATGGTGGCCAGTATGATGCATCTGGTGTCGTCTCGGGGGATCCGACAGATAGTCCCATCTTGGACACAAAGGAACGGTCGAACAGGTAGAGCGGGCTCTCATCGGCATTGTCTGCCATATAATCGCCGTATGTGCGCATAGCCCAATCCACGGCTTCTGCGCGGAACTTGGTCGGGCCAAATCGTGCGAGTAATGAGCCGACTGACCAGTTCTTGTACGCTGGCCATGCCTTGACAGGCTCAGTCAAGATAAACGGTTTGTCAGTCCACTTGGCTTGGAACTCTTCAGGTGATAAGTCTGGAAGTCGTGCGATCTGGTTTCGCGCAGGAATCTTGGAGACATAAGGGTCCAGTGAGATGTGTGCGCAGTTGAACGGACGATAAAGAGAATCTGAGAATAGCTGGGAGCAGTCCACCACCGGCACTTTGGAGGCAGGAATGTTCAGATATGTCGAACGCCATGTTCCTCGCCATGTGAAATCCTCTCTAGGGTTCCTGCGATCTGACTTAGCGGGAGTCCTTGTGACTTGGATTATGGTTCTATTGTACACTATGGCCGTGACCGACCAACTATATAGGAGAACCGGGGCTAGATCTTACCGAACAAACAACGCCTTCCACAATTCTTCTGCACGGGTGAATGCATAAAAGGCCTTGCACGTTCTTCCAAATCTCAACAAACTTTGTCCATCCAGAGATTCCAACAAGATCAGGATTAGTTCATCGGGAAGATGTTGGAAAGTTCCCGTGGCATCACGGAGGCTCCAGGTGGCAAGCAAAGCGTTCCCGCTTGGCTTGACGCCTAATGGATGAGAAGGAATTGCCTCTTTCGTCGGGTCAGCATCCACAGGATGGCTAGGCAGAGACGTGATGTCAGGCATAGTCCGAGGCCTTAGGGCTAAAAATCGAAAAGGAACGGGTCCCGGGAAGTGGTGGATGATGCACTACAAGTCCCTGTCTGTTCGTTCACCAGTCAAGAAGTGAAATTGCACTGAAAGAATCCGTACTGTAGTCACCGTATCTTCAAACAAATTAATATCTCGTGAAGACAGACGGAGACAAGTCTCGCTTGGGCTGGTGCACCCAACGCCCGAAGCAGTAGGCGGTCAGCCGACCCGTAAAAAAAAAACCGGCCGTAGCAAATGGCGCCGCAGTGTGGCATTCGATTTTTTTCCCTTTCCTCCTCTTCTTCTTCCCACCCCATTTGTGATTTTCACACCCATATCTTCACTCCCTTTAGTATCCAGTAAAAGACTCTCACGGAAGAGTCTTGTGGTGCTAGCAACTTTTTAAAAAGCGAACTCCACACAGTTCGCTAAACAACCCCACCTCGATCACACGCCTGTGTGATCTTTCTCTTCAACCGCAAATATGGCTGACAAGGGTCTCGAAGAAGTCCCCGAGGGTATGTGCTGCTCTTTTATTCTGTGGGATCGCATCTTTCCGTCCAGACACTTAGCGACAGGATGGCTGTGATCGCAGTCCTGATCGCGGGTGGCGTGGGCGGTTATCGCACCAGACCGCACCAGACCAAGCAACTTCGGAGGCTAACATGACTTTTTTTCACCCAAATAGGACAGATCGAGTCTAACTACGATGAGGTTACCGACTCCTTCGACTCCATGGACCTGAAGCCCGAGCTGCTTCGCGGTATGTGACCCCTGCGCCTTATCAGGCGGGGTTCTTTGAGCGAGAAAAAAAATATACTGACGGTGACACCAGGTGTCTACGCTTACGGTTTCGAGCGTCCCTCCGCTATCCAGCAGCGTGCTATCATGCCCATCATCAAGGGTGAGTTTTTACACCGGAAACTATGTCAAAAATTTCACCCCTAACGCCATCCACAGGTAACGATGTCATCGCCCAGGCCCAGTCCGGTACCGGTAAGACCGCTACCTTCTCCATCTCTGCTCTGCAGAAGATCGACCCTGAGGTCAAGGCCTGCCAGGCCCTCATCCTCGCTCCCACCCGTGAGCTGGCCCAGCAGATCCAGAAGGTCGTTGTCGCCATCGGTGACTTCATGTCCCTCGACTGCCACGCCTGTATCGGTGGTACCAACGTCCGCGAGGACATGAACGCCCTCCGCGCCGGTCCCCAGGTCGTTGTCGGTACCCCCGGCCGTGTCCACGACATGATCCAGCGTCGTGTTCTCTCCACCACCGCCATGAAGCTCTTCATTCTCGATGAGGCCGATGAGATGCTGTCCCGTGGTTTCACCGAGCAGATCTACGACATCTTCCAGCTCCTCCCCCAGTCTACCCAGGTCACCCTGCTCTCCGCTACCATGCCCCAGGACGTCCTCGAGGTCACCACCAAGTTCATGCGCGACCCCGTCCGTATCCTTGTCAAGAAGCAGGAACTTACCCTTGAGGGTATTAAGCAGTTCTACATCGCTGTTGAGAAGGAGGAGTGGAAGCTCGACACCCTCTCCGATCTCTACGAGACCGTCACCATCACTCAGGCCGTCATCTTCTGCAACACCCGCAGAAAGGTCGACTGGCTCACCGACAAGCTCACTGCCCGTGACTTCACCGTCTCCGCCATGCACGGTGACATGGAGCAGGGCCAGCGTGATGTTATCATGAAGGAGTTCCGTTCCGGTTCTTCCCGTGTCCTGATCGCCACCGATCTGCTTGCCCGTGGTATCGATGTCCAGCAGGTCTCCCTGGTTATCAACTACGATCTCCCCGCCAACCGTGAGAACTACATTCACCGTATCGGTCGTGGTGGTCGTTTCGGTCGTAAGGGTGTTGCCATCAACTTCGTCACCGCTGACGATGTCCGCATGCTCCGTGAGATTGAGCAGTTCTACTCCACCCAGGTCGAGGAGATGCCCATGAACGTTGCTGACCTCATCTAAAATCCTTAAACCTCTTTTGACGTCTTGATGCGGTTACGATGGCAGAATCTGCAATAAAAAGTGGCTTTCTGCGTTTCCGCCTGCAGCGGGCTGCGGGTCGACTGGGGTTGTGCTCTGCACGTTGAGTTGACCAGTCGTTGATTCGATCAGTCAACGCCTCAGTCGGCGCACCGGCCCGCGGCTATGGTTTCTATGTCTTGCAATAACGGAGAAGAAATATGTTTGCGTTATCTCTTGCTCCCCGTTTTTTCTATTTTTTATTTTTCCTGCATTTTCTTCCCGTTTACTCAACTGTCTGTACCTAGCTCGCGGTTCTTGGTTAGGGATGCTGCTCTTATCTCGTACTTAATCAATAGACCGGGCCAAAATGTGACTTGTTCCTCAGGGCGTTGTCCTTGGATTATATTAGACTGTTATTCCAGCGTAGTCCACGGGTGCCCAGTGTCTGGCCGTCAGTATGAGAATGCGCCCTCCAAGGGTCCAACCCTAGGTCAACATTGACGCTCTCCAGTAATGTCGGCAGTGCCAAGGTGATTTCTGATACAGCCAATGTCAAGGCTGTGATGTATAAAGGTTCTTGACCGCAGGTTGCCAATCTGTCGATTCGGATGGTCTTCCGAGATGGCCTCGGACCAATGAGCCGATCATTGCGTTTGACAACTGGGCATATGGCTTGATACTACTATACTACCAGTAAGGAGTAGTTAAGTATTGAAAAGTTTTAAATAGACTACTAGGTATATGTCTGTGCAAATAGAAGCTTTATGGTTGGTCCTTGAAGATGTCAGATGCCCGTACATGCATAAATATACATAATGCACGTCAGAGGTAGATGGCAATTAAATACCTGCAAAACCACGAGCACAAAAGCCCTTCTAATTGAAAAATCAGACAGTACCTAGGTATAAGCAGACAGTATAAACAAATATTACAGGACAGCCCGAGAGTATAAAACCGAGGGGTAAATATACAAGCGGTCGGCGCAGACACCCGCGATGACAGTTCTCCGCATCGCGATCGGAGAACACCCGACGCTCCCCTCTGACTCTTCTTAACTCCCCAATTCCCCTTGACAGTCCACCGCACACTTTCAAAATGGCTTCAATCCGCGCCAACTGCCGCAAGATTATGTGTATCGGCCGCAATTATGCGTAAGTGTCTGCGCTCAATGTCCCAACAGCTCTCCAAGCTGTCGGGGCCACCCTCTACTCTTCTCGGCGACAATTACTGACTGTGCGGGCTGGAATAGCGATCACATCACAGAGCTCAACAACACAGCCCCCAAGCAACCATTCTTCTTCCTCAAGCCCCCCTCCTCCATCCTCACCCCCGGTTCCGGACCTGTCCTGCGCCCCAAGGGCGTCAGCCTGCACTATGAAGTCGAATTGGGTCTCGTGATTGGCAAGACCCTGCGCGATCTCGACCCCAACGACGAGAAGGGTGCCCTGGAAGCCATCCAGAGTGAGTGACGAGCTCTCTGACAGAACCAGAAGTCCGAAACAGCTCCGCTAACCACACCCACCGCGATCCAGGCTACATTCTCGCAATTGACATGACCGCCCGTAACGTCCAAGACGAGGCCAAGAAGAAGGGTCTCCCCTGGTCCATTGCCAAGGGCTTCGATACCTTCCTTCCCATCTCGCAGGAGATCGCCAAGTCGCGCATCCCGAACCCGCATGACGCATTCTTGCGTCTGAGCGTTGGTCAGACCGAGCGCCAGGCTGATTCGACTAGCCTGATGCTTCACCGTATCCCCCACCAGCTTGCACAGATCTCCCGCGTCATGACTCTGGAGAAGGGTGATATTGTCCTTACTGGTACACCTAAGGGAGTTGGTCAGGTTAAGGCTGGTGACCTCCTGCGGGCCTCAATTGAGGTTGATGGAAAGGAGATTGAGGAGGGTCGCATTGAGGTTGAGGTGCAGGACCGTGAAGGTCGGTACGAGTTCAAGGAGACCTAGATTGGGTCGTTGGATTGATTAGATACCTACATATATCGAGTTAATGGATATAGATTTGTACATGTTCTACATGGTTCTCATCAGATATGGTCTTAGGTTTGCTGACTGCGACCGGGTGGGCGATAGAGGGCTTTGAAGAGGTATATGGGTGATGCTTTCCCCAGTCTCAGCAAGATCATACAGCGGGAATTGAAAACAATAGATCATGGATTCTATGCAGAGCTCCAATTATTGGATTGAACGAAACATACAGTCTCACACTACCAATCATACAGACGCCGAGGATTGAGCACCATCAAGTCATGCCATTCTTCGTCCGACAACCACGTCCGCAAACTCTTCAACCAAGCCAAATCATCCACCTCGAGATACGGCGTATCCTTGAGAGCCTCTTCTCTCGTCCGCACCTTCATCAAAGGTGTATGGGGCCTGAAATTCTCCGAGTCAGCTCCAAGCTCATCGCACCTCGCAATATCAATTCACAAGTGCAAAGCAACATACCAATCACTCCCCCACAAGATCTGTCGCGGATTGGCATCAAAGAACGCACGAACCAGAGGCTTCGTATCCTCAAAGTAAGGCGCCTCCTTACTCACGCGGTACGGCGCACTGATCTTAACGAACAAATGACCATCCCGAATCAACTCAATCAACGCCTCAAATCCATCCTGTTTAGTGATATCACCCCGACATTCAACCGGAAGCATACTCGCCCCTTTCAGCAGAGCAAAATGATCAGTAACAAGCCGAATACCTTTCGGCACAATATCATTCACAATAACAGGCTTGAGATCCGGCCAAAATTCCGGATGGACATGCGTGAACGCCATACTCCAGCCTTTGCATGAGCTCTGGAGTGCATTTGCGTGAGCGCGCAGAGCAACTTTCTGTAATTCTAGATCGTGCATCGCATTGTAATGGTAGAGATTGACTCGGATGCCGCGGACGCCTGCGTCATGCATCCCTTTGAGTTGAGAGGGAGTGATTGTCTCCGGATCAATGACTCCAATGGCGCGGGTGATGTCCGGACCTAGATCTGTTGTGAAAGTTGTCAAGCAGGTGCAGTCGGAGCCGTAAGAGAGGCCGTGGGTGAGGACGGAATTGGTGATTCCGATTTGTCGCTTGAAGTCATTGTAGCGTTTGATTGTTGCTGGGGGTGGTGTGAGGTGTCGGTCTGGGGAGTAGGGGAATCTCTCGGCTGTAGGTTTACATGGTGATTTAGTGATGCTTCATGCTAGCGAGGGTTAGTCTCTTACGCTCGAATATGTGGTGGTGAACGTCCCATCCGCCATTGGGGAATAGTTGCAATACGGCCGTGTTGGTGTCTGTGATCATGTTGTATCAATGACAGAGGATGGGGAACAGAAACGGTATGGTGATCGTGAAGTAAATATACGGGTGAAGAATCCAACCGATGTGAATCTCGGGAAATTGCAAAGAGTCAAATAGACGTTGGCACGCAATAGTCATCCAGCTAGATCCAAGAAGTGCTAAAATGCAATTTACTCTCGATCCTGCCTGAATCCATGTCCGAGATGGGGACTCAAGGATCCACGCAGAGCACTGGAGCGCTCCGAAGTGTGGGGACGAGTATAGAGCGACGAAAGGATTGCTCCGATGCGGAGACAGACAGTCCGAAAATCAATGCAACTTCGTATCGGCGCAAGTGGATAATTTTGGCAAAGATAGACTCTTCCAAAACGTAACTTGCTGGGGTTACACCTCTCGCTTGCCTCCGTTTTGCGGGACTATACTCGGAGTGCTTCCGGGGCCGGGGTATTTGGACGGTATACCATAGTCAAGACATTATGGACCCGTCATTCGAATAGAAATGTCATTCACTAGCACTGCGTAAGACTCTTGCTACGCAATAGACAGACTGTTTCGCCATGTCGACAAAGAAGCAAGTATCCCCCTGGCAGTCAATACTCGCCGGGGGAGCAGCAGGAGGATTTGAGAGCATGATAACAGTAATACGAGACAAACCAATTCAATTCTTTGTCAAATGAGCTAATAACAGTCTCACATCAGTATCCAACCGAATACCTCAAAACCCGCCAACAGCTGTTTAAAGGCACCCAAAGACCCTCTCTCATCAAGCTCGTCACAACGACAATCAAAGACCATGGAATTCGCACATTCTACACTGGAAGCGGTGCATTTTGCATTTCCAACGCTTCAAAGTCCGCTATCCGGTTCTTCACTTTCGACAGTGTACGCAAATCCATGCCCGTGGACGCCTCGGGAAAAGTAACACCGGTAGGAAACATGTGCGCAGGGATGATGGCCGGTGTGGCCGAAGCAGTTGCCGTCGTCACGCCAGGCGAGACTATCAAGACGAAAATGATTGATGATCGCGCCGGGCCAAGGCTGTACAGATCGACGGGCCATGGCATTGTTTCCATCGTTGCACGAGATGGGCTAGCGGGTATATACCGTGGTGTTGTCCCCGTGACGCTGAAACAATCTGCCAATGCCATGGTCAGGTTCACGAGTTACAATCTGCTTCTGGGCTGGATGGAGAAAGTCTCGTCGCGCAAGTCGGTTAACACGGTTGTGGCGGGTGCGATGGCTGGAGTCGTCACTGTTTATGCGACTATGCCTTTTGACTCGATCAAGACTAGACTGCAGGCTGTTGATGGGCATAAGAGGTATAGGGGGTCATTCGACTGCTTGAGGTCTGTCGTATCTCAGGAGAGCGTCGCTGCTTTGTGGCGCGGAACAACGCCTAGGCTTGTTCGGTTAAGTGTTTGTCTTCCTATCCGTTAACGAAATTGTGATTTTTAGCTGACTGATTGATGAAGGTATCCGGAGCCTTGAGTTTCACCATCTATGAATCGGTGATTGAGTGGACTAGTCCTCAGAAATCAGAGGTAATGGAGAGTGACAAGTCGGTGCTCTAGACATGAGATACAGAAATTCGAGAACAAACACGTCAATGCTTGGGCGTAAGATAAATGTTATACAGTGAATAAAAGAATAAAATACTACGGAGATGTAACTTCACAAGCCAATCGACCCCGAGAAAGGATCCCAGCCCCAATCATCATGCAGGTAATCAGCCATAAACGTCTCCATTGCAGCCTCAATCGACGGTTCATCCGCACCAAAGGCATTCAATGAGTCAAATGCCGTCGGGGAGAAATCCATGCTATCGAAATGTGCATGGCCATCATTCAAAGGCTGAATGGGATGCTCCAATCCCGAGCCTATTCGAAGTACTTCGGTAACAGGAATCTCATTCTCAACCGAGTTTGAGGATTCATATCTTCGCGCAGGCGGCAACGCTGGCGGAACCGGATTTTGTGCACAGCTCAGGAACTTGATCATCAGGTCGATCATTTTCTCGAAACTTTCTTTGCCGGCTCGTACAGAGGGCCACCATTGGCTTCCGATACTGAGGTGGTTCGAACAGGTCCGGAGGTCGCGCAGGATTTTTTCGAAGGGAACTGTATTGTGGAGATGACGGGATGCCCAGATGCAATATACAATCGTGGCGCCTGAGGAGAAGATTCCGTGAATATTGCGCCAGTTGTACATGAGCATTTCCTGGTTGCTGAGGGTGTCGTATACCTGCAAACGTCGACTGCAGCTGTGATAGCACAGGAATAGGGCATCTTGGCTTGGCGAGGGGAACATCTGAGATGGTTGGAAAAGAAGAGCGACCGTGTTATGATATAGCTGCTCCATTCGCAGCTTTTCGTAGTGGAGTTTCAGTTTCTCTTCTTCCTCCATGTTCGGGGAAGGGGAAACATTTGACACGTCTGTTAGCCAGTCGTCAAGATCTGATTTAATTTGGCATTGGATTTCTGAGATGTTCGTGGGCCAAACGAATGTTCGAGTGGCTGTTGGGAGATTTGGAAGATGGTAGAGGAGTAGTTTGATTTCGGAGACATACCGATCCAGTTTGAATCGGCAAAGGGTGAGGACGAGGTGTTGAGGAGGAGGAAGCTGAACTGGAAGCTCGCTGTTTGGTATGGTGATCATTTCAATGGTATCTGATTCGGCAGGGGGTTTGATGTCGAAGGTTTCGTCGCGAATGCCTAATGGACGGCCTTGGATCGTGGCTATTGATCTGCTTGAGGTGAGAATTTACCGCAGAAAATGAGCGCCTTGTTACCTACCTGTCAAGCGAGTAGACTGTATAAAAAATGAATCTTTGCACCGTGGCTACGACAGCAGAATCATCCGTTGAAGTTCCACCTGGCTCTCTTTGGAGGCCCAAGTCAATGCAGTGCGCCATGGCAACATGCGACAATGTCCACACATCGACACCTGCAGGCTCAATCAAACTTTGAACTGCCAGCAGAAGCATAGCTTGAAGGGAGTGCACTGAAATATGAGAAAAACATTCCGAGGACGTAGACATTGCCATACGATAGAATTTGGAAGGCGAATAGTCGTAATTTTTCTTTCGTGTCAGAACAGTGGCGGCGAGCGAGAAAGCCATGAAGATGTGATACACGGCCGTGGAGATAGAAATGGGAGAAACTCTTCTCCCAAGTACGAAATCGATCTTGCCATTGTATGGAAATGGACCCACGGAGTCAATCCAACCATTGATATCGACCGAGTCATCGTACCCCTCTTGGGAGCATGTGTATAAGGCTTGGTAGGCATTTACCAAAGACGCCGGGTGCAAGAATGGCTGGTCGATGTGAATGTTTTGAAAATATATGCCAAACAAAATGGTAGCCTCTTCAGGCGAGGGAATCTCCTATTCATCTTTAGCTCACCACGAGCTATGAACTGGTATTGATAATTCCACTTACCTTGCTCAGGCTTTTGTAAATGGACTTCAACTTTTCGGTAGGTATCCTTGGTGGTGATCTGCGTGCTTTAACAATGTCGTTGAGGGCGACTGTGTCTTTGGGTGATTGAAATTCGCTATCCAGCCCAACGAGTTTCGTAAACAGCAAACCCGATGAAGAGCCTAGATAATGCTGCTGACGCGAGTCAGACTGCAACGAGAGCATGCCTAGATCGATCGCAACCGAGCGTGCCTTGATCGAAAGAGGCGAGCCCACTTCAGACTCCTCCATCGTAGAATGAGACCTCTTATTCACCGACTCTTCCTCTCGGATAGAGGTCTCATTTGGGTGAGATTCTCGTGAAGACAAGGTCTCAATAAATTCCATGTTGACTCGTGGGCCCTGGGTCAAGTCAAAGTCGGGATTTAATGAGCGCAGGGAATCCTCTAGCCACTGAATCCGTGCTCCGCATTTGATTGCGAAGTCTCGCGGTATAGATAGGTGGTTATTGCCGCCATGGACGTCGACACAAGGAACTTTGGCCCGGGCGCAGTTCCCGCAGGCAGGAATGCCACCATCGCATTTGATGCGCTTCTGTCGACACCTTCGACATGCAGAGCGGACCTTTCGCGGAGGATCTGCCATTGTAACGGAGTCAAAAGAGCATGGAAAAATCGACGAGGAAGAGCGCAAATCGGAGTTTGGCGGGGAAGACCCGAGGCTTGGCCTATCTGGGGTACAGGAGCCCCATGGACTAATTCGGACTGTCAGGGCTATGGGTATATCTTATGTATGGCTGTGAAAGGGCTATTTCCAATTTATGTGGGTTTAATTTGTGTGGAAAATTCATATGGGAAATTTGTACTGATAAAACATCTTTGCAGCTATACTCTTGACATACAAATTCCAACGGAAATCCTGTTCAGTCGCATTTCACTTCCGCAGCTTCTTAATCGTAGGCCCCATCTCCTCGCCAGCCTGGAGACACTCCATGGTCTTTTGATCAATCTCATACCGCTCCTGGCAAAGACGCACACACTCCTCAATGTGGGAGACAGGGATAGACACAACACCATCCTGGTCGCCGAGGATGTAATCACCAGGAGTCACAGTGACCTTTTCATCCACCTCCACATTCTCGTACTCAACGGGTATATTCAGCTCCGACGAGCGTGTAAAGGTATTCGAACCCAGAATGCTGAGCCCACGAGCAAACAGACCCATGTTCAATTCCTGATGCTCGGAGATATCACGGAAGCGACCGTCAATCACCACACCAGCAGCCCCCAACTTCTTCGCGCGAGTGCTCATAAGACCACCCCAGCATGCGCTGATAAGACCTTTGGGCTGAGACACAAACACAACGCTACCCTTGGGAATGGCATCGGCAAAGTGGCGAGGCGGTGTCGGCGAGGTCTTGTCGGCCGCTGGTACCATTCGAACCGTGTATGCTGGTCCAAAGATCTTGGCTACGGTGCCATTGGTCCCTGGACTGTACATCTTGAGGCCAGACAAGTATCCTCCATGACGGAGTCCTAAGTTGACGAGTGCGTCGCCGACCTGTAATTGGCGATCGTCAGTTCAGTTCTGCGACGCGGATACGCGTGGGATGGGGACTGACGTCGCACGACGCGAACTTCCCCAGCGCCTGAATAGCCTTTGCACTTGCGACCATGTTGTATGTGGAGAATGAGATACGTGAGTTCCAAGACGACACTGGTATATCACAGCTCTCTCAATCCCGTCAATCGCAAGTGCCGACGATGTTCGGAGACGCGGAGTGACCCGGACCCACCCGGAGCGCTCCAGCAGGCCGTTGGGGAGCAACTGGCGACTTTAGCAAATGATTTCGGAGGAAATGAATTCTGTAAGCAGATATCTCTCGCCGGATATGTCTCGATTGGCAGGCTCTCTTTCTCGAAGAATTGTCGTGCGGCAATATGATGCGAAACTCCTTCTCACGGGTCGCGCAAGCACCTAGAACACCAATCACGAATGCGAGACGATTCAATCATAACCAGGCAATCCTTGGTGCCAATTACACAAAACAGATCGAGACACTGGGCGTGTTGAGGCGCCAATCGAAGAGGCCATTGACTTTGACTGAGAAACTCCTTTACAGTCATCTCATTACTGGCGACAAGGAATGGAGCCTGGAGAAGATCGAGCGTGGCAAAACCATTCTGGAGCTGAGGCCGGACAGAATCGCCTGTCATGATGCGACGGCGACAATGGCGCTGCTACAGTTCATCAGCGCAGGACTTCCCCGCGTGATGGCGCCGACGACAGTTCACAGTGACCATTTGATCATCTCAGAAAAGGGTGCTTCTGAAGACTTGGAGCGTGCAACATCTGAGCATGCGGAAGTGTATGACTTCTTGAGCAGTGCTTCAAGAAAATATGGTATTGGATTCTGGAAGCCTGGATCTGGAATTATCCATACCGTGATCTTCGAGAACTATGGAGTGTGAGTTCCTTGAGATCCACAGCTGGTCTTATACTGACAAAACTGTTTGATAGCCCCGGCGGTTTGATCATTGGAACCGACTCACATACCCCGAATGCAGGCGGCCTGGGTATGCTCGGCATTGGAGTTGGCGGCTCGGATGCCGTAGATGCTATGTCTGGGATGCCATGGGAGTTGGTTGCCCCGAAAGTCATTGGCGTCCGCCTCACTGGCCAACTCAGTGGATGGACATCCACAAAAGACATAATTTGCAAATTGGCCGGCATTCTCTCTGTGTCTGGCGGGAAAGGCTCGGTGATAGAGTTCTTCGGCCCTGGCACCCAGACACTCGGCGCCACTGCCATGGCCACTATATGCAACATGTCAGCAGAGATCGGCTCAACGTCGTGCATCTTCCCACATTCGGAGGCTATGGGTCGGTACCTGGGCGCTACCAACAGGGAATATGTGTCGCAAGAAGCTCGGAGGTTCAAGGAGACCCTTTTGACAGCCGACGAGGGTTCGGATAATTACTATAATCAAGTGATCGAAATCGACCTCGACACACTCGAGCCCCATATCAACGGACCTTTCACACCGGACCTGGCTCATTCGATCTCCGGGCTCAAGAGCGCCGTCACCGAGAAAGACTGGCCGATCAACCTGAGCCATGCCATGGTGGGGAGCTGCACCAACAGCTCCTATGAAGATCTGGATAAGACCAGGCAGCTGGTCGCTCAAGCCAAACAAGCGGGGATGCTCAAGTTCAAGGTCCCCTTCCTGTTGACCCCAGGAAGTGAACAGATCCGCGCTACCGCAGAAGCAGACGGCATCCTAGATGAGCTGCGGGAGGCCGGAGCCGTCGTGCTGAGCAGCTCTTGTGGTCCCTGTGTGGGATCCTGGGACCGAAAAGACGTGGATGTAAAGGGAAAGGAGGAAAACTCCGTCATCTCAAGCTACAACCGGAACTTCATCGGTCGCCACGATAGCAACCCTGCCACTCACTCCTTCGTCACTTCACCCGAGATGGTCACGGCATTTGCATACTCCGGACGCCTGGACTTCAACCCCTTGACAGACAACATCGCCGTCGGCGACTCCTCTTTCCAGTTCCAGCCACCAAAGAACTGTGAATTGCCAGCTCACTTCGAGACCGGCAAGGACACTTTCCAAGAGCCGCCTTCCGATGCATCGGGGCTATCAGTCGCCGTGAGCCCCGAGTCCGACCGCCTCCAGCTTCTGACACCATTCCCAGCGTGGCAGCCAGGATGCGCCAATGAAATGGAGCTATTGACCAAAGTCGCTGGCAAGTGTACTACCGATCACATTTCCCCAGCCGGGCCCTGGTACAAGTACCGAGGCCATCTGGAGAACATCAGCAACAACATGCTCACCACTGCAACCAACGCATTCCTACCAAACTCACAACAATACCTTGGCCACACAAGAGACCCCGTGACGAATCAAGTCCAGGTCATCCCAGAAGTAGCGCGGGAGATGCAGCGTCTCGGCATTCGCTGGTGTATTGTCGGTGATCACAACTACGGCGAGGGCAGCTCACGCGAACACGCAGCTCTTGAGCCGCGGTTCCTTGGGGGTGTTGCTGTTATTGCTCGTTCGTTTGCGCGTATTCATGAGACGAATCTCAAGAAGCAGGGCATGCTTCCTTTGACGTTCAACGACCCTGCTGATTATGACCTTGTTGGCGAGGGAGATCGCATCACTCTACTTGGAGTTGAAGATGGAGAGTTCCAGCCTGGAAAGCAGGTTCTTATGAGGGTTCAGCCGCGCGAGGGTCGGGCTTGGGAAGCTAAGTTGAATCATAGCTACCACCCGGGACAAATCTCTTGGCTGCGTGCTGGAAGTGCATTGAATCATATTAAAGCTAGTATGCTTCAGAAATGATTTTGACCGTGTATACTGAAGGGCGGAGTTTACTTGACTTTTGACACAATTATATACTGCATTTTGGACACTATCAGGATCTTTGGAACAAAAGTAGCGTAGCGTAAGTTAGAAGCCAGAAGGATGATCAGGAAGGTAAAAACATTCAATTCTCGCAAGCCATATCATTCAAGTCCCTGGTACGGACTGACAGATTTTGCACTCAAATTTCCACCAAGTCCCCATTGCAAATCGTCAATCAAGCGGCCGGCGGAGACCTCCTTTGGAGATACCTCCACTTGGAGCCATCCTCGCAACGATTTCTCATACTACGCGCCGCATAAACGGCTCTCAGCAATGAAAGTAAATCTTGAAATGAATCGGAGCCATCCACTAACCCACAACCCGGCCTTTGAAACCAACCTGCCACGCCACCGGAACCCTCCTCGTTCTCCACACTCGGAACAGTCCCTACCCCAGACTCGGCACTAACCCGCGAGCCGAGCCAATACAATGTTGCATGTTAGTCACTGTGGACTGCTTCGACTTACCTTCTCTCCATTATCTGTTGACACGGGGTAGTCCTTGGGGCTTACTTGGGCTTCCCCGCAGAATTCGTTCGATCATGGTCTTGCCACATCCAGCTGACGGTGTGAGTATCATACCATCCCGTGTTTTCAGAAGCGGTGGCTTGAGGTGAATGGCATATAAACCGATAGGCAACCTGGACAACCCCTACAGGCGTTTGATATCCTCGAAGGATATCCTTTCCAACTTATACTAAGACCAATCCCTTCCAAATATATTGGCCAATTCAATACTCGTGTCCCGTCTCATTTACGCACACACCAACTGTTCATTTACGGAGATCTGCCAGCATGGGTGCTGCCGGTGGCGGTTGGTCTAATGAGGCCATCAAGAAAGTTCCACCTTCAGCCAGAGGAATCTACATATGGCTCGCCGTCATCTGGGCATCATACAGTGGAGGTCTGCATGGGTTCAACACTGCGAATATATCTGGAACTATAAGCTTGAAGCCTTTCGTCAGAGATTTTGGCTGGGGAGACCTCTCAGACTCCACTGTATCAAATTATGAAGGCTGGGTGGTATCATCAATGCTTTTGGTTCGTCAATGATTATCTCTTTTGAATACTCCCTGGGCATCAGACTATGTGCTAACACATTTGATAACAGGGGCAAACAGCCGGCGTTCTCATCGCCGGCCCTCTTGGAGAACGACGGGGTCGAAAAGCCGCCATCATGCTCTCTGCCGTTCTATACACCATTGGAGCCATTCTCATGGCTGCAAACTTCGGATCGCTAGCGGAGTTGCTGGTTGGAAGAATCTTCTCCGGGTTAGGTTCAGGAGCCGGGATGGTTGTCGGACCAATCTACATCTCTGAGATTGCACCTACTGAAATGCGTGGAATGATGACTACATTCTACAACATCAACATCATGGCCGGCGTGGCTGGCAGCTACTGGATCAACTTTGGCTCCCTTGAGCAGATCTCTGCCGAGGATAGCTGGCAATGGCGCGCAACGCTGGTCCTTCAACTCATTCCTTCCGTTGTGCTATTTGTTGGGTATGCGTTCTTCCCAGAAAGCCCTCGATACCTGATGATGCGAGGAAGAACCAGCGCAGCCCATGCTAGTCTCTCTCGCCTGCGCGGTTTGGGTGACAGTAGCCCTTATTTCCAGCGCGAATTTGATGAGTTGAAGGGTCGATTCAATGCAAGCGCCGACAGTCAGAGCGCATTTGCATCTTTCAAGTCATTGCTCAGCTCTTGTGTCACAGACCCCCCTACGCGCAAGCTACTTCTGTTTGTGACTATCATCCAAACATTCTTTATCATGTCGGGAGGCAATTCAATCACTTACTACGCTCCCACAATCCTGAAATCGATCGGACTCGGATCTCAGCAGCGACTGCTCTTTTCCGCCGTGTACGGCATGATAAAAGTTGCCAGTGTCTTCCTATACGCATTCGTTCTGACCGATCGTTTCGGTCGTCGACCCCTCCTGCTCATCGGTTCAACCATCAACGTCATATGTCTATGCTATCTGGCCGTCTATCTCGGCGTTGCCGATCTATCAGGCTCAGGCGAACCATCAGCCGCTGCCTGGGTTGCGATCGTTGCAATTTGTTTCTTCGCCATCGGCTATGGATTTGGCTGGGCACCGGCATTCTCTTTGACCGCGTCGGAGATCTGTCCCACTCCGATTCGAGGCACCGTGGTGACTATTGCCTTTGTGTACCAAAATTTGCTCAACTTTGCCATCACTCGTGGATTCCCGAACATGACGGCGGATATGCATGCTTGGGGTCCGTTCGCGTTGTTCACGGCTTTCACCTTTGTCGCTACCTGCTGGGTCTTTGTTGCGTTTCCTGAATGTAAAGGTCGGAGCATGGAGAAGGCGGATACCTTGTTCTCGATGCCTTGGTACAAGATCGGATTCTCAAAGGTTCCGGATACCAGTGCAGTGGAGACGGTTGAGGCCGATTTGGAAAAGGCTTCATCGAGCGAGCACACTGAGCATATGAGCATAGACGACAAGCGTCAGAAAGAAAATTAGTAAAGATGAATCGATAGTCAGTTATGTAGCAGAATGCATGAGTTGAACGACCTGAATGTTGTCCTGAAGAGTCAAGTGAATTGAGTGGTCGCAGGTGCCAAGACTTCCGATGTTTGCCCCCGGACAACGTCGCCTTGTAACCCTCTCTCCTGCACAACTCGAACCTAGCACATCCGGATTATATTCAATATGAAGGTTGCAGAGATTCTCTCCGACATCACTTCTCTCCGCGTCTGTGTAAGTTGAGTTGACACTTCGCACCTTGAGCAGACCCCCACTCAGGACAAACGCGTATAAGACGCGTCCGAGCGAGCCAACCCTGGAAAAAGTCCCAACTCTAAACATGATATAGGGTCACAACGAAGCTCTTGCACTGGTCAATGTGCACAAGGTGTCGGAGCGAGAATCCACCGAGGTTGGTGCGTCGGCAGATAAGAGCCCGGGTCAAGACAGGGATGATCTCCGCCGCGCGAAGGAGTTGGTCGAGCTCCACTATGAAGTGAAGGCACGCCATTCCAATGGCACAGTTGACGAAGAGTTGAGTCTTGCTCGACAAGAAGTTCAGCGAGTACTGAGCGAGTTGACAAATCCTCGGTCCTAGCGTTTGCAACCTCACTCTTTCTTTCTTGTTTTTTTTCTCTTTTTTTTTCTTCTGGCAATCAAGATTTATGCGACTGCATGCTTGACTATCTATTGCTCATTTGAATGATCTTGTTACCCCCATCGCACAGCCTGGCGTATGTGCTCACGAGAAACCCAACGATTCGATGATACAACAAATCAACCACTTGCAAACAGAATCATAATCATTTCTGTGCATACTGCACAATTTGATCGTGTGCGAAGACCCTACCTTCTGTTGCCTTGCAAATTTCCCCGATCCGCCTGGCCCGCGACTGGATTCCCTTGTCTTTGAGAACTCGCAGCAGCGCCGAGGACAATTCAGACGCTGCCATTCTTGGCGCCACTTTGCGACTGCCATGTAACCCGATTCCAAGCCACTCTACCCGCGATGGACAGTCGTACGTGTCAAACCATTGCGGGAGGACCACCTGCGGTATCCCAGCCCTGCGGAAATTCGACATTTAGCCCGGTTTTGCGACTCAGCTTCCACTTGCACACTTACTTGCAGGCCTCGAAAAAGGAGTTTGCTCCCCCGTGGTGAACATATGCAACGACATGTCCGCTTTCCAGAATCGAAATGATCTCTGGTTTGATCCAAGTGACGACCTTCACCTTTTTGGCATACACAAGAGAGCCAAGGTGGTTCCTGACTTTTGGTGAGCTTTCCCAGTCATACTTGAGCTTCCACAAAACTTTGGTATCAGGGAATTCACGCAGAACAACCTGTATAGCCTTGGTCATTTGCAATGCATCATCTTCCGGTCCTTGAACGTGAGATCCCAGACAGATCAAGATTGTCGGTTGCTTCAGCCAAGCATGCAAGGCGACATCGCATGATGCAAGTGTTGAAGCTCGTTTGAGGATTGGCCCGCAGCTGATCACGTTGTCGGGTACATAGAGCGGAAAGTCCATCTCTGGAAAACAGGGCGAAAGATGCAGGTCACCTTTGCTGTATGGCTCTATATGAGGGAACGGTGTCCGGATACCAGCTTGTTTGCGCATTTTGAGGAGATCGCGCATGGGCTTTCCAAACCAAACAACGAAGCCGAAGCAAAGAACCATGTATACGTTGGCGATGATCAAATTCCAGGGCATGGGAAAAGGATAGCCCGATCCAGTCCTTGCGAACACAAAGTCAGAATGGCTGCAAGTACTCAACGGAGTTTGTCTGCTCACAGAGGATATTTCCAAAGAATCCCAGCCTTGGGCTGAACGGTTATGACGACGTCCTTGAGAGGCACCGGCCATAGAATCACAATGCGCATGCGGAGAATGCGAGCTGCATCCAGGCCAAGATGCAAAAGCGGATCAGATACCACAACGACCGGGCTCACTTCTTTCAGTATATCCAGGCAACTTCGATATGATCGCAGATATTCTTCGGGCTTCCATCCCAGTACGGAGACGTTTATCTTGAAGCATCCATCAAGAGTTCCTGCCATACCTGGGCGATGGGCCAATTCCCCTGTTTGTCGTGCCGTGATTTCGGACAATGACGACCCTGCAATTGCATGAAAGTGAATCACTCGATAGTATTCGACCTCCTCGTTAAGTTCTTGAATGCGACTCGACAGCTCCTTAAAGGATGCAATGTGGACTTCATATTCGCCCCGGGTTGCAAATTCACTGGCTACCGCAAGTGCAACGTTTGACTGGCCGTGCTCTGGGCTGGTCATGAAAAGAATGGTTCGCTTTGGAGAAGACATTATCAGTTCTGTTGCTCAGATGCTAGGTACTCGCGAAAAAGGCATGATGAAGTGCTTGAATGGCTGTAGCTTATATTCGATTCATGTTCTCCATCAAAAGATTACACTGTCACATTCTATAGATACTAGCCGATGTATGGTTACTCAGACACCTGTGCCCTTCCAAGCTGGAATGGACTGTACTATACTCCAACGCTTGATAGGATTATATTCGGATGTTTGTTCGACGCGGAGGGTAATAATCCCGTGGGTGGGATGGACAGCAGCACCGCAATAGGGCCTAGAATCAGGTCTACCTGCGCATAAGGTTGGAATCGACACAAATCCAGGGAGTTGCGCACTTTGTCTTATTCTGATGTAATGAGTAGACATCTCAAATTGGAATATGCTTATCTGACACGAACCCCGTCACGGGCCTTGAGCTGATGCACTCCCGAGATATCCCACCCGCATCCTTCGCAAACATGTCACAGTGATTACCAGACCAATCAAGTTGAACACAAGCAGGAAGCCAAATGCAGCACGATAGCCAGCCATCCAAGCACCCGAGGGCCCGTCCAGAATGGCATGCCCCCCGATGCTCTGAAGCTTACTCGCTGTCACGTCATTGGCAATCAATGAAGCAAGCGCCATGCCCACAGACGCCCCTATCATGGCGACAGTGCACAGTACCCCCATTGCAAAGCCTTGTGTCCTGTAAGCAAAACTTTCTGACACCACTCTCGCAGCAATTGGAATCACCGAGCTGGCTGCAATCGAGTTGAGTGAAACGGCGTGAATTGCGCACTTCCAATACGCCCAGTCAACGGGTAGAATCCCCATCAATAGTGGGGCAAGACTGGAAATCAGAATAGTTACAATCAAGATTGTATTTATTCGAATATGAGGCAATAATCTCGCCACGAAGACTGTGCTGAGTGTACCCATGACTGGAATGGGTAGCATTTGCCATGAGGATTGGTGGAGCGAGAGGCCCTGCGCCCGTTGGAAAACAAGAACCATGAATTGTGACGTCGAATGCGATGAAGCATAGATGAAGAATACCACTAAACAGATCGAAATGAAGTGGCTGTTGGTCCAAGGGGAGTCCTGTACGCCTTGCGTACAATCTCTTTCCCAGCAGTCTTGCCAGAACAGATAGGCTACCAGAAGAACCCAGCCAAGGGCCAGAGGAACGAAGAGCCACGATTTACTCAGTGTGGCCACATTGTTCGTGATGACACTGTTCAGACTGAATTAGTATATTGATTTTCGTTGTCTCATTCAGAACTTGGGGTACTCACGCCAATGCGTAAAAGATAAAGAGCATCACCAGTATTCCTAGTAAGCCTCCACCCAAATCAATATTTTGGGCGAATCTAGCCCAGGAGATATGTTTTGTCTCGACTCGTCTGGGGATTGCCCAGATGGACAACACTAGTACCGCCGCTCCCAGGATAGCGGCGGTATAAAACATACATCGCCAGCCGCAGGTCGCGGGTAAAAGGCCGCCAAGGGCTATACCTACAGCAGTGCCCAGATACTGACTGCTCTGGGTATAAGAGAAAGACAGGTCGTGTAATCTGGCTGGGAGGTACTTTGCATGAATGTTAATGGCTGATACAAAGCACATGGAGTGGGCGGCGCCAGCCAAGGCTCTGGAAATGACAATATGCATCCCATTTTGGGACATCCCACCAAAAAGGTGGCAGAGGGCCTGAAGAGTACATCCGTACAGAAAAACTCTCCTGCTGCCCAGGACGTTTGTCAAAAATCCCGCTGGCAAGAGGGTACAGCCTTGAACAAAGAAATGTAATAAAACTGGCCTGGTAAATCGATCAGCCAAAGTACTTTTTCTCAAAAGAGCATCACTGCCAGGTAGATGAGGCGACCCACCAAAGTTCAACACCGGGGCTTAAGCCAAACTCGCGGGAAATTTGCGTAGCACCGAGGACTACCAGGCCGTTGAGCGCGCAGGAAATGAACAAGACACACAAAGTGCAGAAGATGATGACCCGGGCATGCTGTGAGGATTCGGCATGATCTGCGGCTTGATTTGACACGGACCCCAGCAGCGGCTGATCTTCCGACGTCTCGCGATGTAGTGACTCAGGGCGCGGTTCGGGTTCTGGCATTTCACACCCAAGACCTGGTTTTCTGGACGTGTGGTTTAGTATCTCTGCCCTCCACTGATGGGCTGCGAGGGGAAAAATTCCCACGAAAAAGCAAAATGGGCAGCTGAAATGACGGCCATTCGAGTTGCATATTAAAGACGCGCTGTGATTGATCCGTTTCGACCCACTGTCGGCCCCTTGCACCTTGTTCAGGGACTGCGTTTGTCGGCAGTTTTGAAGACTTTCTGAGTGGTAAAGTGAGGAATGTCGAGAGGCAGCTAAATGGAGTAAAAATGAAGAAGAAGGTTGAGCGTCTGGGGTGAGTTCCACCTTTCCTGCCTGACGTTTGGATCCGCCAACTGGTCAGCACGGGGTGGGTCAGGACTTCTGACTGCAAATGTTCCTTCACTCAACAATGTACGGCCTCCATCACTCGACATTGGCCAACATCCTGGAGTTTTCATGCTTCTATGTCATCCAAAATGTCACTCCCGCCGCCATCCTTATCACTACACGCAAGGGATCACCCATACGCTATCTGTGCATTCCGTGGATGATCTGGATCGCCAGCCGATTTATACGCCCTTTTGGCGCGTCCGGAAGTCCTACATGGTGCCAGGCAGTAACTCAGCTCGTCATTGCGACTCTGCAGACAATAAATCTACTGCTTGTTAATCCTCTCGATCGGCGAGATATCTCGTCTGTGGCAGACGACAGCTTCGGGTGTCAGTTGATCAAAGCAGTGCGTCTCATCGCCCAGACACGGGCAATCAACACGCCATGGCAAGTGAACAAGGTCCCGCCCCATCCGAAATATTATACCCGGCGCGGCTCGCCGGTTCCCAGTCGTGGCCGATTTCTGCTGCGACAGCTAGCAATTGTCTTTTGGCAGTACCTGATTCTCGATATTGTGCAAACGGTATCAATTCAGCAAGCCACTGAGCGGGGTACTTCCCATGGCGTAACATCCCACATTGAGTGGGTAGTCCCTGCAGCACAGTGGGCAGAGAGAATCGCTACACATCTTTCCATCTGGCTTGTGGTGAATCGTTTGATTGGAGATATCGCATACCGAATACTGTCGATAGTATTCGTTGGTATCTGCCAGGATTCACCCTCAGACTGGCCACCGGCTTTCGGAAGGATGCAGAGTCTTGTGACATTGCGTGGGTTTTGGGGGTAAGTCATACATACTCCGTGATATCGCCGCCTTCTTACCAACCACTGCAGGGATTTCTGGCATCAATTCATGCGCCAGCCTTTCACTTCAATCAGCAATTATCTCGCGCGCGATGTGCTGAATCTAACGCGGTCGTCAATATTGGAGCGCTACACAAATCTCTTTGTCGTCTTCCTTATATCCGCGATATTCCATGTTGTTGTCGATATTCTACAAAGTGTTCCGATGGACAAGTCAGGATCAATGCCTTTCTACCTTGCATTTGTCGCGGGAATCATGATAGAGGACGGTGTACAGGAGATGTGGAAATTTGCATCCTCTGGCAGCAGTCGGGGAGTCACGACCGAGGTATTGCCAGAGTCTACGCCTCTCTGGAGACGTGCGATCGGTGGATTATGGGTCGCACTGTGGCTCGGGGTCACCTCGACTTGGTATTTTACGCCAATGATCCAATCCACGTCGGAGGACTTGCGCATGGTGCCATTCAGTCTCGCGAAACATGTCGGCCTTGAGCCGGTTATTGGGATTGCTCTGAGCTACGGTGCCATCATTGGCCTTATCTTCAAAGTGGAAATCTAAATACTCATCTCTGTATAACGTCAAGCCGGCACTTGGTCGGGTATCAAAGCGGATTTTGCAACGGGCCTGCTGCACGGCCAATCGTCGCTTCTGTTACCCGATCCGAATGTCTTGGCATGGAAGCGTGACGACCTTCCTAGGCGCCATTTTTGTTCACCTTGCGTTGTGCATAGCACCCTGTTGTCGACCCTGGCGGGTAAAAAAACCGCATTTAATATGCCAAGGGTGTCCCAGGCATGCGACAATTGCTTCCGAAGTAAAGTGAGTTCTGTCCGCCCTGGATGCACAAATAAATCAACTCATCTATCTCAGATCAAATGTGAGGGACAGCGCCCTCGATGTGAGTGGTGTGAGCATCGGAATTTACTGTGCACATATGATAGAAAGCGAAAACGAGCACCCAAAAAAGCATCATCAAGGTGAGGGGGGCCTAAGACGGACTGCTTTGCCATGTAAACTGACATTCCATTAAATAGATCTGCCCCGGAGAAAGAAACCAAAACATCCGGTGCAGTCCATATATATTCCGATTCACGAAATGGTTCGTAGCAACTTCCACAAGACAGATCCCTTGATCAGACTATAGTGCATGATATTGAGATTTCGAAACAGGCACCGGGCAGGATTTCCCGTTTCTATATCATGTTGGGAACATCAACCTCAGCGACAGCGCTATCTTGTTTTCTTCAGAAGGACAAAAATGGGTAGAGCGTCTCACGGGAGAGAAACTTCCCTGCGAGTTGTGCGTGACAAGCGCTCGGCCTTGGGAACGTGATCCAGTTTCTGAAGCCCAAGATCCCATGAACGTTACGCCCCTCGAAAACATGACTCTACCGGACCGACAGACTCTGGAGTCATCCACGAACATGTTTTTCAACTCTGTTCTTAGCCGTATATGGCCCTTGCCAGACCAAGTCCTTTTCCGACAGACAATGAATATCGCCTATGGGGATCAGGAGGAGCATCCATCCCGGAAACGCACGGCCACTATATGTGTATGGGCTACATGGGCGTTTATCTCAGCCTTTCAAGATTTGTCTGTGGAAATTTCACCGAAAACGCGAGTGGAGGTCGTGAACTCCCTCATGACGTCGATCAATTTGCTTCAACAACCGCACATCGAGCTTCTCGAATCTACATCAATGCTTGTTGTTCTACATCTCAACTCTGGAAGCATTCAATCGAGCATTCTGGCCAACACACTTGCTGCACGGTTTGTCCTCCTGCTCGGGGCTAATACCAGGGAATGTTTCGAATCCGCTTGTAAGTTTGTTTCGCTAGGAGACGAACGCTGCAGAAAGGACAATCATTTGCGCAATCTGTTCTGGATGTGCTATCTCCAAGACAAAGAGTTGTGCCTTCGTTCAAACCAGCCACCAGCTCTGTCAGAGTATAACTGTGACCTCGATCTGCCGATTGACTACCAGCGCAATTACAACATACATTCAAGCGAGATTTCCCCAACCCCGGTGTTCGCGGGTGATCTTCGACTCAGTCAGCTCAAATCAAAAGCATATTGTGATCTTTACTCTCGCCGTGCATTGGAAAAAGACGGAACTTTGATTTTGCGTGAGATTCGGCAACTGGACGATGAGCTCGAAGAGTGGCGCTTGAGCATTCCAGTGGAATACCGCCCAACACTACTGTTCTCGCAAGGGACCAGTTATGGATCTGATAGGCTGAGTATTCGATCGCTGATGATGCGACTCGAGTATTACTACTGCATGTCATACATCCATCAGGCATGTGGTCGATTTAGGCTCTTGGACGGAACCCAGGATCGCGAAATCCAAGGGATCAGTTCTAGTCTCTCTTTCGCGATTGCTACTTGTCGCTCTTCGCTCTACTATCTCCTCGAAGTTAAAGACGCGCTCTCCCCGCGTGACTTTTGGTGCGTCTTCTACCTTCCTTGCCTTCTCGTTCTTTCGCCGTGTTCTAATTCTAACCCGTCTAATCTCGCAGGCTGATTCTCTTTTATCCACTTTCGGCCGTTCTGACGATATTCTGCAATATTATTGCACATCCACGCACTTCTGAAGCGAGTAAGGACTTGAGTATTATGAGCCAGATATCTACCTTGGTACGAGAGCTTGGTGATCGCGAGTGCGAGGTCAGCGGACGCAGCCATAACACAGACCGAGTGTGGAAAGTCGTGACAGCATTGGAAACACTTGCTAAGACTGCTGTTGAGAAGCATGTTCACTGAATCTAGTCTGCCCCTCTGCTCTAGACGTGCGAAAGCCGAGTCTATCCTTCTTAAGAGATGGCACGCTGTCCCTTATTCTATTGTGTGGCTGACCCGTGGACTCAGAGGATGCTAGACGTACAAATCCAAACTTTCAGTGATGAGCAAAGGTGTTCAGTGTTTCCTCTACCATTGATACACCTATTTTCAGTCTTTCTAGCGCGACCGTATAGGCCTCATTTAAGATCCCAATCTTGACCAACGTAATAATACCCTGACACCAACTTCGGCAAGACTTGTTCCAGCTAGTATAATCAGTGTATTGAAAACAATAGGGTAACTATGCAAAAAGTGGCCTTTCCTCCTCCCGAGGTCTCTACTTAGGGCCGCATGTTAGAACTTAGTTGGGCTTCCATTATAGGCATGGGTCACCAAAGAGAATACCCGTGGACCAGCCCAGGATACACCTCGGGGCCTTATTGCTCCCGAGGTCGAGGAAATCACTACGCTTTCCAACCAGTCGATATTCGCTAGCACAAAATTGTAAGAAATATTGAGGCTCAAATGTTCTTATCCGCCAATCGGGCCAACTTACGTGTATAACACCAACGAAGGAGAGCCCAAGTCAGCCGGTCCGATCCCCGGGACTTGTAACAAATAGCGCCTAATTGGGTGTACTTCGTACACAATACGAAAGGCGAACAACGCCAGGGGGGAAAAAGCAAACATCAGCCTGCCAAGACCACTGCCCCTTCTGTCTTTGACACGAGCCGCAGTGGAGCACAACTACTCACTGCTCTTGAGACGATCACTCCGTACAGCCCATCGCCCATACACAGAGTTGACTGCGAACATGGGATCTCTATGTACATGGCTGAATAGCCTTTTCCAGCGACCCCCCTGGCCTGTCATTGCATTTCCAGACCACGGTTTTGAAATTATCGAAGACTGTAATCGTCGAAGAGGAGTCGAGGCCGAACTTTGAAAATGGCGATTATTATCCCGTTTTGATTGGGAATGTCCTAGATTCCCGGTATCAAGTTGCTGGTAAGCTTGTATTTGGGGTTTCTTCGACGGTCTGGCTTGCGAGGGACATGAGGTACGAGCTAAAGTCGGCCACCGGTAGCCGTTTGGATGCTCATGTATTAGGGATCATCGATATGTTGCTTTGAAAGTCTTCACTCGCCAGGAAGAGAATAAAAAAGAGTTGAAAAACTACAAAATACTCTCCAGACCTTCGCAACATCCTGGGCGCGGGCATGTGAGAGACGTGCTGCATTCGTTTACACTCCCCCGACCCTGTGGTGACCATCTTTGCCTTGTCCAAAAGCCTCTCTGGGAGAGCTTACAAGATCTCCACTACGTCATGCCGGGCGCTCGCCTGGAGGTCGAGATCCTAAAATCAGCAATAAAGCAAATGCTGAAGGCTTTGGATTACATCCACACCGAGTGTAAACTCGTTCACACAGGTACTCCATATCGCAGGGCGATAGAGAAAACTATTGTACTGACCATTTTAAAGACATCAAAGCGGATAATATCATGCAGGAACTCAACGACACCGCTGTCCTTCAAAAGTTCATGCAAGATGAAGTAGAGAAGCCATCACCTCGTAAAATCGTCGGTGACAGGGTCGTCTATCCTTCGCGGCTTTTTGACCCCCCAGAAGAGTTTGGCCGAGCCTTACTATGTGATTTCGGATCAGCTGTTCAGGGAGAAGAAGAAAGAAATCACAATGCCCAACCTGAAATTTACAGATCCCCCGAGGTCATGCTGATGGTAGATTGGAGTTATCCGGCCGATATTTGGAATCTGGGTGTTATGGTGAGTCGAGAGCGGAAACCAGTCTTGAGCGCTTTAGTGTTCACCATTTATGACACAGATCTGGTGACTTTTTGAAGGGGATCACCTCTTCACTGGCCAACATCCTACTCTCGGGAGGTACATTACCCGCGCCCACCTTGCGGAGATTATCGGACTGCTAGGACCGCCACCTCAAGACCTTGTTCAAAGAGGTGTCAGAAGCCCCGAGTTTTTCGATGAAGACGGTAAGTTTATCTTATATAAGCACCAATTCGTAACTTTAACACTGATGTTTTACAGGGAAATGGAAAGTAGATGATGTTGAAATACATCAGAGGACGTTGGAGGACTCAGAATGCTACCTTGAAGGCAAAGAAAAGGCCAAATTCCTGAAGTTCATCAGGAGTATGCTTCAATGGCGACCTGAAAACCGGAAGACCGCTCTAGCTTTGCTTGAAGATCCTTGGCTGAATAGTTGATTCATCTCTGGTTGAAGGGCCTGCAACATCCATAGATGCTGCCATTTCTAAGGCCACTGGGCAATATCTACATCCCTTCTCATCTGTATGCAACCTATATGTTATTTTAAACAAAATCCAATTAATTAAACTCGACGTCGAGACTGCATTACAGCATAGATGAACCTTTTAACGCAGGGACGTAAAGACATCAAAACACCTTTCCCATCAGACTCGACATTGCCCAGGAGTTTCAGCCATTAACTGCACGTGAGACGCGTCCGACTTTTTCTTCCTGGAGGAAAAAGAACGAGACCAGCATAAAGAAAGAGGCAAATCACAACAAACTCCATCAGAAATTGTAGCAGGGCCGCTAAAGCCACAGCACCTGGCTGCGTTCCTCCGAATGCATCGCCCTTTGCAAATGTCACGAGCAGTCCATACAAAACCCTGACAGCAAGAAACGGCGTGCTAAATAAAGCGACATAGATGAGAGCTTTGTTCTCTTTATCTTGTCTGCTTTGCGAAAACAGGAAGAGACAGATGCCAGCTTGGACGACGAAAAGAACTGCAATGATGATTGTGGATGCTGCGCTAATGTCGTGTCTTGACATGCTCATGCCGACGATTCCGAGAATAAATGCAGCCCATTGGAATAGTGGGAGTAACATCCAGATTTTGGGGGGTATCGGGGTCAGGTATCGCGTTTTTTCTTTGCTATTTGTGATATGAGTTAGCAAGACGATGATATGGCGAACACGTATCCCATCACTCACATCATCATGATAATCTCTAGCATCGCAAGTAGTAATGTCATCACGCCGATAGAAGAGATCACCGATGCTGCTGTCCCTAGACCTCCCCAGCTGTCGTCTCCAGATGCAATCTGCAAGGCGGCGCCGACTACTCTGAAAACTGCGAGTAGAAGCAGGTAAAGCCACCCAAACTGGACCCCAATCCCATTGCGAAGGCAAGTTCGGACGGAGAAGATAATGGTCGGGGTGAAAAAGATGAGTATGAATATCGAGAGGATCTGGTTTGGTGACATGCCCGTGTTAGCTGGACACGATCTCGAGAGTCGATTCACTTGTAGGAAATTCCATCACGGACTTCAGTAGATACATGAATCCCTTTTCTTCGTATGGCTCATGACTACTAGGGCTGTATTCGATGTTCACAAAACGCCAAGGGTTGGGCCCGCTGCGTACTGGTTACCCGATTCGGCAACCTGGATGTCTTGGCGTGAAGCTCTGGCTCTTGCGCAGGACATTGTATGGAGACTTTGATCCCGCCGCCAGTTTTCATTATGTATGTCGGGCTTGAGTTCACTGCGAAGATCCGGAAGTGCTCCACTGGTAGAGTTAAACCAGACACCAGCATCGGCGAATGCAGGGATTTAGCCAATGCATGATAGTAGTTGATATCATGCTAGTCATACTCTGGTTCCTTCATCGGTCATCTTGACAGATCATTGGTAATTCGTATTTCGTTTTAATTTTCATTGAATTGGAGATCGATGCCGTGGCAAAGATCTCCCCGTTTTGCACTTCGCACCTTCGTGCGTCAAAAGCTCATATTGATGTGGGAAATGCCCATTTCTTCCTCTCAACTCACCAAAAATAACCGCAACGCCAACCCCAATGCCCAGACCATCACATGCAGGTATCTCATTTATCAGCCACATCAAGCTCATCCATATCATTAAGCAGTTCGTTCATGTCAATTTCCGGCACTTCATCTTCGCTGTCGTCATCGTTCAAAGCATCGCCCTGGGTTTGGGCCTGGACCTTGTAGAGGTCCAGAGTCTGTCGCAACTCTTCATCCTCCTCAACATCGCGCAAGAACATTTCATAGTCCTGCTCGAGTCGGTTCGCATCCTGCTGTTCACGGCGGGACTGCTGACCAGATCCAGGACCACTAGCAGCAGCAGCGGCAGCCTCAGCCTCGTACTCATTAGCCATGCGCTTGAGACGCCAGGAGCGGGCCTTGGACTTCTTCTTGCGGGCGTAGGACTTCTTGATTAGCACGACGTCTGGGATGGTCGAGCTGTACTTGTTGCTTGCTTCAACTGCTTCGAAGTTATCGTCATTGAATCGGGTCCCGGTAAGATGGTAGCCTAGCACCGCGTCGCCGGCGTGAAGAATTCCACCAAGATGTGTCCGGGTGAAGTACGTGGTATCGTTGGACCCAAGGTCGGATGATCGGGCAACGGTCGCCTCAGCCAGTTGGTATTTGCCCTTTGATTTACCAGCGGGCTCGATATCCATGATGATAAATTCTTTAAGCTCGGTCACGTCGGCCAGATTCCTGAACGGAGCTCGCCAGTACGTGCCTGTTGGAATTTCGGCGGTTTGGAGGGTGTTGGGATCCATGAGATTCACGGAATTCCCGACGCGGTGGCAAATAGTAAGGGGGGAGATGTTTCCTAGCTGGCGAGCAAGCTTCATTGGCAATGCGACGAGATCGTCTTTGCAAATGGGGACAATCTCGACAGAGAATGTGAACTTATAGGAGCTGACGCTGGTGTGGATGTCCTTGGAAATCAACTCTGCAGATTTCTTCGTCTTGCAGGGTACGACGGAAGTGAGGAAATCGACCATCTTCTCGGCGTGGTTGCGTGCCGCGAAATAGAAATCAAGACCATCCTTCGCTTCCTTAATGTTGACAGTATCCTTGTGGGCGCCGCTCTTCAAGATCAGTTGTTCGAGGTATAGGAAGGTGCGTTTGTGCGGCACTTTCTGTCGAACTTGAATGGCTGCTCGCCATGTGTTATGGGTGAATGACTTCTTGCAGTCCGCGCACTGTTGTGATGCAACCACGTATTCCACCTCGAAGGTTTGCTGAATCGTTGTGCCCTGCGAGGCTTCTTGTTGAATCGTAATCTTGACTTTGATGCGGCGAGAATGGGGTTCGGTCCAAATGAAATTGGCATCGATGATGCGGACTTTCGATAAGCCACGGAGACGGCGGAGACAGACAGAGAGGAGTTCCTTCGATTCGGGAGCTGCAACTACCCAGCTGTTAGGTGGCTGAAGCCATCGCTCGCAGTCCCTGCAGCAGTGGATAGTTCCTTCACGTTGGATACTAGGATCGAAGAGGTCAGTGGTTGTTCCGTTCGTTTGGGTGGTTCCTGACATACCCGGCGGCGGCATCCACGTCCAATCTCAAGCAATCCGAGCACAGTGCTTCGGCAGCGGTGGTTCCATCAATGGGGGCACCGCAGTTGCAACACAAAATACTGTGATGTGCATGTTAGCATTATTGGCGATAACAAATCGATCCCGATAAGAGACTCACGTCGCGGCGCCTGAGTTCTGGTAATCCAGCGCCGAGAGAGGGACTCCAGCATCCGTATCTCTCTCCATCTTGGGGTTGTATGAATCGAGCCTCGGCAGCAAGAGGGTGTGAGGTTTGAAAGACGCAGTCCTGGAGGATTTATAATCTGTTTTGCCCCGCGGGCCCGCTCTCGTCACTTTGGAGCTCTTGGGTGCCTTGCGCTTCAGGCCACAACGCTAACCCTTTTGGTCTTCTCCAGATACAGCTGCTTCCAACCTTGGAAGCCCCTTTCTCTCCTCTTTATATACGATCTGTCAGCGATTTTTTTTTAGCGGAAACTGAACATAGACTTGATCTCATCCATGGTCTTGGAATTCCATGGAACGGCTGTGCATCTTACTCTGACTCCAAATGCACCGGAAGCAGACCAAAATATACATCGGCACCCGAGCAGGAATTCACCAAGTTCTGACGCCCCTCTGTTTTTCACAGAATGGCCCATAAAGCAACCCGACAGTGAAATACAAGTTACGAAATGCGCGCATTTCAAACCCAAAGACCCGACAGAGTGAGCCCACGGTTTCGCCTGCGAAAACAGCGATGCGTGGGATTTCAACCCGTGGGAGCTGCGAGCCCGCAAAGAAGACTGGTTTGTTGGGAGAGATGGCCCCGTGCTGGGACCGTGGAATCTCCCATAGCGCATTCGCACGCACAATTGAGGCCTTTGAGGCCAAAGTCAGAACAAGTGTCTATGACAGTGTGCCGAACGAAGGGGGTTTGAGCAAGGTTTGACGATTGGAACAGCCAGCTGAGCTGTTTCAAGGTTCACTTTCATGCTTGTCGATGAGCCCGGATAATCCGAGGAAGCGCATTCTCTGAGCCGTCATCTCGTCAATGATCTCGAGATCACCATGCGCCCAGGAGAAGATGGGCCGCAGTCATTCTAGACGAAATAGCGACCAAGCGATCCGTGGACGTTTTGAGACTGGCCAAATTATTTTAAGAGCCTCGACTCATCTTACGCTGCAGTTTCATACCTCCGGGGCCAACCAAGGGGATGACCATTAAAATCTACACTGTCATGAATGCGAACTGCCCCATTGGGAAAGCGAAAATTACCTGACAAGTGGAGAAAGACAAAACCACTAGCCGAAACCCTCGGGCGCGTTGATTTTCATAAGTTCCAAGTTAAGCATAATAGTATCCACCTTTCGCAGGGCTCGGGGATACATCGGCGATACTCCAGCCCTGGAGGGCTTAGAACGTCAGCACGGGACCGTTCCGAGGCTTCAAGGGTTCAAAATTTGAGTCGCCGCTCACGTCCTTCCCCTGGGCTCTATCACAAGGTGAACATCCAGATCCTCTGTGTGCCTCCACAAACATGCCAAGATGGATTTCAACATAAGCTCTTATTCAAAAGCGAGATCTCGCCGATCCCATGCCAAATCACGCCGGGGATGCGGGAATTGCAAGCGACGGCGAATCAAGGTAAGGCACTGTGACTTTATCGGCTTGAATCTGAGCTTATCCGATATTAAAGTGCGATGAGACCGAACCTGAATGTACCAATTGCATACGCCACTCTATTAAATGCAATTATGGTCAAGTTGCGCAGCGTGCCAAGTCCACGGATTCAGACGAGAGGGACAACGCGCAGCCAAAAAATGATTATAAATTCATCACTTCATCCGCGTCGAGCTTTACCGTTCCAAAAAGATCTCACCACCGGACTGAAGTCTCGCCCATGCAGCAATCACCGCCAGTTGAGTCTGGGGGGACTGTGGCCAAAAACCCATTCCAATTCACTGCGACTGACATGATACTATTTCATCATTGCCTTTCAACAAGTGATTTGAAAGACTACATACCGGAACAGCTTGTTAGACTTGGCCTGTCTGTTCATTACGTCTTACACTTGCTCCTAGCGATATCTGGCTTTCATATGAAACGAACTTCAGCAAATACTGCGCTTCACCAGTCTCCACAGCAAGACCCCGACTTTTATAGCGAAGCTGAACGTCATCTCAACATCGCTATATCTGAAGTCGCAGCTACAGGCCTTCAATTACATAAAGAGAACCATCACACGCTTTATATCGCATCTCTATTCATCTTCATATGTTCGCTCGCCAGAGGTCCTCAGCCTTCAGAGTATCTGGGCTTCCGCAACGACAATGATACGCCAGCATTATGCCTTTTCAATGGGATGCGATCCATTCTAGAGGCAGGTACAAGCATGGAAAGCTCTGAATCTATCTCAGAGGTACATCCTCAGGCGAAGCAAGGAATAACCCAAGATAAAGAACAAGAACAAGAGAAAGAGAAAGAGAAAGAGAAAGAGAAAGAGAAAGAGAAAGAGAAAGAGAAAGAGAAAGAGAAAGAGAAAGAG